GACAAAACTGGTGCAACAACCCGGGGCTTCAAGACCTCCGGTTACTGTATTGAAATCTTCGCTCATACCGCAGTGTATCTGACAATTTCATTCTACCCCCGTCGCGTACTCGGAAGGATTCCATCCCAAAACATGCCTTCCGTCTCTCAATAGATGGGGTCGGCGAGAAATGGTTTATCGGGATTGAAACTGACAATCGCCTGGCCTGCCAGGAAGACGGGGACGGGTATTCATATCGAAAGATTATCTTTCCTGCAGCTTCCAGGGCAGGATCTTTGCCGCACTTGAGCGAAGAATATATGAATACAAGGTGGAGACCTTTTCTTTCCGTCTTGCTTTCGGGTCTAGTATAGTACTGTACATCTGACGGAGATGCCTGTTGCAGATCCCGACCTCCCTTTCCACCCTTGTCAGTCGCCTTGGATACTTTATTTATCCCGCGCATCCGGTCATTGATCTTTGTTCTCAGAAGTCTCCCACTTTCGTGCAGGCTCTGATAGGGACTTAACTTCCTAGATATTTTACCAGCAAAATTTCGTGACTGCTATGAAATTACTTGTACAACCCGGCCGGCAACCTGACAACCTTGATTCAGCCTTGTCTTGGCACATCCCCAAACACCAATCACATTTCAATCCTGTCTGCTGCGCAAGCGCCAACTGAGGCGATGCATGTCCGTCTTGTATTCTTGGGGCTGGAGCCCCCGCATCTTATAAGAACTGTCTGTGCATGTTTATGTCCTGCCCCAACAACGCTTCTTCTATACAAAGGCGCAAGTCAGAAATGCGGTTACGATGTTCTCAGACCTCATCCACAAGCCAAAGACCTTCACCCCCTTAGTACACGAGACAGCCACCTCGGAAAGCGACAGCATACAAGATGGCGAGAATCATCCCGCTCGCCCCTGGCGTCGCGCCTGGACTCCGACCATCCTTCGCTCGGGGACATTAGTCGCATTTGCACTTCTCTTCGCCGCGATGATCGTGGTCGTCGAGGTCTTGTCTTCGGTCTCGGCCCGGAATCAAGGTCTCAGTACCAGCGACAGCAAGTACCATTATTTCTGGACGTATAGTCCGACAGCCGGTAGGTGCTCTATTCTGGCCGTTTTCGTGCACCGGGTGTAAGGCCATTGCTAAGATAGGTCGTGTGGGGATAGCTCTGACGGTCGTCGCCGCACTATGGGGCCAGGTCGAGTACCGCACCAAGCAACTCATGCCCTGGCGGGCGATGGCATATTCCGGCCCCCAACCGGCCTCGCGATCCCTCCTACTGGATTATGTCTCGGAGTGGAACGTGATCGCGCTCTTTCGGGCGATGCGTCACGGCGATTGGGCTGTGGCACTGGCGGTTTTGGGCACCTTGCTGATCAAACTTCTCACGGTAGCTTCGACGGGTTTGTTCATGCTGCAGAATGTCTGGATGGAGCACGCGGCTGCTGAGCTTCGCCTCCAAGCTCGCTTCGATGGGCGGGGGTATAATGGGAGTCTGGTGGATGGAAGTGCTGCGACTGTCGTGGCTGGAGCCCGCTGGCAGGAGTTGCCCTACCCTGTCTGCACGACGGAGGAATACGCCTTTGAGCCTTTCACAGCGAGTATAGGTACTGGTAACGACGGGGTGATCACTGGAACGGTGGATGTTTTCTCGGCGGATTTGAACTGCCAGGTTGGAACCGTCGCCAACTGGACTGAGGGCTGCACATCGTCCGGGTGCGAGCAAACTCGACTGAATATCACCCTCAGTACCAGTACCTCGTCTTGCGCGGGAGGGTATCATTTCCCCAGCTTCCAAAAAAGCTATTCCTCTGCTGGGGGCTTTTATGCAGACGTGTTTTCGGCTAGCTGTGTTGATTCAGAGGATGATCCTCGCGTGGTTGTCGCTGCAGCGCAGTGGACCGCCAACAAGACCGAAATCCACGGCTTGGTCTGCAGCCCCTCGTACTCCATTGCACCACGCTCTGTCTCGCTACGCCAGAGTAACCACAGTGTGGTCAGTATTGACACAATCCCAAGCTCGAACCACACCATCCGAAGAGTCCTTGCAGACGTATCGCCAGCAGATCTAGGGGTAGGGTTTGTGTCCTCGTTGACCGCCGCAGCCGATATCCTTGACACGCTGGGATATCTCGATACCTCGACCAAAGGCTGGAAGACTGCGAAGTACAACCTGTCGGACCCGAATAGTACTTACCCCAGTGCATTCGCGATTCTCGCGAATCTGACCTCGCCGCACCCCATGCGCGATTTGCTCAATACCTCACTCTTGGAGAGTGTAGCCCGACCCATGTTTGCGGCAATCGCGGCCCAGGTGGCAAAGCAGTATCTCCTCTCCTCGTCGGATACGAACCTCGCGGGTACATATTCGGCGTACGTCAACCGACTGCTAGTGAAAGAGCTTTCTGTTCGACTGATGGAGGCGACATTAGCTGTTCTGATTGTCATCGCTGGAGCGTTGTGCTTCCTACGACCCGTTCGCTGTACGCCTCGAGATCCAGGGACTATCTCCGGGCTGGCGAGCATTCTGGCGCGGAGCCCTGCGGTGGAGGAGCGACTGTCTCGGAGTAAGAATGGAACAGAAATTGCGGGGGAGTTGAATGGTCGTCGCTACCACGCCCAAATCACCAACGAACACAATTGTCTGGGCTTTACAATTGCAACTGACCAGACGGCTATTGAGAGTATGCGGACTCGAATCACCTCTGAGCCTATGAGTTGGTGGGAGCCGATGTCCGTCTCCGTCTCCTGGCGGGTCATTACACTCGCGCTGCCTCTGCTTGTCATCGCTGGGCTAGAAACCACGTACCAGATCTCGTCTCGGCATAATGGGTTGGGCACTGTGTCCGGAGAATACATTCGGTATACTTGGGTGTACATACCCGCGGTAATAATGCTGGTAGTGCGCATTTTCTTCGATTCGATTCACTTTTCGGCGCTCGTGCTGCAGCCTTACCTGGACCTGCGACGCGGGGGGGTCACTGCACCACGAAGCATCATGGAGAATCACCTGTCCAGCCCGACACTCATCTCTTTGGTCAAGGCCATCGTACGACGACAAGGTGCCGTAGGGGCTACGGCAGTTGCCGTGCTACTGGCCCCGATTCTCACCGTGGCCGTCAGCGGACTATACCTCACCCAGGAGATCGAGCACTCCCAGGCGGTCTCCATCGCTCGCGTCGACAGCTTCAACACAACCATCGACCCGCATTACTCCACTTCCAGCAATGCAGGCGTGGGGCTGACAGGGGCCCTGGTTGTTGCAGCTAATCTCTCCTATCCTGCTTGGACGTACGAGGAACTGGTGCTGCCGACTCTCAGTGAAGCGTCTCTCACCAGCAAGCAGGGCTCTGTACAGTACCGCTCCTCCAACGCAAACGTGAACCGTTCTTCTGTGCTGCAGATGACGCTCCCTGCTCTACGAGCGCGTCTCGAATGCCAGATCCTCGCCGAGGATACAGTGTACAGGGTTGAGGAGCCCAGCGCGCTCCTTCCCGCCTGGGACCTCTATCTAAACCTGGATCCCAACTGCAGCCAGAATATGTCGACTAGCTTCGCAGTCAGCACCGACTATCCAAACACAAACAACACCTCATTCGGCTCGTTGAAGTACATGAACCCGAACGTGGCGCTGGGCAATTGTCCGACGCTGATGGGGTGGTACGGCGTACTGACGGCGAACTCCACGAAGAAATTGCAAGGGTTCACCTGCGATCCATACATTGACCAGGTTGATGCCGCCGTCACATTCACCCTTCCGGGTCTTCAAATCACGGGCGCGACAGCGAACGAGTCGACTCGCCGACTCTTCAGTGCCGAGTTTTCGTCGGACCTGCTGTTCCCCAATTATCTTCCGCAGGCGACCAACGACGCGAATCAGGCGTTCGACGAGTTTTTCTCGGCCATGATCCACGATCAGAAAACCCTCGCGGTGGATGATCTCACCGCCAGCGATCCCTCGCACTATCCCGCCGTGATCAACGCAACCCAGCACCTTTATCGCATCCTCATGGCGCAAGGGCTCAACGGCAATTCGCGGATCTTCTCCACCAATGCAACAGCAAAACGATACTACCCGGGAACGCTCATCCAACCCAATCGCGTCCGGCTCATGCAGAACGGTCCGTCGACGAGGATCCTCGAGGGTTGTCTGGCTGCGATGGCGCTCGCGGTCCTGGTCGCGTGCTACTTCCTGCAGACTAAAGAGGTTGTCCCTGTGAATCCGTGCAGTATTGCGGGAGCGGCTTCGCTGCTGGCCGGGTCGGATCTGGTCAGGTCGGACGTGCTGCCAGCCGGGTCGGAGTGGTGCGATGATCGGGAGTTGTTGAGACGGGGGGTCTTTGCGGGGTGGGTGTTTGGATTGGGGTGGTGGGATGGGGGGCGGTTTGGGGTTGATGTTGGGAGGGCGGAGTGAATGTTTTGTTGCCCTGCTAGGTGTGCCGCTGTTCTTGTCTCTACCATCGCCCACTGCCTCCCCAGCAACAATACCAATAAGCATGATTGTTCACCAGCTCCACCTGCAGCATCCCGATCAAAAAGACAAACAAACATCCGAGTCAGCTTTTGGATCACCCAAGCCTCACATTCACTGCCAACAATCTTCGCCCACCACATCACACTGGTCCCACGTCGCCCAGCCTCTTCAATCGTGTTCCCTAGGTTGCATGGTACTGTTTCCATGTTCTGGCTCTTGATGGTTCTACGGATCTGTCGATATTCGCTGTCTGATACTCAAGCAATCTAAAACCATTTGTGGAGCCTTTGAACGGGGCGCAGACAGCGTGTCCATGAAGTCGTAACGGATCCGGGCCAGCTGATCTCGACCTGATCTCGTATCTAGTTCTTCTAACTTTTTCACTTCACAAAGAAGAGAATTCCCTTCATGACGCAAAGCGAGGCTCAGTTCTCCAGAAGACCGCAGGCTTCTGGTGTCCTAGATAGTTGTTGCTCGTGTTATACGCGATCTAGCCCGTTCGATGCTCATTGTGATCGCGGAAACTCTGAAGCTTGTGTTGAGGATTGGAGGTTTGCGATCCGGTGGTTGCCTCCCGTTACCGGAATCTCGCGACTGGGCCATCTCTATTCTGGGGTCCAGTTCCACTCTTCTAATCAATTACAAAGGTGCTTCGACCGTGAGTTACCCCCACAGCAACTCTCTTCAGGTAGGATATAATGACGGTAAGATGGTACTAGGGGCTGGTTCGACATTCGCCTGGTCGGAGGATAATCCTACAAGCAGTCTTCAGTTTGCGTCTCATTATATACGCATATCAGAATGGCTCCGCTCCCTTCATTTTGCGTCAACAATACTGGTGATCCTATGACTAAAGATTTTATCTCTGGCGTGACCATGTGAGCCGCTGTTATGAATCGTCAACCCGCAGGTTATCAATGGGCTAAGAATTGTGTTTCATTAGCTTGCTTGCACTATTTGGCAAGGACGCAACCAATGTATTCCTGTCGCAGTCCGTAAGCGTCCTCGACTGGGTGATATTTGCAATGGGGGTCCCATTCGCGGTGCTAGCCGTGATTCGCACTTCTCGAATGCACTTTCTGAAGAGCCTCGTTGGACTCGCTGAAGATAAACCCTCACATGTAGAGAAAGATCTCATGTCTTCCACGTCCGACGAAGTCTCCGAAAAATGGGATGGAGAGAAGGTTGTCCGGGTCGTTGGTCCTTCTTGTGTCTCGGAGCTCTTCTTCACCCGGTCTGATGTGGATCAACGACCACATGGGCTCTATACAACCCATGATGCCAAGTTCTGCACAGGAATCTTGGAACGAAAACGTAAGTGGGAACATGCTCTGATTCAGTTCCTCTGGTTGTATTGACCGACACTTCTGCAAGACGAGTGGACGACCGACCTTGACTGGGAATTTCAACTCTGGAGACACCAGTATCTCGACCAACGGAGGAGGCCTACTGAAGAACCCCGCCGGTGTTACCCGCCGAATCTGATGCTCAACCTAGGCCCTTACCGGAGGCTCCCTGCGCTGTGGGTGTTCACTATCCTGGGCTTCGTCTCGCAAGGCGCCGTCATCGTGTTGGTGGCTTTGATCGAATTCTATGCCCCAATGAGAGAGTGCTTCCGCCCCAACGTTTGGTCCTTCTACGTCTTCAGCATAGGTACGGTAGTTCTCTTCTCGGGGTTGGTGGTGTGCGCCTCAGCCATCGACCGAGCCTCGCAGGACGTCCTCTGGAAGCCCACACAGCCCGATCTGTTGATCATATGGCTCCAAGAGGGCTCCGACGAGGACCCGACCGAGCCCTCGTATGTGATCACCAAGCGAGTCCGCAAGGAAGTCGTATCCTCGCACCGTCCTCGCGGCATGACTCCGCGCGTGCGGTTCCCACCCCTGATCATTTTCTTCATCGCGGTGGGATACCTCTCGCAGGCCATCTCCCTACCCACACTGCATTGGCCGCCTCAAATTCTCCAGTTCTTGACCACCGTGGTCATGTTCCTTTGTCGGAGCTTCTTGCGCCGCCAGGATCGGCCCGACCGAGCCAAGGAGATCCGTGCGGGCTCTTGCAAGGACTGGGTGGCTAAAATGTATGCTCTGAGCCCGCCACGGCTTTATGGACCCCTCTCGTCAGAGGATGCGGATCCGGACGTGACCTGGATGCTATCTCCTCTCAACGTTGGTGCGGGCGAAGACAGCGACAGCAATCGTGATACTCTACATGCTGCAAACTTTCGGGGTTGCCGATGCGCGCAGGACTTGCTGGAGATCCGTCGGTCTCTTGCTCGCGCAACCCATGACAAAGGCATCCATACCAAGCTGGCGAGCTCCCTTGCGCAAGCGATTACTGAGATATCCCAGAGCCTGGCGGGTGACATGGACTTCATTGCGGATGAAAAAGCCAATCAGTGGACCTGGGAGGTGTGGATTCAGGTGGACAAGGGGGTACCTGAGCCTCCTGAGCCTCTTCAGCTAAGGCTGGAGAAAAACGAGATGTGGGAGGCGAACGAGCAAGAGCTGGGAGCTGTAATCTCGTTGTTGCTGTCGAGCATCGACAAAAAGAATGCTCGAGTCCCCAAGATCAGCAGATTGAGCCTTGGCCCCAGCTCTGAGACTATACCTTGGGGAAGGTATAGCGACGCGGGGATCTACCAAGTTCCGCCGGAAGACTCGTCCGAGGGTCTCAGTATTACGGTGGGCAGAGAGATGCTTCTCGGAGTTGACGATGCCATCACTGAAGCATTAACGGAGGAAGCAAACGATGCAGAGGTCACGTTCAGGGCTAGGAGGATTGCCGCTCAAGACCAGCCCAATGGCCGCTCCCGTGCGATGATAGCCCGGATTTCCAAACTCTCGGCGGGTCAGCTCTATTCTCAGCATATCTTCGTTTGCTTCATGTGGGCCGTCGCAAAAGCCCTCCGGGGAAGGGGGCCCGGTTTGAGGTCAGAACATGCCTTGGAAACGTTGTCTCGCAAGATCGAATTCACCGGGCTTGGCGACTTCAATTTCGCAAGATTGGCTATCACAGTACCACTGTATTATTATCGGCTACTACCGAGGTAGTTGACCTACTTAGCTGTGGGAGGAATGGTGGGTAGGCTATTTGTGATGAGCCCTGGACGTGGGTGTTTGAACGAGCTCGTCACATCCGATCATGATTGCCCAGAGCCGTCTCACGTTTTTCTTTTTTCCAAATGCCAAATCGCCACACTATCACCCTCAATGAATCCACTCACTTTTACGTGACCGATGCAAGGTTGTCCTGATCCTGTGAGCCTCAGATTCATTGCTGCCCCGCGAGGATGGTAGCACAACGAGTCTGGCCTTCGATCATGTCGAGGCTCTCCAGAGATAGTACTGTACCTTGAGGTCGGTAGTCACAGAGTCAATTGAATCACTACCAAAACACCCTTGGAAGAGCATATCTCAGAGGGCGAGACTCAAGGCTCGATCCCGAGTCCCAAGATATCTCAGAAAAAGCCAACATAACATGCATCCACCCCCTTCAGCCCTCCAACTGGATCCAAAGCATTGCCCGCATTCACTTCCTCTTCTTCCTCGACCCAAACGTCCGCTTCTTCAGCCCCACCCAATTCTCCCCTTCAGGATACAGCCCATACTCCCCGACCAGCCTGTCGTGCAGGAGGACGTGGATGCGGTACCACAGGGTTGGGAAGGTGGTGGTTCCGTGCTTTAGGTCGGAGAGGGTGGGCTGGGGAGGGGCCAGCGACTTCCGTGCGGTGGGAGGTACTAGCCATGGTGAATGGCTGCTAGGTGCGAGATTGAGGTGCTCTGTTGCAGGGCATTGAGCTTGGACTTTGTTCTGGTTCTCGGTGGGAGGGAGGGGGAGTAGGGAGTAGGACCGTGGAGAGGAGGAGGGCGCAGAGCTACGCATTCGTGTTGTCAATCTTCCAGAGCTCCGCTTTGTCTTTCAGAGTGTTCTGCAGAGTATACCGGTCAAGTCCATTACAAGCTGATAAGAGCTTGTCGCAGGTAAGATCCCGAAGTTTACCAACTACAAACTACTTGTCGTCGCGTGCAGATTTCTTCAAGAGTCAAAGCCGCCCGCTATCATTCGATATAAATATATCCCGGATAACCTGTAGAGGTTGTTGATCAAGCCTATTAGGGCAGCTGCAGAAGGTACTGACTCCAACTGGAGCTGTATATATCATCAATCATAATATAAACCACTTAAATGCAAAGGAGAAGTTGGAAACTCTTCCACCACATTGCCTGGGGCCCCCCATTAGTTTTCTCATGCCCATGACAATAAGAAAGAAACTAAATCCATGAATCCTGTCAATCTACTTAGTTGTGAAACACTTCCATTGTCAGCCCTGTAATCACTCCTGCTTCCACTCCCTCTTCCGTGCCGCCAAGCGGGCAATCGAATCCAATAAACAATTCCAAGGGCCGCTCGTTCACACTTCTTCTCGAGTCCGTCGACCGCTGATGCCGCTCCGTCTTGTTCAACACCATTTAAAGGTCCACCTCCTGATGGTGAGACCCCGTCCACGGCACCAAGACATGAGGCCCCCCCGGCTGGGATATGCGCATATTACCACTGTTGAACTTGAGAGAACACGCCTTTCCTATGGACTTCTCCTTCCGACCGTTCAACCGACAATTGATGTCTCCGACTGGATACCCCTCCGACTGACGGTCCATCCTAGACCGGAACGCTGTTCCATCCGAACTGAACCAATCCTTACCTCCCGCGACCTCTCTGACTTTGAACGGGCCACCGTGCCAGTCCACATGCCGAGGGGAATCCTTCCGACCACCGAGCAAACGAGTCTTCGTAAGGGTCTCGAATTCATACCTGCTAGGAGTCCCATCCACCTCATCAACTCCTTTGAACGGTCGGAGCTCGAGCGGAAGTTCGCGACGTGCTCCATTGTGGAACGCAAACACCATGAGCCGCACCGGCTGCGCATACTGCAGCACCAGCCGCAGGGAAACACCCTTGATAAACACCGTGTCAAATCCACGATACTGATCGTTAGGCGGGTATTGCTGGCCCCGCTGCGCAGGAATCATCTCCGTAATCGGGAGCGTCGCATACTTATTCTTCGCTCGGGGTCCACCCCGGTAGCACATCCACGGACCAACGTCGTCGTACGTCGTACTCATGTTCTCCCCCCGAACCACCTTCCTCGCACATTGCATGCTCGCGTACACACTGCGCGGCGGTCCGCGCAGCTGCTTCTCCACCAAAGCCGCCACCAGTGCCTTGATCTGCCTCCCCTGCAAGTCACCCTTGCCTCTGGGCTTCCTCTTCACGGATTGTTTCTTCCTGTAGTATGCCATGGTTGTTCTCCAATCTTGACGCCGCACCCCCCGCACCCGTTTATATAATTCTTCAACCACGTGAGTCCCTCACTGGCACCTTCCCCAAACGGGAAGGGGACTAGAAATACTTTCTATAACAGGAAGGGGGCTAGGAATACTTTCCATAACAGGAAGGGGGTGCCAATACATTACTCCTGCCGCCCGGCAGAACTGTCCCGTATCGTACTCCCGTACTTCTCGTAAACTATCTTACTGCAAACAGTAAGCCGATCCGGGAACCGCTCCCTGCGGTTGGTCGCGCTCCCGCTGCCTGCGGGTCCTTCCTGGTATCGTGCCATGCCGTAAACGGCAACATTTTACCGTCTAGTGACTAAGAAAAACACCGTCGCGGAGGCCTGTTCCGTGCGTCTGGTTTCATGGTGACGCATGTTGGTGCCGATGTCTGGTTTGTTGGGCGTTGTGAGAACTCAGGATCTGTTGTTCGAAGGAGTGGAAGGTGTACTGGATAGGCAGAACAGAATCCTAGGAGTTAGTTTTTCTTCCGGCCGCCCAAGCAGCATGAGGTTCAACTCGGCTGATAGCAAAGAGATATCGTGGTGGCTATAGGGATGTGTCTCAAATCTCTAGGTTGTGCTTTCCTAGGGACACTTGGAACTCGCGGCTTGAGCGGTTATGACCTGTGCTATCTATCATATTGCTCAGACTCAATAATCAGCTGGTCTTCCGCCTTGTTTGTGGACTCTTGCCCTATTAATTCATCCTATGTTAGGCCTTTTTCCACCTGTGAAGTGCTTCCAAATCTAGGCTCTGCCTTCTTGCCAGCCACGACTTCGTGTCGGGACTCAATTACGCCGTCCGGGAGAAGGAGGGTGAATGAGAATAATATCGTACAGAGCAGCTTCTATGTGGACATGTACCCTTTTCATCGATATGGATCACGAAGGTCTTTGTGCTCTAGAGAAAGGGTTGCTTGCGCTTCTGCGGGCGATCAATAGCGGGATGCAGGCGGTGCATTAGGGCTCAGCTCGAGGGGGTTCCAGACAAAGAGCTCGTGCCACTGTGCCACGGGTTTCAGCCAACATCCTGGTTCCTGCATGGCCAACACCCTGAGTAGGGGTGCTTCAGGTCAATCCTTATCCTGACGGGGATGGTTGATTCAGTCAAGCGAAGCCCGGCAATCCACCATCGACAGCCACTTTGGATAGAATACAAGCCCGACCCTTCATTTCACCACATTGTGGTTCCATACCAAGGAAGGACGGGATACAAGGATTCATGATCAAGTACGTCTTCTCCTTAATGCGAATACCAAATCTATCTTCTAGCCCTCACCCATTACTCACTCGCAATCCCTTGCAAGAACTTTTCGCCGATTGCACCCAACCTTTCTTCGAGGGTCAGGTGCATCTACGCTTACCTGAATAGACTCTTATCGGTCCGAGCCTAGATAAGAATTTTCCGATCGATAAGGGCCTGTCAGCGAATGAATCTAGATCGTGGAGTTGGTTTTCGCTCTACCCTCACTAACTGTCAGCTTTGTGCCGATCACCGTGATGGATCAACATATTCGATGAAGTGACTCTTTGTGACGGGCAATAGTGCCTGTGTGGCGGCAGCTAATCAGCTCAGGTCTACTTTTTGCGATCACTCTGTCCAAATCTGAATATCTTCATAATCGCCCTCGATGGCCGGGACCGGGTATATATATCACGTCCCCCAACCGGACTGTCTATCTCCATCATCCCGGAACAAGCAGGTCAACCATTCTTTCCCTTCATTTTCTTCTGTCCTTTCTCTTCTTCTTAACTTGTCGACCCGTCATTCTCTTGCCCTTGTCGACCACACGTTAGACACTCTTTCCTAAATGAAGGCCTCTTTCTTGACGGCCCTCGTCCTGGCCGCCTGCACGGTGGCGAGCCCTGTGGGCCAACCTTACGCTCGCGACGGGGAATGTACCTGCCAGCCCAATGGCGGTAGTGGCTCTGGTTCTGAGTCCCCGCAGCCTGTCCCCGAGTCCGCGTCTCTTGCTCCTTCAGCGTCCCTCTCCCCTGGTGGCTCTGCCTCAGGTGTCCCTTCTTTCCCCGGCAATCCGGCGCCTGCTTCCTCCCAGCCTGCCACTCTTCCAGGCTTCCGGCCCGCTCCCTCCGCTACTGTGCCGGTGGTATCATCTACTCCGAATGCTCAGCCTTCTGGAGAGCCTTCCGGTCTACCTGAATCCCCGGGCTCTTCTGATCCGTCTGGTCCTTCTGCTCCTGGTGGCTCCGGATCTTCCAGCCCGGCAGGCCCGGCAGGACCTGGTGGCTCCTCTGGACCTGGCCCCTCGGGTACTTCTAGCCCTTCTGGCCCCTCGAACCCCTCTGGTCCAGCCAGTCCTGAAAGTTCCCCGGGCGCACCCGGCGGTTCTCAACCATCTGGAACCGTTCCCTCCGGACCTGGCTCCTCGACTCCCGGCTCAACTCCCGGCTCAACCCCGTCGGGATCTTCGTCATGTGATATCGGTCACTGCCACGGCACAGGCCATCTGATCCAGGATCTGGGTCCTCAGGCCGATCGCCTGCTGAAGGTCGTAGGCAGCGGCACGGAGGAACTGCTCATCCAGCTGAGCGACCCTGTGGCTGACCTGCTGGCCGGACTCGGCTTGGTAGGCCTGTCCCAGCCCGTAGGAAACATCCTCAGAAGCGCCTCCAGTATCGGTGAACTGGTGTCGGATCTGGGCCAGCCGGTCGACAATCTTTGCATCGTGACGGGCAAGGGTCTTGGTTTCTTTTTGATCGCATTGGACCACCCAATTGCTGATCTTCTTCGCGGGCTTGGCCTTGACGCGCTCGCTCAACCGGTGGGAAACATCCTGAGCGAGATTGGCAGCAGCCTCAAGCGTCGGACTGATGTCGCGAAGCCGGCCGGGTTGCTCGAGGAACTGGCACCCGTGGTGGATTGCATCCTTCAAATCACCGGGGAAGACCTCAAACCACTGTTGATCCGGCTGAGCAACCCCTTGGCCCAGCTCCTCATCAACCTGGGCTTGAACGAGGCTGGGCGCAGTGTGGGCCAAGTGATCCGGTCGGCTGCGTCAGTTGGCGACCTGATTGCCGACTTGGGACCGGTGGTGGATTGCCTGCTCACTGTGGTGGGTGAGGACGGTGGCCTCTTGCTGATCCAGCTGGATCCCGATGTTGCAGCCTTGGTGTCTGGCCTGGGATTGCCGGCTGTCGGAGTGCCTGTGGGTGAAATTGTCGGGGAGCTGGGCAATGCTTTCTAAAGATAAAAGATGGGCGATCACTTATGTCACCTCCCCACCGTCACTTTTCTTGGTGTTAGTTGATCACGGAGTACTCCATTCTCTGACCGATGTACCGATATACAGACTTAGGATAATACTAATAACTAATTTCACGAGCCCAATAACTAACGTCAATCATTAGTAATCGCATGGATCTCCGGTGTCCGCGTCACTGGGAGGATAATCTCATCCCCGGGAGTAGACTGAATCGCCCCACGGGGCACAGCTACCGATATGTGGGGAAGTCATGAACCATCTGCACCAAAGCTGGGGGGAAGTCGAAACCAGTCACCGGAGAGGAAAGCAGCATAGAATTCGCCTCTGCGGGCTGGCCGGAAGTCAAAAGGCGCAGGTCGAGGGCCCCCGTTGGATGGAATGTGGGAAATCGTGGGGTGGAAAAGCATTGCGGATAAGATTTACTCCGCCTTTTCCTGTCCGATTGCCGGCTGCCATCCCATATTTAAATCCCAGTATATCCTCTTCGAAGAGTTGATCCTTTGCAACTGTGTCACTCGTCCAAGAACCATCTCCTCTCCTCTCCTCTCTTCTTTACTATTGTTCTATCTCTCCTCTCACACAATGGCTCAGTCTCCGCAGGATCTTAAGGTGGCCATTCTGGGCGCAGGTATGCCGCGGTCCCGCTTTCCCTTCAGCCCTATCTTTACGTCAAGATTGCGAAACTAACTTCAAAATCAGGTATGGGTGGCCTCACCTGCGCTCTGGCCTTGGCCCGTGAGGGCTTCAAGAACATCGACGTTTATGAGACGGCTCATGACCTGGGCTTTGTTGGAGCCGGTATCCAACTTGCCCCAAACATGGCCCGCGTCCTCGACCGGTTGGGTGTCTGGAAGCAAATTGAGGCCGAGGCTGTTAACATTGTTGAGACCAGCGTCCGGGGTATGTTTTATGCCTGCTCAGTAGATGAATGAGTGATTGATTGACCCATCCTTGCAGTTGGAGCGACGGATGCGGAACTGGCCCACGTACCGCTGGAATACATTGCGGATACTTATGGCTACCCGCACATGGTTGGTCACCGGTCCTCTCTCGCCAACGGACTCTACCAGGGCTGTCTTCGCCACCCCGACGCCATTCGCTTCCACTTTGCTACCACCGCCCAAGATGTCACCTTCGGCCCCAAGCCTTCCTTCCAGGCCGTTCCTCGGGACAGCACCCAGGAGCCCTACCGCGTCGAGGCCGACGTCCTCCTCGGCGCCGACGGCATCAAGTCCAACACCCGGGTTGCCATGCTCGACTTGCTCGGCATCCAGGCCGGCGTCAAGGACACCAACCAGGCCGCGTACCGTATCATGATCCACAAGGACCAGGTCAAGGACGACCCCGAGCTGCTGGCCCTGATCAGCGGCAACAAGGTCACCCGCTGGATCGGCGAGAAGCGCCACATCATCGCCTACCCGGTCTCCAACAACACCATCTACAACCTGTCCACCACGCAGCCGGACATCAACTTCGCCGCGGCCACCAACGCCACCTACACCACCCGCGGCGACAAGTCGGTCATGCTGCAGGTCTTCGGCGACTTCTGCCCCATGGTGCAGCGCATGCTCGGCTACGTCCCCGAGGGCGAGGTCTGCGAGTGGAAGCTGCGCGTCCACGAGCCCCTGCCCACCTGGGTGCACGAGTCCGTCGCCCTCGTCGGCGACTCCTGCCACCCGACCCTGCCGCACCTGGCCCAGGGCGCCGCGCAGGCGATCGAGGACGGCGCCGTCATCGGCAAGGTCCTGGCCCAGCTGCCCGACACCACCCCGGCCTCGATCCACAAGGCCCTCACGGTCTACGAGAAGATCCGCAAGGACCGCGCCTACGCCCTCGTCGAGCTGGCCGCCGCCTCCGGCCGCGCCCTGCACCTGGGCGACGGCGCCGCCAAGGAGGAGCGCGACAAGCAGTTCGCCGCCCTCCGCGCGGGCAAGGGCCCCGTCCCCGACAAGTGGGCCGACGCCGACGTCCAGCGCGAGATCTATGGTGTGGATGTCACCCAGGAAGCCACGGAGCGCTTCGATGAGCTGTTCGCGGCGTAAGCTTCTCCTTTCACTTTCATCCTGTTGCTTTGTGTGTGTGTCTTTGGCCCGGCTGCCAGTGTTCCATTCACCCCTTTGCATGTTTTGTATATTCTTTTTGTTCCTCTGTATATAGAGCTGATGGGGAATTCTCTTCGTGTGATAAAAAGATCAGGTCGTGAAGCCAAACTGGTCTGATGCCCGTGTTTTCTTTGGTGGAAAGCGATATTAGCATTGTCCGATACATCCAATGATGATTTATGATCCTTTTAAGTTTGGTCCTCGTCTGCTAGTTCGTGGGTCGTATGTCTTGTCGTAGAGTAGTGGGGAAACTATAGCAGGGATTTGCTATTGACCCCGGATTGCTCCCCGCAAGTGCCTGAGTACTGTATCAGTTATCGTGTCGTTGTTTAGTTAGTACCCAATGTCCTAAGGGGAGATCTGATTTGCATGGCTAGAATGCCTATTGTGGGACAACGTAATGCTTGTGAGGACCGTATGGCCAGTCTGTATCCAGCATTGAAGTGGTGTCAGATGAGGAGGTGCAGAAGAGGAAGCACCATCACCTGGGGTAGTTGTTTGTCTTCTGTTTGTTCGTCCCCCATCTGCCTCTTCTTCCCAACTTCCTCTCTCCTGTTCCACTCCACTTCGGACAACCTGACTCACTCCTCGCTCACCTTCTGTCAAACACGTTCAATCCTTATTGGGAACCAAGATCAATTTCTAGTCTGGCAAGGATCATGATATTAGCGTGCAGTGTCCCACTGTGCCTGGTTATCGAACCTCCGCAATATGGACCGCTCCGCCGGCACCTTTCGGCGGCGCACAATCAGAGCTGAGGTGTTCTGCGAAACATCACCCAATTGCCGGTAAATGCACTCTGGAACATATGAGCGCAGAGACTAAGTATGCTTGACATGAGTAGTTACTCCAACTTCGAAGGCCTTTTTTAACTTTCGAATGACAGCAGCCATGCGGCTACAGTCGCCATACTACCTACCGGTCGGGTAACACAATCATTGCACAACCACACTTCCACCCACTGCAATCAAGAAGAAGTTTTAAGTGACGAACATCCCGATTAGGCTCGTATAGTGCCATACTGAGTGGTGGATCCCGCTTTTTAAGGGTCAGACTAAGATCAATTAGGCAGGAGTCTCTCGGGTCTCTCCAGGTCTCTTTCTCCAACACCACTGCAGCACTGCTACACTGAGCGAGTCATTAGCGAGGTTTATCCGCGGCCCCCCCTGACCCAAACCATTTTTTTTTTCTGCGCGTTCATTGGATCTGGCCGGCAGTTGATAGTTCCGAAGTGGCTTCTCGCCAAGACATCTGACAACCCCTCAACAAGTACGGCATAAAATACCGACTGGTCAGGGAGCTTCATCTCTGACCCCAATCCCGATAATGATTGGCGCCGGTGGAAGTATCCGGCGGGAAGGACAGCCTAGTGTTTGGCTCCTGAAGCACTAGTCGCATGGTCTTCCGCGATAGCTTGCATTCGCTTTTGATGCACTAATTCGGCATCACGCTTTGTTGAGGGTGATGGTCTTGTAGAGGGGAATGCGAGGCAGTGGTACTTTTTACCCTTGCAGCCGGTGGGTCACAGATGTGGCTCAACCACCCCCGGCTCTGTTGGGTTGGGTTGTAGGGTCAAGTCGAGGTATAGTCCTCACCACCTGTGCTAACTGAGCTTACTTCCAGTGCTCTACCTTAAGTGGGAATATTAATCTTGTGGAGACGATCTCAGGGCAACTTGGCAGATTGAGGTACGATCTGGGGTATCTCTCAAGATTGAGCTGACACGCTTGGTCTAGATGACCTTCACGAGTCATGACTATACCGCCAAGCTTGAAGGGAAGAGTTCTCAAGGGGAAGACTATTTGTCGCCCTTACTTAGAGACGGTTATCTTAATGGCAGGACGCGAACAACAAAAAAAAAAAAAAGCAAATCCCGAGCTGAATGCGGGCAGACAAGCCGAGGACGTCATCGATGGATTTTTGCCAAGATGGTAAATGTTGGGACCCGAGCAGCTGGTTACTGTGTACGTGTGGACCGAATAGGCCAGTTTTCACCCTACTACCACCTACGGAAAATTCCTCCTTTGCTCGGCAGCTAATCAGCTATTTCAAACGAACTTTTGAGCCATTGCAGGTTTTTTTTTTTCCACTCGGGGATCCGGCATGTCTTGGCATGTGTTAATCATCCATCCAGTTTTGGCGGCGGTTCTGGATGCCAGGGTGTAATATTGCCATTGTTATCATTCAACTTTGATGCCTTTTCGAGTGTTTCTCTCTTCTTCTCCTTTTTCTCCTTCTCCTTCTTCGCCTATTGATTCCCCTCTACCGCTCCACTTCCCTTCATGGTTGTGACGCTGACATGCAGGAATCCGCTGATCACGGGGCGGCCGATGACCCCGTAAAAGGCCTTGTTCCTGCTGCCGCGCACAAGGGCAAACTGCCCATCCCCCGGCTGGTCACTTCATCGCTCAAGTCCAATCAACAGCGCACTGCCCGTGCGTGCGTGGCCTGCCGGGCCAGGAAGACCAAGTGTGACGGTCGCAAACCCGTGTGTAGGCAATGTAGTCGTCTTGAGCTCGACTGTAACTATGCGGGGTCAAAGCGTGAGCGCCAGCAGCTGGAGCTGGATTCTGTCCGCTCCCAAGTCACAGCATATGAGTCTTTGCTGCGGGAGATCATCTCCGAAACCGCCCGCAAAGACATCAAACCAATCGAGGAAATCATTAGTGTGAGTGGCCTCCCGCACTAGTCCAGAAACAGATTGCTTAGAGTCGCAGAAACACCTTCAAGGGAACACAGAAGCATTCTCCACGCTGATGACCGCCCGCTCGTTATCAGATCAACATCTGCCACAGCCACTTCCGGGTATATCACTGGCCCGTATGCACCTGACCCTGGCCTCTAACCGTGCCAGCGCGACTCAACCTCTGCAGGATTGTCCCCCGATACAAACCACCAATATCGGTCACTGGACTGACCTTGTAGACAACACCACTGCCAGCCATCTTTTGTCTCTGTACTTCACCTGGGACAACCCGACGTGGCACCTCATCGACCAGGAGCTGTTCCTGCAGGACCTGGAGCGCGGTCAGACGAGGTTCTGCTCGCCTCTTCTGGTCCACGCGCTTCTACTCTTCGGCTGTGTAATCGCAATTCCAGTCCTGTTATGTTTCGCATGGGTGACACCAACTAACCTGGATGATAGAGTTTCTCTTACCATCTGGCGCGACTCACAGATCGACGGGAGGAGAAGGCATTGGGCCAGAAGCTATATTCGGCCCTGCAACGTCTGTGGAACATGGAGAAAGAAATCAAATGTCTCCCCACAGCGCAATCAAGCATCATGATTGGCTTGCTGTGTTGCACGTTTGGGCTGGACCGAATGGGCACACGATACATTATGCATGGCGCTGCTTTGTGTTTAGATTTAAGGCTCCATGAGGAGCGTCCTTCTTTTCTTGAAGCCAATGTCGACGAGGATGTCGAGTCGCTCCGCAGGTGTCATAGACTAGTCGCATGGGCCGTGTTTGATGTTCAAGCGTACGTTCCCCTCCAAATGACCCACCATGCATGCTGACGCAGTACAGGCTGGCGGCGCAAGTGTATCGGAAAGAAGCGGCCTGGAAGCAACCACCCTCCGTCAGATTCTCAGCAACCGAAGCAGCAGCGCTAGACGATGGCGACGAATGGAGTCCATACCCGTTTCTCACTCCTATTTTCAGGCCGTTTGTGCATACGGCCGCGAGAGCTCGAGGTGGTCTAGTGATGATTGTCAATGATATTGCGGCTTTTGCGTTGAAGTTTCCAGACTCACCTCTGGATCAACATGACTGGGAGTACGGCTTCCAGTTTTACCGGGAGCTTCTAAATTGGCGGGCCAGTTTACCTTCCACCATCACCCCGGATGAGAATACCTCACCACACATTCTCATACTACAGTAAGTCTGGGTGGTCTTGCGCTTCATCTATGCGTTTACTTACCAAGTGGTGACAGCATGTACTATCAGGCGACAGTGGTCTCCTTATGCGAGATCTTTAATCTCTATTCTAATGCGACGAATAATCCCTTCGAGACAGAGTTTGACACCCAGGCTGCCAAATTACAAGCTATGGGTGTCATCGGATCTCTCATCTTGCTGTTCCAGACCTGCCATGGATTCAAATCATTGCCGATCGTCATGCTCCACTACTTCTGTGCGGCGGGCGTACATTCCGTCTCCCAACTGCGCCCTCAAGATCCGAAGTGGAGTCTCGTCCTGGAAAGCTGCGTGGTCGGTCTCTGGCACATGAGTCTCGGATGGGGTCGACTGTGCACGGCCTTCCTCCGAACCATTGAATTAGTCCTCAAGGCTACCAAACCCGACCCCTTCCTCATCTCACCCAAGGTCCGAGCTGTCATGCAACAGCTGAACACGAATCGCTGGACGGCGACGGACGTGAAATCCTTGGCGGCGGACTATGTTGTGTATCATGTTCCCAAGTCCGAAGAACAGGGAGCCGCCGCGGGTCCTCAGCACCGGGCTCACGGGCTGCAGAGCTTGATAGATGCTATGGATGAACACTCTCTCAATGAGAAGTAATGGATTGCTTGCACATGCTATCTCATTATCCTGATCAGATATAGATGGAGATCACCTCCCTGTGGCTAGAGCTCTTCATTCGTGGTTAGTACGGCTCATTCCACCAGCGAGACATCTCGACTGAAGTACGGGGCTCCATTATGGCAACTCATCCCTGTTATCCACTAATTCCGCCACAGTTGGAAACACGGGGGCAGATGGCTACAGACATACATCTCTCTATGCTGCACAGCGTGGGCGGCCGCAACACATGCAGCGTTTGAAATCACGAGCATGCTTGGTTTGGTCTGTCGCACGCGTGGTTCCCTGTCGGCGCGGAATAAGCCCCAGAGAGTCTAAGAATATGATTATTTAGCGGTAGCGAGCCTCTGAATTTGATTTCATCTATCCACTCAGGCCCGCGGTTTAGAGCACATGCGTATTCCCTTGGTAGAAAAGTAACCTGTGGCACGCAACATGCAGGATCTGCTACTGTAGATGAGGGTTATCACTGATGATGTCCGACTGTATTTTTCTGGCTCAGGGGGGCCAGTATGCACCTTTATAGTTGGTATTACTGTGAAGTCCAATACCTCGAACATAGCTTTCTGGCCCAGTGCACATGTTTATATCCCGGGGAAAGGCCAATTCAAGTCTAGCACTCAAAACAAACCTCCATCCAACCATGCAATCCACCTTCGGACAAGTCGCTACACCTAAGCGTGAGCAGGCTTGACCTAGTGTATAGTGTAACATATATGATCCAGATAACAGCGCATGAATCCAAGTAATAGTCACTAATATGTTCTAGTTCAAGCTCAAGCCAGCCCCAGTTACAGCTAGGCACCTAGGTAAATACCTATTCCCGAACTCCGTAACCTTTGTTCCCGGTTCGGAGCACTTCCCCACTAAATACAGTATAAAATAGCCACAAACTCCCATACAGACAAATCAAGCCACAGCCAAGGTATCATAAACATCCCATCCATCCGAATCCCATCCCAATCCCATCCCGTCCAAGATTATCACCCCTCACACATCCACTCTAGATCCCCTCAACACATCCCGATAAACAGACAGCACATCATCCCCCTATAACCTAACAGGAAAATCCCGGGGAGCATCACTCCCACTGCCCACCCCCACCCCCCAATGCCCCCAACCGATCCGCCGCCCGCTGATCCAACAGCGCCGCCGTCAATTTCTTCGACCCGCCGCTGCCCCGTTGGGCGTGTTGCATCCGCAGCTCCTTCGCGCGTTCCCGTTCCCGGGCGGCCGTGTACGAATTCACGGAGGCGGTGGCGCCACCGCCCGGTTTCTTGATGCCCATTCCGGGTGGATTCCCTCCGTGCCCGGAGTTGACGGATGAGGTTGCGCTGCTTCGTCGGCTGCCTGGTCCTGAGGACGATGATGCCGAGGAGGAGGTGGAGGTGGAGGCGGTGGTGCTGCGCCGGAGCAAGGGTGGGGGCCGGTTGAAGCCGAAGTTGTCCCTGTCGGTGGGGGTATCGGTTGCGAAAGCGAATTTGTTTCCAGTAGTGGTGGCGGAGTTGCTGGATGCTTGGCGGAGGAGGGCGAGGCGGTCGACGACGGGGCCGCGGGTGCGGCGCGGGTGGTGGGTGAGGAGGTTTCTTGGGGGTGGCGCGGGGCCGGCGACGGCGGCGAGTTCGTCGTCTGAGTTGTCGGAGTTGTCGGAGGCGAAGTCGGCGGGGTCCAGGGCCATCTCTTGTGGCTGGTCGTGGTCTGGGTCTGGGTGTTCGGGGTCGTGCTCGAGGGAGGCGTCCTCGTGGAAGGAATCGTACTCGTGCGTCTCGGTCAGGAAGCTCAGGGTCTCGCGGATCTCGGCCAGGGTCGCGGGTTTCTTGGACATGGCGGAGGCGGGCTTGCGGCGGAGGTGGGGCGGAGGCCGGTTGTAGGTCGATTCCGTGCTGGGGTTGAGGGGGCGTTTTCTTTTGTTGTTGTTGTTGTCGGGGTTGGTGGTGTCGGGTTCGGATTCTGCAGGTTCGGGTTGAGGGAGGTTGTTGTCTTGTTGACTCCCCTCCTCGTCCTCACCCTCCTCCACGAACTCCAGCCCCATGTCCTCGTCGTCGTCGTCGTCGTCGCGGTCCTCGACCGCGCGGAAGAAGGCCGCTTTCTTCGGGTTCTCCGCGATCTCGCCCATCTTCTCGTCGGCCAGGAGAGCCTTGCGCATCCGCGCGAACTCGCGCTGCTTCTCGCGGCGCCGCGCCAGGAGTTCGTCGTCCGAGTCGTCTAGGTCGAACTCGTCGTCAGCGTTGGCACCGCGGCGCCGGCGGAGGGCCCCCGTGGTGATGTCCTTCAGGAGCTTGGCGACTTGCTTCTCGTCGGTGGTGCGTTGGTGGTGTCTAGTGTGTGAGTGGTTAGCTTGACCAGAAACAGAGGGCACGGCAGACTCACGCGTTCAAGGCGGCAAGTTGCTTCTCGTCAACCGTCTCACCGCTATGGTCGTTGATCATCGCTCGGTCGTAGGCGTTCTCCTCGTCATCGTCGTCCTCGTCGCTTCCACCACCCAGTCCGGCGTATTCGTCGTCCGACTCTTCGGCGGCTTCTTCCACCACGTCCCTGGCCTTGCTCTTGCTCTTGTCGAATAAGACGGCGGGCTTCTTGTTCTTCTTCGACGCCCTCATGATGTTGAAGGCATTGGCGTTGATTTCGAAGTCTCCGTTGTCTTCGTCTTGTTCTTCGATCATGGAAAGGTCGGCGGCGCGGCCGCCGCGCTTCAAGTGGCGCATGCTTTGTGTGGGGACCGGGGACTGGTTCTGGTCCACGATCACGGTGTCGATGGTCGATGGTGGAGTACCGAGGAAGCGCTTCGACGGGTCAAACGGCGAGAGAACGAACCCTTCATCCTGCGTCGGGTCGGGGATCTGTGAAAAGTTCGAGACGGAGCGTGGGGCCGGGGATTCCGACACCCGCGCCGTAGACGGGGCGTAGTGAGCGAGTATATCATGAGACTCGGCCTGGGGCACCTGGCTGTCCTTGATGACCACATTGGCGTCGGACTCGTGGAGCCCAAGTTCGGGCAAAGTGCTCGGCAGTGTGGGAACAGGCGTCTGTTGGCTGCGCTGGGGGCTTCCGGCTATGGTACCCGCAAAGGCTTGCGTCAAGCTTAGCAGGTCGTTGGAGCTCTGCGCAGGGAGGTGCGGCCGGTTGACAGACCGGGTTCCGGGAGTGGTGGCACCGATGATGGGCTTGGCTGGGGTTTTCGGCTCTTGCACTTCGTCCTCATCCTCGTCGTCGCTGATTACCCGAGTCTGTCGCTTGCGTCTCTGGGTGGGGATATTTATTTCTTCGGACGACATGACTTCTGACTTGTCGTCGTCCGATTCATCGCCCTCGTCGGCTTCAGAGTCGACCAATCCATTACCGCCTACTGGTGCGTCTGCCATTTCGTCGTCTTCGTCGTCTTCGCCATTCTCCCCGTCCTCTGACCCTGAATATTCGAAGTCCTCGTCCTCGTCATCGTCGTCACCGTCGCGCTTGGCAGCTTTGCGCTCTTGCTTGGCGATAGCGTCGGCTTCCAGACGTGCCTTCTCGACTAAGTTCTCTAGTTCGTCCTCCATGGCAGCGCGCTCTTCCGCAGTCTCGATGTGAATACCCTTGGCTCTGAGCTCTTCGATCCTCTCCTGTCGCTCCCTGGCAGCCTGTTGTCTTGCCTTCAGGAGCAATGTGGCAGAGAGTTGAGCCCCGTTCATGCCCTTGGACTTGCGGTTGGGCGAGGTCAAATGCGCCAGCGCTTTCAACTTGATCATTGAAGCCGACTCCTGTAGTTTCTTGGCGGGGAGGTTTTCGAACGCCGCAATCCGGCGGCATTTGGCCGGCGATGTGACAATCTCCAGGTCACTGTCCGAGTCGTCTTGCTGATGGCGGGCCACTTCTTCTCGTGACAGCCTGACGCGAACCGCCGGTAGGTTCAGCGCTTTCTTCTCCTTCTTAAGCGGTGGTGCAGCTGCCGACTCCACCTCCATTCGAGCCACAACCGGCTCCTCAAGCTGCGTCGGTGGGTTGGCGAGAATCTCCTCGAGCGTAGAGAATTCGGGCTCAGCTGTATTTTCTTTTGGGGTGTCCTCCGCAGCAGACACCTTGTCCGCGGGACCCAGGACCGGCGACGTCCGGGGCGTCTCCTTGTCCTTCTGTGCCTCGACATCCGACGAATTTTGCGAGCCCGCCGCGCTGGACGAGGTTTCGCCAGGCGGGGGGACAGCCGGCTGTCCGAAGTTGAACCGCGCGAAGAAGCTCTCCTTCGTGATCTTCTTCTTCGTCTGTGCCTGATGCGCCAGCTGCATGTTGCGACTCATCCGCTGCGTCTCGCGGTTCATCTCCTCCAGTGCCTTTTTACTGGCCTTCCGTGCTGCTGGCCGCGTCTGCTCCTGCTGTTTTCTGGCGTTGGATTTGGCTGCGGCGCCCGATGATGCACCGTCGCCGTCGCCCTCGCTTGCAGACAAGGCCATCTCCGAATCGGACTGTCCCTGCTGCCTCGCAGCCCGCGCAGCAGCCCGTCTCTCCGCCTCAGCCTGCTCCTTCTCCTCGCGCTCCTTTCGCTTCTGCGCCACGAGGGCCAAGAACCGGGCGTTTTTCTTGGGTAGCTTTGCGTCGTCCTCGTCGTCTGTCCCGTTGGCATCGTTGTCCTCGTCATGATCGCGTCCTTTGACAGGCGACGACACGAAAAGCGGAGAGTACGCGCGGGTCCGCGGCTCCTCATCATCATCCCCATCCACTGCAGGCTCAGAAAGCACGTTGGTGACACCTCTCCGTCTCGGACCAGCCGTCGGGAGATCGTCGTCGTCGTCCTCCTCATCCTCCTCCTCACCCGCCTCCTCCTCCTCCTCATCATCCTTCAGACCGTGTCCCTTCGTCTCCTCATCCCGCAACCTCCTCGCAACGCGCTCAAACGCCGTCGTCGCCCCGGAAGGACTCGTGCCCTGTAACCGCGCCGCCATCCGCCCTTTAGGCCTTACAATCTCCTCATCATCCTCGTCATCCTCATCCTCATCCATCGGTGCCGAATCTGCCGCAACAAACGAAGAAATCGTACTCTTTTTCAACGCATTACTAAGCTTGGTCGTGGAGCGATCACCACCAGCCCCAGCCCCCTTATCCGTGGAATTAATATTGTCGTCATCATCGGAATCGCTATCAAACGCCGCAAGCATGGCCTTGATCTTACGGCCCGGAGTGAGAAGCATTTCGGTGTCGCTGCCGGGGCCGGGGCCGGGGGACGCGGCGCGCGTCGAGCGCGGTGTGGAGGGTGTGGAGGAGGACATTATCGTGGCTTTTGCTTTGGTTGGGTAGGGGGTAACGGTATCATAGACGTTTGTGGTGAGACAAAAGGGTGGAGGTGAGCATTTCTAAATCAATTCCAAAAGGGAAAAGGTAAGGTAGGGAAAACGTGGGCGATGTAGTTGAATAGAAGGGTGTAGCATAAGTGGTTTGGTTAAGGCAATCAAGGGCGCCGCGGAGGTGGAATCTGCGGGCGGACGGGAAGACGCGCCGCGCGCGCGTGTTGGCGTCGGGGGCTGTTATCGCACGTGACCCTCGTGGGCTTATCGCAACTGAAGTCTATACTAGTACATGTAGGTAGAGTATCTACGCATGACTGATCTTTAGTACAGGGACGTCAGGGTCCGATCGTTGCATGTGCGGGTTGTTTATTTGCATTGTATGGAGGTTGAGGTTTAAAAATACAGCGCGCGCCGTGGGTGGATTTCTTTCTCATTTGGAACGCCAATGAACACCAATTCCCTAGCAAGCACGAAAAGACGAAGGAAGCAAGAGAGAGAGAGAGAGAGAGAGAGAGAGAGAGAGAGAGAGAGGAAAGGTAAAAAGGAAAGAGAAAGTGTACAATAACTAGAAAGAAGAACAACCGACGCTGTAGCAAATGCTTTCGATTTCGAAAATCCCAAGTTCATGGCCCTATTTTTGTCCCTTCAATGTACGATGGCGAGTGTCGATGGCACGGCTTGCACAGACTCGATGGTCGGGTGCAAAGTTTCGGTCTGATGGCAACCTTCAGTGCTGGCCGTGGTGCGAGGATTGTGTTTCGACGGAATCGCACCGCTAGATTTCGATATCCAATTCTATATCCAAAGCGGCGATGTTCTCGTCGTCCATGTTGCGATGGCGGATGGCGCCGCTCTTGACGGCTTTGCGCTGGCTGGCGCCGAGCGGGGTGCCCGCGGTGGGCGTGCTGGCCTTGGACGGCGTCCCGGAGGCCGAGGTATCCTGGCTGCCGCCCTCGCCGGGCTTGTTGGGCGACGGGATGGTGTTGCCATTCACATCGTAGTGCGTGCGGGCCTGGGTGCGCACCCGCATGAAGGGGTTGAGCGTGGCCTCGCCACGGGCCACCGCCGCGGCGGCCTTGCGGCTGGCCTTGCGCTCCTCGAGCTGGGCGCGGCGCACATTTTCGTAGTTGAGCTTCTGGTTGCGCAGGTTCAGCTCGGCCAGGCGCTCGTGCTCGGAGGGCTTGTCGGTGCGGGGCCGCGACAGGCTGGTGCCGTGCGCGACCTTGGGCGCGGCCATGCTGGTCAGTTCGCTCTGCAGCCGCTCCGCCTCGGCCTCGTCGCCGGCCGCTATCGCCAGTTTCAGCTGCTTCTCCACGTCCACGCGCTTGAAGAATTGCGACTTGGTGTCTAGCGACCCCTGCTTGCGCAGCTTCTCGTTGAGCTCTTCGTTGGTGAACTTGTGGTTCAGTAGCCGGTTGATGTCCGCCACTTTGCTGGCCACCTGGGACTTCGTGGCCATCTTGCAGTCTTCAATGGCCATGGTCTGACGGTAGCGGTTGAACTCGGCCTTGGAAGCGTTAGTTTTGGGGGGCGGGAACTCGGAAGACGACGGATACAAACCTCTGTGAATGGGGAGTCCGAGCACGCGATGAAAGGGAAGCTTTTCTCGGCCTTTCCGTGGGCCAGCACGGCGTACTGATTTGTGGCAAATGAGCGGCCATTTGGTCCCTCCATGGCGTACATGGGGCCTTCCTCGACAATTCCTGTCATCGTTAGCCCCGAATTCCGAGACGAAACCAGGGAAAGATCCCTTACTCTTAATCAAACACAGACGGTACTGGTTCAGACCCGTATCGCGGTTGGGCCCGACGTTCACACGAGCGTAGCATCCGGCGATCGCCTCCTCGAAGCCAGGGTAAAAGCAGACCTGCGCGAAATTACTGCGACCAACGCGCGTGCGCTGGACGTCTCGCAGTTCGGCCGGCGGGTCGTCCTTGGGAGGAGACGGGGAGCGTTCCCGATCGTCCCATTCGACTTCACTCTCGCCTTCGGCGTCTTCATCCGACAGCCTATCATCCCGGGAGCGGGCCTTCTGATCCTTCGCGGTGGGGTCCCGACGGCGGAGCTCGTCGCGTTTGCCCTTCTGCTCGCGCTGCCGTTTGTAGGCCTCGATCGCCTCCGACGTCTCCCCGACCTTGCGACCGCCCAACGTCGTCTTCTGCCGCGAGCTCTTGCGGTTGCCCTCGTCCAGGTTCGCGGCGCTCGCCTTCCGCTTATTCTTCTTGGCCTTGCGGGCCTCCTCCCGCTCCCGCGAGGCCAGCAGACGCCGGAGGGCGAGATCCTGGTTGTGACGGTCCACCTCCTGCGCGCGTTCCGACAGGATCTGCTCGCGCTGAATCTCGGGCATCGCCATGATCTCCTCCTTGTCCTTGGCGGAGTAATACAGCTTCTCGTGGGGAAACATGGGGCCGTCATCTTCGCCTATGTCGGCGGAGCCTTCCGAGTCGGACGCGGAATCGGATTCGGACATGCTGGCAGAGTCGAGCGATTCGGCTGCAGAACTAATCCGGAACACACCCCGTGTTAGCCAGCGGGGCCCTTACTGTCTTCCGGAAGTGAACATCCGGGGGCAGCTGGGGTGACACGACACTTACAGTTCACCGTCCTCTTCATCATGATGGCGGGACTTTCGACTACGTCGCGCGGGTTTGGCGATGCCTTTGCGACCCATAGTGGATGATGCGGCGGGTGATTGTGGTGGTGGTGGTGGTGAAGAAGAAGAGCGATCCGGAGAGGCAGCCTTTTCTCTGGTGGGCGGGGAAGACTCCTCATCCGAGGAGTCACCCGCCAGGGCGAGAAGCTCCGCATCGAGATCATCCGCCATGGTGACTTGAGAGTAGGGTGAGCTGTGGCCTAAAGCGTGCGGAACCGGGTTGTGCGAGCCCTAGCAAAGGTGGCGCTGGCTCTCAGATGCAAAACCAAAAGAGCCCAATGAAGTCCGTAGTCGTCGACCAGCGCACTCGAGGTAGTATATATCGTCTAGACGGGCTGTCGTTGAGCAGAAATGAAGTCCTTGAGGTGGCCACAGGGGACGTGGAATTGGGGCGAAACCGGCGCTATATAGGACCGAGGGTGCGCTGGGAGAGAACGCTGACAAAGACCAATCTGAGGTTGCCTATGTATATATTGCTAATAGCGTGGAGACAATAAGTGATGATTTTGAGGGTGGGCGCGTGCAGGATGGGACACTGTCGCAGGGGGGTCGGGTTTAAAACATTCGGTATCGGGAAGTGAAAAGAAGCGCCCGGCGAAGTTCACGATCCTCACTTATTCATGACGTTCCGCTCCAGGGTTGGCGTGCCAAGATGGTAAGCGCGCGGCTGCGGCTTTGCTGGACTTAACTTGAATGGGACGCGGGTTGAGCCCCCTCGGGAAGCATGGCAGGCATAAGGCACCTTATCTACGATAGAGGTAAGTCAAACATTCCCTAAGTCTCTTACAAAAAGTCTAGACAGTGCATCAACCTCTGTCGTAATAGTCCTCTTTGACACTCCTTCCAGCGATCCCCGAGGGTTGCACAATGCTGGCCAGAACTTCTTTGGCCGCAACTTTCCGACCGACGGCGGCGGCGACCACCCCCGTCGTGCTCGACTTCCTCGCACCATCCACGCTGCAACAGAGCCGTCGCCTGTACAACTCCACCGCCACCAATCATTTCCCTTCCACAAGCCCGCCAGCCCCGAAGCATGATGCCCAGAAACCGAGATACGCCCTCACCGCGAAGCAACGCGAATTCCTCGACAGCGCCCTGCGGGTCAACCAAGCCGGCGAGCTGGCGGCGACGCTGATCTACACGGCGCAGACGCCACAGGTCGTGCGCTCGCACCCGCACCTCCGGCCGCTGATGAAGCACATGTACGACCAAGAGGTTGGACACTTCGACACATTCAACCAGCTCATCGCCAAGCACCGGGTCCGGCCGACGGCGATGTACCCGGTCTGGTACGCGGCGGCGACCTTTTTAGGCTGGTCCACGGGCGTCATGGGCCGGGAGGCCGCCATGGCCTGCACGGAAGCCGTCGAGACGGAGATCGGATCGCACTACAACGACCAGGTGCGGGAGATCCTGTCGTGGAAGGCCGAGGCGGAGCGCCGCGGCGAAGAGCTGGACCCGGAGCTCGAGGAGATGCTGACGAACTTCCGGCGCATCCGCGACGAGGAGCTCGAGCATTTGGATCACGCGGTTGAGAATGATGCCAAGGAGGCGAAGCCGTACGATCCCCTAGTCAACTTCATCCGTTATGGATGCAAGGCTGCTATCAAGATTAGCGAGAAGGTCTAGATGGAGCCTTGCAAAAACGTTTCTGGAGCGACATGGTGTGTTCCCGGCAGCTGGGAGAGTCTGGCGTTTACGGCATTTTGTGTACGATGTACGATACGGTTCACGGTTGCCCACTATATTATATTTCATGGATCCATATGTAGTCTAGTCTATAAGATGCAGACGGCTGATCTATTTTCGCTGCAAAGCAAGTCGCTCAGGTGGTGGTGGTGGTGATCTATCAAATCTCAACTCGCAACTGCTCACACTGAGCATGCGATCCGTATCTCATGGCACCGGAGCTGTCATAATCCCGACAACCCAATCTTCACTCCTCTTCCACCCCCTGCTTCTTCTCCAGGTACTCGACGAAATTCCTCGAGAACCGCGTGACCTGCTCATAAACCTCCTTGAACCCATTGACCCCCCCATAATAAGGGTCCTGCACCACCTCGCCCCCGCCCACCCGCTCATGCAGGGCGCCGCCAACCCCGAAATCCCCGAACAGGCGCACTTCAGCCACCTTGGCGACGCCGCTGGATTTCTTGGTGGCCGACGCCAGCACGGCCTCGCGCGTCTCCTGCAGGTCGCGCAGGTTGTACTTGTCCATCGCCAGGAGGTAGTCGAAGGTCAGGAAGTCCTCCTTGGTGACCTTGCGTGCCGCGTGCACGTAGCGGGTGATGCCGTGGGCGCGCAGCGTGGTCATCGTGCGGTGATCGGGCGACTCGCCGGCGTGGTAGGCGCCAGTGCCGGCCGAGTCGATCTGGTTGATGAGCGGGTGCGCGGCGGCGACGTGCCGGAAGACGCCTTCGGCCATGGGGGAGCGGCCTGCGGGGTTGTTTGTTAGATGATGGCGTTTATGGAATTGGGGCGTGATGAGTGCGGGGAGATGGGGATGAGGAGGAGGATTGTTGGGCCTTACAGATATTGCCGAGGCAGACGAATAGGACGTTGACCTGCTGTCCTGCGGGTGTGGTGTTCGTGACAGACATGGTGTGCTATAGTCAACTACTGTATAGTTTGAGACTGGCTCAGAAAACAAGGAAGGTGAGGATGGTTGAAGGAGTGAACGCTTTTGTTCCTATAGTGGCTGACGGCGGGCGGGGGGAAATGCGGGCGGCGACGCAGAATCTTATCGATAGCGAACTGATGCCTGAGGCGCAAGGCAGCTCCCGCGTCATATTGAGGGCTGTACCTGACTCTTGCCACATGCTTGTTCATGTGCTGGGTACCTTTCCAGTTTCGGATCTACCTTTCAATTTGAGGCGGTTGAACCAGACATATGTATGATTATCTGCGATGTGCGGCAGTGAGGGATTTGACGTGCGTTGACAGTCCCGCCTGCTATCAGGGGTATCAGTGGTTGAAATTCGGATGTACATCTGGGCGTTGTTGGTCGACCTGATACAGGATCCGGGAACTACTCGCAGCATTCATGGTGAACTACTAGGTAGACCCTCGTTGGTCCCACTCAGGAAATCCACTGGACTACAAAACAAACCATTGCCGCACAACAATTAAGATACTGGAATCTGGGCTTCTTGCCCCGAGACCTCTTTCAGCAACATGGATCCTCTTATACTGATCCAGAGAGGATACGAAATCCGATCCAGGATGGTTTACGAATACGAACAAGATAAAGTGAGACACCAGGAGGAACTATGACGTCGCTAGTTGGAGTTCAGAAGCTAACGCTAATCCCCAGGCAACGACTTTCCTGAGCAACCGATAGGGCTTGGGATCCCCTCAGCCGATAAGAGGATAATTATAGCCAGCCTGTCAGCCTGCCTTGCGGATATAAAAAGCCAGCCAGTGCCACACTGCCCTGTGGCTGTGAAGACCAAGGCTGTCCTACGGTTGGCCCAGTGACCACCCGTGACCACCCGTGACCACTAGTGGAGAACGGGACATCCTTGGCTCAAGGTGCGCTTCCTGCAGTTGATCAACTCTATCCATGGTTCGCCTGTCGAATTGGCATTGGTATCAGGGACGCATTTTTGTGTATCACATTCGATGATCAAAAATGGGACAGCCTGGGACAAGTGAGACTCTGGGGAAGAAACATGTTGCCCGGAAGATGCTGCAGAGTAGTCATATCAAGACATCGATCCCACATCTCGTCATATGCATCGTCCTCCGTCGCCCAAGTGGAGCCTGCACTATGTTTGTTATGATGATGATGATGATGATGATCGAGCCGTCAAGCGTAATCTCATTAATCAATCACCCGCCTGAGGCTAGTTATCTGGACTGATCGTCCCCGCCGTTCCTTGGTCAACGGGCTTGATCTTTTCCCCTCTCCCAGCGTAATAGAATAACAATTGTGGTTTGTTTGATTGTACAGTACTGTATGTACCCTTCGTGAATGGGCGTAGAAACGACGACAATTCCGGGTAACCCCAACCAGTGACCGTGGCACTGCTAGTTACCTTAACCTGCTACCTAGTTTCCCCTCCCCCTCCCAATCCCCGGTACGAGAAAAAAATAAGCCACCCCCAATCCACTCAATATCAACCATTTCGTTCCAAAGTATCTTCCGTGTTCCCTCTCTCTCTCTGTCTTTCACATTTCTTGGCCAGCGTGACCTCTGCTTCTTTGTTCCTCTCCTCAATCATCTTCCTCGGACTTAATCTCGCCTATCGCATCTGAAACTCCCGTCGCGACCCCGGATCCCTCCATCTCTTCATCACAACAGCCGTCCGCCCGCTTGCTCACTCCCACATTCCATCAGCCCGCTCGGCGCAATTTGCACCCCAGCTTCCCTGGCTAGGAATTCACAAGGGGCATTGCCATCGAAACGATTAATTTCCCGAGTCACTATCGGCCAACATGTCATATAATCGCCTGGGTAAGTTCCGATCTGTCGGTGAAGCCGTGTTGCGCGGCAGTGGGTTTGTCGCGCATTTGTCCCCTTCTCCGCAACCAATTCCCCCAACGTGAAACTCTAGTCGGAGAGGTCGATCAATCAAGCTGCTGTTGCTGGTGCTGCACAAATAGGCAGTCTACTCGTACTCGCTCGTATCCTGGTGCGACAAGGCGACAGACGAGCCACCTCTGCTGGAATTTGTTTGCCGTCGCACTTGCTTTCTTCACATTTCCCTCGCGCATTGCACTCCGGGCGTTTATATCGTACTGACCATTGACTACAGGAGACCCTTACGGGGAGGAGGAAACTCATACTCCCATGATGCATCCACATCAATTAGACGCCCGGTCTCCGTCGCCGGGTCGGCCATTGAATACCTATCAGTTGACCGACAACCCGTATCCACAAGAGCATCTGGAGATGCCCTCCAGCGACCGACTAGCCGAGCAACCGACAGTAAGAAATGCCATTCCACCGTTAAAACCGGAACGAAGAGCTAATCAACGGCATCGCGGATGTAGTACTCCGTCGAGCGACTTCCCAACTCTTATGGTCATAACGAGGCCTACGAGCACCACCAACCGCAGGCTTACCCCGGCTATGAGTATTCCATCGATCCCGAAGCACATCACGATGCGTACTACACTCAGCCCTATCACCCAGCGGTGACACCCGCGCACGACGATGATTACGATCTCGGACAATACCCGGAGCATCAACCGCAGCATCAGCATACGTACAGCGACGACCATGTACCCATCCTGCAGCCGGACAACCCGTTCGGGCCGGACCCGTACAGTGACGAATACGAAGAAGACCCTACGCTGGCCCCGACCCATTCGCCCAGCCCGGTGCCCGTGCGCCGATGGAAGACCGTGAAGGAAGTCCAGTTGTTCAACGGCAACCTCGTGCTGGACTGTCCGATTGCGCCCAAGCTGCTCAGCCAAGTGCCGCACGCCGAGCCCCCGGGTCGCGACGAATTCACCCACATGCGCTATTCCGCCGCCACGTGCGACCCAGCCGACTTCTTCGAGGAGCGCTTCACACTGCGTCAGAAGCTGTTTGCCAAGCCCCGACACACGGAGCTCTTCATCGCCGTCACCATGTACAACGAGGATGACTTCCTGTTTGCGCGGACGATGATCGGTGTGTTCAAGAACATCGAGTACATGTGCTCGAGGACGAGCAGCAAGACCTGGGGTAAGGATGCCTGGAAGAAGATCGTGGTCTGCGTGATTAGCGACGGTCGTGCGAAGATCAACCCCCGGACGCGGGCTGTGCTGGCCGGTTTGGGTTGCTACCAAGACGGCATCGCCAAGCAGCAGGTCAACGGCAAAGATGTGACGGCGCACATCTATGAGTACACGACCCAGGTGGGGTTGGAGTTGAAGGGCACGCAAGTGCACCTCAAGGGCCGCACCGGGGTCCCCGTGCAGATGATCTTCTGTCTTAAGGAAAAGAACCAGAAGAAGATCAACTCGCATCGGTGGTTCTTCCAGGCCTTCGGGCGCGTGCTGGACCCCAACATCTGCGTCTTGCTCGACGCCGGTACCCGTCCCGGCAAGGATTCGATCTACCATCTCTGGAAGGCGTTCGACGTCAACCCCATGTGCGGCGGCGCCTGCGGTGAGATCAAGGTCATGTTGGACAAGGGCAAGAAGCTGCTCAACCCGCTGGTCGCGGGACAGAACTTCGAATACAAGCTCAGTAACATCCTGGACAAGCCGCTGGAGTCGGCGTTTGGGTTCATCAGTGTCCTGCCCGGTGCGTTCTCGGCCTACCGGTACGTGGCGCTGCAGAACGACAAGAACGGACAGGGTCCGTTGGAGCGCTACTTTGCCGGTGAGAAGATGCACGGTGCCAACGCCGGCATCTTCACGGCCAACATGTACCTGGCCGAGGACCGTATCCTGTGTTTCGAGTTGGTGTCCAAGCGCAACTGCCGCTGGCTCCTGCAGTATGTCAAGTCGTCCACGGGCGAGACGGATGTGCCCGATCGCATGGCGGAATTCATCCTGCAGCGGCGCCGTTGGCTGAACGGTAGTTTCTTCGCGGCGGTCTACGCTATTGCCCACTTCTACCAGCTCTGGCGGAGCGACCATAGCTTCATGCGCAAGTTCATGCTCTTGATCGAATTCATCTATCAGACGATCAACATGCTTTTCGCATGGTTTGGCATTGTAAGTATTCAGCCAAATCCAGCTTTTTCTTAACGCCGATTACTAACGTGGTTTCAGGGCAATTTCTTCTTGGTCTTCAAGATTCTGACCTCGTACCTGGGCGACTCGTCGCTTTTAGGCACGGTGGGAAAAATTCTTGGCGTGGTGTTCGAGTGGCTCTACCTGGCGACATTGGTGACCTGCTTCGTCCTCGCGTTGGGTAACAGGCCCGGTGGGTCCAACAAATTCTACATGACCATGGTGTACTTCTGGATTTGCATCATGATCTATCTGGCCTTTGCAGCGATCTTCGTGACCGTGAAATCCATCGAGGAGCAGGTCAAGGACAACAATTTCACCTTCTCCGACCTGTTCACCAACTACCAGTTCTTCTCGATCATCGTCTCTCTCGGATCCACCTATGTGATGTGGTTCCTGGCCTCCTTCATCTTCCTCGACCCCTGGCACATGTTCACTAGCGTGAGTATTCGTCTTTGATAATGATATCGCACTCTCTAATCGCACCCACTGACCGAAAACAGTTCATCCAATACATCCTCCTCACGCCCACCTACATCAACGTCCTGAACATCTACGCCTTCTGCAACACCCACGATATCACCTGGGGCACCAAGGGCGACGACAAGGCCGAGAAGCTGCCGTCCGCCAACCTGAAACCCGGCGGCAAGGTCGACGTCAACATCCCCCAGGACGACGGCGATCTCAACGCGCAGTACGAGGCCGAGCTGGCCAAGTTCGCCACCAAGCCCCCGAAGGAGGTCCCCTCCGTCTCCGAGGAGGACCGGCAGGCCGACTACTACAAGGGCTTCCGCAGCGCGGTCGTCCTGGCCTGGGTGTTCTGTAACTTCGCCCTGGCGGCGGTGGTGCTGAGCGCCGCGGGGCTCGAGACCTTTGACAGCGACTCGGACTCGACGCAGAACAAGCGCTCCACGATCTACATGTCTGTGGTGCTGTGGAGTGTGGCCGGGTTGTCCATCTTCAAGTTCATCGGGGCGATGTGGTATTTGGTTGTACGGATGGTATGTTTCTCCTACTCTTTCTGGTAGATATTGGGATGGCATAAGCTAATTTTTGCCGTCTAGTTCCGCGGAGAGTAAACGATAAGACTGGTGACTTTTGGGAGAGGAGCGAGCCGATGCCTATGGCGAGGCCAAAAGTGACGGGGTCTGTCTGTCCTGTTACACCGCCCAAGGAGATGTGGGCGTGGTTGCTCGCGGGCGAGAGGGGCGTAGTAAACCCTGTGGATGCGTGAGTGAAAATGAGAAAACAACAATTGGTGGAAGGCCAAACAGCCACCTACCGTCAATCGGTCAAATGCCTTCTTCTTGTACGGGACACTTAGCCTGTGCTCTGGGTCACCCGTCCCATTGGAGACGCAAGGCGGGTCGTGGATTTCCCCTGCATATTTCATCTCTATCGCCGCGGGTCTCGCTTGACGTGACAACGGTGCTCGGTCATTGTGCTCGAGACGTGTAGGAGCGGGAGCGGGCATCTGGTTTGGCGAATAGGAGGAGATACTGCTGTGGCTGGTGCTGCAGACCTTGCAACGATGACCGTCGAGCTGAGTCGGTATCAGGGACAGCGACCGCGTATCCCCACCGCCCGTTCCAATGGCATCAAAGCCGCCGGCCCCCATGGACAAAGGCAGAGAAACACTGGAGGACGCCGCGTGCGCTGCCGGAAGCATCAACATCAGCATCAGCTCAGCAACGCCCGAACTTACAACCCGGCACCACCAGACCACCCACCATTCCGCGCCATACCGGGCGTCGCCCCCTCATCCACCACCACACCCAACGACGACACCGACCCCGGACTAGACTCGTGTCCATATTCCACAAACTGCGGAAACGAGACGATCCCTGTCGTCGTCGACGTCATACCCCAAGACCGAAACATCTCCTCCAGCGTGCTCTCCATCTCCTCCCCCGCACCGCCAGACGGTATCGTGCTCCGCCTCTGCCCCTCGATCCCAGCAACGCGTCCATCCCCCGCCCTAGCCGGAGAACCCGTATCCATCGGCACCCCATCAATCATGAACCGGATATGAGGGGAATCCCCAGTATCATTCCCACCTAGTCCTGGCAAGGGAATCCCACGACCCACACTCTCTTCAGCCATTACTCCTTTGACCCCTGCAGCTGCAGCTGCAGCGACAGCAGCAGCAGCAGCAGCACGATCTGGCGTCTCCTTCCGCTTGACGCGCCATTTGCGCTGTATGCGTAAGCCGGGGTACGCTCGTGGCCGCGGCAGGCTTCCGAAATGCACGGTGTGGCGCTTGTGCGTTGCACGCCTAGTGTCGGTGGAGAGCAGGTCCAGAGCGGCGGCGTTCTGCTCCAGCTCCAGTTCCAGCTCGGTGAGCGGGAGCGGGCTGCGATAGCCCCGGAATGCTTGGAAGCCCTACATTTTCCGTAACCACACGGCCAGATAATTAGATCAAATGCAACGATGAATGGACTGAGGTGGGAGGGGGACACGGAGGAAAAAAGAACAATGGGGCTGGGGCTGGGGCTGGGACTAGCGAGTACATCATGATATTCTTTGTCTGTGACATTTTCTTTTCTGTTTTGTTTTCAAGCATTGAGAGAGACAAATATGATTCAATTATACGGCATGGTATCAATAGGCATAAACGTAGTCACACACACAGAAAGTCAAAGTTCACACACACACACACACACAAACACACACACTTTCTCTCTCGCTCTCGCTACCCAGAAAAAGAAGAAGAAAAAAGAAAATCAAGAATCTACCTTCTCAGAATGGCCCCCGATCCCGCCGCCCTTCAGCTTACTCCGGCCGCGCGCGAACAGCCCCTTGGCCGCCTCGCCGGCCCTCCCGCCCAGCACCCCGGCCGAGTGCAGCAGCTCCTTGCCCCGCTGCTCGACCTGCTGTTTATTCATCATGGCGCCGAGCGGGGCGGACGGGCGGCGCGCATGGCCGCCACCGCCACCACCCCCTCCAGAAATTCCAGACCCCGACGGCATCCCCGACGACACGTCGAGCTGCGAGGAGGACCCGAAGTTGCCGAGCGACGAGAGCTTGGGGAACTTCTTGCGGGGCACGCTGATGGCCGGCACGGCGCCGCCGGCGGCCAGCTTGGCGCTCTTGTCGACGACGTCCGCGTGCTCCGGGTGGGCGTGCACGGTGACCTGGATCCAGTGGGCAAGGCCCGTGTCGATGGTGGCGAACTTGGCCCGCGTGTCGTTGAAGGCCTGCGTTCGGGCCTCGGGGGTCTGCATGCCCAGAATCTCGCGGAAGCCTAGGAGGGTCGGCTCGACGGAGGCCGGGGCCGTTGGCGTCCATTGCGGGATCTGCTGGTGCTGCTGGTAGGGATGGTACACCTCGGTAAAGGGCGGTGCATTGTGGTCGTTGTTGTTGTGATCGGTGTCGGCATAGGAATCTGGAGTAGCTTCCGCGTGGTAGACTTCGGGCAGTTGGCCGTCGGAGATAATGCTCCGATCGTCGGGTACCGGGGGCAGGATGGTTAGTTTGGGCTTCTCGGTTTCAGGCCCAACGGAGCTGTCGCTCTCCTCGGGGGCCTTGTGGATGGGCTCCTCGGGAGAGATAGTCTCCGCTGGGATGGCTTCCGCCGGTATAGCCTCCGCCGCGGTGGGACTCGTCACCTCAGTCTCCGAAGATGACTGGACTGGAGTCTCGCGGGAGACAGGAAACTGTCCCGGCATGGGAGCAGAAGGCGACTGCACACCTGCTGCCGGCGCAGGCTCCTCGGAGGATGATGACGACTCCCACGAGAAGCGCCGTGCTAATTTCGGCTTGGAAGACTCTGATGCAGGGGATGTGATTGGCTCGGAGGCAGCAGGAGGCACATCCTGAATGGTGGATCCCTGAAGGGCAACCGGGGAGGCGATGTAATCTGGGGTCGACTGGTCAAGGGCTACAGGGCCTGTAGTAGACTCTGCAGCGCTCCAATACCTCTCGTATTCGCTAGGGATGAGGCTGTCCTGGCGTTCAGTCTCTGGCCGACTCGCAGGCTCCTCTTCTTCTTGCTCCTTCGAGGGGGTGGTCTCGCGACTCAGTGTCCGCATGATCTCCTTTCGCAGGCGGTCACTCTCCGTGTCTTGCGGCGAATTGTCGGTGCTCATGGAAGGTATAATGATAGGCACTCCATCATGCGTGAGCGCAGGGGCCGATGTCACAGAATGGGGCCCGATACTCAGAGGAGCAGGGTGATCAGGACCGGGTGCTGCTTCGTGCGCAAGACCTTCTTGCGGCGTTTGTTCGCCTGAATGTGAATTTAAGGAAGACGCGACCGGCGTCTCAACAGACATCTCGCCTGCTGCGGACGGAGGGGCGGTTTGAACATTGGTGATCCTAGGGGTCCTCGAGGGGCTATTGTTCGGACTGGGAAGGCTAATGTCTCGACGATGACCCGGTTTAAAAACTAGATCACTCGCATCCTTGGGCGGGGGTGTTCTCTCGCCCGGCTCTTCCAGAATCGTGGGTGTTTTGAGATCGCTCTGGCTTCGCTGCGGAATGATGGGACTGATCACCGAGGTACTATCGCTGTTCGACCGTGCAACGCTGTCAACCGTCGTACTGGGAGTGTCAGGCACATCGAAGGCTTGATGAACCACCGAACCGAATCCCATGGACGGGTTGTGCTGCAGCTGGTGTTGCTCGGGCTCTGGCCCTTGGGCTTCTGAAGCAGGGAAATACGAGTCGCCCGAGAAGTCCGGGTCGAAGCTTGAAAGACGCTCCACATCTGGAAGCTGAATCGTCGGTGGGCTACCTCCTGCTGTCTCGGGTTGGTGAGTGATTTGTGGCGCGGCGCCTTGCGGTCGAAAAGGCTTATAGTCACCTGTCCCGGCCGGTGCTTCGTTGCTGGCTGGTAAGTGGAGTTCGGCAGATGTCAGACCTGGAACAGTCGCTGTCGCATTGGAAAAAGCTGCGCTTGATGCAACGACGTTGCGATCCTGCGGCACCGCGCCTTCGGATCTCATCCGCTTGTAGATATCGACCGGGCGAACGATTGGGACGGTCCGTGTAGCGGGCTCGACGACCGTCGCTTCTGGAGGCTGAGCGCGAATCGGTTCTCCTCCAAGGGTCGCGACCTGGTCCATCGATCGGGATCGATCCATCGAAGGGAGTGGCGGTCGGGAGGTATCCCTCATGAACATGCTCGGAAGATCCCCGGTGCTTTGATTCAGGTTGTGTTGCGGAACCGGTGGAGGCTCCTCGTCATCATACTCGCCGTACTCATCGTCGCCCCAGTCGTTTCCATCGTACGAATACTTCTTCGCTTCTACCCAGCGTTTTGTCTTTGCTCGGTTGACATTAGGCTTGAAAGATACCGGTGTTTCTCCGCGCGGGACTGGCGACATGGGACTTTCTGTGTTGGAGGAGCTGCAGATCGAGGCGTCGGATATATTAGTACAGTCCAGTCCACTGGGTGGCCGAAAGGGGCGGCTGCATGGACTCACAGCTTTTGTAGCTCGGGCTCGTAAGGCTGAAATGGACGGGCCATTGTTCTCACGCGACTAACCTGATCAGCAAGGCTGGATCAGGAGCTGGATTCAATAGTGCAGGTGGGGTTTGAGATCGATGATTGACATGTTCAGCGCCAAGAGCGAATGTCAGAATTGGAATGAGTGACCCCAGCCGAAGGCGCGGTGAGCGCAAGGTGTTGAGCGGGTGTAGCGGGACAGAAAAGAGAGCGCGAGGAGAATGGTTTCACAGAGACGGAGATGACGTGGGAGGAGAGGAGGAGGAGTAGGAATGGAGGCAGTGTGCGCCAAGATACGAGGCGGTGCACGGAAAGAAGATTGACGTGGAGATGGGAGGAAGCAGTTATTTTTAACTGGTAGGTAAAATAAGTCCTCGAAGTAGCCTCTCCCCGTGATGTATGAGCAGCGATAACGTTTTTGAGGTGGTTGGGAAGTAGAGAGTAAGTTACGGAGTATTGAAGGTATCACTGGGCAGGTATCGATCATGGATACTGCCCCTGATTCCACCCAACCTCAACGGTAATTGGCTGCTTTGATGGCCGCCTACCGGCCCAAAATGGATAAACTGTGGCTGGGGTGGAACCTGGTGGCTAGTGCCAATGTGGGGTGGCTGGTGTGTGCACGTGGCTGGGCTGGCCACTAGTCCTAACTAGTACTACTGTAACTGACCAGTTGGCGAACTTGCTGCATTGCCGCTTTCGCCTCGGCCGTCCTCGTTCTCGTCCCCATTCCTCTCATTCATCATCGCTCTGGATTGCCGACCATGACGATCTTGTAATTCCGCTTCTCTTTCTGTCAACACACTGACTCTCCGCTCCTCCTCCTTTCCTCTCTTCCCCTCCCCACCCACATAACGTGCTCTCTCTATCTCTCTATCTCTCTCCACCGTCTCCGCCCCGAACGCCAAACAAACGGACACGTCTCCAGTTGCCTACCTCCTTATCGATTAGTCCGGACTCCGTGCCGCATAATCAATTCCCTCCCCATCGCACCGCACCGCACCCGACCGTTGGCTCTAGATTCGGCGATTGGCATCCTTTTTACCCTCTTCAGCGTATAGTGATTGTGCCTCGCTTACGGCTCACGTCCATCGCATCTTCGCTCAATCAACCTCCCCGTCCACCTCCCCGTCCTCCACCACCACCACCACCACCACCAACCAACCAAAACGACCCTCACCCGCACAATGGCCGGCCCGTCCATCCAGGATCGCACGGGCGAGTTTCACGCCATTCTCGGCCAGGCCCAGAAACGCCTAGCCTCCAGTAAAGCCGGCCCTCAGCGCCAGGCCCTCCTGTCCGATGCGCAGCGTCGACAAGCCAATGGGTCCGCCGATGCACAACATCCGGGGAAGCGACGGTCGGAGTTTGCGCGGAGAGCCGTGGAGATCGGACGCGGGATCACGGCGACGACCGCCAAGTTGCAGCGGCTGGCTGAGTGTGAGTCGGCCACCTCCCCGAAACTTTGCCAAGGCTGACTTGGGATTTCGTGGATGTTAGTGGCAAAACGCAAGACACTCTTCGACGACAGACCGGTCGAAATCTCCGAATTGACCTATGTCATCAAGCAAGATCTTGCTTCCCTGAACCAACAGATTGCCTCGTTGCAAGCGCTCACCCTCTCCCAACATCCGAAGAACACCCGGTCCAAAGCGGACCAGGAAGGCGAGCATAATGATAATGTACGTCCCAGAAGCGAAAGGCCCGAGATACGAGACTAACGATCAATGCAGGTGGTCGTAATGCTGCAAGGCAAACTGGCCGACGTGGGCGCCAACTTCAAGGACGTCCTCGAAGTGCGCACGAAGAACATCCAAGCGTCGCGCTCGCGCACCGAGAACTTCGTCTCCTCTGTCTCGCAAAAGTCTCACACGGCCCTCGACCCCCAGCGCTCCGACTCCCCGCTCTACAATCCCTCCGGCCGGCGGACGCCCCAGCCCGGCGGCGGTATCGGCGGCGGTGGCGCCGACCTCCTGACCCTGGAACCCACGAACCCGTCGCCGCTGGGCCGGCCATCGATCCACTCGGATCAGCAGCTCCTCGTGATGGAGGAGGCGCAGACGAACAACGCCTACATCCAGGGCCGCGGCGAGGCCATCGAGGCCATTGAGCGGACGATCAGCGAGCTCGGCGGGATTTTCGGGCAGTTGGCCCAGATGGTCAGCGAGCAGTCGGAGATGATCCAGCGCATCGACGCCAACACGGAGGACGTGGTGGACAACGTGCAGGGCGCGCAGCGCGAGCTGATGAAGTACTGGACGCGGGTCTCGGGCAACCGCTGGCTGATCGCCAAGATGTTTGGCATTCTCATGGTATACCTGCCTCTTATAACTCCCCTGCCAACTTTCAATGTTCAATATGCTGACCTACGCCGTTAACCAGATCTTCTTCCTCCTCTGGGTGTTAATATCAGGATAAAGACCCCCTTCCCTTTCCCTCTCCCTCTCCTTCAACCACGACCACCTCTTCCCCTTCGACCCCTCAACATAATGTATTAATACCAGGTCCATGTTCGTATCTCGCTGTGCCTGAACGAAATCATGTAGCCCACCTTCTCCTTCTTTTCTTCTGTTACACCATTTCCTTTGTGATGTGTGTGTGTGTGTGTGTGTGTGTGTGAATGATATGTGTGTGTGCATACCCTGCTCTGCCACGAACCGCAGGCTCCGCCCGCTATCTTATTTTTGCTCAGTTCTATCCAACCCAACCTTCTTGGCCATGGCTAGATTTTCTATTTGAAAACCCTTGATTGTGATTTCTGCCAAGTGCCCATGTCACTACTACCAATTCCCTCCCCCAGTTTCCTCCTTCTCATCGTGCTTGACAACTGCAGCGCAAGCATGAGGTCATGTGCATAATGGGCTCACGAGTGTTATTGTTGTCTCAATGTCCAGGAATTAGATTCAATAGTCACCTACAACCCATTCGGCGTATTCCGTTTAGAGTTGATGAATTGGAATAGTCGATTCTTTGTCAGGGGTGCATTCCCGCTTGCAGTGAGGTACGAGTCAGAGTATGGAGGATATCTTAGTATACACAGTACATATAGGCTATACACAACATCGAGGATATATACTAGTATACACAGCATACACAGCATACTCCATCTCCTACACTGGAGGTATATACAGTACATCCCCACGAACAGCCTAGAATCAGCCGACCCAACCTGGAACCAACCGACTTACCTACAAACAAACCGCACACCCCAATCGCGGGCCCCCACCATGCAGAACGCCCACCACCTCGGCCGCATGGGCCGCCAGCCCCCGCCCACGGATCTCGCGCTCCGCCGCCGCGAACCAGATCTCCTGCAGCCGGGGCACCATCCCCGAGTGGCCGGTGTCCGGGGGGTCGTCTTGGCCGTCGCCCACCAGCGCCGCCAGGTAGTCGCCGTAGTCGCGGCGCATGTGCCACAGGAAGTCCATGCGGTGGGACCAGTGGGTTGTCGTTGTGGTTGGGGAGATTTTGTGGGGCAATTGGTGGGGTTGTGATTGTGGTTGGGGAGGTGGATGTTCATGGTCTTGGTTGTGGTGGTTGTGTTCGTGGCTGTGGTGGTGGCGATCATGCTTCTCCTTCTTCTTCCTGGGATCTAGCTGCTGCTGCTGCTGCTGCTGCTGCTGCTGGCTGGAATCGGCCGCGACGGCGACGAAGAGATCGACGATGCGTTCGAGGGTGGAGGTGGTGAGCAGGAGACTGACCCAGGTTTGGGAGGAGGTGTAGGGGATATCCGGGGCCATGAGGTGGCGGACGGTGTGGATGAGGGTGTGCATGGTGTGGTGGGTGGAGAGCAGGATCTCGGGGTCGGTGAAGGGGGGTTCTTGGAGGATGCGTTCCTGGCACTCGAGGGAGTGTGTCGGGGTGGTGGTGTCGGCGCAGGATTCCAGGAAGTAGACGAGGTAGGTTCTGGAGTGTGGCCGGTTAGCCTTGGACATAACCACAAATCAGTCAGGGCATACATGGATGGGAGCAGGCGGGCTTGCAGTGCGCCGACGCCCTTGCTGTAGACGAACTCCTTCTCTGTTTTGGAGGAGGCCCATAGCTCCCGCGCCGTGGGGTCGGTCTCGAGGTAATGCTGCACCAGGTATTCGGCAAGGTAGAAGGACAGCCGCACGCAGGTCCGCCAGCACCGCGTGAGATCGGTCAGGTAGCCGAACGAGTAGTCGGGCGATTCTTCCAGCGTGCCGCTCGGGGTGTAGTGGGGAGGCGGCGGCGGGAAGAGATCGGAGATGAAGGTGAGGTCGTCACCGATGGCGACGTTGGGTTCTCGATGCCCTTGAAGGTGGTATGGATCCTCTCGCCTCCGATGCTGGAGATAGGCTTCCGCGATGGCAGCCTCATCGTGATAGACCCGCTGGTGTAGGAGGCGGCATGTAGCCGAGAAGGAATGGATCTCTTCGAGTTCGCACTGTACCAGGATCTTCACTAGAACATCCACGGGAAGCTTCTCCCAGACCGTACGAGTGTTTCCCACAGGCTTTGAGTTTCTATGATTTAAGTCAGCGAGTGTAACGAGTTATTTGTTGACATATGGGTCTGCGAGTTACATAGGAGACTTTCTTGGCCGCTGGGACGACGGATGCCGTCTGGCTTGCCGCACAACTTGGCGCAGGTGTTCAAGGAAATGGCTCATTGTCAACAGGAGCCAAGACCATCGAGAGTGTAGTCTTCGATTGATGTTCGAGAAGTCCGCTTCGCGCTCATTTTTGAAAGGCAGGATTGAGGTTATGATTATTCAGCTGCTCCATCTGCCTCTTGGGGAAATGCTTAGCCGGATGAAATCAGATACGGGTCCGATCTTCGCTTGGTGGACCCGACTCGCGTTTGGATCACCACTCTCGTCAAATGTGTCACTGTGACTCAAAAAGGAATAAAGGATAAAAAAAATACTGCGTTCAGTTGTACTGGTGCTGAAATCGAGGTGAGGCTGGCCTCGAATTATGTTTTGCAGCGGCTCGCAACAAACCCATGATACAAAACACAAGCGAGCAACAATGTGTACTCCGTTCCAACCCATCGACCCGAAACGCGATCGAGTGGGGTACGATATCGTCACAGTGGACACCGTGTCTCGCACGCTGAAACAGTGGCAACCCTCATTCATACACGTTGAGGTGGGGTTCGCCATCATTCGTGTACTGGTGCTGGAAATCCTCAAGCAAACGATCCCACTGCTTCCAATCCATGGGGCTGAAATTGCTGGCCTGGTCCAGATCAAGGGTCCCGAGTCCCTGTTCATTAGGAAACACAGCACCGGCGTGCTGATCCTGATCCCGGCCGCTAATGCCTATCTGAGCTTCATCGTAGGAGGTTTCCGCACTGATGTTGTTAGCGGCCAATTGCTGCTTGCCCTGCATGTCACAGATTGTAGACACAATAGCAGGACATGGAAGAGGGGGCCTGTTGCAACGAGCCCGCTCCGCTGCATGTGCCTTCCAGGACTTTAGAATCAAGTTCTGCAAAGCCACATTGAACGCTATCCTCTGTTGTCGCCCCTTCAAATCGCGGAAATGTCGACTGCAGATCCGATCGATGAGGAACCACGCCCTGTCCGACACCTCCCCATCGACGCGATTCCGTAATTCATAGAGCATGTGTATCAGTGGTGTCCAGGGAATATGATTCTCTACATGCCAATTATACCGCTGGGTGATATCGCTCGTCTGCACGAGATCACAGTTCTCAGCCATGCGCACGCAGTTTGAGAAGATTCGATCTTGCTCGGACTGTGAGGTGCGACTTCCCTGTTCAGCGTATTGGCGAGGGTGATGTGCAGAGAACCGGAGCAGAGATGTGATCGCATAGATCACGATGGTAGTCATCTGGTGCAGCGGGATCGAGGTGTCGCAGTATTTCAAGTATTTCGTCTCATAGATCTGGCTAAGCTCATCAATCGCCCGATCCTTCTCAGCTAGTGAGGTGGCAGAATCGCTCAAGAAGCTTTGGCCTGCTGGCAAGGTGTTTGACTTTTCAGACCATCGATTAAGCCACTCGCCAAATTCACAGCGTGCCAGGCAAAAGATCATTTCGGTCGCTCCACTATGCTCACGAGGCCTTTCCGTCATCCGCGGGTCTAGGTCGCAGTCGTTCACATTGGCCGGACGCTGCACATCGGCAGCCATCAGGGATGTCTGGGCAGCAATGCCTGTGAGCTGTGCCGTGGTAGCGTCTAGTATACTTAGCTGAAGCCAAAGGCGTCGACGCATCTCGGTCTCGAAGACAGAAAGGCCATGGTGGGAGCCATCTCGGTGGAGTCCAATACGCTGTGCCACACGGATAGCAACACCGCATAGAGACCAGATGGACTGTGGATCAGAGAATGCTCGCATTGAAAGCTATAAGCCACTGTCAGACATATATCCCAGCCGACGTTAAATACGCGCTTCAAAGCAGAAAGAGGAGCTCCGTCCCTTATCCATACATCTCCAAGAACAAACACGTACCAAATACAACAGAAAAGCCTGAAGAACCACAACATCCGACGTTCGTAGAATGCCAGCATTCGCCAGAGCAAGTCGAGCACCACGACGGAAGCGAGACAGGAGGGCGACCTTGCTGTCTCCGAAAGCCTTCTGGACGTCATGCGCGGTCATCGAGATCAGCGCAAGACAGTATATACAGAACATAAGCGCCTCAAGCCCTTTCAGCACGGCGCGCAAATCCCCGGTGGCATCGATGATCTGCTGCTGAACTGTGGGCCCATGCAGGATCTTGATCAAGGGGTGCACGTTCTCCAGAAAGACCTGCCAGAGCTTGAAGATATGCAACGGCGCGGGATGTAGGTCCGTGATCTGCGTCTTCATGCGTGCACCTAGAATAAGAGAGGACTCATCGCCTGTTCCCTCTAGCGATTGGCCCGAATCACTGTAGACGGACGCATCGCGCAGCACGTCCTCCGCGGGGGGCAGCTAGGACAATTTAGCACCCATTCTTAAATTGTAAAGAAATTGCACCAGAAAAGTTCAGTCATTCCATACCTCACTGCGGATACTCGACCACATATTCCTAGCCGAGCAGTCAGCTAATCCACCCCGAGGCATCTAGCATCTGCTACACACGACCAAACATACCCATCGACATAGACCGACTTCCCCCCTTCTGCAATCAACATACCCGGATCGTTCACAGTAGGCGCAAGAGAAGTGTTAGACGTAACCATTGGCGAGAGCAGCCCGCGGGTATTTACCCCAGGGCCAGACGAGCCCGTATTTTGTCTGGAACGTTGGGGGTGCCGTGGACTGTCCGGACGATGGGCCTCGTCAGAGGGGCGCCTCTTCCGCCGTCGTGGAGGCGCATGTGCCCGGTAGACGCATTCAGTTCCATTCTTGGCGCACGCGGAGCAAGGGTCCTGACGATCACATCGGACTTTGCGCCTGTTGCAGACCACGCAGGACGGGGTTTTGGGCGTCTCGCCTCGGACAGCTAGCGGGGTGTTTTGGGGGGTATTGGAGTCCACCATTGCTGGCTAAGATGGAGTCTGAAGGAGGTCAGGTCATTTTAGGTGTGTGCGAGATAGGGTGATGCTCAACAGTCATGTTATATAGATTATGGTCGGAAGGGTTGGGTAGAATGGGGAGGTGCGGATGGGGATGAGGTCGGGTTTACGGATATATTTTTGGGGAGACCAGCCACAGGCCTTGGCCATCCGACGGATGAACGTTAACCGTGAGTACTGTAGTTATGCCCGACATCTAGGTCAACTTCCAAGGTGCTCATGATAGATATATCCCTCAAGCAATTGCATTTATCTGCTGCATAAAAAGGTATTGTAAAAGTCTAGTAACACATCAGACTACGATGCCTTTTCCCCCAAGTATCCACACCGCGAATAGGACACGCCATGGTTGAAAGCTTATCTAGACTAAAAATGCGACTAATTCCATCTGCCCAGCAGATCCAACAATAGGCGCTAACAAAATGAGAAAAACACAAGAATAACATGCACAACGACAGCCAGCGTTCCTATCAAGCGGGGTATTCGACAAACACACACGAAATTCATAAGTCATCAAGCTGCATTAGCAACAAGAATGCAGAACCGGTTCACCGTGTCGGGATAAAATGCTGAGAGTCCTTCTCCTGCTGGCTGAACGACTCACGGAACGCCGCAATGGCAGCAACAATCGCAATCGCGATGAACGCGAGAGAAATAAAGGACCAGAGGACCCCCCAGCACTGCGAAGAGCCACCATACCGCTTGGCAAACTGGCTGGCATCCGAGGTATTCACTTTGCGAAGGATCAAGTCGTCACACTATACAGAGCACGATTATCAGCAATGAAAGAGGGAAGAAGCAGGGTACACGACCACCGCCGACTTGAAACCAAAAAAACCAACAAAGACTTACAATATCCCAGACGCTATAGAGGGCCGACATAACACCGATGAAGAGCTATGTGCAGATCCAATTAGTCGCCAACTCTCCCTCTCAACTTAAGGGAATAACCTACCACCACCCATTTCAGAGCCTGGCCATGGGCGATGAACCAGCATGCGACCAGCAGTCCCACCGCCAGGAGAATCGTGACGATCGTGAGCCAATCCTTGCGCGCCCACCACAGGGTGAGCAGGAAGCACACCCCCAGGACGATACTGGCGACCTTGCTGGCGACGATGTCGAACCCGGCGAATATCAACAGCGATCCGATGATCGACGAGCCCAGATAGCCGGCGGGCAGGGTCACGGCGCTGATTCCGCCCGACATGTGCGTGACGCCGCCTTCGTGCGGATCCAGCGAGATGCTTTTGACGCGGCCACCGGTGCAGCATGCGGTGATGGCGTGGCCGAACTCGTGGAACGCGATGACGAGCATCTTTTCTTGGCCGGTCGCAAGTCAGCAAGAAGCCGAGAAAGACGACGAAGAAGAATTGCAGCAAAGTTCTGCCTTTGGGGAATTTCTCACCTTGAACGGCCAAAGCGACCAGCGAACATAGGGCAGATTCCAAAGCAAAGCGATGACGACAACGTATGCACCCATCACCCCGAGGGTCACTGCCTGAGCATGGGTGACGCTGAGATCGCGCTTCATCAGATGCGGCCCCGCCGAGTGAACGGACCTTTGATCGAGGAGCATGTAAGACGGTGCCATGGTGGATGGAAGACTGTTCTGGCGCAGATGGTAGTCTGGTAAGTCTGTAACCTAGACTTCAGAGCAGTATCGAGTGAGCCGCCGCAGAAGGTGTCTGAAGAACGAATGAGTATTTATCTGTCTGAAAGTCTGGGCTCTCTCTCACATGAGCGTTTCGCTTGCCTACGCGTTCTTCACGGTTTACAAACCCGCCCTGTAAATTCTTTACCCAACCGGGCTTAGCGTGTGGCTGGGCACGGGGTATTTTTAGTTCGCTTTTACGTGGCGGTGACAGAGCAGTTGCTGTATTCTCTGCACTGCAGATGTCATTCATGTCCTTTCAGGGCCTTGTCCAACATGATCAATATGTAAAGACATCATAGAACAATATTTTCCTTATATACCGCTTGTATCACAATCTCATTCCGAAGACATTGTCGAAAAGCTGATAGTCAAGACGGATTGGTTGGTTCCACTGCCCCAATCTTCAGCCCCAACCTTTAAATCGATCCACACCTGCCGCTTAATTTCCGCACTCCGCAACTCAACTCTATGTTCTCTGGTACAGTACGTACTCACGTTTTTAGCTAGTCTGCGCAGTAAAGGTTCACAGCCCCAAACAAGAACGGACGCAAATTTCAACCATCCTCCAAACCAAGAATATGCTCCAAGGACTAGGTAGGACAAGCTCGTCGTCAGCTTGCAGCAGCCAGAATGCCAGGGAGCGACGATGGAGCCTTGAGCAACGACGGAAGAGTGGGTCTTTGCGGCCTGGCCTATTCAGCCCTACAGCAGGGTGAACTGCGTCAGTGGCGGGAGGATCTGGCACGTATCTATCGAGTACTAGCCCTGGACGAATGGGCTAGTCTCTGTACTGTGTAGGCTGTGCGCCTCGCCTTCTTGAGATCATTGGAGTCCCACTGTAATTTAGCATTGGCATGCATTTATTGGTGTGGTGCAGTAGGTATATTTTCTCGGGCGGGATCCGCGCGTAAGTATCTTGACCCCGGGAAGTACGGGGACTGCCCCCTCGAACCGATCGTGGAGAATTGCACTAACTACTCATATTGGGAGATGATTGGATTGATTTTGTCTTATTAGAAGACGTAAGCTGAAGAAGAGCAGACATTGAAGTATATGTACAATGGGAAGTAAACAATATCGTGTACTGTCCATCGCGGTTTATCGTAGTCAAAAACCGCAAAAGAGAGGTGCTGCACCGAAATAAAGCCACGAGCTTACTTAGTATGAAGTTACCGGGCTCAAGCCCCCAGCTTAGCACTTAGAAAAGTAAGTTCTCATAACAGTTACTAAAAGGGAAGGATTTTAGGCGTATGTAGGAAGTGGAGTACACATTGTGCGAGTTCGAAGACTAGAACCATGTATTGTACCCGATGGGATTTTAGCACACTCTGGGCGGCTGATGATAACAACAACATAGGAAACTTGATTCCGGTGATATCCTCACTGAATAAGGGGCATGTCTCATACCCCAAAAGAAGTACCCCAGGTAAGGGCCAAAAGGAAACGAACGTGAGCTGATCCGATCCGAGGTATCAGGTCCGGGGAACCATGACAATCTAGCGCCATCCGAGCTGGGAACGCCCACGAAACATAGCCAGCCAAGACAATCTCCCCAACCAGGTCATAAGCGTAACGGCAACGCCATACAAGGCAAAATCATCAAGTCATAAAATCCTGCCCAGCGGCCCCACAGAACATAGGAAAGCAGGGAATGTGTAAAGCAACCCAGACCAACCAAATCAAACTATACTCCCCCCGCCCTTACCCCCCCTCCCGCTCCCCTCTGTCTTCCACACCGTCCATGCCCCGGTGATCATGACCTTTAACCCGAAGGCAAACCACAGGCTGCTCGCTAAGCTGGCTACCTTGGAGAGACCACCGGCAGTCATGGCACCCAGGAACAAGGCCAGGAACGCCCCGACCCGACGGTCCCGCTTGGGGTTCTTCCGCGCCAGCAGATTCGGGTCCACCAGGAGATCGCACAGCAGACTGGTCAGCACCACCGTGGGGATCTCGTCGAACTCCAGGATGCGCGAGGCACAGACCTGCCCGCCCGCTTGAAAGGCCAGGAGCGAGATGGGGATAATCTGCATCCATTGGATCGGCGCACGCGGGTCTTCGGGTCGGGGCGAGACGATCCTGAGCTCCACGAGGAGGGCGGCGACTAAGAGGCAGATCGACTGAACTGCAAAGGAGAGGATGAGGGAGGAGCGACGGCGAGGTGGACCGAGGAAGCGCGACGCCTGGATGAAGATGATGTTGCTGGCGATAAAGGTGCAGAGCGCAATGAGGGACTTAGCCCACAGGTATGCTGGGTATCTCGGTTGACTTGAGGCACCGAGGGCGATGAAGACGGTGTTGCCTGTACAGCAAGTCGTTTAGAGGCCGTGACAAACGTGACGAGGCGATTGCTGGATCCGAGATGTGAAACAAAGTAGGGCATGGTTGATACATACCTGTTTGCATGCTGGAGAAGCTTCCCCAGGCATTGAAGGACAGTCCGTCCACCAGGCCACTTACAAACCCGCAGACGATCAAAGGTATATCGGCATAAGCAATATCAATCTCGGTCTGGAGATGACGCGCTACTCTGCCATAGAAGAGTATCTCTCCGTCGTCATTCGACTGAGCAAGGGAGACAATCGTGCTGTTGCCTGAGGACCAAAGGCCACCTCTGTCCTCGCTGAACTGCAGATGTCTGGAATATGCCGTGACAGCTGCCGGAGTGGGCCGAATGTCATCGGCGGGAGGTTGATGCATGATGAACTGAGACAGGCAACCGAGACCCAGCGCCGATGAAGAGAAGAATGATTGAGAAGCTGCCGCTTTCATCCTTGGAGCCAAACCATGACCATGCCTATATACAGCCGCCTTTCGTACAGAGTTTGCCATCCCCACCATACCGTCTCCACGCCAAGGCACTGATAAGAGCCAGTGCAACCATGTGTCCGTGATATTTTCGTCCGGAGACACGCATGCCTACCAGAAGCCGCGGATGTCGTGGTACACCGCCGAAGCAGCGGTTTCAGATATCAGCCCAATGTCCATCGCATACCCGCATCATCCTGGCGCGACACATGGGGTTGGAGATGGATATACCATGTCCAAATCAATCAGGCGACAGCAAACTCGGGTCTCAGTCTGCATGATATTGGACATATCACATCGCCTGCCAGAGGGAGCCGCTTGGCAAACCCTTGGCATAGGCTTGTAACTTGGCTCCGTGGATGGCCTCCAAGCCTCCGGGAGGCTCTAGACATATGTCGATCACGATAAGCCAAGATCCAGCTCAAGAGAGTTTCGCCAAAAGCTGACCGGGACAGCCAGCGGGATCTTGGCAGATACGAGTTGTTCGGAAGCGTTCCTTTTTCTCATTCGAAAAGATGCAGACATCAATCATCTAGATGCCGAAAACGAGACACTTGGCCTGTCAGCAATGCTCTATTGGGACATTGGGACAAGTCACGAGACAATCACGACAGTGGCGGAATGGGCTCACGATAATCTCGTTCCCAACTACTCAAAACCCGGTGTCTTTCTGCTTTTTATTTTCTTTTCGTCGTTTGCGATCTCTCATGCAATAGGACAATAAAACGTGATTCTGGCGCGAAATTGGAGTTTGATCTGCAATGAGCTCGACCACCAATGACCGTGCAGCTCGGATTCTTCAGGTGCTGAGCCACGCTGGGCAGTTTGATATCCATTCTTGGCACTCTTTTCCGCAAGAAGATCTGCACCAAGGCTCTCAGGCAGAAAGGTAGCCAAGATGCCTGGAAGCCGGTTGATGACTCCTTTCATGATGTCACGGACAAGATTAAGTTGAGACAGACATCACATGGGACAATCACCCTTGCACATCCCCGTTATCTACGTAGTGCCCAAAGAAGAGAGTTATGGATTGGATGTTTCCTCCAACCCTCATCGAGTATGGTGGGTCGCAAACCATGATGGAATAATGAAAACGTAACATAGTAATCATGCCTATGAGACTAACATAACAGTCATAAACTAACAGCAGTCCGTACGGTATCAGGTTCCTTTTGTTGAATGTACATCTGTTGTTTTTCGATATCAAATCGTAGTGATCGTAGCTACAGATGCAGTGCGCTTATATGCAGGTGCCATGCTGCGCGGACATGACACAAGGGTTCATCAGCCCCAGAAAAGATCCCGTCTAGCGACAGGTATCCTAAGTCCCGGGATGACCCGTATTCGGACAATCGCAAAGAATGAGGCAATGGTGCAACGCGGAATTAAAGATTATGCTCATGGAAGGGGGTATCTTGAGGCGTCTCGAGGTATTGACAGGGGCGGCATCCGACTTCCTACTCCGGCAAGCCCTCCTCGCCCGGCACCCGCCTGAAGGTCAAAGTCCGGGTTGTTCTCCAGCAGCACATCATGCTTCTGTTGAGCCGGAACAGGCGGTGGTCGCCAGCGAGGATTGATAGGCCGCTGGGAAATGGAAGTGAAGTGGCTTACTTCACTAGTAGTGGGTGAGTGAGGGGCCTCAGCCGATTCATCCAACGGTTTCCGCTCACCAATGGCACCAGGTGTGAGGGCAGGAGGCAACCGTGGTGGGTTAGCTACTGCCGACTCGTTGGGATTCACAAATCGAGGATCCACATCTTCAAAATAGTCCGTTGAAGGCGAAGGTGCGTGTTGTCGCGCGGAGCCGTAGCCATGCGCCGGCGAGGGTGTGTGGTGAGCGGGGGCATCTGCTTGCGCCCAGCCAGCACGCGGGTGGTTATGCGAACTGTTTGGTCGTTAGAATACATAATCACACATTATCAATATGTACCCCCCGAAGAAAGGAATAGCTTACGGTGTCCGGCTGTAGAGACTTGTAGGGCTTATAGGCTCAGGATATCCATCGGCTGACATTGCATGCGGCTGGGAATCAGACGTCACCCCATGCGACACAGGATCCGCAGAGCCCAGTCGTTTTGGCTGCGGCTGCATCTCGATAGCTTGTCCAGCCGCCTCATAATCCGCAGATACAGCCATCCCTATCGGACCCGGAGATGGTTGTCGATGAACACCCGCGGAGGGTGCTGGGCCGCGGTAATCATATTCAGTCTCAGGAGGGGGTGTCGGCCGAGGCCCTGGCGACGGACCATAACCACCCGGCTGAGGGGGTCCTCGATAACCTCGACCCATCGCTCCTGGATGTCCACCTCTCATCGGCCCGCCCGGTGGAGGTCCTCGTGGTCCTGGCCCGTAATAACCTCCCCGGCCGTAACCTCCTCGCGGGCCATATCCGCCACGTCCACGTGGGGCAGATCCTGGAGGAGGGGGACCTCGTCGCGAGCCCATACTGCCGTCGGAATACTGATTGCGTAGTCGAGCATCGGGAGGTCCGGGGCGCATCCGCGGCCCGGGTCCTTGAACAGAGGGAGGAGCACTTTCGATATGATCCGGTGGGGCATTGTAGGCTATTACATCACCGCGCATATTGGCATATGTACCAGTGGGCAATGCAGCATCACTAGGGGTATTCCGAGCGTTCAAAGGGGTGCGATCATCGTCGCTGTCGTGGGTTGTTGTACGGAATGTAGTGAATGTGGGTCCGACATCAGAGGTAGGAGGCGAACCAGTAACAACCGGCTCCTTGACATCGACATTGAAGCTCTCAGGCTGACCCAAACCTCCTGCTGCTGCCGCGGCGTTCTGACGATTGTAGAAATTCTCCCCGCTCATTTCAGCATTCTCTGCGATGCGCCTCTTCCTCGCCTTGCGGCTCACCAGTGTCCGGCGCATTGCACATGTGACCACACCGCAAGTAACAAGCAGAATGGTGGCCACAAGCACAATCCATCCTCCCCATTTGAGATGCGGAACAAACAGTAAGATGTCGACGAGGAAAGCTAAAAGAGACACGAGCAGCGTGGGCAGGAGTAGAATTAACAGTGCCAGGAGATATCGTGGCGAATGCGACGGGGCGTGAAAGTGTGCTGCTGCCGCCAGGCAAAGACAAATGAGCGTGAGGAAGGCTGCGATGGGGTGGACAATCAGGATGGCTGAAAGCGACTTCCGAGTACTGGGCGGGATATTGAATTCGCTGCTGCTTGTGTTGGTCGTAATAATGTTATCTGTAACACCAGTCGTGAGTTTCCGTAAGCAACAACCATATGAAACCCGGTCTAAGAGGAAGGGCGAGAATGCGCCGGACAGAAGAGAGCAGGCAACGAACCGTCGGCATAGCCAACATGGATGCTGGTACACTGGTCACCTTTGCAGTAACCGAAAACACCATAATCAACATTCTCGAAAGTCGCTAAGGGTATGCTTTTGACAATCGGAGTCGAGATGACGGAGATGAGGAGAAGAACAAATGCGATCAGTAGGAGGATAGTAAGCGGTGTAGCGGGTTTGAGAAGCATGGCGACTCGAGAGCGGAGCGACACTGTCGCCGCGATCGAGAGGCGGGCGGGGAACCAGAAGTGGCTGGCGTGATGCAAATGGCAGGAATTGACCACAATTGATTCGAGCACGCTGAGTTGAAGTGCAAGGTGATCACCAGAAAAGCTCAGAAGATGCTTTGTAACATCAGGTGCAACTCTGCAAGGACTTAATGATTGCCCACCTCCTGAGACATAGAGAGCAGGGGAGGCGGGAAGCCTGAGGAATCCGCGACAGAAGTGGTGACAAAGAAGGGTGGGTTCGGAGATTGGAAGAAGGTGAACCAATCCGCCCTAGATAAGGTATGATCTAACTTGGTAACTGACTAACTGGATCTAGGGGGAAAAAAGAGGTAAAAGAAGTAGAGTAAAGACGATTTTACTGGGAGATAATGCGGGGAGATTAAAGAGGTGAGCGGGAGAATGCAAAGGAGGAAGAGAAGGTGAAGAGGCGAATATTGTTAGAGGAGGGAATTAAAGAATGACTGGATGTGAGGGTAAGGAAGGGTAAGGGTAGGTAGGAAGGAGTTGGAGGAGAGAGAGGGTGAAATGAAGGAGAGTGGATGGGACAGGCATGGGACATGGGACGGTAGCAAGACCCGATTAAACCGTCTGGACTGGACTGGACTGAATTGAACGAACACTGCCTGCCGCCGCAAGTGCAGGGACGGCCGGGCGGATTTGCAAGATATGTGGGATTCTGATTGGAGCAATAAGCCAGGATTCCTTAGTCATCGCCGCCACTCTCCAACTTGCACTACACAGTACGGAGTTCGCGAGTAATCATTCTTTCCCCTACATTGCCCTGTTGCTGTCGCTGTCGCTGTCATGATCATCGTCACTGTCACTGTCACTGCCACTGTCACTGCCACTGCTTCTGCACTCGAGGGATGGCCACTTTAATAGTCATTCTTCTTGAAGAATATACGGACGAACCAGTGGTCCTGCCCGTTGATCTCTATCTGGAAGTGGCTAATCTTGCTGCCTTTCCCACTCTTGCTTTCCCCCCCCCCCCCGCTAATTGCGCCAATGCATATCCACATCTCTCCACGTCCACGGTGCCGCAGTCAGCTTGGAATACTGCCCCCTCTGGTGCCCACGCTGAGATCTCTTCTGATTTGTCGAACCAGAGATAACGATGATGGGGCCGAGTTCCACGCCCTCACTGTCCTGGTTTGACATCTCAGGATCCCACGAACCTCCATGCTTTGTTAAATTAGGATGGGCTTCCCAGGATGATGGATCATGGACCATTTGTGTGCCCGTGAGCGTGAGTCTATTTTTGGAAGACCCTTGGAATCAGGTACAGTCGCACCCGTCTACATACATACCACTCATCTCTTAGGAACCACAAGATGACATACCGTCTCAAAGCCATGTACCCGAGCCGCAAGACAGATTCAAACGGGACTCAAATGGATACCGGCAGTGGGTGAAGAGAGGCGGGCATTATGGTGACGACTCATCTGGATCAGTCCATGATGACGCGGAAGTGGGATTGATGACGATAGCTCACCCATTTTGCGACAGGCAGTTTCTCCACGAGAAGCTGAATCTGTGCTATACGCCATGCCATACAGAAGGTTGAATGTGCTTGACCGCTTGCAAGACCATAGCCTGCTTTTTTAAATTCTCGAAGAACGGCATATCAATTCCCGCGAGGCTGCGCGACAAACAAGCTCAATGTAGTGTGCAACTCGCCTGCATCGAACTAGTCGTTGAACAAGATACGATCCAGATGAAACAAGATGCGAAAAAAACACACTGGTTCGAATCAGAAGCATGTAGTGAGATTCTTTATCCACCAACTATTTCAACGTACGAGTAGACCACACAGTATGGGGGGGCGCCCAAGTTTGAATCGATCTTGACAGGTGTGGGTGGGTGGCCTTGGATGGTTCGGGCCGTAATCTTGGCAATCGAGAGAGTCCATTGAGATTGAGATCAATCTCTCTCTCTCTCCCTGTCTCTGTGCCACCGCAAACACCAAACAGACAGACACACCACGGATTTTATCCGATCAAAGCCTTTCCCGTCCAGTCTAAGCACGTTTCTCCAATAGCTGGCGGCCATGTCGACCCTAGATATAGCAGCATCCTTAATTCGTTGGACCTGCGGTGGCTGGGCCGCGGAGGCTGGGAAAGACAGGTCGGCGGTCGTATCGCCAACCACCTCGGACGGTCAATAGCAGCCCAATTCAGAGCTCTTTTCTCCCTTGCTTCCTGCCCCCGACCATCTTGTCTCTCTTATCTCTCTCTCGACCGGCTCGGGTCCTACGCGCTGGGAATGTCCATGAGATATCTCATACCGCGTTGCAAGTGAGCAATTGAAACACATAGTTACATTCCTCGGTTGATCCCGACCGCCATGTTAGCTCCGGGATCGGGCAATGTGAGTCTGCGGACTGTCAGTTGTAAGTGGAATGTCGGATTTGTTTGACAGCCAGCCAGCTAGAGATCTCAACCCACCTTGGTCGATTGTGGTTTGAACCGATGGCCTGACTCCATGCAGCAAGTAGACCGCAGATGATACACACCGAGGATCAACAGTCCGTTGCCGCTTCAGATGACTACTACTCTTTCTCAAGCCAGAGCTCCAGCGCAAGGTCTCGGACGAGTGGCAGTCGAGCCAATGTCGTGCGCTATGCAACCCCCAACTCTCGACCTGCATCCCGTCCTCCTTCCCCTAGCATATCAAGAACGCATCTCGCCCCGCCGGTGGCTGGTGCGCCATCGCAACCCTCTATAGACTCCTCGAGCGACAACAGAATCTTTCTGACACCCGCGTCGCAAACGATACGCTCCGTCGAGGATAGAGAAATTCACCTGAACCCCATGTCCCATACCACATCCAGTCGGGCTCCCGCCGACAGCTACGCGGGACGCCCACCAACTCCTGGAATGGACGACTCGCCTTATATTCATTTCGCCATTAGCCAGCTGACGCGTGATGAGGAAGTGGCGGGCCCCAGGAGGAGAAGTTCGATCGTGAGCCGTGACTCGCCCGCTGAGCCTCTACTTTGGGACGATGGCTTAGGCTGCTTCATCCGCTCACATGGACCTTCCTCAACCCCGGACGTCAGACACCAGCAGAAATCTCCTATCTCCGCAAGAAGGTCGCCCCAGAAATCGGTTGACCCAGAATCTTTCATCCCAGTAGATCCCCCAGAGGAAAGCCTACTTTACCCTGCGCTGGACTATGTGCCTTTTGTGTTGCGCACATGGGCACTGGCCACCCTCACGATTTGCTGCTTGCTCATGATCGCCGGGATTATCTTCTGCAATGTTTGGTCCCCAAGGCATCAAGGACTTTGGGATTACGAGACACAAGGTGGTGCCCATTACTTCGTCATGCAATTTCTACCGCAGATTTTCGGTATGATTATCACCATTTGGACGTTCGTGGTTCAAGCTGCCGTTTACCGCGTCATGCCTTTTGCTATCATGGCATCGGAGCGGCCGTTCGATCGCATTCTTCAGAGGCTGCCAGTCGTGCCACGCAACTTTATTTTGCCTGACTTCTCACATTTTCGACATGGCGAAGCCCTGGTTGGATTCTCCTTGCTCTTGATGTGGCTCTCGAATCTTATCGCATTGCCGCTCCTGAGTTGTTTGTTCCAGGCCAAGTGGTATGAAATTGACGGCCAAGGCACGTGGCGATGGGCCGCCGTTTTGGCTGTGGGCTGGACGCTGGTGGCTATTTACGGATTGATGACTATCGGGCTGGTTTTGCTCATGCTTCGCTTTTTCCGTACATGGTCAGGCTTGATGTGGGATCCTGTTAGCCTGGCTGATCTCATTTCGGTCATTCAACGGTCAAACATTCTGCACGATTTTGAACAGTCCGAAACATTGCCGCATGTGGGGGATTCACTCGACCCCCGATTCCTTCGACTGGGTTACTGGCAATTATCAAGTCGCGGCGAGTTCTTCTATGGTATTGGTGAGGCTGACGCCCCGATCCGAACACCATCTCTTCACCACCTTGAAAAGAATCTTCAGATGCAGTCACACGGTCTGTCCAAGGTCTCTGTTGATCTTGAGCGCCAGGGTATGGCCGAAAAGGGCGAATACCACGAGAATCTATACGCTCCTTCTGTTCGCTACCGCTGGATTCCATGGTTTCTCAAGGACACATCCGTGATAGCTTGGACGGTCATCATATGTGCTTTGTTCGTCGCTTTTGTACTGGTTAGCTTTATCCATGACGCGATCCAAGGAGGCTTCCCCCCACGGTTGCCTACATTGCCTTCCACCGGCGGCTTTTCGTCTTCCAATTTCTGCTACAGCTTTGTGCCGGCTCTGATCGGAAACGTCTTTTTTCTCGCATGGCAGCCCATCGACGTCTTCTTTCGTGCGTCGCAACCCTTCGCTTCGTTGTCGTCACCCGAAGGTGCACGTGCAGAGGAGAGCCTGCTGCTGGCGTATCCGTCGTGTCTTCCTTTCCAGGTGACGATCCTGGCGGTCGCCAACAAGCACTACAAAGTGGCCTGGATCTCATTCATGAGTATTACGTCTGCCGCCATTCCCATTCTCGCCGGGGGCGTTTTCATTGCGTTGAACTATCCGTCCGAACATGCAGTCAAGATTGCAGCATCGATGCCTGCTTTCTACGCGATGGTGGTATTCTGTGCTCTCTATACGGTGTCCTTCTTGTGTATCTGGCCTCGCCGTCAACGCTACCTGCCTCATGATATCAGCACGCTGGCCGATTTGATCAGCTTCCTCTACCAAAGCCCCCTCCTCGCGGATAAAATCTTGCGCGAGCCTAGGAGCAAAACAGACCTAGTCACGCGACTGGTTGTCGCACCACCTGGGGACCGCGAGCATTCTGTGTATGGCTTTGGGATATATGTCGGCCGCGATGGCAAAGAACATCTGGGAATTGATCGCCTTGACCGCCCCGGCCGGACCGATATGCTGATTAACACAGAATATACGAGGTAGTCCGGTTGCTCGCACAACAGTTGCGGAGTTGACGAAACCCGGACGGGCATGCACTTGATTCCTGCGCTCAATCCGCAGCTCCTTCCTTTATGCAAATGATTCATGTATTATGAACGATCGATGAACTTACGGATATCCATATATGTGTTACGGTGTTACGAGCCCAACTTTCCGCCCGTTATGATGGACTACTTAATGATAATGAGACATATTGATGTACTGATGTATCTATGAACTATGATATTGCTTTTCTTAGTGACCTTTTTTTTTTTTTTTTTTTAGAGTTGTCTACCATGTTTCATGTTGTCGCATGAATCTTTTCAACTTGCTACGTTAAAACCTGTCCTGTCCTTTGGTGTGGATATTTATAGTAAGGAGCGACAGCTCGGCTGGTGAGCTCATCACGTGAGCAGATAAGACTAACCATGTCTGTTATAGTGCAGGCTTCCACTCGTCTCAACTGTACAGTACCTGATCTGATCATCCGAACCACCCGCATACATGCTGCACTTGACTTAAATACTTGTGACGTCCAAGTGAAGTAGAGGTCAGACAGACAGCTGATTAATGTGTTTTGAACTCTCGGTACTGAACAATGCAGTTTGAAGTGTCGAAATTCTGATATTGCCGCACAAGAGAAGTACACGGATATCTAGTCCGATCCCAAATTTGTGAGCTCTCCAGACTCAGGGGCCTCCACCATGGTCTATCGTGGAAAGCCAAGCACCGGGTGTCAGAATTGCCGGACGAGGCGCATCAAGGTCAGTGTCTCAGGTTCTGTAACTGACTCTGGCTAACTCCCACTCAGTGCGATGAAACTCGCCCACACTGTAGAGCTTGTGTGCGGACGAATCGGTTATGCCCGGGGTATCTAGATCCATTTGATGTTATGCTCCGAGATCAGGTCGCCTTTAAACGCAAAAAGCGAGACACTCAGGTTTCAACTACAGCCTCAGCGAGTCCGGCCAAACTAGCTTCTCTAACCACCTCGGTGATTGCGGCAGCGCCTGAAACCGCCGTGTCCCCCAATGTGACCAGGGTAGATTGGATAGATATTGTATTTGACAAAACCTGCAACATACCGAAAAGCGTAAATCTGCCTCTGGAAGACACGGTGGCATCATTATTCTTTAGCTCCTATCTATATTCACCCAAGGATCCACTGATTCGGGAAGGGTTCATGGAAATGGTGCCCCATGCTTACGCAAACGCTCAGCCTGGGTCGCACTTGAAACTCATCACGTTGGCGGTGTCTTTTTTCTCGGTGTCGGCGTGGACGGGCAATCGGTCATATCTCCGAACCGCCGAACAGCTGTGCGTTCAAGCGATATCTAAAACCAGAGAAGCGATTCAAGGCGGCATCGACCAGAATCAAGATGAGATTCTGATGACGGTACTCTTGCTATTGATTTATGAGGTAAGTAGACTAATACTTCATTATATGCGCGGATCTAACGACATGGCCAGGAATTCTCAGCTATGAAGGAGTGCAGGGCCCCAGGGAAGACCCATTTACGTGGCGCAATTGCCTTGATAAATAGTCGGAGTCAAGATCAGCGGGAGACGGACCTCTCGATAATGTTGGAAAATGCAGTGCATGCACAACTTGTAAGCTCTACTGGTGTGCAGCTCATTGGGCGTGAACTAATAATTCAGATCAAAACAACCAAAGGGCTCGCGTATCCTGTTATGCAGACCCCCAAAGTCTGGCCGCCCGCGCCAGTTGCGCCCGAGTCGGCCTCAACTCAATTAATGATGGCCACATCTGACCTGGTCAGTCTACGACAAGCATGGGACAAGCTTGCCTTGAACCAGCCCGCCGCCAATGTCACAGAGCTCGAAGAGATCCTCGCTCGGGCGAGGCATCTGGACACCAAGCTTGTAGCTTGGACGCACGCCCTCCCGTCCCACTGGCATCCCGTCTCTGCCACCATGATATCAGATTCCGTCCGCAAGGCAGGCATGTACAAGAACCGATGTGACTGCTACGCGGACATCTGGATCGCGAGCACATGGAATTTCTACCGCGACTCGCGCATTGTCATCCAGAACATCATCCTCAATTGTCTGCGCCTCCTATCGCCGCGCATCCGGAGCGACGAGATTCAGTGCGCCCTGGACACCATCCAAGACCTTGCCACCGGCATTTGCGCCACCATCCCATACTTCCTTGGAAGCCAGTCGAAGCCAGCGCAGATGGGCATGGAGAAGATCGACTATCCCGAGGCGGATGCTCGACGGGTCACCGCGGGCCACCGGCAGACATCGCCACTTCTGGGGGGATGGCTGGCATCGACGAATCTGTTCAATATGACTATGCTACCTCTGACGGATGAGCTGCATGCTTGGGTCTTGGAACAGAAGCAGCGGGTGCTGCGGATCTATACCTTTGGCTCCGTAGAGGGCGTCCGATGATGGAAAGTATGGCGTACATGGCTATGGCCAGTCCAACAAGTTGTCATAGAGTCTCTGCCTTCACTGGATCTCTTTTATTGGGAATTGGACCGACGGACGGTTTTCAAGTCGACACCAGCACATGTGGAGATGCGCATCTCACGAGCTCTGATGTGCCGAAACTCCTATACTCTGACGAAGCGAGAAACTCGGTTGGGTAATAAGTATGCTGCACGATAAAGTGACCCAATGTGGGCTGGGTGTTATGCGCATTACTGGCGAAGTGGCAACCGTCTTGACCTACAGAACACCCGCCAGTTCTCTCCCGGCTCTACCCATGTCATTGCGAAATATTGAGCATAAACCACCCGACACTTCCGCGGCTCGTTCTCTTTCAAAGTCGCGCAGCTACTGATCAGACGCCCCACCAGAAGCAATCGTCCAGAGCAATCTAACACATGACCGGACTGATGATTTTCACGCGGCTCTAATAGACCAGCCGCGCAGACTCGAACCTGCTTACTATTGTTGCTGCAGTAGAGTAGACGCGATTGCAGAATTTAGGTATATATTGTACAGATATACACATATAAGAGACAATAGAAACCTGATACCTGGGCTCTTGGAAAGATAAGAGTCGCCTTGTCCCAGCACGACCGAGCCAGAAGTTAGATATCGTCGTAGAAGACAACGCCTGTACTTCTTCAACAAGCAATTAGTATATCCGGACTCTGCCACCCCAAACCACAGCTGTCTTCAAGACGCGTACTCGATAAAGGTTAGAGAGGTGGTTTACACAGAACAAGCTACCATTCGCTTTACGCGCCGAATCCGAGCTCCGTTCTGGAGGCAACGGTAGCGGGCATTCACCGAGACAGAACGCTTTCGAAGATCCCAAAAAAAAGCCCTCGTGGATGTGTGGATGGAGTATCCTTGCAAAACGCAGCACGCAGAAATCACTCCGAGGGAAGAAGACCGAAGCGCAGAGAAGTGTGAACATGACACATAGACGGAGTTAGTGGAGATAGTGGGAGTATTTATCGTCCTCTGACTAAGCGACATCGCAACTCCTCTTTCTCCTCTTTCTCCTCAAGCCGCTACAATCCCCTCACACTCACCCTCAACAACACAATCACAATCACAACCAAACAAGTCAATTCTTCTCATGCGCGAACAATAATCCTCAATTGAATTACCTCCAGTCCTCCAAGAACCATCCTCCTGCGTGCTCAAACCCCCCCCCCCCCCACCACCATCACCACAAAACAAAATGGGCCTCCTCCGCTACTTCATCCCCGACCAACAAAAACCCTCCCCCTCCACCGATACCTCCTCAACCCCGACAACCTCAACAACCACCCCCCCAACCACCCCCTCATCAGCCCGCCCAGCATCCACAGAATTCGACCCTCCGCTCCCCAAACTCTGGACGCCCCAAACCAACCTCAAACTCCTCCTCGGCGGCACAGCCTTCCTCGCCCTAACCGTCTTCACGACCCGGCGCGCAATTCACCGGCGCCGGCTCGCCGCCATCCCGCCCTTCTACACGAGCGCCCCGTACCACAAGCCGTCCGTCAGCGGGGGCGTCGAGGCCTTCGAGGCGCTCAACCTGGCGACGCTGAACGTGCTGGCCTTCGCCATGATGAGTACCGGGGGTGTGCTGTACGCGATGGATATTAACAGTGTCGAGGATATGCGGCGGTATGTGCGGCGGGCTTCGTTGAGTGAGGAGGATGCCGCCAAGGGGTTGGAGGAGGGGGATCGGGAGATGGAGAAGGAGGTGGAGGCTTGGGCGGCTAAGGTGCTAGGGGAGAAGTTTGGGCGGGAGTTGAGGGCGCAGCGGGAGAGGGAAGTGTCTGACGCTGAGAAGGGGGATGGGACTGAAACTAAGAAAGGGGAGTGAGGGTTGCTTCGTTTGAGGGGGATACTGGGGGGATGGGACGGGATGGGACGGTGTTTATGGTGCTTATGGTGCTTCTGGACTGGATATATCTCTACTTTGCATGACAACATACCCTACTCTTGTATTTATCGCATTTTGACGGGCTTAAGCTGAAGCTCGAGCTGAGAACAAGCTGAGACCAAGCTCGTGAGCAAAACATACAACAAATGCTATGATCATTTTATGACCATGCCTCGCTTGAGCTACCGAGTAGGCTATACCTACTGCTCCATCTGCTCGTATCGCTCCCGCGCCGTCTGTCGCGTCTTCTCCAGGAACTCATCGTACCGACCCCGCGTGTTGCGCCCGGCCTCCTCCGTCGCGTCGCCCAGCTTGCCGCCGTGGGCCCCCAAGCCCACGCCCTGCGCATACACCTCGGTCGCGATCGGCGCCGTCATCCCCGTGCCCTGCGCCCCCAGTCCCGACCCCGCGGACCAGCCCATCTTGCTGAGCAGCGACGCGCCCTTGGACGCCGCCGGTACGGCGGGCTCCTCTTCCTTCGCCGCAGGGGCCGCGGGCCGCGGCTTGGCACCACCAGCCTTGGCCCGGCCGAATGCCTGTCGCCGCTCGCGGGCACGGTCGCGATACTCTGTCGGCTGCGGGATGATGCCGTGTTTGACGAGCTTGCGCGTGGCATGCGCGATGCGCTCCTCATCCAGCAGATTCTCGCGGTGCATCTGACTGAGGCGTTCGTGCAGGTTGACTTGGGCCGTGGACTTGAATTTCCGCATGCACAGGTAGCAGCAGTTCTGGGCGGGATTAGCATAGGATTGGCTTGGAGGAGCGGCGGGGTTCAGCGGGGATGCTGCAGCTGCAGCCTCCGACGTCTGCTGCGGCTCCCCGCCGCCCAGTTTGTCCTCGCCATCCTTCTTCTGGATCCCGTGCAACTCCGCGTGGCGGTTACTCCAGAACTGCAGGTGCGACGGCACCGCCATCTTCTTGGCCGCTGCACTCGCGGCGGCGTCGGCCTTTCGCTTCTTGGCCTTGTCGGTGTCCCTGCTGCCCTTGGTTGGTCCCTCCTGACCAGCAGCCCTGTCTCCCTTGCCGCTGTCAAGCTCCGCGGTGGACACCGTGAGCTCCTTGACGTAAGCCTCTTCGTCCCAGTACATGAGTTTCAGGGCTGGGTTGTTCAGCGGGCTGAACGTGAATCGTTCATTGCTGGGGGTGGGGTTCAGGACCGGGACAAAGACACCAGCATGGATGTAGCTGACGAGGACCGGCCTCGAGGAGATGGTAAACTTGTCGAATGAATTGAGTCGGGTGATGGCAGCTTGTGCATCCTAGGACTATGTTAACAAGGCCTTGGGGAAACTAGGAGCGACATACCTGAATAGTTGCAAATTCCGCAAACCCGTAGCGCCAGCTCTCGTTGGTTTTGCGACCCCTCACAAGCAGGACACGGCGAATGGAGCCATCTCGAGCCCCGAGGTTGGAGTCACCCGTGGTCGAAGCCACTTTAGCTCCCTTCTTTGCACCTCCTGTGGCATCATTGCTGGAAGACGAAGGACGGTACAGCTTCGCCACGCCCTTGGCCAGAAGTTCTTCGGTGACCGACGATTCCAGTCCGCGGAAAAGCAGGAACTGCGAGGGTTGGTTCTCGGGCGCCGCATCATTATCGCCGTGGTTATCGACTCTCGGGGCCGGTAGTCCAGGAGGACCTGCGGGGCCGCCATCTGGTCCGGATAAGCTTACTTCGAGTGGACGTTCCCATGAGCAACATACCAGGTCGAGGTGCTTGACAACGAAAGCACTTTTGACGAGTAGAATAATTGACAATGGCACACTAGACAATTTAGCTCTTGAATCAAGCTGAAAGTGGCTCAATTCCGGCCTTACCATCATGCAGGTCCAATCAGCCTCCGCGCGCGCCCGAGCACGGTCCTCTCTCTCGCGACTGTAGGCGATGCGCACCTTAGTGCCGCGGTCATTATGTGGATTGGGCCCATGGAGATATATGCTAGGGAAATTGCGTTCGATGAACGCCCGCGACTGGTTGAGATCTCGGAATCTCAAGAAGCCCAGCTGACGTGACACCTCTGGAAGCCATGATTAGCTTGACTGATAACGAAAACCGAGCATCACTTACTTGTCTGTCGATCACGAATGACACGGACGTCATCCAGACCATTAACATTGTAGAATTCCTTCAACTCATTCGTAATCTGTTCAAACCTCGACCAGACATCTCAGCTTCTTGCCATCAAATGACGGTGTTTCGGGGAGCGCCGCTCTGGCGCGTCGGCCACGACAAAGAAACATGACAAGGGAAAGGAGTTGTCGCACGTCTTCTTCCACCATTTCCACCGGCAACCCATCCATCATCACCTCCCGACTCTCTTGCCCGTAATGCGAATGCCGGCCGCGGCGGGGGCTGCGACTGCGGCTGCGACTGTAGCTTCGGCTCCGGCTGCCGTATCCGGGGGAGCGGTAGCCCTCGCGGTCGCGGTCTCTGTACGCCTGTCTGCCGCGCCGCGGTGGAGGGGGGGAGCGTGAGGAGCGGCGGCGAAAGTCATCGCGGTCCCGACTGCGGTAACGAGGTCTCGAGCTGGGTCGATCTCTGGTATGGTCTCCTCTTCTCTCTGAAGCTGGTCCCCGCGGAGGAGAGTGGGGCAAATCTTCTCATGGCGAAGCAGAGTCAGTTACTACCATGTCCAAAGCAAAGGATAGATATGTGGACGGTTCATTAAAGCATAGCCTTCGCCCTGTGCTACTGGTTTGCGGGGAGGAGGGCGTAATACCGCCAGGCGAGCGCGATCGGGAAGGCGAGCGATCATCGTACATCCGGCCGTCCCGGTCATCGCGGCGGGGAACAGGTCGATGTGGAGGTCCCGAAGGAAACCGGTTGTCTTCGGGATTGAAATGCGACATGATGGACAGTCATGGAGGAGTAGACGAGGGAAGAAGTTGGGGCTGCGCTTAGAGAGATGCCGTCCGCGGCATAAAGACGCACGCGGCAGATTCGCTGACCGCTTGAGACACCGCTTACCGCTAATGGTCGAGTTCATCTGTTGTGCTACTAGCTCCTTTTGTCTTAGCGGCTCGAGGCCTGCAGTATCGATCCATTCATTCATTGTCCATTGAAGATTGATTTCTTGCTGAAGTATACATGCTTCTGCAGAAATTTACTGAGGGTCATAACAGTTGCCTTGTCATGGAAGCTATCGACTGGAAACTCAGCAGCGTTTCTCCCGCATAATGCGAGGATGATTGAACCACTTCTATGAACAAATATTGTTCTCTCTTCTCTCTTCGGAGATACAATATCATGTACGGTGTGTGTACATTGGCTGGTTGGTCGGTTGTCAGGAGACCGTCTCATACCTAAGTATGTGGCTCAGTTGCGGTCAGCCTAAATATGGTTGTCACGCAGGCTGCCGCGGATGTTATCCTTTGCAATAACTAATTCTTAACGCGTGATGCAATGAATTACAAAGCAAGAATTCGGGTTTGAAAAATGAAGACATACATTCTTAGGGATGTCCACGGGAGCCGAGCAGCCGAGGGCGGACAGCGCCTTGTAGGGCTGAGCCTTCCGAGCCAGGGTCCTTCTTCAGCACCGAACCCTGAAATGACTTATAACAAATGTACTTGCCAGGTGTCTGAACTGCTGGCAGGACACACAGCCACGTCTGCATGCATTTCATACTTTCGACTACCTTAAGTGGCCTCATGGACATGGCCAACGCGGTTCCAGCACACCACATAAATAAAGTCATCAAGTCAGAGCTGACTTTCACATTTCCTCGGGCCCCGAGATCCCCACCCCCGACCCTCTTCCAAGCACCATGATTTCTGTTGCCTGGTCTGACTGCCCATAACTGCCCAATCGGCAGCGATGGGTCAGGGTCTGGTGGAGTTCGTAGGGTTCGAATGGTTTCTCTTACCATACTTCTTCGAACTCCGAGGCTGTCCGTATGACATGCGCAGTGCGATCACCAGGGGAAGAGGCGCCCCCATTCCAGGCAGCAAAAGTCAGCACCCGCCGTGGCTGAGTTCTAAACTCTGCTGTCTTCTTCGGTCCTATTTCTGAGCCACACACAATTGAGAGAAACTCCCCATTCGCCCTGGATGGACCGGAGCCTATATAAGACGGTCGATCCCAACGGTTACGGTTAAGACGTTCGCCCTCGGTGGATGGAACTCAATTGCCCAGTCTTGGCAATTACTACTACGCCATGAAGCTCACGAGGTTCTCGCTTTCAACGCTGCTTGCTCTCGGGTCTATCCCTGGTATGATCCTCAGACCGTGTTGCGCCATACAAGCACTGGCTTACTGACTCTAGACTTAGCAGGCAGCATTGCTGTTCCTACCTCGGGCGATGTGACATTTGAAGCCCTCTCACGACGTGCCCTTCCCAACGCTCCCGATGAATATACTCCAAGCAACGTGACCTGCCCCTCCAGCAGGCCGACAATTCGAAGCGCATCCGCGCTGTCCAAGAATGAAACTGCATGGCTGGATGTGCGCCGTCAGCAGACCATCTCTCCCATGAAGGGCTTCTTCGGACATATCAACATGAGCGACTTCGACGCGGTGTCCTACATCACCAACCATGCTTCCAACGTGTCCAACCTACCCAACATCGGTATCGCCGTGTCCGGTGGCGGCTACCGGGCGTTGACGAACGGCGCCGGTGCCATCAAAGCCTTCGACAGTCGCACGGAGGGATCAACTCGGAGCGGCCAACTGGGGGGTCTTCTGCAGTCCGCAACGTACCTCTCGGGCTTGTCTGGAGGCGGCTGGCTTCTGGGCTCGATCTACATCAACAATTTCACCACCATCTCCAATCTGCAGACCTACAAGGAAGGAGAAGTGTGGCAGTTCCAGAACTCGATCATCAAGGGGCCCAAGACGAAGGGCCTGCAGATCTGGGATACGGCGAAATACTACGAGGAACTGGTCAAGGTCGTGGCCGGGAAACGCCACGCCGGGTACAACATCTCCTTCACCGACTACTGGGGCCGCGCGCTCTCGTACCAACTCATCAACGCCACCGACGGAGGACCCAGCTACACCTGGTCCTCCATCGCGCTGACCCAAGATTTCAAGGACGGCAAGATGCCCATGCCGCTCCTTGTCGCGGACGGCCGCAACCCCGGAGAGGTTCTGATCGGCAGTAACTCCACCGTGTACGAGTTCAACCCCTGGGAATTCGGGAGCTTCGATCCGTCGATCTTCGGCTTCGCGCCGCTCGAATACCTCGGAACCTACTTCGAAGACGGGCAGGTCCCCGCCAACTCCACCTGCGTGCGCGGCTACGACAACGCCGGGTTCGTGATGGGGACGTCGTCGAGTCTCTTCAACCAATTCATCCTGAAGCTCAACACGACGGACCTGCCCAGCACGCTCAAGAACATCGCGGCCGACATCCTAGAAGACCTGGGCGAGCGTAACGACGACATCGCCATCTACTCGCCCAACCCGTTCTACCAGTACCGCAACGCGTCGGTCGCGTACGAGCAGACGCCGGACCTCAACGTCGTCGACGGCGGCGAGGACAAGCAGAACCTGCCCCTGCACCCGCTGATCCAGCCCAACCGGCACGTGGACGTGATATTCGCGGTGGACTCGTCAGCCAGCACGGCCAACAGCTGGCCCAACGGCAGTCCCTTGGTGGCGACGTACGAGCGCAGCCTCAACGCGAGCGGCATTGGCAACGGCACCGTCTTCCCCAGCATCCCCGACAAGAACACCTTCATCAACCGGGGGCTCAACACGCGGCCCACCTTCTTCGGCTGCAACAGCTCCAACATCACCGGGCCCGCGCCGCTGGTCGTCTACCTCCCCAACTACCCGTACACCACCTACTCCAACAAGTCGACCTTCCAGCTCAAGTACGAGATCGCCGAGCGCGACGCGATGATCACGAACGGCTACAACGTCGTGACCGTCGGCAACGGGACCCGCGCGGCGTACGCCGACTGGCCGACGTGTGCCGGCTGCGCCGTGTTGGCGCGGTCGTTCGATCGCACTGGCACGGAGGTGCCGGCCGTCTGCACCAGCTGTTTCGAGAAGTATTGCTGGGACGGCACGCGGAACAGCACGGAGCCGGCCGCGTACGAGCCGAGTGTGCTGCTGGCGAGTGCGAAGAAGTCAGGCGCGGGAGGAAGGGAGGCGTTCGCCGCGAGGTGGTTGTATATAGTCGTCCCGGTAGTTGCAGTGTGGATTGGGTTGGTTTGACCCCGGCCAGACCCAACAGGTGAAATACATCACAAGTAGTTCCAATGGGACCCTCACATGTATGAGCTCAAGTTACCCTCCCACAACAGTAACTAACCAAAGCTCCCTCCCCTCCTCCCCCCGAACCAAACACTCCAACTCCCTCAGAAAAGCCACTATCCAAAAGGCACCCTCCGCACAACCCCCAACCTCAGCCCGACCACCAAGCAATACAACCCCAACGTCCCCACCGCATCCAGAAACCGGCGGTGGTTTTGGGTGTGGGCTTGTGCGTTCTTCGGGGGTTTGCGGGGTTGGTTCTGTAGATGCTGCAGGGGCTTGGTGGGATGTGCTTGTCTGCACTCTGGTGGACTTTTGGTGCATTCCTGTCCGTACTCCGGGGACTGATGGCGGTTCTGAACTGCGCTGGACTGGGGTTTTATGGCAAGCTGACCCTACCGCACCACCGCACCACCGCACCACCGCAAAAGCCATACTCCGAACGCGGCCCTTGAATTCTACCTTCCCTCCCTTGCCTCCGGGTGCAGGAGCAGGAGCAGCATCAGCAGCATCAGGAACAGGAAAAGCCGTAGACATACCCAGATAGCCACACCAGGCGCGCAATCGCAGCAGAAGCTCTGTGGGTTGTTGGGGCAGGGGCGTGTCTGGCGTGGTGAGTGGTGGTGCATGAGTATACTCGGGGGGGTGAGGTGAGGGTTGTGGGCGGGTCTGGTTCCCATGTTCTCATAGTTGAGGTCCGTTTCAACTGAAGTAGTTAGTGGGTGAGGAGGGAAGGGGTGAGGTACCGGGATGAGATGTCCAGGTAGACAATTCTTGACTGTGGAGTGGGCAGGCCGATGTTCTGGGCATGTTTCTGGCTGGGCCGGGTGTGTTGGGTGTTGGGCTGGGAGGTGGAGGTGGTGTTGCTTGTATGGGTTGGAGAGCTGAGGTTGGGAGGCTCAGGTGAGGATTTGTGTGGATAATGGATATGACCATTACTTCTTGAAGAATTGAGGTTGTGGGTTCTGTGTGTGTCATAAGAAAAGGAGGAATTGTGGTGGAGGGGATAGATGGGAGACAAGGAGAAGAGTGTTGAGATGAGGTATTGCTGGAGAGCAGGCTTCAAAAGCTGGGTATTGTTTTTCTCATTAACAATTGCTGTCTGTGCGAATTCTTCTGGCTGTACTGGACATTGTCAATGCATTTGCTTTGATATTTCGTTGGGAGCATCAGGCTGTGAGACTTGGGACTGGATTCAATCATCAACTTCACAGGCCTTGCTATGTGATTAGAACAGCGCTTTCATCCTTTCTCGTTTATCATTGCATCTTTCTCCCCACCCCTACCCAGGTCAGGGGAAGTATTCCAATGGAACCATATCTAATACGCAAACCCCAGGATCTAGATGCATGCCCAAGACTCCCTCAAAAGTGAAGTCACATCTTATTAAAAGTCTTGCTAATTCATTCATTTCATATTCAGCACGTCATCAGATCATTTCACGCCTGCACCAGCACAACCACCGCCTCATACGGACGGAGCGACCATTTCCCACCACTCTGAAACCTCCCCTCAGCCAATTCGGTGCTCTCGTAAGTGTTCAGAACCACCCCCTTCACGGCCTCCACCCCATTGGCGACCGGATCCCACTCCAGCGTCTGGTCAGTCCAGTTGGCCAGCACCAGCGCCTTCTGGTCCTCGTACTGCCGGGTGTACGCGAAGACCTCCTGGCTCTCCCGATCGACCAGCGTGTAATCCCCGTAGACAAAGATATCCAGGTACTTCTTCCGCAGCCCCAGCACGGAGGACCAGTAGTGGTACGTCGACTGCGGGTCCTTGACCTGCGCCTCGGCGTTGACGCGCTCGGAGTCGGGATTGACCGACATCCAGGGCTTGACGTTGGGGTCGGTGAAGCCGCCGTTCGGGCCCGCAGACCATTGCACCGGGGTGCGGCCGTTGTCGCGGGACTTCTTCTGATATTCCTGGCGGGCGATCTTCTGCGCTTCGGTGTCATCCGGCTTGTGTTTGAGCAGTCTGTAATTCGAGTCCAAGTTAGTCTCTACTACCGCAGCTTTTACAGCAGCTTTCCTTATCTTCCGCGCAGGAACAAGCTCACCTATGCCAGTGGTTGAGGCAGTCAATATCCTTATACTCGCTGATATCCCACTCCACGGGCACATTTCTCATCCCCAGCTCCTGACCCTGGTACACAAACGGCGTGCCGGACTGCAACGCCAGAATCGTCGCCAGCATCTTTCCCGCCTCGGTGCGGTACTCCTCCTTCGCGTTCGTGTACCGGTCAATCGAGCGCGGCTGGTCATGGTTCTCCCAGTACAGGGCATTCCAGCCATCGTTCTCGTACATGAACTTCTGCCACGTCTCGAAAAAGCTCTTGAGGTCGGTGAGCTTCCAGCTGCCGGGCTGGAACTTGTCGCCGTACGGGCCGTGATCGATGTCGACGTGCTCGAAGTTGAAGATCATGTTAATCTCGTTGCGGTCGTAGCGCACGGCGCGGAGGACCTCGTTGGTGTCGCGGACGAAGGGCATCTCGCCCACGCTGAAGGCGTCGTACTCCTTCAGGATCTGGCCAATGCCCTGCAGGTACTCGTGCAGTCGCGGACCGTTGGCGTAGTACTTGTCGCCCCACTGCCAGGGCGTCCGCGGATCCTGGACCGGCGCATCGGGAAACCGCTGGTCCTTGCTGATGAAGTTGATGACGTCCATCCGGAACCCGTCGGTGCCCTTGTCCAGCCAGAAGCGCACGATCTCGTGCACCGCCTGGCGCACGGGCGGGTGCTCCCAGTTGAGATCCGGCTGTTCGGTCGCGTACAGGTGGAGGTAGTATTCCTGGGTGTGCTCGTCCCACTGCCAGGCGCTTCCTGTAGGTGCAAATATTAGCAATCTGCCCTCCCTTTGGTAGCGGAAATAGAGCCAAAGTTTACCTTGGAAATGTGAAACCCAATTGTTGGGCGGTTGGCGGTTGCCCTGCTCGTCGTACCGCGCCGGCTTCCAGACGTACCAGTTCCGGTACTCGTTGTCCTTGGAACTGCGCGACTGCTTGAACCACTCGTGCTGGTCGCTGGTGTGGTTCACCACGAGATCCATGAGCAGCTTCATGCCCCGCGCGTGGCAGCCCTGGATCAGGTTCTCGACGTCCGCGACCGTGCCGTACTCGTCGGCGATGCTGTAGTAGTCGGAGATGTCGTACCCCATGTCGACCTGGGGCGACTTGTACGAGGGGCAGAGCCAGACGATATCGACGCCCAGGTCCTTGATGTAGTCCAGCTTCGAGACGATGCCGGGGATGTCGCCGATGCCGTCATCGTTGCTGTCTTTGTAAGAGGCGGGCCAGATCTGATAGACAGAGCTTTCCTTCCACCAGGCGCGGTGAATCTGGGAGGAAGGTTTGGGCATCACGGGCTAAATGTGAATTACGAAGGGTGGTCAGGGATGGATGACCGTGAGAGTTGAGGGTAATTGGAAAAAGGAGGGGTCGATCATCCTTCTTATTTGTTTGTGTAGCTGGCAATGAGGGGCAGTGCTTCTGCGCTGGAGGTGTGCTCCATCGAAGATCAACTCGGGTGTCTCGCATGCGGAGAAATTCTCGGTGGGTTTGGTTGTCCACTTCTCCGGGGTCGTATGCCACTCATGCTTCAGGCTTGGGTGGATCAATTGTCCACAATCTTCCAGTCTCTAATGGACATCTGGTGTGTGGTTCCACCCACTTTTTGAGGAAATGAGAGAGGGTGGAGAGGGGATGAGATGATCCCCTGTTGTGCTGGAGGGGCACAGATGCAATGGCCAACTGGCAACCGCCACTATGCAACTCATCCTGTCTCTCGGTCCGACTTCTGACCAATTGGCTTGTGAGAATCAATCCAAACAACTGCCCCTCAACCATGGCGTGCAGATTTGAGTATGTCCGGAATGTAAACTCTAAGTAGGCGAGCTGTGCTTCTGGTACACCAAGTACAACGGCCAGTGGAACCTACTCAATGAATATAGCACTACCAGCGTTAAGGATCGATCTCGAGTCGAATCTGAAGCATAGACACCGACTGCATACACGTTAGCGTCATTATAAACTTGTAGATAATTCAGGCACAACTATAAACCGGAATTTCCCCGCCGGCAATCGGTTGAACTCCGTCCCCGGCTTACTACCATTTACTATAAAGGTAAGACCATTATCTGCATAAATAGAGGACTGGTTTTGATCTGATCTTCCAAGTTGAATTCGCATAAGTCCAAGGCCCCCGGAACCATCACTTACAAGATGGCCATCTACCACATTGGTACCCCAGCCCCAACTCCGCTATCTCTCCATACATTAAGTGCCTATCCCTGTAACTGACAGCCCCCATCCAGTCCTCTTCCGCCTCAAACCCGGCGTCAGCAAGGCCCGAGTTGACCATTGGTCCAGCCTAGCAAAGGGCATGGTCGGTCAGATCCCTGGTAAGCTCGAGCGACTCACTTTCTACCTGTTTATTGTACAGTGTCTATACTAAGCCCTCCCCAGGTCTCCGAGAACTCCAAGCCGGCGGCCCCCTCGCAGCCACGGCCGCCAGAGCCAAGGGCTTCGATATGGGAATTGTGGCTATCCTGGAGAAGCCAAATGATGTACAAACGTATGCTGCGCATCCTGCGCATCTGGAGTGAGTTGATCCGTTCTGTCATCGAAGATGCCCAGAGACTAATCGAATTTTGTAGGGTGCAGAAGTTGAGAGAGGAACTGTGCGACGATGCGTTGGCTTATGACTTGGAGTTTTGAGGCATGGAAGTAAATGAACAGGGGGTCTGCTTGGGCAGGAGGAGAAGGATGGGGAGCAAGCTACAAGATGTACATACTGTCAGGCAATGAGATTCTGGATACACGCGCTTATTTTACACTGCATCTGAACATCTGCCATGCTCCAACCTTCTCGGCTTTCACACTGTAATCCCGGTTTATCCGGGGTATTACCAGCTTCACAGTACCCCTTCAATTCCTCAGAAAAAAAAAAAAAAAAAAAAGAAAGGATGCAAGGTCAATGACAAGCCTTCCCGTACTTCCGCAACCGCCAATAGTTATACGGCAACGGAGCCAGATACCCCGCGCCCACCGACACGCCCGCCGCCAGCCAGAACTGCGGGTCCCCGACAGCGACCACGCCCCCCGTCAGATGATAATCCACCGCATTCTCGGCGATCTCCATCGCCAGCATGGAGACCATACTCATCCCCATGGCCGTCCGGCAGGCCATCGGCAGGGAAAGCTGGTCTGCGCCCCGCCAGAGGAGATATGTTTCAAGAAGGATGGAGGTGGTGATGCCGGAGGCCACTGGTTACGGAGTGTCTGAGGTCAGTTGTTTGGGAATATCGGAATACAAAGACAACACGTACTGGATAGTCCCATAATCGTGCCCATCCCGAGATCTGGGGTAAAGCTTTGCAGCATCCAGAGGGCGGAGAAGTCACCGATGGTGCAGCCGATGAGGCACCGCAGGGTGTTGATTCGTGCGCGCTTCCATGAGGAGCGGCAGGTCCAGAACGAACGATTAAGGATAGAGGATGTTGAGGGCTGTGGTGCAGAGCTTGCGCGGGTTGTCTGTGGGCTATGTTGTTTTGAAGTTGTATTGTTGTGGCATGGTTTCGATCCTTCCGTGGGTGGAGAGCACTGTTGGTGGTATATTCGGGAGCCAAGGAGGGAGGATAAGGACGGAGATAGTCTTGTCCGTTGGCATATGACACTTCTGCAGTGAAGATGCATCTTTATCCTATTGTTTCTGGGAAAGCGCTCATAAGGTGTTTCATTTCCAGGCACAGAAAAGGAAAACGGGCCGGGTTCGTCGTTCTTTATTGCGATAAGATTCTGCCTCCCATTAACGCGAAAATCGCGCATTCGGCGAATGCTTTCGGGGACTTGGTTAGAGTGTTCTTCTTTGGCAGATTTCGGAGAAATACACTTGGTGTTCAAGTAAGGAGGATTGAGATTATTTTATGCCTTTTTGTGTAAATTTATGCCTTTTTTGACCTCAGGCCTAGTTGATTGATTGGTAGAGTGTGTGGCGACTAGAGTATAGAATGTCCACTACTGAACACCGCAGATACCACTTCCTGAAGAGCAAATTATCGCCGTGGCTTTGCGTAAGATCGAGTAATTTGCACATATTTCAGCAGCGCGTACTAAATCGATCTGCGGTGGCTCGCAAATACCGCGCTTTACGTTCTGGCTAGGGAATTTGGGGGCAGTACGTTGCTTCAGAAATGCGCACGAGAGACTAGATTCGTAGGTGGTAACAGCCGATGCCATACAACCCTGACAAGCTCCAGAAGTATTATGAGATTCCTGGGATTCACTTGCGTAGACACCATGCAAGAGATTAATCCGAAGTCCAGATTCATGCGCCGTCGGGGTCTAGAAATCTAGAGAGGCTACGGAGTAACTCAAAAGTCAACCGCAATCAATCACCGCGGATCAGGGGACAACTACCCGCTAGTCCTGATCTGGTAAACGTCACTGTAGACTTGACCGCCTGCTTGTTCGGTCAGCTCCCCGCTGATCATTGATAAGCTATCTGAATGTAGTCATCGCATGTTGCCTTTATCTATTTTCTATTCTTGTTCGTCTGCCATTGATCTCGACTGGAACACATATACGAGTACTTATTTTCATCGATCATTCCCTCTACAAGCATCATCTCATCCATTCATTATCCAAATCTCACTCCGAGACCCCCAAGTGAACCACCGCAACAACAAACCAGACACATCACCACCCACCCTCCTCCCACGCCGTGACAGCACCGAACAATACACAACCACAAACCCTCCACGAACCCACCATGACCACACCAACCCAACCCCTCTCCGAACCACAAACCCAACAACAACAACAACAACAACAACAACAACAAGAAGTCCCACCTCAACCCTCCGAACACCAACCCCCCCAAAATCAATCCGAACCCCTCCCTCCCCACCTAAACCCAACCACCTACCCCCGCACCACCACGAACCCAACCCTCAACACGCACATCACGCTCACCTACGCTCCGCTGGACGCCACCGCAGCCCTGACCCTCGTCTCCTCACCGCAAGCCGGCGCCAACGTGCTCTTCCTGGGCACCACGCGGGACACCTTCGGGGACCGCGCCGTCGCCCAGCTCAGCTACACGGCGTACCCGCCGCTGGCGCTGAAGACGCTAGCCCAGATCGCCGAGGCCGCTGTGCACGCCCACGGCCTGCTGGGCGTGGCGATCGCGCACCGGCTCGGCGACGTGCCCATCGGGGAGAGCAGTATCGCCATCGCGGTGAGCGCGGGCCACCGCGGCGCGGCGTGGCGGGCCGGCGAGGAGGTGCTGGAGCGGTGCAAGGAGCGGGCGGAGATCTGGAAGCGCGAGGTATTTGTCGATGGGGGCGGGGAGTGGCGCGAGAATCGGGAGAGGGATCGTGAGGGGGAGTTGGTGGGGTGATTTTCCTTGCAGTGTTGTTGGAAGGGGGAGGGGGAGGGATTGCATAGTTGGTTTGAAGGGCATTGGAGCGGTGTATATTGGAACTGATAGCTGGAGGAATATTTGTTGCTATTATAGCAAAAATATCTACATTAACTTTGTATACTACTCGGTGAAAAAGCAAGTTCGGCCAGACGTCTAGATAAAATAGTCATGGCTTTGATTGAGTGGGGAGGCCGCTCCCATCCACAAACATTCAAATGTCCTCATGATTTTACAGAGTAGGGTATTATATTGTACACACATGGCCCCCCAGGCTAGAAAACGACGAATCTAATCCTTCCTCAAAGGCTTGCCCTCGCGCTTCCAATCGTTAATGTGCTCCATAATAGTCCGCGTGGCGGACTCAGGCGTGTCCTGACGTCCGATACACTCCACAAAGTCGTTATCGGGGTCTGCAAAAGCACGAGAACATATTAGCCTAGGCCCTTTCACCCAAGTCCCAAGGGAAAAAAAAGAAAACTCACCCATAAGGTAAAAGTAGATACTATGATCCACCAAATAATCCTCCCCGGGCTTGATATCCCGCGGCGTACTGAAGTACACCCGATACTGCTTGCACACATTGCGCACCTGGTCGTACGTGCCCGTCAACCCGATGATGCCCGGGTGGAACTCCTTTAGGTACTCGCGCAGCACCTCGGGCGTATCGCGGACGGGGTCACACGTAATAAACACGGGCAGGAAGATCTTCTCGCCGCCGGTGGCCTCGTTGACCTTGTCGATGATCTCGGCCATCTTGTCCAGCTCGTCGGGGCAGATATCCGGGCAGTGGGTGAATCCGAAGTACACCTTGCAGCACATCCCAATCAGTTGACTGTGTCCCGGTTTAGAGGCATCAGGAAAACTCACAAAGCTATACTTCCCCTTCAGATCCTCGGCCGTGAACTCCTTCCCATCCAGATCCGTCAGCGTGAAGGGCCCCCCGACCCGCGGCTTGCCCACCCCCTTGCTCATCTCCGCGATGCGCTTGCGCTCCAGCCGCTCCTTCTCCACCCGGAAGTAGATGATCATGCCGCCGCCCGTTAGCACGAACAGCAGCGCCGACTTCCACGAGAACGGGCCCGTCGAGTTGCGCGCCTTCAGCTGGCCCATCGTCGGAGACTTCTTGAGGTGGACCCGCGAGGTCGAGAAGGCACGGTGGGCGATGGTGGTGCCATTCTTCAATTGATGGTGAGTGATGGTGTTGGTGCGGGCGGCGGCGGTTTGGGTGTTCACGGTCGTCGTCCGTGCAAGGGTTCGAGTGGCCGGGGACTCGAGCGAAAACAGGGAGGCGCGCGAGGCACGCGCAAGAATGCGGCTTGCGGGTCGGATTGAGGAGGCCATGATGTTTTGTTTAAAACCAATTGATGGGGGAGAGGGAGGGTAAAAGAAGTGGCCTGACTGCGCGGAGGATTTTGTTTCTCGGACGGGGAACGAACCACGGCGGTCGGTCGGGGTCGGAGGTGTGGTTTGGATGCGCCCGCCCGCCGGGGTTTGCTTGATGGAGTCCAGTTACGGTTTAGTGCGGTTGGTAGTACAGTACCCCGATCTCTATCACGTGCATCTATCTACATAGTATAGTAAGTATATCGAACAGCTATGTTCGATGACCATTTGACAACTTGACTCTACTTTTACCTTCTCATACTTTCTCATCATCGTCATCACCATCTGTTTGGCCTTCCCCAACTCCCTTCCCCCCGCGATCGTCCTGCTAACGCGGTTCCAACTCCCTCACCTCTATGCAGGGCTATCATCACGCAAACATAGGCAATATGAATAATACAGACCAGAAGACCAAGAAAACCGTTGAAACGGAAGCCACGAATTGCCCCGAGGCTGATCCGAAAGAAGAATCAGGCACTGACAAGACACTGGTTTCATGGGAAAGCGCCTACGTTTCGCAGAAGCTGTCTATGAGGTGCTATTCATTGTCAAAGCCCGCATACTCAACGGCGACTACGACCATCTTCTCTATGAGCTGTCTGATGATGACTTGTCCAACTGTCCTTGGGAAATCACTGCTCGATATGACGGTACCCCTGGGCCGCCTGAAGTGTTCTTCAACGTCAAGTCTACCCTATCCACGGACGAGAACACCCCCACTATTCGCGAGCTGCCTAAGATCGACTGTGAGAGAATCCGCCAGCACAAGCTGTAATCCAACTCTACGAGTGTGCTATCCACCTTCTCTAGGTCCACAGAAAGGTTCAAGCTAATGTCAAAGCCCTTCGCGCCTCCTGAAGCCCTGGACTGACATTCACTATAGTTTGGTTTACCCCGCATGTGGTAGATCTGAGAAGGCCAGGACTGTCCTATGTATCATTGCAAAGCAGATGGAATCATGAACTTGAGTAGCATTACATTAATTACACCGCGTGCTTTCCTCGCAAGCAAAGACTGGAGATCCATGGAGAGAATGTGTCCCATGCAGGCAACGCTCGCTGGATCTCAGGTTCTGGGCCAAACGGAATATGCGGGTCAAATATGGCACATGGAATGTGATTGAAGGAGACATAACGAAAGCGGAGCAAGGAGGTATTGTCGTACGAGAAACAAAAAGAAAGCACATGACCGAAGGAGACGTGACGACACGCAGGACGAGCTTGGGCCGAAGTTGGCCCTCAAGCGGTATGTACGGTAAAGCTTTCCATCTCACTGTACACTTCGGCTAGCCATACTGGCACGACTAGGCGTGGTGCGCGGCTCTTCTTCTTCAATGACATCACTTAGGCGAGTAGGATGGCGATGCCGGGGAGTCATTGATTCCCACCCAGAGCCGACGCCCCAGCCCGAGCCACTGTAGTCGACAGCTTGGTTGTAACCACCATAGATAGACCCGGACGAGGCAGGCAGCGAGCTGGGAGGGTATCCTGTTTCATCTAGTGAGCCGTGTTCATACTCGTCGCTTCCTTCGGACATTGTCGGAGGATAAACAATTGGCCCTTGTGGATTGCGGCGATAGCTGGCCCCGAATTCGTCTTCGCCTGGTTCACTGCTGGCTACACTGGGACCATACGATCGATCGTCATTTTCTGATGTGGGTCGAGCAGGGTAGCCAGGCTCTTGCTCGTAATAGTGCGCAGGATACTGCCTCTGAGTTTCTGCAGACGAGGAAGCCGGTGGCGGTCTTTCGACAAAAGGATCCGTGCCGGTGGGCGATGCAGCAGTCTCGCCATAGTATTGGCCTTCGGTGTCCACCGTGCTCTTTGGCGCTCCCTCCTCACTAGTGGCCCCACCGGTTGCATAGGGGCTCTCGCGAGTTTGGGGACGGGTGGTCGATGCCTGACGATGCGAGGCTCCAGTAACCATGGGCACCACTTGCACTCCTCCTACCAATGTGGGCTCGCCGTTACGGAGGGAGTTGGTCCTCTCGCGCTCCTCCTGCTCGCGCCGACCAAGTTCTTCCCAGGCGCGGCGAGCCTCTTCTTTCGAGATTTGCAACTCCCGACGCATCTCTTTGAGTAATTCTTCCGCACGCGACTTGTCGCTTTCAGCCTTCTGCAAGGAAGCAAGAGCGTCCGCGCGGGCCTGTCGTTCAGTTCGGATCTGCCGCTCGAGATCTGCTTGCAACTCCTTCGCTCGTTCTTGTTCCGTGCGGGTATCGAAGAACCAGCGCTGAAATTTCCGCTCAGACGATGCGCGCAATCGCTGCAACTCCACAACGGCGTGAAACAAATTTGCACCAGCCGCAGAAAGGTCAGTGACTTGACGAGCCATCTGCTGGTTAAGAGGATCTCGCTCGAGTCCTTCGTTGTTCTGTTCCAGCTTGCGAATCCAGTAGCCTGTCAATCCTTCCCAGTGAGAAGATAGAGTCTCCCAACGCTCGAAGGCATGCGGGAAAGGCACTCGACGAGATTGCTGTTGAGGTTGAGATCCCGTGCTCGGTTGATTAGACGCTGGGGCTTGGCCTTGCGGTTTGGAAAGCCCTGCAGAGCTCTGAGGCGGGATTTGGGACTGCTGAGCTGGATTAAATTGTCCTGCCGATGTCGTCGGCCTTGCATGACCATGTCCCACACCGGTGCCTGCTGCCTGTGTGGGAGACAGAGGGTCTGGTCGTCGAGCGTTGCTAGTCGACCGTTCTGGAATAGTGGTGGTGCGTAAGTCTTGCGCCTCCGGCCCTGTGGGAGCCCTTTGCGTCGCTCGCCGTTGTGAGCCTCTGTCACCGGCAACGCCAGCAGCATAAGGCTGCGCTTGCCCTTGAGCCTTGCTTTGCTCCTGCTCCCGATCCCTAGCTTCCTGTTCTGCCTTCTTGCGAGCCTCGCGATCCCGGCGCTGTCTCATGATGTCCGTTGGAGTCCGCACACCACTTGGCGGGTGTGGATTGACATAAACTGGGCCCTGGGCGGCTCGAGACGATCCATTCTGGGTGCGGCCATTGGCGCTGAAGCCGGTTGTACCTGCGGCGTCAGACATGGGCGCATTCACTTCTTCCCAATCTGTTGTGAAGGGGAATGGTTTGCGAATCGCTTCTTCCAGCGTCCAGAGGATCGCAGATGCTGTGCGCGGGGAAACTCGTGTAGACCTACGAGGCCAGTACGAGGTGTCCGCCCGTTCAAAATGATCTTCCGGTGCCGAGTCAGCCTCTTCGTCGTGATCCGTATGCACTTCCGAAAGCGCGGGACGTATTGCCGCAATACCGTTGCCGTGGTCCGAGATTGACTGCACCAAGACAGGAATTGTTTGCTCTATTTCAAAAGGCCGTCCGGACACATCGACCGATGGTGGGCGCTGAAAATGACGAGACGTTCTCCGCAACGATCGAGTACTTCCCAAAGCACTCGACGGTCGTAGGTCTGGGTCAAAGGTAGGTTCAGGTAAGGGGCGGGGAGCAGCCTGCTGCTGGCGTTGCGGTGAAAGAGTCGTCAACGTATGTGGATCGTAAACTTCGTAGGTCTCGTCAAACGTGCCGCGATAAGGATAAGACACTGCCGCAGTGGTATGTGAGCGAGGCGGATGCGGATGCGACGACAACGTGAGTGCTGGGACTTCAATTCCCTTTCAATGGGACTCCAGGAACAGGAGGCTTGCGATCGTAGGGTGGGCTTGGTAACGTGTCAGGGGAGCTGCACAACTTTGGCACGACTCCGCTTCTTGTCCAGCACACGCACGATACACCGGCCACTGAACAGGCAATGGTAGGTCAGTAAAGAGGAGACAAGTGGAATGTGGGTATCTCGGGGGATTGAAACACGGGGAGGAACAGCAAAGAGGAAGAGGAGAACATTTCTGAGCGAGCCACGCGACTAAAATTGACAGTGGCTGGTCGAATGAGAAGGGTCGTTGCGGAAAATGCGATGGCTGGGAGTGGGAATCGGAAGCTGCAGTTGCGCTCACCTGTTCCTGAAAAAGCGCCCTGCCAGACCGCAACGAGCACTACTTCAGAGGCCCGTGGCCGGCATGAAGCAGAGCAAGACAGCCCAATTGCCTCCTTACAAAAAGGGGAGAAAGGGAGCCTAAGCTATGAAGCGGTCTGGATTAAGGGCGTGTGAAGACTGAAGACAACAACCAAGTAGGAAGAAAAGAAAGATGAAAATTGGATTGGAAGGATTGGAAGAATTGGGCAAGAGCTTGCTTAGGAAAGAAGGGAAGGTGAAACGGGGGTTTTAGCCGGTACCAAAGACTGTACCATAGAATAGGTAGGAACGTACCAAACAATTGAGTAAATCTACCCGATCGCAAATCGATGGTCGATGGTTATGGATTCACCAACTCTGACTACGACCCTTGTCACCACTTGATTGCTGTTATACGGAATCGAGAACGGACGAAAAAAGATGACGTTGATTCATTTCTGCGCAGCGCAAGGACCAGATCAAAATCCCACACACCCACACACCCACACACCCATTCAAACTTGTCTTCCTTGCCTTCCAACCCCCCCGGCCTTCACAGGTTGCACACAGCTCAATTGAGGCCGACTGCGACTCGTCGGACAACTAGCAGGCTGAGTACCCAAGGTGACTGATTTCATAAGTCATAAGTTTGCCTGAGTGTACTCGTATTGGAGTTCCGTTCCTTCTGTTGATCGCGGATTGATCGCCTTTAGATCAGTGTTGGATCTCGACAATCTCCGTCAGATCTTTCCCCCTCCACGCGAACCAGACAAACATTCATCATCATTTACATCGATGAAGAGCCATTGCATCATCGCGACAAACCGCCCGGGAATTAAGTATATATAGAAACCCGCGCTAGCCAAGCTCTGCCCTTGCAATGGCCCAATCCGAGGCTGATGTGCTGGCGATGCCTGGATGGGATTCAGTCCCGACCCGTCATCATTAGGTCGCCGCCTGTCAACTGCTTCCTGCCCATTCTGTCGAGTCATGACTGTTTAAATGAAGTTAATGTTCATGTCGACTGAGGACAGCCTCATCATCAAGTGTTGATCCATCACCAATCATGATAACTTCACGCGAGCGAAAGCGATTTGTCGACAGTTCAGCAGTTTCTGGTTTCCGGGCTCTTGCTCCTCGACTCCACATCGGCTCCATTAGCGGAGCACAGACCTGGACTTGCTGATGGCGGTACCTTAGACTATCGACTAGTCCTCTTTTATGGTCGCACGAGAAGCCGTTGATCAATCCGGAGAAATTCGATCTGGACCTTTGATGATCTATCACTACCTTACCACCCTCGGGTTCAGGTGCTACCAATAAGACTCAGCAAACGAGACCCCTGGTCCATTTAGTTCGTCGTCCTGGGAAAATTCATTCAGTCACAAGAGTTGGACCCTGTGTTTGTAGTCACAATTCTTACCGGTCGGGTCTCAGTTGGTTCTTAGTGGACGTTCGGAAGCTGAAGGGTGCCAGCTACCTGGTCAGCTTACAACCATCTCCAAGCCTTCTGCGACAGACGAGTAAGATGCAAGGGCCTTTCGGCTCGGCTCCCAATTGACTTTGAGGAAAGCTTTTCCATCCGTCCCGGTTTCAGACCTATCGAACTGCCTTGCAGCCGGTCTCACACATAAAACTGCTTTGCTCACATTGTCTCCTGTTCAATTTGCCACCCGATTTGGTGGGAGCGAGAAAGTGATTGATGATTCAAAGAAAGGTGGGGAGTTGGAGCGCCGCTTGTGTCAAGGCTTTCGACCAAGTGCAGCTCACAAGACGACTACGACTACAACTAACTTAGTCTAATAGGTCTTCTCTGAGGTCTTATCACCAAGGTACGAATCTAGACGTCGGCAGGAGGTGACAGCTGTGGTGCCCGAAACGTCGTGCAGAAACTCCCCGTGAAGAAATCCCAGAGAATTACATGCAACATCCCTCAGGACAGCAATCGACACCAAGAATCTAGTCTATGCATCGGCCCATGAGTCTAGGTGACATTCAAGGGGGCGATCTTATGCTAACCGTACTCTGTATGGCGACTATGGTCGCGCTTCATGTCTCACGCAGGTCCCCTCAGAGGTAGATTTGCGTCAAAGCATGCATAAGGTGAATTAAGACCATAGCCTGATACGCAGGTCCGGAATGTGGGCCTTACAATGCGTTGCGTCTCCGACGGACCGAGAGTTGACCAGTAGGCAAGATTGAGGTAGTTCGAATCTCTCATTTCCTCTGTTCTGATGTGTTCTGATGTCCTTAGTATATCTGGGACAAACCAACATGGAGAGTGCTCTTGAAATAAACAAGCGCCACGAAAACGAACCTGCTGCTATGTTTGTAACGATAGTATTGGACAAACCTGCGATTCACTGATACGACTGCCAGCAGTAGCTAGAAAGGGTGCTGCTGTCGTCACTATATATTTTCGGAAAGACACCACAAGATGCACCTGCGGGCTCGTTGCCACCAGACGACCTCCATTACGCTTAAATCAAGGAACCGGCAATGATCGAAGTTTAACATTTACGACTTGCACATAGGATAAGTGCAGAATTTGTCATTGAGAATTGTTCCCTATTTCTTTCAATTGCCTGCAAGCGAGTGATGATTTGCGACAGAGAAGCGCTCGAACAGGGATAAACCTCCTCTCCAGCCCTTGGTCTGGACGATGGGTGACCAGCAAGGACTCACAGGAGATGCTCACAGGCCAACGGACCAGCCTGTCGGAGATTAGGAGAAAGAAGGATCTGTTTCTTCACCAGACCACAATAGGGATGGCGTTGGAAGGCAGGCAGACAGATTTCGAAGCAGGCCTGGCTCCAGCTCCTGGGACCCTAATGCAAGCCCCCGGTATCATGGCAACCCGGTATGATAATCTGGAATGCGGGATGGACGGAAGCTGGTCTATAATTTTCTCCGAACTATGGGAACCAGTAACTGAGGCTTCGACGGGGTTTGGCAAACTACGGAGGTTTTATGACGAAAGATCCAGATTTCAAAGCTTGATTCGATTCATTGCAATCGGGCTATCGATGAACTGAATGAAGCAGTAGACCTGGATTGACAAGGGATCTTGAGGGATGTTGGAAAGGGACGACTGAAAACACGATCAAGGAGAGAAGGATCAACGGCAGGATCGACGTATCACTGCGGAACTAAGTTAGCAAGTGGCCTGTGTCCCAGCGCCCCGGATGGGCCTGATCTCTCACATTTGCTTATCCTCTACCTGCCCCTCAACCTTTGCACAGGGAAGACTTCTAGATCTTCTGTGCCTCAACCCGTCCTGTGGGTAGAGGTCTGCAATTTCTGTGTGTTCTCGTCGACTACCATACCTGGAGTCCACAAACCTTGTAGCTACTTGTGGATCGGCCCTGGCCTCGTTCGCACACAAACCAAAAAGTCTAAGCCAGCTCTTCACAATCCGTTCATTCGATGTCAAAGCATCAACCCGCGCAGTGCGGGAGAAATCGACGTGGTGGTTGGCGCCCTCAGGGCCCTCAGGGCCCTCAGGGCCCTCAGGGATACGAAAACCAACCGCGAAAGGTGTTGATGTCCTTCCTCTTTCGGGGGTACGTGCACAACAAGGAAGCTTAACGGGAATGGCCCAAAAAGAATTATACTTGGGTTAATCCTGGAGTTTGTTATGAGACCCCGCGCCAACTAAGTTGCGGATCGAGATTCCGAGCCTCCCTTGCTCCTGCGTCGAGGGGCGACCTGCCTTGCTGCACATCTTCATCCCTACCGAAGGACAGGAAGATGTAAGGTCTGATAGGTCATTGGAGTCTGTCCCCACGGACGTTAGAGCTTTTGTTTACACCTCTGAGCATTGGCATGCGTCGAGCTCCTCCCCGGCCTAGCCACCGTTGCAATGGTTGGATATGCCCTAGGTGGGCCACGGCGACGTTGTTATTTTTGGCGAGATATGTATAAACATATTCTCCCCTTGGTCCTCGCCATTCTTGATTTCACTGTCACAATATATTCCTTCGCTTAGTTGATGTCTCTCCTTTCAATTGTACTACGAATCAACCACGTCTCTGTCTTATGCCTCTGATGAGCTACTTGCACGCCTGAATGACCACGACCAATCTCTCGTTTTACCACAGAACCATAGCCCATGGCTAACGGATACTCTCGCATGCCCGGCGAAGTGAGCGCCTCCTACAATAGCCGCAAGTTATCGCAAACCACACTTTACCCCGAAGCCATCCCGGCCAAGAAGCGGGCTTCATCATTCTACCCTGTCCGAGGTCCGGGGATTGTTGACGAGTCGAACCCAGATCCCTTTTATCTCGAGCACACTCTGGCAGAGGGTGGCCCTTGGGGCCCTGGGCGGCCGCACAGTCGCGATGTCAGACAACGTGACGAAGCCAGTCAGTACTTGATGCTTGCGTCTTTACACAACAACAAAGGCGGTCCCTTCGCAATCTCGTCGCGTGGAGACCCCACGAGGTTACGATCCAACGTCAACCGATCCACTCTGTCGGTGGTTGAGCTAGAGCATCAATTGAGCCTCCGCGAAATCACTGCTAAACAGCCCTGGGGAGGAAAGTTCCCAAGCTACGATCAATCGTCTTTCAGCTCGGTACAGACCGATGCGACGCCGGATTTGACACCCAGCAGTTCATTCTCTTCCAACTATTCCGCTCTCACGAACCGGGAGACCATCACATCGGGGTCAGAATATCAGTCTTTGCTCAACCAACAAGCACCTCCCAGTCCTAGGCGCCAAGTATACCCGACTTCATCTACACCTGCCAACCTGTCTCAGACAACGCTGACAACGGAGCCTTCAACACCGACGCGATCGTTAAAGACGCTCGCCGGGCCATCCAACGCATCCACAGACACCCTGGTAATGCAGAGAGTAAGTAGTCACGATCCCGCATCTTCCCGTGGGAAGCCATTGCCCTCCCTGCCCAACGGCGTCCGCAATCGAACCAGCAAGCCCGGTAAGAAAGGGCCACCGCCAGCTATTCGTCCTCCAATCGCCCCGTCCATGATATCTCCACCTTGCTGGTACAACCCTGTAACCAAAGAGCCGCACGTGTCGCATTTTGACCAGGCTATGTTCATTTCTGGGAATGACCGTCCGAGCCCGGTGCCGAGCCCAGGTCCAGCGTCACCATCCGTTGAGCGTCACCCGATGGCGAAGCGGCCAGCAACCTCACCGGCGGGGATGATCTGCCAGCACGAGCAGTCGGTATGGGAGTCCGACTCGGATAGCGAGTCGGTCGATCCGAGGTCCTTGTCTCGCAAGCCCATGGACACTTTGAAGAAGGTCCGAAGCAGAGTGCATCTTCGCGTCGCCAAGTCGGCCCCGAAGCTCAACAATACCCAAGCCGCAAGTCAACACCCACAGGGATTGGAAAGGTTCCCTTCCACGCCCGATCTACCTCCAGAGCTACCATGCCCGTCGCCTATGCGAGATCTCATTCGGTCACGGTCCAAAGACATCTTGCGGCCCACTGCGCAGCAGACCCTGAGACTGGTCGCGCCCTCCACGACGTCGCTTGTTCAACCGCGATCGCGACGTAACAGCAACGGGGCTGTCAACGTTGACATGGACCGCACGACAGCCGCTGCGATGCAAGCCAAGTCGCGACGGCGGCAGCGATCTGACTCATCGCCCAAGGGCCTGACTGAGGCTGAAAAGCTGTGTACTTTCTGCCGGGAGGACCGATCTGACAGAGCGATTCACCAAAGCCTCACCCTCGCGCGGCCCCCGCTCTATAAACGGGTTTGGGAATCGTTGCGCGTCCTGGGCTGTCATGGCGATCTTCCTCCCCCGCGACCCCGCCGCCCCATGTGAGGGTGCTTCTTGGTGTGGTTGATTTTGCGCGCGGACAAGTTTCGATTGGCTCTGAACAGGCTTCTCGAAACGCATTCACGACCAGTCGTCTCGACGACTTTGAGCGTTCCGTTTTCTCGATCCAACTTAATGTCTTATGATACTACCTGATGAGCCTCAGATGTACAGTCTGGGGCGGATTATGACTGGATGGATTCTCGATGGCTTCTCCATGTCACCCCATGATATAACGAGACGCATGCGCTAAGGATGGAAACATGCATCAGCCGTCTCTAATGATGCAATGCACATGTGCTGTGATGATGATCTATCACAATTGATGAGGCAACGAACCGGCGTGAGGTGTCAGCGTGGCCCTCAGTTCTTGTCTCTGCTCGCAGCTTTCTCTGCTTACAGCTTTCTCTGCTTACGATCTTTTCCCACCAAGTCGAAGCTTGGACGTTTTCTTTCGTATCTTTTGAGTTCTCTCATCCACATTCACTCAACACATATCTCCTGGGTGTCTCTACGCCTACCACTCCTTGACTCTGACCTGACTCATGGTCTCCCACAATTTCCTAGTGTCTCAGTGTCCATAAAAGCCAGTAATTGCGGGCCATTTTTTTTTTTGTTTGGGATGTCAAGCATGCCTTGTGTTGCCATTGCCATACTAGTGTAAATCAAAACAAACAAGCCGATGGGCTTGCTTACATACCTGAATTGAATTTTCCTTGTCTGGAATGTGTGGGGTAACTCCGACCTGATTTTTTTTTTTTTTCCCGCGCAGTGCGACGGGGCAACGGTGTAACAAAGGGGATCGGGAATTTCAGGATCCAACGCCGGGCTGAAGGGTGTAGTATTGATGGCGTCTGGACCAAGGCAGGATCCTTGGTTGTGGTTCTGCCGTGGTTCAGCTGGAGACAGGGCAGGATAGGACTCCACCACAGGGATATCCCTTGTCGAGAGACGCGAAGTCTGTCTGCCAGGGCTCAGCGATCTAAGTGTTGAGGTAGGAGATGGACGAAGTAAGGGTTGCGTTGGATGTATTTGTAGCAGTGGGTTTGGGGCAGATGGAGCGTGTAGTCTGGATGTCTCGTCTCGTCTAGCTAGTCTGGTCTGTCTTACTGAGTGTCCAGGTAACAACCCACTTGAGCTGTCCACTGCAATCCCTGCGTATGCATTCTGCATCGAGCGAGATATATTTATCTGACCCTTAGGGTGCGGATACTGGGTGAGCCTGCAGGTATATTCCAGTATCAGGATGAATGGACGGTGGGCGAGTCCGGTCAGCCGTATAAGTTAGACACCACCTCCACCACCTTGCAGCACAGGTCCGTACAGCCCTTGTCTCCTGTCGGGCTCCTCCTCCTCCAGCGCGCACCGCTCCCGTCTCGGGAATGTCTCGCGCTGTGCCGTTCTGCATGTCTCATGCAAGTACTGACTGACTGGTCCTGCAGCAGATGCAGCGATTGAGACGAAGTCTTTGAAAGGTGGGATGACTTAGATCTTAGCAACTCCAGCTCGTAACCCGTCCGTCCGTACGATACGGGAGGTAGGGGAGGGTATATCGCGCCTGTCGCCGTCGCAAACCACACCGACAACGGCCTTGGCCCTTCCCTCCCCACAATCCCCAACAGGAAGAAGAAAAGGATCCCCTCAAACCAGCCCCACCCCAGGAGCAGGAGCAACACGAGCAAGCGAACCCACCCGTGCACATCAACCCACCACCTCCTTCCACTCCAACGCATCCATATTCTCCTCCCACAGCGCCACCTGGACCCTGCGCTCCCACGCCGCAACCACCTCCTCCGCCTTGCGGGCCAGTTTCGTCTCCGGCATTTCCTTCTCCCGGGCGCCAGTCCCCTCGGCAAGATCCCCCCCTTCCCCCGAAAGTTCATCCGCAGAAACCCCTACCCCCTCAAACACCTTCCGGATATCCAACTCCCGCACCGCGCGACGATACAGCCCCAGCAAGTCCGCGCGTTTCTTCTCGCGGGGTGTTTCCTCCGGTGCTGCTGCTGCTGCGGCTGCGGCTGATGACCCCGTTGTAATTGTAGCCCCACCACCAATCGAAGAATCCTCAAACCCAATCCCCATCGCCGCAACATCTCTCCCATGAACCCCTTTCTTGGTAGTAGCAGCAGCAGCAGCGGATCCACCGGGTTTACGAACACCCTTCCGCGACGGCGCCTCCAGCCCGCGGATCGCCCCTTCTAGGATTCCCAAAATCGTGCCGACGCGCATGCCGAGCTGGGCGCCGACGGGGAAGCCCGCGTCGAAGCCGGATTGGACTTGTGTGGATTTCGAGGCGGCGAGGCCGTCGCGGTAGCCGGCTGTGACGTGTTGGCGGCGGAGGGAGGGGAGGTCGGAGGGTTCGTTTTGCGGTGCAGTGGTGGTGGTGGTGTGGGTGTCGAGGGACGGGGGGGAGGAGCCGAAGATGTCGTCTAGGGAGTTTTGCATTTTGATTGAGTTGTTGTTCTAACGAGGGGAGGGTTGGGGTGTATGGGTTTTGTAGGTAGGGTAGGGTAGGGTAGGGTAGTGAAGGGTAGTGAAGTTGATGGTGAGGGGGAGGGAAAAAAAGTTCGAGCGGGGGATAAAATGATGACGAGTGGAGTCGCTTCGGGGTTAGTGGCGTTCAGGCGTGCGTTAAAGGTGTTAAGGTTGGGGCGGATCTGATATGATCCAATACGATGATTGTAGATTCCTTTGTAGGGGTTGTAGGGTTTGGAGTGTATATACTGCACCTTGGTACTGTGGTTGAGTGGAGAAATGGATCAACTGCTGGATAGAATCGCATTAGGCCTGTATACTATTTCGATTCTATTCCAGGGACTGGGGATCATCCAGAAACCAAGCCCAGCCCAGCGACTATAGGCCCAAACTCGCCGAACCCAAACCCAAACCCGAGCCCGAACCCGAACCCTCTCCGGGAACCCAAGTCAGTCATACGGTGTTTCGGAGCGCAGTAACCTCCGTTCGCCTTTCTTATATGAGCGACAGGCAGTACACAGGCAGTAAAAAGTCTAGTCTGACGGTAAGCTCGCCCAATGCCCACTCCATCCGAAGAAGATACTCATGGCGCCGCGAATCCACCTCCTCTACCTCCTCACGCCCCCCGCCCTCCTCTACCTCCTCACGCCCCCCGCCCTCCTCACCTACACCACCCATCGCACCCTCACCCAGCTCGAACGCAAATACCCAGCCATCCCCCCCGCGCAAGGCAGCACCCCGGCCCTCACCACCCCAACCCACCCGTCGACCCAACGCTGCGCCGAGATCGACATCTACCAGGCCCGCGTACCGGTCCGCGCACTGCTGCGCGCCGAGGCGGCCATCACCGGCACTGCCACAAACAACATCACCGAGAATCCCGCAACCGACCAGACCACATCTCCAAAAGTCTCGCCGGCAACCCTCCAAACAGCATGGGCCCACCTCTTCCTCACCAGCCCGATCCTCCAGACCGAAGCGAAACTCATCGGCCTCTTCACGCAGGGGGGGTTCCACCCGGGGGATGTAGGGCTTTCGGCGGGGGGGTTTGCGCTGGTGGCGGCGGACACTGTCACCGAGACCGATCATCCCGAAAGGCACGGCCAAGGCCAAGGCCAAAGCCAAAGCCAAGCTCCACCCCCGCAGAAACGCAAACTCATCAACGGGGGCTTCACCGTCGAGCGGACCCCGGAAAACCCCGGGGGTTTGCTGGCCAGTTGGCGGATTCCGGACGAGGCGCGGAGGGTTTTTGAGTGGGCCGCGCAATGGGGGTATCCGTGTCGGTTGATGAGTGGGGGACGGCATGAGTGGGGGGTGTCGGAGGTGTACTTCTCGGAGTCCGAGAAGGAGTGGGTGGTGGATGTGCGGTTCGGGTCGGCGCATGACTATGAGATTGTTGCGGCGGAGGGCGACAGACAGAAGGTCGTGCCGCGGTGGGTGGGCCGGTTGCATCGGGGGTATGCGAGGGTGTTGGTGGAGGATGCGGTGCGGCGGTTGGCGCGGTACGATTAGCGGGTGTGGGGGTGGGGTTTGGGTAGGATATATCTTGGTTTGGGGGCAGGAGGGCGAAGAGGGCGGTACGATATGGGACACTACGGAGGAAAGTCGATGTAGCCCGTGTTTCAAATGACTTTACACTACACTGCACCAACAGATACCCTACACTGCATCAACAGATCACAGCTACTGGCAGCGACACTCCCGCGTACCTGTACAGTATCTAGCACTCCCCCCCATGCGCCACAACCCCCCACCCCCTCCACCCCGTATACTTGACGCAAACCTCCCATCCGCTCCGAATCACTTGTACATCCCCCTCCCCCTCCCCGGCCTCGCATCCCGCCCCATACAGACACAGATCGTACTGGCTGCTCGTGCTGGGGCTCTTCCACGAGAACGAGTCCACGGCGCTCGCGTTTAGGCCCGCGTCCAGCGCGGCGCACCCGTCTGTGGCGGATACGCCCTGGCGGTGCCACAGCGAGAGGTCGAAGGAGGTCGTGTTTGGGTCGCAGCCGGGGCTGAAGAGGCGGAGGTCCCACTTTCACTCGGGTTAGCATGGGGTGAGTTTCAATATACGGGTGCTGATTATCGGGATCATAGTGTGGAGTATGGAATTATCAAGAAGGCAAGGGGGTAGGAGTGGAGGAAGTGACGCACGTTTCTCGGCCGGAGGATATCCCGGCTATCGATTCGGGAATACGTCGACGATGGGATCGCGAGACTTGAGGATAGGAGACAGAGGACTGTCGTTGTACTCAACGCGAGAGTGGATGAGATGTGCATTGTGACGCGGGTAAGAATTAGATAACAGATGCGGGATTGTCCTCAGCCAGATGCAGATGCAGTTGACAGTAACAAGTGAGGCAGAAACAAGTGAGGAGGTACGGTGCGGGTGATCGTCAGGGTCCCATCTTATAAAGAACACGCAGGCGCAATTTCAGGTCGGCGGAGAAAAAAGGCCCACTAATGCAGGTCTCCGACCACACACTGCGAATCACATCCCGTTTCACCTCAGCAACCCTGTCAAACCCCTGGTACTGGCTGTGGACGGAGTCACCGACAACGCAACCCTGATTCTATTAATACAGATCTCATCTTCCTAGCTACACACCCACCTCCCTACTGCCGCCCCGGCCCTAATCGCCATGCCCGCAGAGGCAAGCCCTGCAGCTTCAGCACCGCCGGCTTGATGAAGAACACAAACGTCACCACCCCGATCACCACGCACAGGATATTCGTCGTGTAGTAGCCGTCGTGGATCACGTTGCATGTGCCGCCCCCGTGCACACACCGGTTGCGGTCGGGCTCCAGCGCACACGAGAAGGCCTGTGTGACCAGCTCGCCCTTGAGAGCCTCGGCGCTCGGCGGCACCGTCGGCGGCACACAGGTCGCCTCCGTGAACATGTCCACCAGCTTGAGGATAAAGTACCGCGGGAAGGTACCGCCCAGATTCGACACCCTGCCGGAAAATTAGCTTGAGCTATGTAGACCAGGGGGGAGGGGGGGGGGAGGGGAACTTACGTCGCCAACATAGTCATGTAGGTGCCCCCGATGCTCGGGTCGGCGATGCGCGCATGGAAGGCTGACACCGCCACAAACATGACCGTGTTCATAAACGTCGAGAAGATGTGCTCGCCGATCACCGTCAACAGATACCAGAACGGCACGGCGGCGCCCGCCGGGAAGATCCACACCGTCACCTGCGCCAGCACGGCCGCGGCCAGCCGGCCCATAAACGCCCAGCACCACAGACGCATCGGCGTGTACTCGGTCGACCACTTGCCTGCATAGTAGCCCAGCCCGATCTCAAAAGGAAAGTCAATCAGCACGACCAGCGCCATGTTGTCCTGGCCGAAGCCTTTATCTAACAGCTTCAGGCTAGTCACGCCGTCGTTGGCCTGGAAGCCGATCTTGGCGATCAGGTGCACCAAGATAATCGTGTGGATGTTCTTGAGCTTCAGCACGCTCCACATGCTCCGATAGACATCGCTGATGCTGTCGCGTTCGTGCGTGCGGTCCTCCTTCTTCATCAGGGCCAACAGCGTGGTGACCACGATGTAGGCCCACCCCCAGAAGACCAGGTACGTGCCCAGCGACAGCAGACCCCCCGAGGCCGGGGCGCTGCGGAACCAGCGGTTGGCGAAGTCCTCGGAGTTGAAGGCCAGGAACACCGTGTACGACAGAAAGTGGCCCGCGGTCAGGCCGACCGTCTGCGCCGTCGACGCGTAGGAGATGTTGGGCGGCGACATGAGCGTGATGGCCCAGCCATCCACGGCGATGTCCTGCGTGGCGCAGAAGAACACCAGCAGGAACCACCAGTAGGTGAACTTCCACACGCCCGCGCCGCCGTTGGCGCCCGCCGCCTCCATCATCTCGTCGATGCGCCCGCCCAGGTAGATCATGGCCAGCCCCGCAATGACCTGCACCGGTGTGATCCAGCTCTTCCGGCGCCCGAAGCGGCGGCTCCAGATTGCATCCACGATCGGACTCCACAGCAGTTTGAGCGAGTAAGGGTAGGAGGCGAGCGAGAAGATGCCGATCTGGCCGTACGAGAGGTAGGGTTTGAGTAGGAAGGGCACCGACCCCGTCGCCAGGCCCATGGGGATTCCCTGGAGGAAGTAGAGCACACACAACAACATAAAGTTTCTCCGGTCGCTGGCCGGCAGGTTGGCAAACGAGGTGGTCGTCATGGCGGGGGTTTGCGGGGTCATGGGGGGATCGTGGTCGAGGCTGAAGCTGGGACGCGCCATGAGACGGTTGGCCCGGCCAGCAGAAGACTCAATGGAGGTTTCCCTCTTGCGCATCTCGATGGAGGAATCCATGCTCTCGCTCGCGTAGCCGTTCTGGCCCGTCGAGATGGTCAGCGATGGCTTCGAGCGACGTTTGGTGACCGTGCGGCCTTTACGCTTCATCTGGGCACGGCCACGGCGGGAGGCGAGTTGGGAAAGGAGAGGTTCGTCGTGAGCGTCGTGAGAGTCCGTGTCTGACTCGTTGTGGTCGGAGGAGGAGAAAAGAAAAGCGGGATCCCCGGGCTGATCGGAGGAGGAGGAGTGGTCTGTGTAACGAGGGTCTAGTTTGTTATTAAAAGGTCCACGGTTGGCGGTGCTGCATGCTAGATTCTGAAGTTCCACCTCTGAGGCAAGCCGCGGTCGATCCGAACGAAATGGGGAGGAAGGGTCCGCAGGAGGAACATGAAGGGAAGGACTAAGGGAAGGGGAAGGAGAAGGAGAAGCCGAAGCAGAAGATAAAGGAGGGACTGGTACTGGGTCGTCGGGGTTGGAATGATGCATCCATTCGACGGAGTGGAGCTGGGAAGGAGAGAGAAGCGTGCGGTGCAGGTTCCAGATGTCTTGGGAGGCAAAGGCAAGCTGGCCTCAATGGGAACTCCCCTTGTTTGGGCTTGGCTGGGTTGAAGTGGATGTGGATTGGGCGGGCCGGTGATTGGGTGGGGAGGGGAGAGACTTTTTTCTTGACGAAGGATTTACGTTAAGATTGATTGATGCTGACTTTGAGTGATCGGCTCTAGTGATGCAGATGCAGATGCAGATAACAAGCTATGGTGGGAATGACTGGTGGGAGTGAGTGCCAACAAGATAATATATCGGGTTTCTGGTGTAGTCCACATAGAACAAACAAAATACGCATTGGGCCACGGTGCCCGCCGCATAACAATCGGCGTTTATTAAGCCCTTCTTTGGGTTATTTATTGAATCATCGAAAGTTGAGTCGCGACCCAACTTTGAACCCGGTGGATCTGCCGATAACAGATCTTCACGTGACATTCCACTTCACTCATCCAGTTTGTTCCTGTCAACAAACACTGCATACATTGATCGATCACCAACTGCATCACCCGCCACCCACCGCCCTCCCTCAATCCGAACCTCCACCACACAGCAGCAACAACAACAACAACAACAACCTCCCAATTCTCCCAAATGTCCATCCCATCCCAAAACACAGAAGAGGAAGCCGAATCCCTCGATTCCGAAATCTCCACTATCCGCGCCGAACGTCCGTCCCCCTCCCCTCTCCTTCCACCCTCAAACTAACATTATCGTTAACAGTCAAAGCCCTCCACCACCGCCGCCGCATCCTAACCAACAGCCTCCTCACCTCGCGCCCCCTCCAACGCCTCGCCAAATCCCACCCCTCCCCAACATGGCCCGACCTCTCCCCGCTCCTGCACACCTCCGCCCGCCACGCCGACCTCAACCACCACCGCATCGCCTTCTCCACCACCGCCTTCCCCTTCACCGATCCGTCGCCTGGCCCGTTAGAGGCTAAGAATTTGCTTGGAGTGCGAATTGATATCTGCGCCCGGGACGGGTCGTACGTTAAGCCGTACTATATTCTGTTGCGGAAGGTGCAGCAGCAGCAGACGGGCGGGAGGGGCAGGGGGAGGGTGCTGTACGTGCATCGGCATACGGTGCCGGCGGTGGTGGATCTGGGGGCGTTGGAGCGGGTGTATTTGCCGCGGGCCAAGGCTGCTGATGCCGTGGGAGAGGAAGGCGAACAGCAACAACAACAACAACAACAACAACAACAACAACAACAAGAAGAAGAGGCAGCGCAATTCAAGCCGTGGAAGCACCAACCAAAAAAGCAGAATCTGAAGGGGTTCCTGCGCGAGGTGAGGCGGCAGTTGGTCGTGTGGCATGTGCGCTGTGATGGGGTCCGGTATCTGCGGGAGCGGTTGGGGGTGGTTCGACGGGGAGCAGATTCAGACGAGGAGAACGGCGTCTGGGAGAGGGATGTGCTGGCGGAAGAACCGAATCAAGAATCAAAGATCGCGAAGAATGAGCTGGGGATCGTCGCGTTGGGGGCCACCGCGCTGGAGGCGGTCTATGTGCGCGTCGAATGGGAGGATGGCCGGGTCGGGCGGTTCAAAATCTCCAATGCGGGGTTGGTGGAGCGGGCGGTCGTTATGGGGGACACGGGGCGGGATAAATTGATGGAGGCGGTTATGACGGGGGCAAATGGGAGGTTGGAAACGTTGCTGGATCGGTTGAGGAAATACGCGGCTGAGTCGAGGGTGTCTGCTGCGGCCGCGGTTGAGGATGGTGCGTCGCAGACGGCGTCGGACGCGTGACGCTGATGGCTCTTTCTTGTTATGTGGTTTTATGTGCTGTGCCTACTAGCGAGTCCTTTTCTTATACCTACACAAGTTCAGGCTTTGTCGTATCTAGATCAATTGGTATCTATTATTCTGTCATAAACCAGGCAAACGCGGTCTGGTGGATCTATCAGACTGAAAACAGGAGCCAGGGATATCCAAAATCAGCGCGATGCACGCACATGAGGGCAAGGTATATCCGCTATGAGTATGTATGTATGAAGCCGGCACCAAGGCGACTCAGCAAGGACACAAGGTCAAAAAAGGACGGAAATACTAATTACAATATATAGGGTCGGCATCCAAAGCCGAATATGACACATTAGGGGGCTGCATATATGCATGAGGAGATCCGAGAATTGGGGGAAATAAAGGAAAGGGTATCACGTAGACATCACATCATAATCAAAGCACCTGTCCCCTTCTCTTCGTCCGGGTGCACCTCCTCATCAAGCGCTGGCAGCTCCGGTCTGCTCCGCCACGCAGATGGCCGAATCGCGCGTCTCATAGTTCGGGTCGCTGAAGGATAAGGGGGGCAACGGTCCGTACACCTTCCCGTGTTGCGTCCCCAGTTTGGTTCGCAGAATGGCCTCTTCCAGGTTCCATCGGTATATCAACCGGGCCTTCTTTGCATCAAACGCCTGAACGGCAGCCATCTCTTCCTGTTGGTGGGCCTGTTGCATTTGCGCAAATTCCAGGGCGTGTTTGTCGATCAGCTCGTCAAGTTCTCTTTCCATGCGGGCGATCGCCTCCTGCAGCCGCAGTTCCTGTCGGTCGCGGAGCACTTTGATTTTGGCCTCGTGTAACTGATCCATCGAATTATGGTCGTGGTACTCCTGCGCCAGCTGGGCCTTGTGTTGCGCGGTGAATTTACGGGCGAGGGTGGTCTCCGGCCCTGACCTCGCCCCTCCTGGCGACGGCGGAGGGCTGGAATTATTGAAATACCCCTCCATGTGTTTGATGCGGGTCCGCGAATTCATCTTCGCCCGTTCGAACTCCCGCATCTGGTCCATCTCTATCGTCAGCTGGCGTTCTTCCATCCGAGCAGCGTCGTTGATGTTCTTCACAGCGGTTAGCATGATGGGTTTCTGGAGGTGGTACGAGGGCGTACCTTTTCGCGTTTCTGCGCCTCAAGATCCTTGTTCGCCGCAAGTCGTTCGGCAACAATGGACTGCTGAGTTTGGCGAAGACGCATCGTGAAGGCATCCTGGAAGAGATTGTGTCGATTCAGCTCCATCACTTGACGCTCGCGCATGAGACGCAGTTGCTCGTCGTTCTGACTCCGCTGTAGGGACTCATGATCGAACGCGGGTATCTCAATCCGCAGCACTCCGCTTCCTTCGCCGGATGATCGGGCTTCCTGCAAATCTGATGGCTTGGATTCCACCAGCACTTGCTCGATCCCCTTACCGCCCTTGGCGAGAGCGATTTGCGCCGCCGGAGGCAGGAGCACGGCCGACGGCGATCGCTTCTTGCGGAAATGGATCTTCTCCATCGCCGACTTCAGGGTCGACTTCCGTCTTTCCTTCTTGTCGCTCGGGATCACGCTGATCATCGAATGGCGATTGCTCGGCGGCGCCCCCGCGGCCAAATTCGTATCTATCCGCGGGATCAGTCTCCCCTCACATGAGCTATAAGAGGTCGGTCGGGTGGACAGTGAGGCGATCGAGCGAGCACTACCATTGTGGATGGGTTCGGAGGAGACAGTGAATTCGGAGAGAGACGAACCGAGGAGATCGATGGCGGTGGTCTGGTGGGACGGGGTGATATCGTATGCGGAGTTGCGATCGGTGGAGGACCTGGTGGACGAGATAATAGGCGAGGACGAGGAGAGATCCACCATCCCAGAGGCGATAGACGCGGTCAACGATGCGACCAGTTCGACCTCTGGGACGTTCAGACCCAGCTGGCGGGCCTCATCGATCAGCTGTTGCTCCTGCGCCGTTTCGGCTTCCTCAGAAGGTAGTTGGAGAACCTCCCGGCGGTAGTGAGACTCATCGATCTCTGCATAATTAGGGTGCTCCATGATGCAATTGCAGACGAGCTCTGTTCACAGTCACCCATGGAGCTTGTATGTGTGTGCGTGTGGGCGAAGCGAAGTTGCGGAGAGGCACGGCAACAGGTGAAGGAAGAGAAGTGGTGGTGAGGGGTAGAAAAATGATATATAGAAAAATTAAACAATGACGATAAGAGACAATAAGGGGGACGGACGGAAGTTTCAGGGACACGAGTCGCCAGACGCTAAGGCACTCGTCCACAGTACTAGAAGCACGGTGGACGAGATGGAGGCGTCCAAGAGCAGCATCCGACTTGCGGGGAGGGGCAAATAGGTTTCCAAGCAAGACACTGGACACTGGGAAAGAGAGAAGGGAGGGAACGAGACTCAAGGAACAGCGGCTAACAGAATAGGAGAACAACAGGAACAGGAAGACCGTGGACTGAGTGACTGAGTGAGGAGACTACCAACTAGGCGTGGGCTAATGAGAGAGCAGATTACTCCTGCTACTGCGGGCCAACTGTGCGAGCAGCACCACCAGGGAGGGACTTGGAAGCCAGGACAAGCAAGCGACTGGAACCTGATTTGGGCCTCAAGTATCCGTTAAGTTAACTTAGTCGGTGGTGGATAGGCACTGAGTAGGTCAGTTCTTTTGTTTCGGTCATTCATGGGTTCCATATTATTCATTCATTATTGTTATGATTGCGACCCACGACCCGCCTGACCGAATGATTCCTGATTCCTCCGGTCCATTCATAGGCCAGTCAATCAGTAGTGGGTAAGTTGGCCGTGATCAGACCGTGCGTCCCTGCGTGCATTCAAAGTCAAAGAAAAAGGAGAAAAAGAAAATTATGATCAATCATGGAAGCATGATCGTCTGCAGTGATGTAGTGACGGTGCTAGGAAGGGAAGTGATTCCGGGGAAAGGAAAAGCCGTCAGGATGCTGTCACCGCAAGTCGGGAGATCGGGAAGTGACTGAACCTTACTTAGTCTTACTGACTGTGGACTGTGCCCTGTGCCCTGGCTGAAGGAGGATTGTTGTTTGACATCGATGAAAGGCACACCCGTAATTCGCCCATGGTCGGAAGTAACAGCCGCCCGGATTGGGCAACGGAATAGGGCATAGGGCAGGTCAGGGCAGGGCAGGTCAGGCCCAGCGCCAGATTTCTCGGCGCTACCCAGAACCGTGGTTTCAGACCCATGGCCGATGGAGTCGACAGTCAGGCACCGCCGCTTCAGATTCCCCTCTTCTGCACACCACCTGACCACCCGGGTTCCACTGCTCCAGATCTCTTAATCTCGTTGTCATAGACGTTGGGGAACACTATCCAGGAGTGTACTAGACTCTAACAGGGGGGGAAGACATAGTGTCATGATCGTCCCAGGTTAACGGCTTCTAGAGAGCTTCTTGAGCTCCGCTTAGCGCTTTTCTAGGCAGGAGGAGATGGCACGATGTCTTAGTCTGGCTCAACCATCATTCCCAGGAGTTCACCGCATCAGTGGTTCCCGCATCTGCATCCGCATCCTGACCTGCATGACCCCCTATGTGCGATGCAATCATCGGAATATCACCCCATCAATGATATCGTGTTATGAAATTATGTCTTGTAATGCTTATCATGAACAATCTGCTACGCGGACTGTGATTTTCGGATATAGCTAGCTACTTTTTCCCGCCCTTCACTAACGCAATAGCATCGCCCCAGCCATTGCGTATGTCTTCTCTCTAGCATCCCACTGGACGGAACCCGGCAACGCCCGCTTATCAAAACCGTGCTCGCAAGCTTGCATACGCACTTGCACCACCTCGCGCTCTTTGCCGGGCTCCTTGGCGATTTTCTGGGCGAGGGTCTCCGCCTCCACCGCCAGGCTATCACACGCCGCCGTCACGATCATCACGCGACCAGGGAAGCGGTCCGGGCTCGCATGGAGCGGTGAGATGCGGGGATCCCTGGTATCGAACGCCCCGTGCGTGTAACATGTGTCGAAGAATTTTGACATGAAGAGCGGAATCGCCTTCCCGGACGTATCAGGCGGCACCTTCAGGCTGGGGTCCGTATGGATGTCCACGACCGGGTAGACCGCGATCACGGAGTGGAAGGTCTCCGGGGGGAAGAGATTCGCCGACGCCGCCAGCGCGAAGTTCCCGCCGGCGCTGAACCCGGAGAGGGACACGCGGTTGAGGTCAAATCTGTCCGGTTGGCTGAGCACCCACCGCACCACATCCTCCGCGTCATTCAGCGCCGCGGGGAAGGGGTGCTCGGGCGCGAGGCGGTACTGGACATCGAGAACGGTCCGGTCGGTCTCACGGCTCATCTGCCGACAGAATGGGTCGTCCGCGCCGTGATGCGGGAAGATGAAGCCGCTGCCATGGAAGTTCACCAACACCGGTGTGGGTGTGGAGGTGGAGGTGGTAGACGATGTGTTGCGATACAAGTGGACTTTGATCGTGCGCCCGGCGTCGCGCGACTTGATTTGAAGGACTTCATCTGGGCTGGCGTTGGGGAGTTTGCGGGCAAAATATCGCCGGAAAAAGACGGCGAGGAGCTTGTAGTAGAGGTAGGTTAGGAAGAACATGGTGTGCGTGTAGACAAGATCACAGCGTCACACCTGCAAATAGGCAAGGCTTGATGATCCAAGCAATGACTTGTCTGCCAAGAGGTTGTCAGAACTTAGGTTCCAGCTGCATCGACAGGCACCAATAGATACATTAAATAGGCGTGTTACGTAGTCGGTAGTTGGTGGTCGGTCGGTGCCGTACAGCTGGCGCTCCACTCGGGCCGATGACGCCATCAATCTCTACCGAGGCCGGTATTAGGGTAGAACAAACCACTGCAGTACAGATGGGATTGGAATTTTGTTGGAGGTGTTTCATCAGAGCACGAATTGAGATTGTCTTGCTTATAGAATCCAGAGGAAAGGTGGCTATACTATCATACCTGGGGAAGTAGCTGAGATGGCCTGAAAGACATCGCACTCCACCCCGCCATAGCTGGTGCACAGTGCAAAGTGTTCCACCTTCGCTTTCATGCTCGACTCCCTTTGTACCCCTTCTACTTTAATCAAACAGCTACTTTTGTGCCATTGTTTCTTCAAGGTCAATTAGACTCAATTCAATTCTAGCTTCTCCTCTTGTCGAGTCAGCTAGGAAACTCAGTTTAGGCATGCATTCGAAAGTGTGCTTGTCTGCTCGTCCGCATTTCCTAAACTCCATAATCCCCTCTGATGGTGCAACGCTGGTCTCTAAGACTCAGCTATCTTTACCTGCAGCTCGTTTTGCTCAATGGTCCCGTAGGTATCCAGTCCATTAAGAAGGCTCTGCCAATTGATCCGTCAATGGTCCCACCAGTCCAGAAATGCGTGCGAAAGAACGGCTATGCAATCGTTACCTTATCGCCTCCCCTCGCCGTCATGTCTGATCAAGGTAAGGATTTACAGTAGACATGCTGACCAATGCATCATTGACAGTCCAGGAATGCATCTCTAAGTGACAAGCTTTCTATATCAATTATCCATAGCTTCCTACAGTACACTCCTACTAATGAGAAAATTATAAAATAGCAACAGTTTGAATGACATGACTAGTCATCTGCCGCAAGCTGCTGTGCCCCGTCCACCAGGCAGAAACCCCCCGTCCGACGGCAACCTGGAACTAAGCAACCATCCTGGTTGATTTGCGGGGTTATTTAGACCCCCGTCTGGAAGCATCCAACATTCATCTTCTTCCAGCACTTCTCATACATTCATCATCCTCCCACTCCAACTACCCAAGTCACTAGCTACAGATTCCCCTAGCTGTTCCTAGAAAATAACAGCACAGAACAGAACAATGAACAGCCTCCCCCCGGCCCAACGCCGCCCGCGCCGCCGCCGCGGCAACCCCCGCTGCGGCCCCATGCCCCCGCGCCGCATCTCACCCTCCTCCTACCAGATCCCCCAAGACCTGACCCCATCCCTCCCAGCCATCAACCAATCCGCCTGCCCACTATTCACGCACATCCCCGCCGAAATCCGCAACAAGATCTACTACTACACCCTCGAGTCCTCCTCAGAAACCACCTCCGATACTGCAGCAACCTACGCCCAGCAAGCCCTCTACTACCGTCCGGGCTTCAAGGCCCCGAAACGGATCTCGACCTCCCTCCTCCAAACCTGCCAGCAGATCTACCGCGAGGCCTCGCTCCTCCCGCCGGCCATCAACCGCCACACCTTCTGGTGCCACCGCCCGCCGCCGCACGTCCGCCACGCCGCCTCCCCGGCCGACTACTTCGCGCGCATGACCCCCAAGCAGCGCGGCGCCGTGCAGGAGCTGCACTTCTTCACGCAGCAGTTCTTCCTCGAGGACTCGTGGGCGCAGGTGTGGGCCTCCGTGCGGGAGAATGAGGCCTGGCAGGCGCAGATGCGCAAGGGGAAGCGGAAGCTTGAGGAGGCGCGGGAGATGCATACTGCTGGTGAGGGCAGTGATAACGGCGGTATGAATCAGGAGAATGATGTGGAAGGCCGGGAGAGCAAACGACGCCCCGGTCCACCACCGCCGCCGCCGCCGAGGAGGCTGGGGCTGGACCCCGACGAGACCTCGGATGTCGGGGCCCTGGCCCCGAAAAGGATGACCATCACGCTCAGGCATACGGACTGGTGGTTCTGGGAGGATAACGAACCGTTGGGGGTGGATCCGTTTCGGCCGGGGAGGACGAGGGCGGATGAGATGGGGACTCCTCTGCGGACGCTGACGGCCTGGGAGGAAGGGAGGGTGTGGGGGAATCAGTTCAAGCTGCTGCCCAGTTTGGAGGAGTTGGTGATTGAGTTTGAGACGGTGATGCGGAAGAGGGACCAGCTGGATGCGATTGTGCAGATGGCGCGGGACTGGCGGTTTCCGTTGGTGGTGGAGGATGAGGAAAACGGGGAGAAGGTGTTTCTGGTGGCGGAGGAAGGGTCGCGGCGGGCGTATACGTGGATCGGAGCCAAGGAGGAGATCTTGCGGGATGTGGTCATGGGGGCTGCGGGCAGGAATAGGCAGCAGGAGGGAGGTGGTGCTGCGGGCGATGCTGCGGTCAAGCCGCCTCCGAAGCTGGTGCCGTTTGATGCGGAGAAGGAGTTCAAGACCGCTGCTGCTGCGAGCCAGCACCAGGAAGGCGAGGCAGACACTAATACTGCTGAGCAGGGTGGGCCGAAGAAGAATGAGGACTTTGATCCGGCGACGGAAGAGAGGTTCTACGTCGTGTTTCTGACGTGGCGGAGGCAGCGGATCAATTGACCTTGACGTCGGATAGGCTTGAGTGGACGACTGTTTGTCTGGCGATAGATGCCTTCGGTCGCGACATCAGTCGATATTATTTTATCTGATGTTGATGATATCTAGTTTATAATGATCCAAGCACATATTGAGATTCAACAGCGGTTGCGACTTTATCTATCATCGAGATTATCTTTCTTTCAAACATTACTTAGGCATCTTAATAACGTGTAGCGATACATAACTCCATAACACATGCACAGCCGTAGAAGTCAGGGACCCAGCCCTGCTTGGGTCATGTAACCGTAAGGTCAAATGCTCCCCCGCGCCTTTGCTTCACAGGCCACAAGGTCCAACAGGGAACCTTCCTCTCCCTTTCTCCACGTCCAGTCAACAGCACATAACAAAAAAGAAAACCATATCACAAATCCTTTTGATCACCACCTCCATACGACCGCCTCAAAGGAAGCAGACCTCACCGGCCAAACTTCTTCAACTCCAGGTACCGCAGCGGCGGGTAGACGAGCATGGCCCACGAGCAACCGACCCAGATACCCAGATCGGCGCCGTCGGAGCCCACCATCGCGGCAATAGGGCCGACATACCAGACCTGGTCCATGCAGACGATGGCACCGGCCCAGCCGATGAGGAAGGCGGCCAGCGCGGCGATGCCGAGGGGCAGCTTGGCGCGGTCGGCCCAGGCGTCCCAGTCGAAGCCCCGGGTACGGCGGAACAGCAGGTGCTCCTCGAGCGCGATGGTCAGGTAGATGGTGACCCAGTAGCCCATGAGGGCGAGAAAGTTCTCGAAGATGTCGTAGAGGTGGTTGCGGCCGCCGAGGGCGCACGCGGTGTAGATGATCGTGCTGACGCAGGCGAGCGACCAGCGCGGCAGCCGCGCCAGGTGCCGCCCCATGATCTGGAAGCCCAGCGTCGCCGAGTACGTCCCGGGGATGTTGTTGGAGATCAGCCCCAGCGCGATGATCACGCCCAGGAACTTGCCGAATCCGCCTAGCCCGTCGTAGCCGGCTAGGATCAGCGCCCCCGAGGACGTGTCGTAGGCCTCCGCCCACGCTGGGTTTGTTAGGGTGCCCGAGGCCAGGCCCACGCCCATCAGGTTCGCGAAGGTTAGGGACAGGCCCAGGCCGAAGAGGACGGACACGAAGGTCTTCCACTTGGAGGTGGTGGGTGGGAAGTAGACGAAGAAGTCGGCGCCCGCGGGCGCCCACGCGACCGAGCTCGAGAGGCACAGGGAGAAAAAGGTCAGGCGGTCCGCGCTCAGGGTCGCCGTGTTGCCGCTCGACACGAGCGAGGTGTCGAATTTGGGGCCGGCGCAGCCGACCAGGACGAACATGGCGACGAGTTGTGGCGCCCAGGCCCATCTGTGGTGGTTGGTATGTTTTCGGGATTGGGGAATTGGAAGAGGCTTACCGTTCATAGGCGTGGAACGGCTTCATACCGAATACGACGACCAACCAGGTGATGATGGCGACAATGATGATGCCAACGACGACAGTCATCTTCCCATCGGCCACCGCAGCCAACTGTCATGATATTAGCAGTAGTCCCCGGCTGCCGCAAGCAGAAGGGGCAGACTCACGATCTGACCACCAACCAAACAGTCGATCATTCCATACCCAAGCATAATGATGATGTTCAACAGACAGGCGATCTTGCTGGGATAATAGCCCATGAAGTATCTCGCAACGACCTAGAACGCCACCCGTTAGCACTGTCATCGATATGATATAAGTCATTATCACCCACCATTGTCCGATTGCCACTTTGCGGTCCAAAGGTCGCCATGTATGCCACCCCCGCAGCTCCCAAGAAAGACCCAAATGTGGCACAGAGGGCCGAGTCCACGAAGCTCAAGGAATATCCCAACGGGCCGTACATGCCGACGGCGACGTTGTTAGCCGTGATACTGGTCGAGAACCACAGAACGCCCATTTTGAGATAGTCGGCCGTCGTCACGGAACTATGCCGTTCCGTCTCAGGCACTCTCTCGATACCTCGCTTCTCGAGCAGCTTGAGAGTGAACTTTGAAAATTTGTTGGTCTCTGCTGAAGAGGAGGGAGCAGAGAGCGAAGCTCTCATGGCCTTCTCTTCGTCCTGCATGGAAGCGGCCATACTGAAGTCAAGCTTATCGGACTGGAGAAGTTGGCAGAAGCCTTGAGTTGTTGCTCTCGAGCAAGGTGGTAGGGGCGATTCCCGAGAGAGCAACGGGAGTAGATGAGAAGATTAGGTCGAGATTTGAGCTGGCCCAGCCTGCATGACGGGAGAAGGAACAAAAGAAGAAGAAGAAAAAACTCAAGACGCAGTTCGGAGGGATATGATACCCTGCTTATAGAGCTAACGAGTTACCAGCCAATCCTCTAATCATGTAGCGACGAAGATAAGTCTTCCTCTTCCATCGCCAAGCCGGTTAAGTTCAAATTGATGGGAAGTAATTTATCATCTTGGCAGTCTGAATTTTTCTTTTCTTTTTCTTTTTTTTCCTTTCTTGCCTAGAACTCTTGTCGGCCGGGAGTCCGGGACAAGCCGCCACTCAATGCTTGGGTGGGCTTAGCAATGCTTAGTGAAATGGCCTAAGAACTAACTTAATTAACTTTGGCCTCCCGTTGCTGACCCATGGAAAGTGTGCCATCCGCTCCCTGCTCCCTGCAGACATCAACGCCTCGTGGTTTAAACTTCTTTGCTAGCCCGGTCTGGCTGCCTGGTACTTTAACTTATCCCCGTTTCAGCATTCTGCACAGCACAGGTTCGGGGGTGAACAGGGGTGCGGTTGTTCTTTTCTTCTGCTCTGCTGCAGGTGTGATTTAGTACCGACGCGACGAGGGACGCTAAGACCCAGATAGGCCAAGAGGCCGGTAGGTACTCGACGTAGTGTAGGTACTAGATGAGTAGTCTGCAGTGGTGCCGCCAATGCCGTTCCAATATCAGCTGCTGCCAGCTTTGTTGAAATTGCACTGATTCAATTGCACTGATTCAAGTCACGTTTATGGCCTGACAGTGGGTGAACCTTGAAGACTACTACCTAGCAGGCTCTGCAAGTCTCCGATAGCACACTATCCGTTGGCTAGCCTGATTGAACCCACCACAATCCGATCTAACGCCAGCACGGTCGGAGCAGCTTTCTATCAAGTACTGTACGTAGCTTTCAGTTTCTCCCCCTCCCTAGTACTGCTGGTAGAACAACAGAAATGTACCGTACTGTACTGTACATTACCTAGTACCTCAGCATGTATGGAGCCAGCAACGTGCCCCGCCTGACCGGGACGTTTACCCGCCCTTCCGTCTGCTCCAGTCGCTCTCCGTCCTGGTTCCTTTCTACCTCTCCTTGGCTATCATTGGCGCTTCCACCCAGTCCGTTCGTTGCCACGGTCAAAAGCAGACTAGTCACATGCTAAGATATCATACTCCATCGCACCTTTCCCCATTGCATGAGTCAAAGTTTGCTCTAGACCGACAGCCCGCGTCGATACCCGGCCCAAATCAAGAGACAGGAGGTCCTCCGCCTATCATTGGTGTCACAGATACCATGCCAAAGCAATACACCGTGGCAGAACCCAGGCTGCAGCTGTTGCTAGTTGACTACGGTGCTCGTCGGCCATTTGCGGGGCCTTGAAGAGACGAACTACAAACTGCGACTTGTCACAGAGCTTCCAATCAGCTTCTAGTCTCTCAAAAGATTAGCCGGCTTCCTGCAGTCTTGTGATTGCCGTTCCACGTCGTGGTGGAGGAGGAACACACAGCTACCCAATTTACGTCCAAATGAATTCCACTCAAAATCGCCCGTTCTCCATCATGACTCGTGGACGCCGGTGGAGAACAAAGAACAGGCCACTAATGCAGCCCACATCCGATGAACCTATTAAGACGAGCAGTCCAAAACGGAGGACTTGTAGTGGGTATCGACCTGCACTGTGGTGCTTCTGGGAAATAATGATCGGATCGTCCCGATTCATCTCCTGAGTCCTGACATAGCCAGCAGCCTGGTGGATCTTGGGGTCTAGGTACGGAGAACTCCGAGCTCCTTCGTAACACGATCATGGATGATCAGTCGACCCTACCTAGTATATGGGTTCCGATGCGTCTTACAGCTGAGATGCTACATAAGTTGTGCGTGTCAGCATGCATGTCATTGTTAGTCAGTCTCCTCCCTAAAACGTGTCTGGTGTGCGAATTCCAAATACGGTTTCACTGAGGGCTCTTGCTGATTCAGGGGCGAGTTGAGCTAAAGGCTGGCAGCGGCAGCCTATCGTGTCAGAAATTCATGTCCAGCAAAATTAAATCTTGTCGATACTTGGCCATGGAGGGCTACCTGCACGTTCATCGAACGCTGATTCGCCGCCACTCCGGCCGTACATGCCATGCCACTTACCAGAAGAGCGGATGAAGGATGTACTAAATAGATTGGAATCCTGCAGCGGCCAGCCAATTCTGCAGTCGGAAGTGGGTCGAACTTTTGTAAGCACCTTATACGCCCCCAGTATTGTCGCGTCTCGGTCTCCCTTTTCATAAGAAGTTGCTGCCTAGCATTTCTCCCATACTGAGTATCTGACTATGCTATTCTCCTAAAGCCCTCCGGTGTAATAATGGCCAGTGATGGCGGTGGCTCTGCGCATGATCTGGTGGTCACCACCTGGGTGATGTACAGCATCGCAATGCTCTTGTTTGTCGTGCGCTTGTATGTATCAGATGCAGACTCGGTGTTTCTAGTTGGCAATTGCTAATCTGTCCTCCAGATATGGGCGATGGCTCAGAATGCGCTGGGTGTTTCAGGTCGAAGATTACCTTATGTTTGCGGCTGTGGTAAGTTTGCTTGCAGAGTCTGTATGGCCCGACGCTAAGTCATTGTTCGGGCTAGGCGTTCTATACAGCATTTGCCGTCACCAACATCAAAATCGCGGAGGGAGGAGGAAGCAATTTATACAAGCCTGGAGAATATAAAACCTTCACCGCCGCTGAGATCGCTGCGAGGGTCAAAGGATCCAAGATCGAGTTTGCTTCGGAAAATGTATGGTACAGTCTTCTACCATGGCACATTTGCAAAGTGAGACCTAATACCGCATAATACAGTGCCAGCTCTGCACGATCTACTTACTGAAGGCTTGTATGCTGATGGTCTACTTCCGACTCACGTAAGTGAGCTTTCCATCGACTTCGAGCGAGAACGTGTGCCTGACGAGAATAACCACAGCAAAAATCTATGGCAAAATCGAGTGGTGACGGCTTGCGCTATATACACGTTGTGCGGATGGATCAGCTCAGAGCTGGTACTATTCCTCGAGTGCAGGCCTTACTTGTCGGGCTACTGGACCCTACCTCCTCCGAACGAAATCTGCTCGACTTACCGTATCTACGAGGCCGTGCAAGCGGCTATGAACATCAGTTCCGACGTTGCAATTCTTTGTGTTATGCTTCCGATGTTTGCCCGCGCGCAGATGGCTTGGAAGACTAAGCTGCCGGTCATCGTTGTCTTCTCAATGGGCATCGTAGTGGTACGTCCGGCTTGCACCTTACATCACCCTGCGGACTTTTCACTGATTCTCTGACTTGTGCCCAGCTTGCTTGTGCTATCACTTCCAAGTATTTCACCTTTCGGGATATCTACGACACCAGCTATCAGTTCTGGTACCTGCGAGAGGCCTCCATCGGCATGTACGTCACGAACCTGCCTTTCGTGTGGTCTCTGGCGAGATCGACAATCTCCTTCCTCAAGTCGAGCAACTATGTCGGTCAAGGCAACTACAACGACCCGAGATACGGGACAAATCCTCACACCAACGAGACTCGTTCCAGACCGGGAAACGGCACGCGTTCCACTCGACATTTTGCAAGTATTTACGAGTCCCGTGCGGTCCGTACAGAGATACTATCACCGTCGGAGAGCGAGGAGAATATCATTGAGATGGGTGGGATGGGCCGAAGCGTGACCAAGTCGGCCGGGTCATCGCAGGAGAGTGGGGTTCGTGGATGGCCCCAATCGGACGGTCATGATGACCAGTTCATCCGGAAAACCACGGAGATAGTCATTCAGAAGGGCTGATCGGCTATCCTGGAGCGCATGCTTGGGATGTACTGCGCAAGGCAAGGAAATGTGTGGGGGAAAACAGCTTGGCAATGATCAGAGTAACCGCGGCAGGGTATCCAGCACAATGACAAGACCCGCACATCTAATGCAGTCTCTTTCAGCTGTCTATCTCCGCTACAACTATCAGCTTCACCGGTGGAACAGACCATCGCTTCGGCCGAATCCACACAGTGTTCGCCTATTTCTCCGATCATCCACGCTGCCTCGTTCCACGCCCATTTACGAAGAGACATGGCCAGATGGAATCAGATGCGTTAGCAGTCCTTATGGAGTAGATTCAGTGATCAGCAGCCATATTATCCTGGAATGTCAAAATTATATTAATATTATTGGAAGTCCCACAGTGGTAAGGCGAAAGAAGGAGTACGTCAGCCTGCGAGAGGCTAGCTGGCACTTGGTGGGTTAGCCGAGATCGAGAATTTTCGATCTTGCGCGCGCCGCGATTACGACGATGATCTTGGCACAGATCAAACGATGCTGACTCCTTCTTTGACCTTGTTATCTATTACTGAGTACTCAGTATGAAGAATATCTCTAACACCTCACTACAATGGCAATGAATGGGTGGCTTGCGAAAGCTCTTCATAGGCTGCTCCAAGCCATAGACCGGGTCGCACACACCACATCCGCGACACCCCAAGGTGGAGTGAACCATACTTTTGCATGTGGGCTAGTGAGCTTATTCTGTCCTGCATGACTGTATGACGCTTTCTGCCATGTGCTATCTACAGGGTTTCTACTTGTGTTAAGCAGCCACTCTTCTATGAGTAGTACAAGCTGCAACATCTCTGCTAGAGAACCTATTCTAAGGTCTTCATTCCTACGAATGGACGCATAGCGCACGCGGCATCACGACCTGCTACAATAAGGGATTGATCTTCCCAAAATGTCCACTGCCCACCTGTCTTGTGGAGCTAGGAGATTCCCACTTATCTGGCGCTAGCAGGTTTCACATGTCTATAATGGCTGGGGCCTTTGCTAACTTGGTGAGGGGGGAATGGATTAACTCAGTTGGGCTACGAAATATATTTATGATATTGTCTGAAAGGGATTGCTTTGCTGAGTTGATGGTTAGAGGCTTCAATTGCGTTGTGGATGAGACACCATTTTTTAGATGAACTAGAGTTTGTCTTCGTTTATGTAAGGGGACCGGTCGAGTTGAGGATATATAGATCTGATATCTACTCGGGAGAAACCTCTCCGATCACACATACAGCAGGATTGATATAGCCAGGTGGTTAAATGCACAAGTTATTGACAAGATAACGTGTGAAAGCAGTGGTCTCTTTCCAAGCTGTGTACCTACCAGGATGGAGGTTCATGTCTTGAATATTCGCCGCTCATTTCCGTATCTCCGTAGAGATTAGAGCTACGGCAGAGAGTAAATCAATGCCATCCTATTTGAGTATCAAGTTGCACTAGCAGCTGGAACATCTGGTCTGGTCACTGGAATTGCCAGCTGGATAGAAGATGTGCAGGTGTCCAGCTAGGCCTTTAAAGATGCACCGCCACTAGTGTGGCAGCCGAGCACGGCCACGATATGATGCAGCCCAACACATCCCGTGTGGCGCGCATCCGTCACTCCACCGCTTTCATCACCATCATCAAGAGGCTTCCTTATCTTTCATATGCCCGACGGTAGTAGGTCAAGGTTGCTGTTGCCAGAGTACGCCTCAGCTAACGCTGTCATTCTCCTTCTGTTCACTTAACCGGAACTTTGGAAGAAAATATCGCAGAGGTGGTCGCTACAATGACCTCTTTGAATCACTCCGGGGACACCATGTTCACCGTCTTTATCCGCCTACCATGCCCCCGGGGCGATTTTGTGGATCCCCCCCCGGTACTTATATTAGCCTTTTTCAGTGGAAAGTGAGCAAAAGCTGACTTCAGTAGATGGAATGGAATGCAGCCAAGGATCAGGCCCTCTGGGATATCCTTTCGCGGCCCTCGAAAGGCGATGATCTAGATTGTAAGTCCTTCATGGAACCTCCATCCCATACTAAGTACAACAACGGCTAACGGACCCAGGGAAGGCATTGTAACGTCACAAAACACCCCTCAGTAGCCGCATACATGCTGATTCTTGCCTGGCCACAGAGCAGATCACTTCGAAGTCACACTTCAGTTCTTACTTCAGCAGGCAGCATGGCTGTACGACCGTCAGCTGTCGCAAGTCCGCGCACAAATGCGCAAAGTGCCGACCACGCAGTCGACATCTACATCGCCGGCGCCCGGCTCGATATCCGGTAGTACTGCGCTCGGTCAAGCTAAAGCCGCCGCAAGCAACGGTGTGGATCTCTCATCGATTCGATTTGGTTTCGTTTGCTAACTGTGTAAAGCTCCGAGAGCCCCCAGTCGCCTGGCGCAGCAGAAGGAGTCCTTGCCACAACGAGGTAAGCTTCGGAGCTTCAAGAATTGGATGTTAGCCTTGTCACTGGAAGCCTGGTGCTGAGGAGAAGAAGCCCCGATTCCCAGACGCACAAGCTCGACGACAACCATAAATCAACTGAAGCCCGCCCGAGAGCCATTGCGCAACGAACCACCGGTGTCCGAGCCAAAAGAGCTGGGCCTTGAGGCTCATGCTCCACGGCAATCCGCCACGCGACGAGATCCTCCGATTCCAAAGTCACCCACTCTCGAGGAGGAAGACCTGACATCCAGCTCGTCCGAGTCCGAGTCCGGGGAGGACGAGCGAATGGACAGCCGACGGGGACTCAGATTCAGACCATTTGGCAAATTCTCAACGTATAAGCCAGGATTGCGAGATGATGAGGAAGAGGACGATGATTCACCGGCTTTTCTCCCCCTATCCTCCGGTCCAGCCCATACCCCCCACCATCCCTCAGGCTCGGATCTTAATGCCACGCTACGATTGAACGAGGAGGACGTACCTGCAGTCTCCAATCGACGCCCCGCCGAACAACATCATGCGGTCAGAAAGTCTCCTACCGCGGATTCATCCACGAGCTCTGTCAGCTCTGGAGTCCCCGTGTCGCATTCCGCGACTGATCGCCGACGACATATGCACCAAAGCGGCGGCCCTTTGAGCCCTCGTCGCGCCGCCGAGCTAACCCCCTTCAGTCCGCGGCGGTCGATTGCATCTGCGGGTCGAGAGACCAGCGATGGCACGCCTAGTATGGGAAGTAGCTTTAGTGACCTGGATGGTAAGCCTCGCTCGCTCACGTACTCTGGATTTATGCTGAATTTTGCCCGTCTACAGATGCCAGCGTCACGCAGTCGGCGCTCGAAGAGGCTCTCATGAGCAATATGCAACATGGAGGAATGGCAAGCCGCATGAGCACTTTTAGCCAGGCTTTACGAAGTCGCTATCTGCCTTGATTAGGGACTTTTATCTCGTCGCACTTGTTTTCTCCTCGGCATTCACATCAGATGACTTTCTCAAGCAAAGGATTTATCAGCAGATTGGATGTACTCAAATCTATCAATGTTTCTTCGTATAATCTCTATTCCATACACAAAGATCACTTTCAGTCCTTTGACTACCATGTACGACTGATTTCAAGTGGCTGTTCTGACCATGACAAGTGTCACTTCAAGTTGTTAAAGCCGCCTTCCTGCCCACAGGGCATCCGTCGTCTGTTCTCCGGGGTACTCAGTACAATCACCGTTCTTATCTCCGCCAGGCTTGCGCTTAAATCCTTCAGAACCCGGGAGCTTATCGCGACCTGTTCGGATCGGGACTAGCGCTGTCAGCACGACGGAGATAAGAGCCCGGAGCTTGCCAGCTTTCTTTGGCTCGACAAACCTCAGGACCCTGTCAGCATTCTGCACACTCATACGGGTCTATGGATAGCGAGCTCCGAATTGGGTTTCCAAGAACATGAGGGCCTGGTCGGCTGGTAGTTGAATGGAGACCCTGCAGTCCCGGCCACAAGACCGGCGATGAGGACTGAAAGCACAGAACAGGACTTAGAGTTCGGCGATAACTCAAACTAGGCCCCACCCCTCTTGCGTCATGCCATGTCAAAGACCCTTCGCAATCCCTTGGAGCCTAGAGTCCAATGGCTATATATACGTGCTCTTGGACTGTCTGTCCTCCGCTGACCAGCTTCATTGAACATTCATCTCAATTAATCATATCCCAGATCTAGACAACATGTCGTTTAACCCAGTTGCCCCAAAGCCCAAGAGCCTACTTGGCTACCACCAGGTTCTCTCTCCCACCGCCGGTGTCAAGGTACGGACTATTCTTCGAACTCATCATGGGTCTGAAGCTGAAGTAGACAGGTCTCACCGCTATGCTTGGGTGCAATGAACTTCGGAGAGGCGTGGACGGACTTCATGGGCAAATGCAGCAAAGAGGATACCTTCGCTCTGCTGGACTACTTCTTCAGTGAGGGCGGGAACTTCATCGACACGCATGTGCCCCCTAATTTTGCCTCGCATCATCCTCTCCTCTTACACCCTCAATTACTAACAGCTGAAAACCCGCAGTGCCAACGCATATCAGTACGAAGAGTCGGAAACCTGGATCGGCGAATGGATGAAGCTGCGCAACAACCGCGACCAGATGGTGATCGCCACCAAGTACACGACGGGGTACCGCACGGCGCACTTCGACACGGAGCCCCTGCAGTCCAACTTTGTGGGCAACTCGGTGAAATCGCTGCGCGTCTCCGTGGACGCCAGCCTCCGCAAGCTGCAGACGGACTACATCGACTTGCTGTACGTGCACTGGTGGGACTTCACGACGGGCGTGGAGGAGGTCATGCAGGGGCTCAACGCCCTCGTCGCCGCCGGCAAGGTCCTCTACCTGGGCGTCTCCGATACTCCGGCCTGGGTCGTCGTCAAGGCCAACGACTACGCCCGCGCCCACGGCCTGCGCCCCTTCGCCGTCTACCAGGGCAAGTGGAACGCCGGCTTCCGCGACATGGAGCGCGAGATCGTCCCCATGTGCCGCGACCAGGGCATGGCGATTGCGCCCTGGGCCCCGCTGGGCCAGGGCCGGTTCCGCTCCGCCGAGGCCCGCCAGCAGGCCCAGCAGCATGAAGGGTCCTCGCGGGGTTCGCAGCCCACCGAGGCGGATCTGAAGATCTCGGAGGTGTTGGAGAAGGTCGCCGAGCGCAAGGGGACGAACCTTCACGCGATTGTGAGTTTGCTCTCGGCCCATGGGTCTCCTTTCCCTCTTGGTTCTGTTGTATAGTGCGTCTGTGTGCAAGTTCCTGACTGACTTCCTCCGGTAGGCCCTCGCTTACCTCCGCTACAAACAACCGTACATCTACCCCATCGTCGGCCAGCGCAAGGTCGAGCACCTCAAGGCCAACATCGACGCCCTGAAGATCAACCTCAGCAAGGAGGAGATCCGGGAGATCGACCTGGCCGCCCCCTTCGACCCCGGGTTTCCGAACACGATGCTGTTCGGTGGGAACGAGAAGTACGACGTCGGATTCACGGCCGCGGATCACTTCTTGACAAAGTGGGCGGCGCATATCGATGCGCCGCCGCAGCAGGAGGCTGTGCGGCCTCGGAAGGAGTGAGTTGAGGATTGAGTGAGGCCTGCCTCGGTGTGTGTATATATTATATGTGTGTAGGCGTGCGAATATTGAATTCTTGTTGGGTTGTGTATACATCTACGGCTGGAGTATATCTAGTGGGGAGGAGATGGGTCGTAGGTAGATTAGTTGTTTCATTCATGCATCATCTCATTTCCTCTGTCTCTGGTACTGGTACCGTGGGACGTTGGAAGTTACTGTAGCACTCACATCCGGACGCTTGCCTCACGCTTGATTGCTCTCAACTTGGAAACAGCACAGCACGATCATCCCGCCCGCGTTTCACCATCGCAGGACCCCGTTCTACCACGGTCGAGAACCTCGAAACCGTTGCGACTTGCGACAGCCACTAAGTCTGAAACTTGATGACGACGAGAGCCGATAAGATTCTAGATCAATGGCTGGCAGTTGAGATTTATAGCCGAGGCACATTTCTTGGCTACGGAGTGGAGAACGGCGGGTTTTATTCTACACTTTCGACGTCTGTCTCTCGGCAAGAACACTGTACCTGACTTTTTGTACTCAAGCTACAAGATCAGGGATGCAGGCTAGAATTCTCGCGCAACAAAGTATCGAAGTTCGTTTCACTCATCCTGGTGGCGGCGTGGTGCTGGTGGTGGAGTCGATTCCAAAGTCAGCCGGAGCCGGAGTCAGAGTTCACGAACCCGCAGTCCGAAGAGCATGAACAAAGAAGATGGTGAACATATAGCCTAGCCACAAAACGTCGTCTTCAAACGATGGGGTTTGACTGTTTTACGTGCGCATTCTGCTCTGCCGTTGAACTGCCGGTTCGGCGATTGGAAATGATTCGCATGGTTCGCATGGTTCGCATGGTTCGCATGGTTCGCATCGCATGGCTTGGCAAGCAACTATCGGTAAATTTTGGCGCTTGGGTAGGGTCGGCATGTTTTTCACTGTCAGCCGAGGTTTGTGCGAGGACATGATACTGACACTACCAGCTGGAGGAAAAGTGACCGGCTGGAGGGAGCTGGTGTTTGTCTGACTGGTGAATAACCCTATTCAATACCAGAATTACTGAAGATGACGGGTCAGTGCCGAGGAAAAGCCACCGAGGAATAACTCCGAAGGCGGTAGCTCCAACTGCCCCTCCCTCTCCCTCCACGCCCTGTCAGAATGTTGAGGCCCCGCCCTTTCGGTCAACTCCAATTCAACGAAGCAACACATTTACACATCAATCTGTTAATAGGTATTTGCCATCTATCGAGTGGCACTCTGCGAGAGTGGCCTTTGATCAGTTTGTCGTTTCCATCGCATCGAAGCCTAATTCCCTCATTTCACCATAGAATAGCGCATATCCGCATCTATCCTCTCCGCTCGTTCATCATCATCAATCGCCGACTCAATCCTTGTCTCAATCGAGCCCGCTCATCTCGCAAATCAATCCGTCGCTTCCTCGCGCATTATTTGCGACCCCTAAGGAGTCCATTGGAAAACATCGGACCACGAAGCTTTAGGATATTGTCGGTCGGAAGTCGAAGAGACTCGCCGGATCCAATATGTCGTCCGCTCCGACAGCAGACATGACCCCCGCGGAGGCTGAGTCCGTCTACTTCAACAACTACCCTCCTCCCAAAGCTCTTCCGAAGCACGAGGCCCTAGCGCGCGCCTTCGTGGACTTGCATGTCCAAGCGGGCCGGCGACTGGTCCTCGTCACTTCTGGAGGCACCACCGTTCCTCTGGGTTTGTGAGCCGGGCACTGCGCACAAGAAATCACGTCTAACCATGTGCAGAGAATCAAACCGTGCGCTTCATCGACAACTTCAGCGCCGGCACTCGAGGTGCCGTTTCGGCGGAGTACTTCCTGCAACAGGGCTATGCCGTGATTTTCCTCCACCGTCAGTTCAGTCTGCTGCCATACTCGCGACACTACAGCCACTCGACCAACTGCTTCCTCGATTTCATGGACGATGACGAGTCCGACTCCGAGGGCCGCCCGGTCGTTGTGTGCAGAGAATACCAGGATCAGATGCGCGATGTGCTGCGCAAGTACAAGTACGCCAAACGCAACAACCTCCTCCTACTCCTCCCCTTCACCACCGTCTCCGAGTATCTGTTCGAACTGCGGTCGCTGGCGCAATTGATGAAGCCCCTGGGCCCCAACGCCCTATTCTATCTGGCGGCAGCGGTGAGCGACTTCTTCATCCCCCACGATCGCATGTCGGAGCACAAGATTCAGTCGTCGGAGTTACCGAGCCACCTGGAAAGTGGCGGCCAGGGCGAAGATTCGTCGGACATATACACCGGAGGACTCGAGCCACAACCGGTGCCGAACCGGAGCAAGAAACTGGTCATCGACCTTGACCCGGTGCCCAAATTCCTCCACCGGCTTGTGGACGGCTGGGCCCCGGACGGAAGCATGGTGGTCTCGTTCAAGCTGGAGACGGACCCCAATCTGCTGGTGTACAAGGCGAAAACTGCCCTGGAACGGTATGCCCATCACCTGGTGATTGGTAACCTGCTGGCGACGCGGAAATGGGAGGTGGTCTTCGTCACGCCGGAGTCTCCGTATGAGCGTTGGATTCGCGTGCCCAAATCGCGGCGCAGCAAGAGCATTTCTGGTAGCGAAGACCAGGTCGGGTTGGCGGAGGCGGCCAAACAGCGGGCGGGCGAAGCCGCGCTGACGGGAGAAATCAGTGGGGGCGGCAGTGCTGGTGGTGCCCCCGACCAAGTCCCTGAGGTGGTCACCACCGCTGAAGAGGGGGTCGAGATCGAGAGTCTGATCATTCCCGAGCTGGTCAAGTTGCATTCCAACAAGATTGCGCAGTACGGCCGTTCGGCATCGGCATAGTGTAGCATCGATGGTGAGGATTGCGGGTGGAGGAAAAGAGAGTGTGAATGAACCGTTGCCATTGTTGAGGGACGCTTCTTAGTGTGAGTAGCTTAAAACACTGTAGTCTGAGTGCAGCAGGGTCCATTGCTTCCTCGAATAGAATAATTGGAAAGGGATCCATAGCACATACTGTGTACAGGAACAGCCCGTTTTTTTGTCCCCTTCGGCTTTGGGGGCGGCAGAAAAAGCATTGAACGCATTGAACGCATTGAATGTGCCACTACGGCGTACTTTTTCTCCCCTTCTCTTTCCCCTTTTCGTTACTCACTTCTCCTTTCCCTCCCCCCCCCCTGATTCCAATGGAACAGAGACGTGATGAACTCTAGATCATGGTCTTGAAGTATGGATTTACCATGCGAGGACATTCATCCATCATGAAATTCGCTGGTTTTGGTTCTGTTGTTGGCCTCCCCAAGAAAGCTGAGACAGAAAACCGCCGGGCCTGTCAGGGGCGGTTTCAGGATTGCAGCTCCTCCTCAAACCATGGCTCAGTCGGGGCCCGGGGGGAGCACCAACGCGTCATCGATGGCTGGGCTCAGTGGGCTGAGAGTAAGAAAACTAAGGACTGACTGAATACTGTCAATAGGGACCACCGTTTGGGACTCTAGATCGCCTAGACACTGTGGGCCGATCTGCGCTTTGCCTACGTGCCTTCCTACGTCGCCATCCCCACGCCCGTCCAAAAGACAGCTTCGTTGGTTGGAACAACCGTTTTCTCTTTCTCTTGGCTGCTGCCTCTACAATTGTCTCATCATCATCTGCTATCCTGTCTACTCTGTCCTTCTCCCCCTCGTCTTTTTCTTCCTCTCTCTCTCCTCCTCCACGGATTCTCCCCCTCCTCTCCAAACCCTATCCCCATTCTTTTCTTCTAAGCGCCAGGCGACTGCGTTCCTACCCGTGCTCTCAGGAATCCGACCCCGTTGTCCGACAATTCCAGAAAATAAACACTCGAGGAAGGGAAAGCTGTCAGCCATTGAACCTGTCGACACGAGCCACATTGCTAGACACAGGAAGAAAATGATCAACGTGCTGCAATCAATCTGGAGGATCGGTCCATAATCTTGCTGTTTCAGTCGCTTCTTCTTTCCTCTTGTCTGTCACTCACAGTTCAACTTGTCCCACTCCGCTGCAGGTCGGCTTCCTTACTGGACTAATCACCAACCAACCAACCTCCGCTTCCTCTCTCCCCTCGTCTCCCCTCACTTCAACCACCACTGCTGCGAGGATGTTCCGTCGCTCTCGTCGCATCGCAGCCCTCTCCGCCCTCCTGGGACTTATCCTCCTCTACCACTTCTACACCCTCCGCTCCGAGCTACATCCTCAACAAAATGACGAAGCCCGTCGCACTCTGCCCGAATGCCCTCCCCTCCCGGGGATGGAGGACGTCCTGGTCGTGATGAAGACCGGCGTCACCGAGTCCCTCGACAAAGTCCCCGTCCATTTCCACACCACCCTCCGTTGCGTCCCTCACTACGTCATTTTCTCGGACTTTGCGGAAGAAATCGAAGGTGTCAAGATTCAGGACGCCTTTGTTGGAATGGACACGACCGTGCGGGATACTGTCGAGGACTTTAACCTTTACAACCGTCTCCGCGAACAAGGCCGTGCCGGTCTCGAGTCCGCCGACTTCGCTGACGAGGCCAATTCCAACATCGGCAAACCGAACAACCCGGGCTGGAAGCTTGATAAGTGGAAGTTTCTCCCTATGGTTCAACAAGCGCTGGCCTATAAAGACGACGCGAAGTGGTACGTCTTCATGGAGGCGGACACATATTTCTCGTGGCCGACGCTTCTCGCATGGCTCGCACATTTCGACTCCAGCGAGCCGCACTATATCGGAACCGAGACCCAGATCGCGGACGTCATCTTCGCGCACGGCGGATCAGGCTTCCTCGTCTCCAACCCGGCCATGCAGCTGGCTTCTAAAGAATACGCCGCGCGGACGGTGGAGTTGAACGAATACACCGATTGGCACTGGGCAGGCGATTGCGTCCTAGGCAAGGTTCTCGCGGACGCCGGGGTGCCCTTGCACTACTCCTGGCCCATGCTCCAGAACTCCAACCTCGGCGAGATCGACGAGTTCGCCACGGGCTTCTATCGCAAGCCGTGGTGTTTCCCCGCCGTGGCGTTCCACCACTTATCATCCCGCGACATCCAAGATTTGTACGAGTATGAACGTCGCAGATGGCAAGATGTACGTGCTATCACCCTATCTCCGGATCTTTCCCTGCCCCATGATCTTTTTTTGGGTGAATCCCTCATCAACTAACACATCCCGCGTCTAATCAGGTAAACAAACATATCCTCCTCCACCGCGATGTCTTCAAGGAACTCATATACCCCGAACTTTCCAACGTCCGCGACAGCTGGGACAACCTTTCCGACCAAGAACGCCCCGGCATCACCACCTTCCACGAGTGTCAGACCACGTGCGCCGAAGCGGCCAACTGCGCCCAGTTCGTCCTCCGCGCCGGTGTCTGCTTCCTCGGCGAAACGCCCCGGCTGGGTGTCCGCAACCCCGAGGCTCGGTCCGGCTGGGTCCTGAATACGATCGACAAGATGATAGAACATGCGCCACGGTGTGGTCGGCCGGACTTTGGTTTATAGACTTTTTTTCTTCTTGTCCCCTCCCCCCCCAAAATCACACAGAAACCTTGTCAGAACTATTCGCTGGCCGAGTAATTTATCCCACAAGCTGATGAAACTATCCTCTGTTTTTCTTTCGGGTTGCTGGGTGTGGTGCTATCCGTTTTTCTATATCGGATTAGACTATACTCCCGTTCCTCCCTACCGGACATCGTGCTGTTCTGCCCAAAATTATGGCAAGGAACTATGCGTGCATTGTGGTCGAAGGCGTTCTTTGGGGGTCTTGCTATTTTTTCAGCTTCTTATTCCTCGATTTTGGCTTGCATCCACACCAGGCGTCTGGGTTACAGAGGGGGGCACAAACCACCTGAAAAGAAGTTTCCTTGATTTTCGCGATTGTGTGAGAAACAAAATGTCTTGCATTCATTATTTTTGGTGTCCGCTTCAGCGTTTCTTTTGGCCACGCTTTGCTTTTTGTATCGTATACAATATGCTTTATACCAACTCATGCCACCATCTGTTTATACTTCCATCCGCGCTTGCCACAGAACAGAGCATAGCGTAGCGTAGTATAGCGTAGCATACAGGAAAACCACGGACCCAACCCGATTTGCCCCCAGCTAATGGATCGGAAACTTCAGGGGGGGACTCCGCGGATCCTCCAAACACTGGTCGATGCGCATGATGGTCTTGTTCTGGCTCTTGACGAACTGGATTACCTCGCGGAAGTAGCTGACGGTCGTGGCACTCAGGAAGTGCATGACGGCCAGGTTGCCCCCGTGCTGGACGTCGCGGAAGAAGGCCTCGCGCTGCTTCTCCGGGGTCTTGGAGTCGGCCCACAACCAGTCCTCGATGTCGACGCTCCAGGTGATGATCTGGGGGTCGGTGATGTAGTTGGCCAGGCGTTGGCGGGTGCGGGCGCCAAGGGTGCCGAAGGGGGGCCGGAAGTAATGCGCTGTGTTTGTGAAGTATGCAGTCAGCTAAGCGGATGGAAACCTCTGCCCGTGTTGAGCGGACCATACTTTCGATTCCCAGGATCTGGCGAAAGGACTTGATGTTTTCGACGATCTCGCGGTCGATCTCGGCGATGGAGCCTAGGCCTTCCATCCTGTATTGAGCCACTGTAGTTAGTCGTATTTTTCTGGCGATTTGGGACGAAGAAACACAAAACCACCATATCTCCACCCGACAGTCAACAATCAAGAAGAAAAGAATATGGGGGACAAACTTGCGATGCGTATCCGAATGCAGAGCAATCTGATGCCCGCGCCGAATCATCTCGCGGTAGACGTTCGAGAAATTGGTCTCGCGGTCCCGGAGCCCCAACCCGACCACGAAGAACGTGACGAGCACGCGCTCCTCCTCGAGGATGCGCATGACCTCCTGGGCGAAGCGGGGCTGGCCGTCGTCGATGCCGAAGGCGAACGAGTCCGGGCGCGAGCAGGTCAGCGACAAGCGGCCGTTGTGGACGCGGTGCGGGACGGGGAACCCCACGGGGATGGCGGGGACGAGCTCCACGCGGTACAGGGTCAGACTCTCAAGCGACCAGAAGCCGCCGAAGCTGACGGAGACCGTCTTGGCTAGGTCAATGTGGAAGTGCGCCAGCGGAATGTAGATGTCGTTGCCCCGGGCGTAGCGCGCCGCCTCGACCACGTCCGACGTCTGCGGGAACGGGTTGCGCGTCACGTCGCCCGCCGGGTTGTTCTGGTTCAGGAAGATCGAGAACTTCGTCGTGCCCCCGAAGACGATGTGCAGCGCGTGCGTGGGCTGGTGGCTCCGCAGGTCGTAGCATGCCGACGCGGAGAGCTGCGTGTGGTAGTTGTGGTCTGGGTCGGAGGGGAAGAGCCGCACGAATCCGTTGCCGTGGTGCACGGTTAGGCCCTCCAGGGCCCCGTGCCAGTGGCCCAGGGCGTTGGTGTCTTGGTGCTGGAAGGTGTCGATTAGGATGGTGTTGGGTGGGCCTTGTGGGTTGTGGAAGGGGGTGGGGGTGAGATCGAGATTTTGGGTTGGTGGGGAGGGTGGGGAGGGTGGAGGAGGTGGTAGCGGGGGCGGTGTTGCTTCGGTGGGAGTCATGAGGGCGTTGATGAAGAGAAGAAGGAGGAGGAGGAGGAGGGACGAGAGAGTGGTGGACATGCTTGAGGCCATGGTTGACGTTGTGAAATGCCTGTCAAGATTACGACTTTATGTATTTGGCAGTGCTGTCATGCGGTGATGCAGTGATGTCTCGGTGGCAGTGAAAGAGTGATGATCTTCACAGTGTCTGATACTGACGCTGGCTCTGTGCTGGAAGGAGCTTCGAGGTGATATGCTACGTGGTCTACTTTGGGAAAGAGCATTCCCATGAATCGAAAAGGTTGTGGCAGTGAAACTACCGTGCCTTGCACAGCTGCCATGCCTACCCCGGACTCTCCAAATTCAGTTCATAGGCCCTAAGCTGTAAGCATTGGGCCATGTACAGTTGAGACGAAGATATATTGATAGATCTCGTAACCTTAACCCTAACTGAAATCAATCAGATCGAGAATGGGAGAAACGGAGACTATTACCAAGGTAAGCCGGATAGATTCCTTCTTCATATCATCATCCGAGAAAGAAGTGGTCCAGTCGTAACAGCTGAGGAGAGGCAAGACTTTGAGTCCTAATAGTAGCTGTAGTATCTGGACTTAATATAAGGGAAGAAGAAGGCCCTGCGGGCCTGCGCTCTGAGCCATGTACATATGTACTGCTAATGATGCCTGAGGCAACAGTGGCCGGTCACCGAGGATTCCAAACCGAATGCATGGAATATGCTCAGTGAAGGATAGCATGTTCAATACTCGAGAATACACATTAGTAACAAGACCAGACAGCCATACTTCAAGGCATGGGCCACTTCACATATCCCGGCTCTTGCTCCAGACGACCTTCCCGCACCAGGTTGTCAAACGTCCAGTCGCAATGGCAGCCAAGGAGACTAATATTCTGCAAAGCACAGGCTATGGATTAGTAACCCTGAATCATGAAAGCACCACACTATTGCCGAAGCTAAAGAGCCCGAAAATCGGTTGGGAGTAATGAAACCTACCTCCAGATTGAAATCCGCATGCCCATGTAACGCACCGACTTGTCTCCAAGCATGCACCGTGTCCGCTAATAGAGAGAACTTCCCACTGCTGACCCACGTAGCCGTGGAGCGACTTCGATCGTATCGGAACCAATGGCCGGTGTCGTGGGCAGGTGACGGATGACTCTCCGTGGCCGCCTCGAAATGGAGATGGGCCATCCCAGGGGGATATAGCTGGGGGATGGCCTGCAGAAACATAGTTCTAAGAGCCGGCATATGCTGGGCCGCTTGGCCAGCTGCTCGATGAAGGTTGTTAAGGAGATCCGCCGGCTTGCTCCGAAATGCGTCGGGGTACCGGTCTTGAGGAGCCGGAGTTCGGGGGTCCTCCCTTATTCCCTCGTAGACATCTTCCCGCTGAGACAAACTATACGGTTGACAGCGGGGGTCCTTCTCAAACAGCCACTGTCCTGATGGCGTCACCGCTTGGTAGACGAGTTTCAATAAGGTAAGCCGTGGCCATCGGGGCGGTGCTGAATAAGGGTGCAGCGGCGGCCAGAAGAATTCAGGGCCGATCATAATCTTGTCAATCTTAACAGTTACCAGCTGCTGCGTCAGCTGGTTGAGAGCCTGGCTAAGCAGGTCATACCAAGGCTCTGATCGCCGAAAAGGGGGGAAATGTCCATCTGCTGGAGGAAGTCCCGGATATTCTAAACAAAGGTGTTCAATAGTGCTTGGCCAATTCGATACGGTAAGGGCAAATTCTAGCAACGTGAGTCTTTGACTTTAGCCTAAGTAAGTTATAGAGGGTAGAATAAGGTCCTGTACCATTCCGGAGTCGATCCCGCAGCTGTTGGTCTTTTCGCTCATCGTCTGAGAGGCTGGTATGGACTATCTGTATGCCGGGAAGCCGCGACAACAACTTGGAGACTGTCGCTGGGGCAATCTTACGGTGACCACGGCATGTAACTCTGAAATGCGTCACGCAGCTGAGCTCGGGCAAAGTAGTTGGATTTATTATCAAGTCCAGGTAGGATTGATAGAATCTCCAGTCTAACCAGTCCTCCTTGGGAAATTTGCGGCCCCATCGCCGACGACCCATACGTTTTCTTTCATCAGGCTCGGCACCACAATCGCTAGAAGATCTGGCACGTATGTTTAGCGAAAGTCCTGCAACCTCCTCTTGAGACCATATACTCAGAATATTCCAGAAAGAGACTATAGTCTGGGTGAAGGCCTCATTGTTTTTCTGGCGATCTATTTGGCTTTCCAACCGGGTCCGTGCAGCGATCTCGTAGGCAGGAAGCAGAATATACAGATCCAGATAACGAATAAAGCAGCGCCGGGGTGAACCAGGGGGGATAATCTGCTTAAAGTCGGTCAACCGGTCAAAGGTCAGAAGAAGATGGGAGAAGGTCTGCTTCTCAATCAGCACCTGCCACTTCCTACAGACACTGGCATAAGAAGCTAAAGAGGCTGATCCTAATTGTGTCAGAATCAAAGAGAGGATTTCGGAGGGCAAAGCACTGATCTCAGTCATGGTTGTTGTCAACCTCCAATTTTGAAAGTACAAGTTGGAGCGAGGACGGGAAACGCATCTATGGTTGAAGGGCAGTCGACTCTACACTGGCACACGATTGAGGTTTCTAGGTCACCCGTGACCAATCAGAGCTAACGTATCTGGTAAGCGGACCAGCCCGCCCGCTCTGAATTACTACCTGATTATCAACTAGTTAGTTACTGAAATTCGTACAAAGTATTGTGTATCTGAAGCTTGGGTAATCGTGACACTAATCTCTGAAGGATAGTGGGACGCTACCCTTCAGGTTCAATCCATGGTTACATTGCCATGTACATACCGGAGTAAGTGTTTGATTTTCTGGAGGAGCAAGCCGACATCTATGAAGAAGCGGGTCAGATGAGGAAATCCGCAAGGATGAAACCATGGAGAACTATATCATCGGCGTCAACACCAACGACCCGGCCAGCAAAGAGTGCCGCGATATCAACTGGTCCATCAACACTTGCAAGTTCATCATGTTTGCCATGGATTATGTACGTTGGGCTTGCTGTTTCCCTCTTGAGTCCTGCTTATAGCAAGCAACTTCGGTACTCTCTACCTTCGCGGACCACTTTTGCTAACAGAGGTGATGTACTACAAGGTCACTGCAACCGACACCAGCAACATTCTGGTCACGCAGGCCGAACGAGTGGGATCCTACTTGTACGTCTCGGATTCATCCATTCATCAACCCGTCCATACCTCGTGGCTTAAAAACCCTTTACATAGAGGGTGGGGGGTTGATTTCTTTCCTCCATTCTAAAGCACGAACAGCGATGACTTAACGCAAATTACAGCGACGACATCGAATCATATCTAGCAATCATCGTAAGCAGTCCTAAGTCCGATCCTTTACATTGTTCACCACATACTAACAACCCCGACCCCCGACCCAGCCCAACCCCATCCCAGACCAGCGTCTCGACCTCGGAACCAAATGGCGCAGATTCATGTACCTTAACTGGGACCTACAGGCGAAGAAAGCGACGAGTGAATTTACATATTGTACCCCACCATGCCATACTCAACCATGAGAAAGAGAAAAACATACCTACCGGTCCTTTCTTCCCACCCACACACCGACTACCACGCCACACAGCAATAACTTCCTTGCTAACAACCGGGGCACAAACAGATATCAGATTGTCTCCAAGATTGGGTCCCCACAACCTACGCGGCCTACCTCTCGATGCGGACGGCGACATCGAATTGGGGGGCATCGAGACCAACGAGGACATTCTCGCGCGCATCAAGGCAGTGGCCAGTGCGTGGGAGGCGTTTCCGCGGAGCTTTGCCAATCCGTTTCCGAGCACCTGGTAGTGAAAAGTAGAGCAAGCAAATACGTACAATCGGTTGCAGAAAGTTTCCGCACACCCGCCCGGAAACGCGTCTTCTTCTATACAAATTTTACAACCCTTTGATATTCCAATTTTCATTACTATATAAAGAGTCTTGATATTTGATTATCAAGCTATACTATTGCTTTAGGATAGTCTCTGTTAATTTTAGTATTATAGCTGATGAATATGAGATCCTTGTCATCTTCAATAGTAGAGCAAATTTAAAAAGAATCACAAAACCAGGTCTAGCTTTCTTAGAGGTTTTATTTTTACACGAACTGTATAAGGACTAGAACCTCTGGATGAAGGTTCAGAAAGCGAGAATGAAGAGTTCCGGGTGAGCAGGGCGGTTGTACAAGGCACTGTATCAATTATGTTAGACATGTTTCTAACCTCCATATGTGACTCTGTCTGAATGACAAGAAAACGACGCCGCTGATCAAACCCTCATCCCTATCTACCACCCAACAAGCGTGATCGTTGGCCGAAGATCCTGCAACACTGAAAACAGCATCCGCCGTGTAGGCAGACAAACTCAATCCGACAGCGTCCGCTAGATCTCCGGGGCATGACTGGAACAAGGAGGGAACCTTACAGCATCATTCTCAAAGCCACCGAGGTATCAACTCCTCAAACAACATCGGGTTAGGTATGGCTCAGGATACTGTGAACCAAGTAAGGGCAAAAAGGGAGCTTAGGACCAACGAGCTGAGTCCGTCAACAGAAGATGCCACTCCATGCCTCTTCAACTCGGGTGAGAGAGCCGAGAGGCCCGGTGCGGATCCCGAAGTCAACAGACAAGCCAAAGGTCCCGTCTTAGAAGCCCCAGTCGGTGTCTGATGCCTGGGGCGCGCTGCCAGCATCGTTGTCATCCATCTGAATACCTCCCCACGCTGCACCAGCGTCATCTCCAGCGTTGCCGTCACCGTTATTCTCATCATCGGTATCGTCCTGGAAGTCGATCCTGTTGTCAACAGGCTTGTAAGACTCAAGGAAGTCAGGAACCTTCTGGCCGCTCTCAATAAGGATGTTGACAAGCTCAGGTGCAAGTTCCGCATCGTCCTCGTTGTAGAATGAGGACGCCAGGCCTTCATTCCCAATGCGAGCAGTGCGTCCTATCAAAGGTTAGCGTGAGTCGCTATATGGATGGCTCTTCCAGCTTACCAATACGATGAATGTACTCAGTGATGCCGCCGTGCTGGGCACGAGGCAGGTCAAAGTTAATGACATGCATAACATTTTTGATATCAAGGCCGCGAGCCGAGACACCGGTAGCCACGAGGATGGGGCACTTGGCCACGCGGAAAGCACGCCTATCTCTCGGTCAGAGAGGGTCTCACTTTCTCTCAAAAAGGGACTACCTACAATGCATCTTCACGCTCACGCTGAGTACGATCGGCATGGATCGAAGTGCTCGGCAAGCCCATATTGAACAGGTAATCATCCAGAAGGTCAGCCTGGGTCTTCGAGTTAACAAACACCAGGGTCCGGGAAGGGGGCATGGAGAGCAGAAGATCGTAGAGACACTGCTTCTTCATGTGCCGCTCTGCAAATATGATCTGTGGCTAGATTAGTAACAAACAGAAGCAGCCATTCTACTGGGAGCCCTACGTTCTGCTGCACGTTGATGTGAGTGCTACCAGGGCGTCCGATGCGAATGCGAACATGATCATCTGCGAGGTACTTGCGAGCCAGCTCACGGCAAGCCTTGTTGAAGGTCGCAGAGAACATCATGTAGCGATGATCGGCATCCTCGTTCACATCTATCATATGTAAGTGTCGATATTGTATAGAGAAAGAATTGATGCCAGCATACCTCCTCCTGACATTATCTTGTTGAAATCCGACTCCCAATCAGATTGGAGAAGCTCGTCGGCTTCATCGATGATAGTGTACCTGTGGTGCCGATCAGTTTTACGTATCTTGTTTGCTCAGGAGTCGACTTACTTTACACGATGAAGCGAAAGCATGTGAGGCCTATCCATGAAGTCAAGGAGTCTTCCAGGTGTGGCAATGAGGATATCGCAGCCACGCTGCAGCTCGTCCCGCTGATCACGGAATGGTGCACCTCCATAGACCACACAAGGCCGCAACATAGACCGATAACACAGGCGTCTTGCCTCGTCGAAGATCTGAGTTGCAAGCTCACGGGTCGGAGCGACAATGAGAACCAAAGGCTCAGCCCGGACAGCATCCATGGCAGGATTGTAACCAGCCGCCACATTAGGACGAGGAGCGGCGAGCTTCTTGGCCTTACCCATCAGCTGGGACAGGACGGGAATGAGGAAAGCCGCAGTTTTGCCAGATCCTATTCATGTCAAGTGGCCGTTGCGACATAACAGACAGAAGTGCTTACCAGTCTGGGCAATGGCAATCAGGTCATGCCCAGTGATAACTGCTGGGATTGAATACGCCTGGATGGGTGTTGGGTGTGCGTAACGACAGAGTTCAATATTCTTGCGCATGATCGGATGCAGACCAGCGTCATTGAACTATGGCGATCAGAGCCATGATCACACTCAGCAAAGAGAAGGGGATCAAACGTACATCTCTCACAGGGTTGGGTCTTTCGTGACTCTCGGCGATGACCTCAATCTTTTGTAGACTATACACAGTTAGTGATCCGCGATGTGAAGCTTTGGACTCCAACTGACATACTTTCCAATCTTCAGACCAGCCCGGTTGATGAATTCGTTTCGGAACAGTTGTTCCTCAAGCTCAGGTATCTCCGGGCCTACATCACCATACTCGTCCTTCCATTCATACTTGGCTGCATTTGCCGCCCACTCGGGGAGCTGACCGTCACCAGAGTCGCCCGCGGGTTGATCAGGAGCGGAAGCAGCAGTGTACTTGTCATAGTCATAGCTCTCTGGAGCCACCCACCCCTTTGCGCGGGCGAGGTTGGACGCGTCGTTCTCTTTGTTGTCCTGACTGTTTGTCACATCGTCGAGCGCGGTGCCCAACGAAGACATATTAAATTCCGCCATGATTGCTCGTCCAGGGCTGGACTAGCTCCCAACGACGTCCTACGTGACAGACTCTTGACACTAGCCTCAGGGTAGCTCGGAGTTAAGACGACGAACAAGTGTTTGTTATTGGAGAGCAAATGATACCTTTGTTGAGAGAGACGCGTGAGACAGTTAGAGTAGTCAGGCCGTTATATGAACAGATGACGAGGAGAAATAGGCGTGGAGATGGACACGAAGAAGGGCAGTGCACTTCTTACAGGGATGGTTGAAAGATGGAAAAAAGAGGAGAGAGAAGGAGAAAAGAAATGAGGGAAGAGGAGGAGATGGGGAGAGGAGAGGAGAAAAGATGGGAGAGAAAGAAAGCTGAAGTGGTGTGTGTGGGCTGGCCTCAACAACAACACCACCTCACGCCGAGTCGAGCAAACGGATTGCACAACAAGACACCTCAACGGAGTGAGGCCAATGAGCACCTGCCCCCAAGCCTTGTGAATGTAGCACCTACTACCTACGGAAAATTGATACGAAATGGAAGTACACAGGGAATTTTGACTACAAGATCAACCCGAGAACGGTAGTACTCGGAAAATTCATGACCACAGTCCAGTTCCTACCAACCAAGCGGATAAATCGTCTGGTCCCCTCTGAAGACAAGTGACAAGGGATTGTCGAAAGTCTTGAGGAGAAAATTACTCCATCATGCAAACATCCGAGAGCCGAGTATGGCCGTTTACTACCACTCCGTATAGTGACCGGATCTAGTGAAGATAGCACCTTAGCAGCTCCGAAACACCAGTAGACGGGATTTCTTGTTGCAAAAAGAGACTTGAAGTTTTGATGCTTGCGTGCTGCTGCGTGTCTTTCATTTACCATGCCTCATGACTTGAAGCTGGGTAGAAAGAATCTCATCCTCACCCCAATCTCTGTTGATGGGATACACTTCACTGAAATACCAGAAATTTCTCTATCTGTTTTACTTCAATCTACATGCCTAACACAAGTCCCCCTAAGCTTCCACCTCTCTTTATCACATCCACGTACCCTGTGTCTAGATCTGCAATAGCACTAAGGACTATTTTCCGATGTATTATTTACAACACCGCTCCACCAGCACACAGCTGTCATTCATCCTAAGTCAAGGTCTGGCATTGGGTCAGAGACCAGATAAAGACTCAAATTTGCAATCTCTCTGGTCAACCAGCTCTACCAGAGTTCATGTAGAGAGTTCAATCGGCTCTGAAAATCATCGTGCTGAACATGTCGACCGCGGTGTTGATACATTGAAAGTGCCTTGCAGGTCTCGGGAAAATGCACTGTGATGCCGACTGCGCACGACTGAGAATTTGTGGAATAAGCGATCTGCTTGCCTTGTACGATAAAAGCCGGACAAGACCCTCTGTTGATTTGTGAACAACAACCATAAGGACAAATATATCGGAGGACCATGGCATCAAATCTACGTGCACAAGAGCTATGAGTGACTGGCGTTGTGATGGAGAGAAATCCCCGGATGGACATGATGCGCCTGCCTACAGCATACAGGTCAATGCTGCTCTCTACCGACATGGACATGCAGGACTTCGTATGGCGACTTGTCTTTATTTCCTCTTTAATCACTGAGCAGCAGTCGATGAACCGGAAAATTTGAGGTATTTATGCAATCGTTCCTATGCTTGTGGGTCAGTAGCTTTGGTATAGCTCTTGCCTTATTCCTAAGGCATCAGCATATTTTCCAACGTCATCTCAGGGGCAAATACCACTCGTCAACTTGCATGGGACAAGCATATTTCGACCGATGCACTCACCCCGTTTTGACCAACAACAAGGCCATGAGGCTCTAAGACTACGAGCAGATGAAGTGAGGATAGCCCATATCTTCACAGATCGACCTGCATTCCCTTGCAGGACAGTGGCGCGGCACGGAACAATTGGGAAAGAAAAGGTCGGAGACTCCGTCCGCGCCCAGCCCGTAACCCGCCAAGTGGGTTCGACCGACCTCCAAGCGGGCAGAAGGAATCTCAAATATACGCTGTACTCTGTATCACGGGCCAATAATCCCATTTCCCCGAGACCGAATTGAGCTTCCTCAGCGACCCTCAACTACTTTTCGGAATTTGGATTTAACTCACTCAACTCCCCCCTCCCCCCTTCGACCCTCCTTTGTCATCGCTCCGATTCTCAATACTTGCTCCATGCCATTGAGTCGTCATGGCCACTTCTACTTCGAATCGGGCGAGCGCGCGGCTGGAGCTAGCCAATCCGGGGACCGTTAAGATCAATGTGAAGGGTGCCTTCATCGTGGACGATGATCCGAGGTCCAAAAGTCCGGTGAGGACCGACGGGGTTTCTTATGAAGGTGAGCAACCCCCCCTCCCCTCCCCCGCGAGAAGCACGCCTTTTTTCGTTGCCGGCACGATTTCACCGGTTAACCCAACGAAACTCACTTTTGCTTATAATCCTGTGGCTCAGGTCATGACATTCGGCTTCCGAACCACAAGGAAATTAGTCATGTAGCTGTTGATGTGAGTTAACCTTCTCTCCTCCATCCGGACACTCTGCGGGTTCCCCGCACACAATCGGCAGCAGCTCCCCGCAGTCCTCAACGTTCCTCGCACCACCACCACCATCACCACCAGCACCACTTCACTCAGAGAACTGACTCGAGCAATATGGTTTTTAGATCGGCGGCTCGTTGGCCAAGCTCGTCTACTTCACTCGGGAAATCGACTCCGCCGACAATGGCGGGCGACTCAACTTCATCAACTTCGAAACCTCCCGCATCGACCTGTGCATCGACTTCATCAAGGAATTGAAGGCCGAACACGAGAAGCTGAAGGGCTCCTCGGGGGCGGAACTATGTGTGATGGCGACGGGCGGCGGGGCTTACCTGTACTATGACAAGCTGAAGGAGTCCCTCAATGTCGACATCATCCGGGAGGATGAGATGGAATGTCTCATTACCGGTACGCATGGCCCACATTTCGCTAAGATTTGGAACGTCAAACACATTTCTGACTTGACTTTGTTTTTCCACAGGCCTAGACTTTTTCATCACGGAAATCCCCAACGAAGTGTTCACGTACAGCGAGACCGAGCCCATGCAATTTGCCGAGGCCCGACCGGACGTTTACCCGTACCTATTAGTCAACATCGGCTCCGGCGTGTCCATGATCAAAGTCTCCGGCCCCAAGCAGTTCCAGCGTGTGGGCGGTACGCATCTGGGGGGTGGGACCTTCTGGGGGCTCATGTCGCTGCTGACGGGGGCCCGCACTTTCGACGATATGCTCGCCATGGCGGATCGGGGTGACAACAGCGGGGTGGACATGCTGGTGGGGGATATCTACGGCATGGACTACAGCAAGATCGGACTCAAGAACACGGCCATTGCCAGCACCTTCGGCAAGGTCTTCCGCCTCAAGAATCAAGCCGGTCAGCAGACAGCCGACGGGACAGAATCGTCTCCCGACGAGGAGCGTGATTCGACGAATGGCGATCCGAAGTTCAAGCCCGAGGATATGAGCCGGAGTTTACTCTATGCTATCAGGTGCGTCAAGATCTCTCAACACTCAATTTCCCAAAGGGATTGGTCTAACAGGGCACAGTAACAACATCGGCCAAATCGCCTACCTGCAGTCCGAGAAGCACCAGGTCAAGCATATCTACTTCGGCGGCTCCTTCATCCGCGGCCACCGACAGACCATGAACACGCTCTCGTACGCCATCAAGTTCTGGTCCAAGGGCGAGAAGCAGGCTTACTTCCTGCGCCATGAGGGCTACATCGGCTCCGTCGGGGCGTTCCTACGGAGACAGCCTGCCAATTGGGGACGCAGGAACAGCATCGACGAGGCGTCCCTACAGGAGCTCAAGGCGGCTCTAGAAGCCAAGCACCAAGCTAGTCAACCGAACGCATCCTAAACCTGGATAGACCTTTCGGACAAAGCATACATACTGGACAACTTAGATGTGTCCGGCCCCTTACCCCTTAGCCCTTACCCCCTTCCTCCACTACCTCCTCCTCCTCATTTTGAGCGTTTTGATACCCGTCGATTCTCATGACACATTTGTACTCTTGCATTTTATACTGTTTCTACATCATAATGCTCGTGTAATTTCCGGCCACCCTGAAAGTCTTCGATGACATCCTCAAAAATCATGAACAAGGCATTAGACTTCAGATTGTGTTTTGACGAGTGCATATTGTTTAGACTGTTGTACACTTAATCTTTTAGGGTTTTTCTTGCCAGGCATCCACTGCACCGTGTCAAGAGTGATTCCTTTGCGGGCGGGTTTCCTTCTCGGTCATGCTTCGGAGTCGGCCAGTTGTCCTGTACCACTACATAGATACCAGCGTGCATTGAGAACCGGGTAGATCTCGAATTGACCGGTCGATTTTCAAGCATCCATACGGGTTACGAAGATATGTTCAAAGAAGGCGCCAGCAATGAGCGAGCACCCAGCGAGAAGCCGCACTGTTCTTCTCTCTCGGGCCTCAAGATTTAATAACCGGTCGGACCTTGATCTCCACAGCCGGAATATTGTCCTTCCCTTTCAAGCTATCCAAGGCCACCCAGATCATATAGTCAAACTCATCGTGACCGCCCCGCGGAAGCCACACCTCGCCGTGCGACTCCGTCTCGCAACAAAGATACTTGAGCTCCGTGAGCTTGTAGTGGAGGCGAAAGAAACCGAGGGCTTGCGCAAAGAGGTCATCCACCGTGCTGCATGTGGCCACGAATATGAACCGTTTGGGCTTGTCCTCCGAGCACAGCACGAACACCAAGCCGCCGGTCACCTTGCGCAGAGACAGCGGGTCCGCATGATTCGGTTTGCGCCTTTTCGGGACTGGAACCGGGACCGGCGGCGACGTCGGGGCAGGTGGTTGCTGTCTCTTTGGCAACCTTCGGGTCTGCTGGATGGGCTCACTCGCCGAGGATAACTCCTCATCCGTGTCGTCGACAACCTCGGACAGGGGGGAGGGATCATCTGTGTCCGAGAATATACTGGCCACTCGAGTTGTGTTCGCGACTACTTTCTGCGGCGGCCGCTGCGGCCGCTGCTGCTTCTGCGCAGACTTCGATCTCGCCGACCTGGCGGGCTGGCGCTGGCCCCTTTCACTAGCTCTCCTCTCCTGCGGCCGTTGCTGAGCATCAGCCGTGGCCATGGCTCCTCCTCCTTCCTGCTGCCGCTCTCGACGGCCATCGATAAACTCCCACGCCGCCGGGTCGTAGACGATCTCCTGCCCGGACTTCATCCGCCAGACGCGCACCGCGCACGATGGCGGCGTGGGATCCTGCTCGGCCGGCGTCCATTGTCGAAGAAACGTGCCGAACGGGGTCGAGTGGGGCTGGCTGCAAACCACGATCTTCCCTCCTGCTGGTGCAGACGCCGACTCGGAACTTGTTGTCCGCGGGCCCCCCGCCGTCGCCGCCGGCGCCGCCTCATACGCCACCAGCACGTTGGTCCGCGGACTATTCAGGGGATACTGGCAGAGCTGGAGCTCTTGGCCGGTGCGATTGAAGACCCTGGATTCCCGGACCACTCCTTCGCCGCGGTAGGAGAACGGCGGGCGCTTCTTCCGCCGCTGGCCGCGGGTGGATTCGTGCCATTTGGCGATCTCCGCCTGCAGGTACCGGGGAAAGGGGATCGGGGGGCCTTTGATGGGCTTGGAGTTGATGGAGAATGGGTTCGGGATGTCGGTGTTGTCGGTGTCGGTGTCAGTATCGTTGTCGTTGTCGTCGTCGTTGTCGGGCTCCGCGGTGGTTTTGGTGTCGTTGTTCGCCGTCGCCGCCGTCACGGGGGTATGCCCAGTGACAGTAGTAGTAGGGGTAGTCGTAGTAGCAGCGTGGAAGGGGATGTCGGGCCCCTCGTCGTAGGGCGAGGGCGGCGTTGACGAGGAGGATCGGCGGCTGCGCTGCTCGTTGAGAGTAACCAGTCCTTTCGCATCGGACTCCTCGACCTCGTACGAGTTGGATCTGGAGTTGAGGATGTTGGGGTAGAGAACAGTCGACCTCCTGGAAATTTGGGAGCACATGAAAACTTGGTTAGCTTGACTTGATTCCCTTCCAAAGCTCCAAAAGTACCTCCTTATAAAAAGAAAAGGAGAATCAAAATGAGCAATGGCGTGGAACTTCCGCTGACCACTGGGAACTCGACATATTGATTGTTCACCGCTGGTACTGGACAAAGTACTCGAGTAACAGGAATCACAAGCTGGGCTTCGATGCCTCGGGGGATGGGATCTCTGTTTTGTGTTCTAAATGAGGGTATAAGACTTTTGAGAGTAGGAGAAAATGCCCTTGGTTTGTACTGGATGGACATTGACTGATCAAACGAAGAGTGCGCGATCACGCTTTCGGTGACATGTACAGTAAGTCCAGTAGTGTAGCGCGTTTTGCGTTTGCTTATCATTGGATTCTGAACTTATTGGGCAACCCCGCGGAGGAACCACCTGCAGAAAGTGGACTTGTTGGGAGATGCCAACGTAGATTTGGCATGTGACTCAATATCTGAGAGGTAGTCGAAGACGATAAATGCGTCCTCGTATTTTGACATTCACACAATCGGATCCTTTTTTTTTTCTATACTCCTAACGAAGATCATCACAGTGTCGTGAGCGGCTGGCAGGAGTGGTGCGCTAGACTTCCACACTATACCTACAAGAGCAATGCCTTTTGACACTGACAGTATAGATCAACAACGTGTTCTCGCCAAGCTCCTAGGCTTGCATAGCGCACGCAAACTTCGCAAACCAGGCTTTGAATTATCGGTGGCGCACATATTATGATCAGTGAGCAGGACATGGCGCCAAGTAGAAAACGATGTATACGTTCGCTGGGTACAAACTGCCAGACATAGCGTCAGGTCTGTCCAGTACAACGACGATTGTCTGGTGCAGGGCCAAGGCACTAATATGGCCACTTATCAGCCTGTGGTAAGAATGCCATTGCTCACCAGCTGGATCGCATATGGATAACTGTGTACTATGAGATACGCGATACGCAGGTGGGGAGTTGTGTACATAGTTAAGCATGGTAAATGGATGACTAATTCCACGTGGGCGGCGTGCCGGAACTGGCGATTCGCGTCACCGACGGGGGGAGACTCCAGCTCTTTCTCATCTCGATCGTATCACATCATGCTTCAAGCATGAGTCCGGGTCCTGCTCGATGCCTTCGCTGTCCGATTCGCCTCCTCCCGTTCCGCCCCCGGTGCCCGTCGAAACCCACCCGAACCGCAGCGTCGGCTTGAAAGAGCAACGAGCCCTCCCGGATCCCACCAGGCTTGCCCCTGAAGATGCATACTACACCTCTTCGCTGCCGCGCGCGCGGCCTACCTCGGCCCACTTTGACGACTCGATGCGCGTGTTGAACCCCAACGCTGTGGCAGTGTTGCGATCGCCGCCGGCCGTGCCAGGAGCCGGTGGTGGTCGAAAGGAAGTTCAAAAGCTGCGAGGCTCCAGCCGACGGAGGAGACGAAAGGGCGCCTGGAAAAAGCTACTCTGGGTGAAACAGTCCTGTAAGATGATCGCGAGATGACCTATGAGGGTTTCGGGTTTGGGGTTTGGTATAAGATACTAAATCAATACGCACAGATCCCGACAACTACACGGATACAGAGACCTTCCTAGACCACCTTCAACGCAATCCTCGCGTACGACCCTACGATTTCTGGCCTCTCGTGGCTGACTCCACGGTTATCGTACAACATGTATGCTCGGTGGCGATCTTCGTGTGCTGTTTTGTTGGCATTGTGCAGGGCCGCGTGAGCCCCGTCTCGGTGGTGTGCTGGGGCAGTGTCGGGACCGCCTTGGGTTGGATCTTCTGGGATTCTTGGATTCTGCGGGAGCACGTGGAGAGTGCCCAGGTTGCTGAGCGAGCATCATCAGAAGGTGATGATGGATCGAGTTCTAGTTCCATGACTAGCTCTGTCAATCCGTCGTCCGGCATCGCTAGTTCGCGTCCCTGCGGGCAGAAGGAGAACCAGGTACACGGGCTGGGATTGTCCATGGCAAATAATGAAACCAGTGAACCAGCCCTGCGACAAAGCATGGGAAGCGGGGGAGATGTCGATGGCAGCGGACAGGAACCAATGTCTCCTCTGTCTGGCCCTGCGAGTGGTCCTCTGGGTGGCTTGTCCTCCGAGGCGGACATGTCGCCGATGTTCTCCTCGAGGAATCGCCAACGGCTTTCTACCGTCAAGTCGGCTTTCCTGATCTACTTTTCTTTGCTCGCACTGAGTCCAATCTTAAAGTCGCTTACCAAATCGACCGCCAGCGATTCGATCTGGGCCATGAGCTGCTGGCTGCTGATCATGAACATCTTCTCCTTTGACTACGGAAGCGGAGAGGGCGCAGGCGCCACCAAATTCCCGGCCTCTTTGTCTACCAATGCCGCAGTCATGGCTTCCACCGTGTTGGCGTCTCGACTGCCATCCACCACCCACGTGTTTAGCCTGATGCTCTTCTCAATGGAGGTCTTCGGATTGTTCCCCATTTTCCGACGGCAGCTGCGCCATGTGTCCTGGACGGGCCATGTTCTGCTGACGCTGGCGTTGGTGCTCGTTGCTGGTGGTGCCGTAGGCATCACCCTGCGTGGCGGATGGGCGGCGTTTGTGGTCGGATCCATTCTAGGGAGCGTCCTGACGGCGCTGACCATGGGAGGATGTAGCTGGTGGCTGATCAGTCTCCAGAAGTATAAGAATGTGGTGACTGGACCGTGGGATCCAGCCCGACCGGTTATCCGGCGACACTGGGATTAAGGTTGCTAGTCGTGTGACTGCTGTCGACTTGAGAAATACTTTTACAAGATACCCATACAGTATTGAGACTTTGGATCTAGCGCTTCTCGTATGGATATGGTTTGGAACCCTAAAGTTAGCATCTTGGCTTCCCTGCGTGTAAGATTTGACATAATGTACTGAACATGGCCAAGGAAGGACCGTGAAATTGGCTTCGATAGCCTCCTGCATCCCTAACTTGTGTTCATTGTTTCAGAATTGATAGCCGTGCAGTGCCGGGCGGCGGTTGAGGCATGCTTGATTTGCGGAATGCCGGCGGGAATGCTGGCCAACTGGAGCTGCCAGCAATTAACACCGCAGCAATCCCGGCCGTGACGCAAAGAAGAATCCCATTCAAGGTGCAGGCATGGAGCAACCTCCATACCGTATCTACCATGGCACACTTTAATTCATCTCATTGAACCCGTCATTGGGAGCCTGCGGAATCGGGAAATTCTTCAAATGCATGCCCATGACTGGGCGATACCCCAGGTCTAGGCAGGAGGCAGCAATATGCCCGAGTCGGAATGGAGGCCTGTCTCCGTGTGTTTATCTCTGGATCCTCGCCAGGCTGTCAGCGATGAGTACTTATTCACACTGGCCCACTCGGCGACCCGAAAAGCCAGGTGACGGTCACTTTGCGCGCTGTCGACCTGATTCAGTCCAGGGCGCACACCCACCCACCACCTATCGACCACCACCGCCCATACAACCCGACGAGACCGGACACAAACTCACGATCATGCTCAAACGACTCGCACTGGCCCTGATGGGCCTGCAGTGCGCGGCAGCCTTGAGGATGGCCATGTACATTGACCAGTGAGTGTGCCCGCCTGCTATGTTTGCTTCGTCACGTACTGAAATCGAGTAGATACCACACTGCGAACCTGCCGGGCAAGGACAAGACACAGGGTGTCACGCACGCGATCATGGCGTTCGCACCCTCGACCCTGTTCAACTCCGACTCGCCCCCGCAGTTCACCCCGTTCGAGTCCGTGTCGACGATGCGCAACCGCTTCAGCCCTGACACCAAGGTCATGATTGCCATCGGTGGATGGGGTGATACGTCTGGATTCTCGCAGGGATCCAAGGACGAGGCCTCTCGAACCCGCTATGCGAAGAACGTGGCAACCATGATCAACAACCTGGGCCTAGACGGCGTTGGTAACTTGACCCCCTTTTTGCTTTGTCCAACCTTGTGGAGCAAACACTAACCCGTGAGGAAACCCATCCACAGATATCGACTGGGAATATCCCGGCGGCAACGGCCAAGACTACCGGCAAACGCCCAACTCCGCGAAGGTGCCGGAGATCGACAACTACCCACTCTTCCTGAAGGCGATCCGCGACGCAATCGGGCCCAACAAGCTGCTGTCGATCGCGGTGCCCGGCAAGCTGGAGGACTTCATCGCGTTCACGCCGAGCAACGGGCCCAAGATCTGGCCGTCGGTCGACATGGTCAACATCATGAGCTACGACCTGATGAACCGCCGCAACAACGTGACTATGCACCACACCTCGGTGGTGGACTCGCACACCACCCTGAAGGCGTACGCGGCCATCGGCCTCGAGAGCAGCAAGATGAACCTGGGGTTCGCCTTCTACGCCAAGTGGTTCACCACGGACCCCAGCTCGGACTGCAAGACCAACCCGATCGGCTGCAAGGCGGCCGTCATGGAGAACGCCGACGGCTCGGACAACGGCAAGTCCGGCGCCTTGACCTTCGAGAAGAGCACCATGAGCGCCGCCCCGAGTAACCTGAAGACGTCCACCGATGGCACCTGTGGGTTTGACAAGGGGACCAAGTGTCCGTCCGGCCAGTGCTGCAGTCAGTACGGAAACTGGTATATCCTTCCCCCCTCCCCCCCCTGTGTTTTCGATTCATACAATGTATTATGATCTCTATAGACGTGAATTGACAGAGATGGTAACAGTGGTACCACCGACGACTTCTGCCAGGCGGGCTGCCTCTCGGACTACGGCACCTGCAAGGGCATCTCGATCACGGACTCGTGGCGCCGCGCCCTGAGCGAGGGCACCACCGACGCCACGATGGGCGGCCAGTACTACTTCGACGACAGCGTCAACATCTTCTGGAGTTGGGACACGGGCGACCTGATCGGCCGCAAGTTCACGGACATCGTCGACGTCGAGCAGGTCGGCGGCATCATGGCCTGGAGTCTGGGCGAGGACACCCTGTCGTGGGAGCATCTGTCGGCCATGCAGAAGGGGGCAAGCACGCGTTAAGTTTATTATATCATTTCAGGAGATCCTTTCCCGGTTATGTCTCCGCATATGGCTACGTATGTACAATAAGAAGTATCCAGTGACGTGTCGCAGAATCTATCTAGTATATGTGCGGAGAAGACATGCAACGGTCAGAATGAGATTATCTGAAGTCCACCAACCCGTTCGTCACTCAAATTATTGACTTTATAGCTTGCAAACAATATTCCAGATTGTTATACACTATACACCCCCCAATACAAAGCAAGATCAACTCGCACCCATCACTACCACCCCCAATACCCCAACACCCCACGGTTCACCCCGCTCACCCCCACATTTGTTCTTCCCAACCTCTATCCCAACTAAGTGCAGCTATCCGACCCATAAACAAAAGTGCCATCCGAGTCCTCACACCCACAAGTCCCATCAGTCGGGCTCTTGATGCATCCCGTTCCAACCCCAGAGGACTCGCCGTTGTCGCTGCGAAGCGGAGCGTAGTGTTAGCATGAATCAGCCCAAATCCTTATCCTTATCCTTATCCTTATCGAAACACTGCCCAACCCAACCCTGCAGGCCCCAGCCCACAGGGTCAGGAAGGGAACAGGAACAGGGGCAGGGACAACATACTTCCAGAAGAACGTCCAGCAATCCGAGTCCGAGTCGGTCATCTCCGCGTCCGTGGGCGCCGTGCAGGTGTACGCGCTGCAGGTGCCGTAGGGGGCGCCGTGCGAGGAGTCGTACTCGTGGTCGGTGACGAAGACGGCGAAGGTTTGGGTGCCTGTTTCCACCAATTTTTCTCAGTACACGGGGGGAGCAATAGGAGGGGGGTGTCTAGTGCTATGCTATGGTTTGATGGGGGATAGGGGAGGTGTTGCGGGGGGGGGGAAACATACCCGAAGTGCGGGTGTTGTGCGAGCACTCGGCGGCTTGGATGGCGGTGGAGACTTTGCTGGCTGTTTTTTCGGTGTCTTGTTAGTAAAGGAGCTTTCCTTGGATTCGCTAGGAGGATGGCAAGGCTAGCTAGCTAGGTAGGTAGGTAGAAGGGAAATACCAGAGCAGTTATAAGTGCCAGGACATTTGCCCTTGGTGTTGGTGGAGGCGGGGTCGAGGGTCGCGGCGGCCAGGGAGGCGGCGCTGAGGACGACGTAGAGGAGAGAGTTGGCGGAGACCATGTTTGCAAGTACTGTGCAATTGAATAGACTTCTGGGGGATTGTTGTATGTTGAGTGCTGAGTGCTGAGAGGAAGGGAAGACTTGGGCGAGAGGTATAGACCTTTATATACCCAGTACGTAGACGCCAGCTTCTCCACAAATCCACCACACCTCCTTCGCGAATGCGAGCAACCCGATCGATCACCTATCTATCTGACACTTCCCGGCCCCAGGATGTACGTATCCTGAGTCGAGGCGAAACCGGAATCCAGGGGCGCGGGTGGATCAATCAGCCTCCCCATATGGTCTGGAGTCTCGATTCTGGAATTGTGGTCTCATCCAAAAGACGGGGTTGTGTGTGTGTGTCAGAAGGAGTTGGAAGACGGAAGACGGAGGATGTAGACGGCAGGAATCATCAGGCGGACCAGTCTAGAAGCTCTTTAGACTGGGGGGATTTTGAGTAATTTAAGCTTGTTACAACGGCGTCGTTTGGGATTATCCACCTGGTCTCCACTCGGCGGGATCGGCGCGGGATCAGGAGATGCTAATTGAGTGAGGGAGGAATAAGGTATATTTCGCTGGAATATAGGCTGGTTTCACCGTGGACTGAGTGCAGCCGACAGATCTCTTGCCATCTGGCAGCGGCTTGAAGAACTTTTGTCGATGGAAAATAGTATGCTGCCTCCGGTTGCATACAACTCACAGCTCGTTTTGCTGGCTTAATGCTATTATATACTTCATAACTCCAAAGAAAGTGACAAAGAAGGAAGATATGACCAAAAGAACGACTGAAACCCCATAGAAAACAGTTTAGGACCAAGAAGGGTATAAACACAACATCATGCGAGGTCAAGCACGTTCCGCTAACACTCCGCTCACGTATTCCGGCTCGTTCACACTACTCTCTCACTTCCTACTCGTCGCCTCCAACTCCGACGGCCCTCTCGCCATCGCCTCATAATACACCTGCCCGGGCTGGTGTCCGTGTCCTGGCTCCTGATACACCTGCTGCTGTTGCTGCGCATCCCAACTCCAATGACCCCCCTGACTCTGGGGCGGCGGTGACCCCGACAGATCCGGACTGGTCGCATACACCGCTGTCCCGGGAGACTGCGCGTTGCCGTAGTCCCCGTACGGCTGCTGCATCTGCTGTTGCTGCTGAAGAGGCTGTCCGGGAGTCGTCTGCATCATGCCAACCCCGAGCCCGGCGACGCCCGCGTCGTAGTCACTCTTTCCCCGTCCATGTCCCTGGCTCTGCGTCTGGTCCCCGCCACCATGGCCGGGGCTCAGCATCGACGCCCACTTCGCCGTCCGCTCCGTGCGACCGTCCTGTGAGGACATCCACTTCTGATACACCCTATTCCGTCCCAGAAGGAAGAATAATGCGCCCAATATGCCGACGAAGGCGACAGAACCCACGACAATACCTGCTATAGCGCCGCCGCTGAGGCCGCCGGATCCGGACGACGAGGAGGCAGATGGACTGGAATTGGCGGTGCTGTTGGAGGTGGGGATGGAGCCTTCGGCGGGTATAGATTGACCAGGGACGAGCATGTAAGGGTAGTTTTTTGCTTTCTCGTATTGCGCTTCCCAGGTCATCGTTTCGTTCTATGAGAGGTGGGGTTGAATCAGTTTGACGTGGTCAGACAGACAAGAGGCTTGAAAGAGAGACATACAGGATTGATGACGCCTACCATGCCATTGACGAGGCAGGAATCTATAGCTGTGCAGTAGAAGAAGGTTGGCTGTACCTAGTGTTAGTGCGCTGCCGCATATAGGTCGCTTGAGTCTTGCTGGAGGGCGCAAGAACATACCTCAGTGTCGTTCACAACGAGGGACCATGTAGGTGGCTAACACACAATAACTGTCAGGATACGACCTTTGGAAAAGGGTACATCAGAAACAGTACCGGTCCGACCAAATCGCCATCATCCTCATTGAAACTGTTGAAGATTCCTGAGTAGAAGAGGGATTCGCTAGCAGGCACGCACGGCGCCAGGTAGTCGGCTTTCACGACTGAATGATTCCGAGGATAGAACTCGAAGACAATCACGTCGCCAACTTTGGCGGTGATATTATGTGGAGAATACCCATGGGGAGAGGTCTTTGAGCCAACTTCGACCGTGTGTGTCGCCACGCCCGTTGTCGCTGACGAGGTGGAGGAGCGACTTGCCGTCGATGTCGCCGACGTAATCGTCGCCGCCGAAGTTATCGACGATGTGTCCCCGTAATAGGACATCTTGATGGCGCTTGTGGTTACCGACGAGGATATCAAGGAAAGTCAGGTCGTTGTAGCAGCATGAGTTGTAGAAATCGTGGTGAGGGGTCAGCAGACCAAAGGAGTTAAGAGACACAACGATTTCCCTCTTATTCCGTGAGACAAGGCTGAGCAGCTCGTCAAATTCGGCTGCGTACGTCGCACAAAGCCTTCGACTGGCGAGGCCGCGAGTTTTAACACTCGAGGTTGAATAAAGAAACAGGGATTCGTATCTGAATCTGAAGCACTCATAGACAAAGGAATGATGACATCGTCTCCGACCGAGAGGATAATGGTACAGACTCAAAAGACGACCGAAACTTGAGATGGGGGAAATTCGAGATGAGGGGCCTTCTCCTCCCTGCATCCGGAAGGATCTCTCACATTAGGCTCTGTCATCTTCTCTCATGTTTTTCGTCTTTGGCTTTTGGCTGCTTGTTGGCAGTACAGTACCTCGTGTTCGTGATCATCTGCCGGCGTTGCCATTGGTTAGGGTTTTGGCACGGACAGCCATCCCCACCAGCTGGCAATCAATAGCTTTCTTGGCTCCAGCCGAACCACAGATGCAATTAAACATAATGTCAACTTAAATCACTGGGGTCTCGAACTTTTCGAATTGATCTTTAACTCATTCTCGGGACCCTTCACTTCATGTAGCTATGCCCTTACATGGGACCTGAATCGCTGTATAGCTCGTTAGCGGTCGAGTCTCCTTATCAGCCACCTGCAGGATCAGATGCAGGGTCTGGGGACCATCCTTATCACTTACAGCCGCCCTCCCTTTGCGATCGGAGGAGACAGAGAGGGAGGTAGAGACCAGAGAGACACGACTTTCGTTCCCGGACTCCGTGTTGAAGCCCCACTCGACCATATTTCCTTCTATCGTTCTGTGGTTCGTCGACGGCTCGATCCATTGAGACCATTTGAAGGAGCTAGGGTCGCCATCTGGAACGAACGTTCTTCCAAGCATCGAAGATCAATCTTGAATTCACAGCAGGACCCAACAAACTGGGACCCAGACCATCGGTGCTGTCAACAACGATTATCTGTTCGTATTCCAGCTTTGGTTCGTCCGACGCAGATTGTCCATCGTTTCCGGGCAGCGAAAAGGTCGTGATATGTCTCCTCCATCATCAGATCACTGCTCCACTTGACTATCTAGTCTGCTATACAATGCTCTGAGCACTGTCTTTTGTATCGCTATAACGGCCAGACGGTCGTTAGTGCAAGTCAGGCAAGTAATGTGTGACATTCACAACGGGTTCCATACTTCTGATATTTGAGGTCGACTATCCCAATCCAATTGAGAGTGGAAATTCGGAGGACTATCGTTGATAATGATTTCATGACTAGGATATTCCCCACATAGACTGCCAGCACGAATGTCAACAATCGGCCACCCGGTGAAACCAGAGGCGTATCTGATTAAACCCGATGGAGGATCACTTTCAGTGATGCGGAGCCAGCTTGCTAGGCCATATTGATGGATTCTGCGGACGAAGGCGATGCATGCGATATCAGGCTGGGGGTGATGAATTGGCGCGTCTCTGTTGTCTTGATCAGCAATTGAGTATACTCGAATGCATGGACGGAAGATCTTGTTTCGGAACGTGTGTGGGCAAGGCTGATATCGGAGCAACGAGAAGTTTCATAAGTGGAAAGGCACATCAGGAGGAAGTGAGCGGGTTTATGTTCTGGGTGATGAGGTGAAAGAGAGAGCAACGCTAGTCAACTGCAGAAGATTTACTCTCTGGCGGCCCCTCTGCGCTTGGTCAGCTGTGTGTGGTGCCCCAAGAGGTAGTCACGATTTACTGCCAGGTGGAACCTCCGGCAGAAACGACTTCCATGCTTCAGTGCAGGCACTTGATCCTAAAATGGCTGATCAATTCTGATGTGATGCTTATATTTCGACTTCCGTTGGAACTGTACGCACAAGATATTCCGACATACTATATGACGGTTCACGCATATAGAATGGCGAGCTGAAGGTACCACTCACAAGCCACGTCGATCTACAAACAAGCGATGACAGAGCCTCAATGATCTTGCATTCAGGTCGACTTCCATAAATACACTTTTTGACCTAAAGGAAGCAGGAATAATGGTCTTTTTGGCTTCGAAGTCTCGAATAACAACTCAGACACACCATCGCCATCCAATCACGTGGTCAAGTTCTTGAAACAGGCGCACTACAATATCAGCTCAAGCGACCACGGCTCGAAAGTCCCTCCCAATTCTCGTCCAATTTAGTTATCTTGACTCAAAATTCCCCGATCACTTGTGACTGACTTACGGGGCACGACACGCTCTGCCTTTGAACCTGTCGGAATGTCCGACGACCAGACAGTCTTGACAATCCGGCTCTGCTAGCTCCCCATGCGACCTATCTTTCGATGCCCTGTAGATGCAGTGGTACCGAGTCAGGATTGCTGCTCCGATGCTGCTAATATCAAGTCGAAGAACTCGAGAACCTCGGTTGGGAGGGAAAATGGGAAGGTGATGGCAAACGGCGGAAGCAAGACGCGGGCCATAGGAAATTGTGTATAGGAGGCAGTGGCACGCAGTGTCGCATTGATGGGCTACAGGTTGTGTGTTGTAGCCCGTCACAAGTCGATCCACTTTGTCAATTCACGAATTCCTTTGTATTCTATGGACAATCATAATGCCTAGTACGTCTAGAGCCGGCAAGCTCATCAATCCTGCATTTGTCTATCCCATAATTCAATGCGAATGCTTGCTGGTAGTTTCGGATTGAAATCAGCTGGATGGAGCCGATCAAGTAGTAGGGATTGAAACTAGGCGTCCCAACCGTTCTTGTAGGTCAGAGCATGATCCTAAAGCCTCGAATTGTGCGCTCTAGTTCACCACTGTTGTGCGAATGGCATGCTGCCATGAACAGCAAACTCGCGAAGAACGTTATGGCAGAGACACTTTGACTGATAACATAAAGAAGCCGCGGTCTTCTATGGAAGCTACCGGAGACTAGAGTGTGTGAAAAGAGTCGTTCTTCACAAGGAAAGAATTGAGGAGGCTCGGAAACATGAAAGTTCGTGGCGCTCATATGCAAGGGGAGAGGATGATGGGTCACGTGAGAGTATTGGTAGATGAAGTATATGTAAGTAGATTGCGATGCGATCTGCGGCATTTGCGGCATATGCGGGGTAAGATGATACATGTTGTTGAAATGTAAGTAGCGAGTCTCAAGCTGAATCGGGTATAAGGAATTGAGATGAACACCTTATACAGACCCTTGATGATAGCACTGGAATGAGGACCAGTCATTGTTAATACCTCCTAAATCCATGCTATTCTGGACACTCCTGCTAATCATGATTGATCTCCCACAGCGGCAAGCTAAGATGTTGTTCGGCTTGACTCCCCGCCATCTTCCCCACCCATCCCTCCTATTGCTGAAGACCATACATGTCACATTTCGGTAAAAGCATACATCATGGACCACTTCTCCCCTCTGGTGCTACTCTTGTCCCGCCTGCTGTTGTTGCCCTTTTTACCTTTCGAGGGACTCTTGCAGGATGTGGTTGCTGTTGCACCCATCATAATGGCTGACACTGACGTCGCTGCGGATGTTGTGAATGACAGCTGTTCACCTCGTGCACTCTTGCATCGGACCCCACAAACTCGTGACTGTATCAGGTGATCTCCGCCACTACCGATTCGAGGGGGCGATCCCCCGCGGCGGACAAGGCTACGAGCCTGCCTACAACAAGGCCTCTGTACAACCATGCCCTGTAATGACAAGGACTTTAGGACCTATGAGCAGAGACAATGTGGGGGAATAATACCTGATATATTCCTAGATATGATGTTGAAGCAACAATAACAAGACCCCTGGCAGCCATTGTCTGCTGTGTGCTACAGCGCTTTGGTTTCACCATCTCCCAGAGACAGGATCATATAAAAGGATGGAGAAATGATTAGAGGGGTTGCCTTATTTTTGGAGGTCGAGTTTGGCTTTGCGCCTCTCCGCTTGGTTGCAGACGGGTCATGAGTGCCCAGTGCATATCGTCATCGCTACTGAAGCAGCAAAGCAGAGCCCTTTCTCCCCCTCCTTCCTCGTCCAGAGAGGGACTCTAGCATCCATGATCGCGCATGATGGATGGGATAGGATTGAGCATCTGATCTCTGGAGCCTACCGAATGGTGGGGCCAGTACAAACCAAAGTCAAGAAGTCCGTCGGGCGCATTGAATGTAGTCGGAGCTACCGAGGCGGGAAGCCAATCACCGGTTGCGGTTGTACACGGATGGATCACTGGGTGGCCGTCTTCTTTCCCGCGGCCCAAAATTATGGAGGAATTCCCTTCAATCTTCCCTCCTTATCAGCCAAATCTTATCCTAATTGTCTGACTAGACTGCCTTCACCGACTCCTCAAATATAATATTCTGGTTAATATCTTGTGTTTGATTTCGCTTCCATCCACCCTCCTGGGTTTAGCCTTTGGTTTGGACCCCTTGGCCAAAGTCTCATTTTCTTATAAGATGTCATCATTTTCCCACTGCTAGTCATGTCTGTTGACGAGCCTGCACCGTGGCCGGTTCTGCTTGTTCATCGCAGGCTGTGATCAATTTTGTCATCTGCTTGCCTCTCGAGCACTCATCCCCATCCACTTACCAATTCAATTGCTCGCCTTCTTCACTAGATTGAAGAGAATGCTGAGGCGCCGCTATTGCTTTCCGAGCTGAGCATTTGTCTGGTGACGTCGGTCAGTCCATAATTGCGTACGGAAAAAGAAATTGATGGCTGACACTATGCTTTGTCAACAATATCTAGATTACCCCTCAATCTATAGACACTACGAAGATTTTGTCCCACTTGTTCTCTTTGCGACATCATAATGGCCTCTCAGGAGTCACCGTTGGCTTCGGCTTCGGAGCAGCCCAGCTCGAAAAAGAGCCGATTCGCTGGTTGGTTTGGAAGAGGGAAGCCGAAGACTTCAGCACCAGAAGCGGAGAACAACGGTTCTTACCGTCCAAAAGCTACCCTCGGAATCCTAAGTGATAAAGAAACCGATGAGGTGCCTGGTGAGTGACCGAATCAAGCAGGAGATTCCGGTTGGCAGTGATAGGCAGTGATAGAACGTGACCGCTCACAATATGAACACAGGAACGGTCCTTCTGCTCTCTTCTAATCGCAACGAGCCATTGGGTTTGAGGCACCAACCACATCGCGAATCCAGCTCATCCATACCTTCACCTTATCCACCGTCGCGGGCTTCTTCCCGCTCCGTCCCACCACAGAAGAAGACCGCCAACGGTCAGATTATTCTGAACCCACAGCCCGATGATTCAGCAAACGATCCACTGAATTGGCCTGTATGGCGCCGAGATGCGGCTCTGGTATCCTTAGGCTTTTATTGTCTGATGGGCGGGGGCATGACCCCGATCCTGGCTGCCGGCTTTGAGCAAGTCGCCTCGGATTATGGCATAACCACGCAAAGGGTAGCTTATACTACGGGGTTATACATGCTTGGGCTTGGAGTCGGATCTGTGGTAATGTCTCCAACAGCCATTCTGTATGGGAAACGCCCAGTGTATCTCCTAGGCGCAACTCTCTTCATCCTTTCTGCCGTCTGGTGTGCGCTGTCACCCAACTATCCCAGTCTGGTTGTCGCCCGCATTTTCCAGGGGATCGCAGTAAGCCCGGTCGAGTGTTTGCCGTCCGCAACTATTGCAGAGATTTTCTTCTTGCATGAACGGGCATATCGCGTTGGTATCTACACGCTTCTTCTGCTAGGGGGCAAAAACCTCATTCCTTTGGTCAGTGCAGCTATCATTAGCAGCCTAGGATGGCGTTGGGTTTTCTGGGTCGTTGCCATCGTTGTCGGCAGCTGTCTCGTCCTTCTCTTCTTCTTTGTACCGGAAACCTTCTGGGACCGCACCCCTCGACCGCATCGACCCCGCAAACGCCCCAGCATCTATCGTGGAATGTCAAACATCATGACCCATGGATTCCGAGGCCGGCACCCACATGCCCACCGTCTGGAAGACCCGTCGCCAGACGAGAACGTGGCTCCTGCCCAGCCAAAGAAGGCCAAGAAGGGACACGTTGGCTTTGTTGATGGAGCTGGCGAAGGCGAGACCCACGATCTGGAGAAGGTGCAGAATGAGGAGCAGGAAAACCAAATTACCCCTGTACTTGAAGTTCCTGCAAGCCAGCCTGGGCCAGAAGCGGCACATCCTGCTGATTATGAGAAAGCTGACGATTTTCTCACTCCACCTGTTCCGGGGGCAGTATCTCCTTCGGAACTCGAGACGGGTCGGCGGTTTGAACTATCTCCGGCTCGTAGTGAGTCTATGGACCCTGCCCCGCCAGCTACTCCGGCAGCACAATACACCAACCGACTCCGCGAGCAGCCCAGGATTTCTTTCACGTACTATCTTCGGCCTTGGAATGGGCGCATTGCTCACGACAATTGGTTTCGTGTTGCCTTGCGACCTTTCATATTGTTTGCATATCCCGCAGTGCTGTGGTCCGCCACTGTATACGCTCTTTCAGTGGGATGGCTTATCGTGATCTCCGAAGCAGTTGGCTCTATCTACGAAAAGCGAGATTCGTACAACTTCACGGCTTTGCAGGTTGGCCTGGTGTATATCTCGCCGTTCGTGGGTGGCCTTCTTGGGACTGCAGTAGCGGGCAAGGTTTCGGATATCATTGTGAAGTACATGACACGGCGCAATGGAGGCATATACGAGCCGGAGTTTCGTCTGGTCATGGCGCTTCCAATCGCTCTCGCCACAACCATTGGTCTCATGGGATTTGGATGGAGTGCCGAGGAGCGCGATATGTGGATTGTGCCGACCATCTTCTTTGGTATTGTTTCTTTTGGATGCTGCCTTGGGAGTACGACATCCATCACATTTTGTGTCGACAGCTACCGGCAGTATGCTGGTGAAGCTCTGGTGACACTCAATTGGAGCAAAAGTTCGTAATGTCCTTCCCCCCCGGCTGACATTTACGCTTCGACCAAACACCCAACTAACAGTTTCCCGCAGACGTGTTCCATGGACTCATATTCTCGCTTTTCATTGTGGACTGGTTAGATGCAGAAGGATCCCGGCTGGTGTTTATTGCATTGGGAGCGATCCAGCTGGGTTGCTTACTGGCCACCATCCCTATGTATATCTATGGGAAACGACTTCGCATGTGGACTGTGAGGAAACAATTGATGGAGAAATTCTAGAAAGATGCCTTTTTGGATGTGTACTAGATATTCTCGGGAGCATCGCTATCGCTATTCCATCTCTGTTCCGTGATGTCCTTCCGTTTTGCCTGGCGGGAAACTGCCCATTGGACAGCGAGGTTGGGGCAAATCTTGTTTTTATCACTTGGCGATCGGCATTTGTACAGTATCTATAGAACACCGCCATATTACCTTGCTTATAATACGGTAGACATGCATCGAGCTAGGACGATTTTGACGGTACTGAAATGTCATAGCTGACGGACCAAGACCCATCAGATCGGGGCCCAAGTGGACGGGGGAAAAAAACCTGGGTAAGGCCACCCGGTGTCTCGAAGCTTACTCACCGATGCAGTGATTGATGTCAAATGCTCAGTGGGCCTCAATTGACCCCAAGGCGAAGGCGAGGCTCACAGCCTCCATGGCGACTCACACAGAGACTTTTTCCGGATTTTGTGATTGGCAGAACAATGGACAGGTGCCGTGAGTTACTAATCGCGTCCACGGCAACTACATGAGTAAGTTGTAAGTCCAGCTTCTAGACTGCTTAGTCACATTCACCTGCTGTCCACTTATCTAATGCTCGGTGACCGACCGGCCTGCAGGCAGATTCCAGAGTCAGATCCTAGTCGGCTGAGGGCAGCTGTAGCTGCAGGAGCAACTATTTTGTCGATCATGACGCGCGATACGACGTCAGCGGTGAAGGCACGAAGAGGAAACTTGTATTTACTGAGTAGATGCACTTCTAAAAGGGGGGGGAGGATGGAGGTAAGCACAGGAAAACAATTCCATGTCCGCCTTTGTCTAGCCTTACCTAGCTAGCCTGGAGCCTCCTTGATTGCCCCTCTTCTCGCCGGTTATATGTAAAATCACAGATGGAAAAATGCTGTCCAAATGTTTACCCTGGCGAGGTCTTTCCCGTCGTCAGCAGCCCACATGTCGACGCCTTAGGCAGCAAATTGCAGTCGAACCCTGAAGGCGGAGGTCTCTCAACAGGAAAAGAGCTGCCCTCACTGGTGGGTTCTCAGCCCGTTCCCAGTCCACCATCAGTCTGTTCAAGTCCTCAAGAGGACTAGCGTTAAATAAAACCTGGTTTCAAACCAAGTCTCTAGCCCCAGGGCTGCCGTCCCGGCAAGCGGAATGGGCGGAGCTATCGATGAAGAAGTGACCCAATCACATCCTCAAACAAGGATTTCCGGCACGAAGGATTGAAATCGCTAGAGATTTTGGTGGGGTTCGAATCCTACTTGAAGGCGAACAAAGTGACATAGATGCTTGTGAGAGATCCAATTATATATGAGCAACTCTTAGTATGATTGATTGAGCCTTGAAGTTGTAACTGTGAGGTATTGTACATGTCTGGAAGCGGGAATATGGTACACAGTCTACATAGTACAACCTCTTCACCAGGCAACCGAAACGTATGCCTAGGGCTATCATCATGTAATCAGCTCACAGTTCCTAAGTCGTCGCGACACCGGAATTTGAGTGGAGTTCGGGAGTTTGCATGGTCCAGAAGAGTGGATGTACGGAGTACAGGTCGACAGGGCAAAGGACCAACCCCATATTGGATCTCATTTGTCGGGCCATTCTCCAGTCATTCAAAAAGATTTAGAGATCCTCAGATCCACTGGGTATCATCCGGCGCTTGCCCTTTTGTTGTATTTTTCTTTTCTTTGGCCTTTCTTGTATCACTATCGCCACATTCGACGGGTACCCCCGGATAAGGCGCAGCTGTATGGACTGACTGACAGCTGATGAGGTGACTTTCAACAAGACAATCGGTCACCGACTATGAGTATGATCCTGGTCAGTGACTGACGGTGGTGATTGTAATGTGGTTTCCGACATTCCACGTAAGATTTGCCATCCGGAATTTCCTGATTCATGCGTCCGTTACGTTCTGGCCATGACTAATCTGCTACTTACTTTTTTGGAACTGTGCAAAGTAAAGCTACTGAATAACTATGGATGCATTGTTTCGGTCTGTATGTAAAATGAAAGATTAATTTCCCCAATCCACTGCTACTGCTGGTTGATGTCCCAAAAGAGTCACTTTCTGCATAAAATCTGCTGACTGATTAACAAACTGACCAAACCTTGACTTGATGGCTGAGTTACTAGTTACTCACTCTGCCCTCATCTGTTGTCTTGTCTTGTTTCGTTTCGCCTACCCTTCCTTCTCTTACTCCCCTCCCACCACTTACTCACTCACTCCTCCTCGTCCTCCTTCGAGTGCCCTGCAAGCAATCCTTGATTGAGTTGATATTAAACCCGCTCGATTCCAGCTGGCTTTCAGCAACCCGCTCTTCCCCTTCCCTTTGCTCTTCTTCCCTTCTTACTTCCTTTTCTACTTTCTACTGCTACTACTCAACCTCAATATCCTAAATTTTCTCTGTTCTCCTATCTAGCCTCTTTCCGACTTCTACTATCGCGACGTCACCTCCCTTGTGGCTCCCTCACGAACACTATTTTCGCCACACTTTAATCCGATCAAGCCAGCGCCTCCATTCCCACCCCCACCAGGATGGCTGCATAAGCCCGTTTGAGCACCAATTCCCCCTCCGCCCCGTCGCATCGATTTTCATTAGTTATGACCGCCTAAAAATAATTATAGTTTCTACTATTATTATTTCTATTGTTATCATCCTACATCCTCATTCTCCTCTCCTCTTCATTTCCCTTTCCTCTTCCTTTCCTCCTTTCCTCCCCGCCATGGAATCATCACCCCCGCCACAAAGGGACGATGACCACAACGCGGGTCGCCGAGTTCGGGAATTGTACCGGTACTTCCAGCCCGAACGCGCCGGTGTCCCTCAAGACCGCAGTTTCACCTCCGCCAGCGATGATGCGTTTCCCTCCGCCAGTCTAGACACCCCCAGCCACATTCCTTCGTCGCCCTCATTATCCTCCCAATGTCCTTCGAACCCCGCCATTGACGCCGCTGCTGCGGGGCTTGTCCCTGAGACTCTGATACTAGGCGAAGCCAATGCGACGTTAACATCGTTTGCGCAGCTGGCAGCATTGCGGCTTAATGTTGAGCGCGTGTTGATCAGGTACGTCGGGAACCAAAACTCAATATCCAACTCCTGTCCGCCTTTTCACTGTGGATGACTGACTTGATCGACCTTCCCGACAGTGTTTCGGACCGCCAGAGCCAATTCATTTTGGCGCAGAGCACCCAGACTGGGGGCATTAGCGACTATCAAGCATCCGGTGAAGGTGTCTGGGACGGTTGCTCAACACTATCATCCAGCGCCTGGAGTATGTGTAAGGTAGGTATCGACTCCTCGAATATGTTCCGTCGCTTCGGTTACTTAGACGAGATCGCCTCTTTCCTGCAGGCCACTGTTGCTCTTCCGCCCGCCCGCGAACCGGGACAACGCCAGTTCTTGATCCTGAACGATCTCAGCGAAGAAGAACGATACAAGCGCCTTCCATTCGTAATAGGAGACCCGAAGTTCCGATTCTATGCCGGTACGCCCTTGACGACGGACACTAATATCAACATTGGATGTTTCTTTGTTCTTGACACCAAACCCCACGATGGTTTAAGCGCTACGGAGAGGTGCACTATGGACACATTGGCCGGCTTGATCATGGACTATTTAAAGGTTAGCCGCCAGGCCTCCGAAGGTCGCCGCGCAGCCCGCCTGTCTCGTGGTCTCAGCTGCTTCGTTGAAGGCAGCTCCAGCTTTGTCGATGGAAGTCACCCCTCCTCCTCTGGTAGCTCTGCAGCGGCACCCAGCACACCTCCTTCGTCAAGTCAACGAGCCCACCACCACTCTCTTGGGTCCCTTAATAGCTTCGATGCCCCATCTAGACGATCTCAAAGCAGTGATACTCGCTCTTTCAGTTCCGTGTCGGAATCAAAGCTCGATCATGCTCAATCCTCCGCACCGGATACCCCGTTCCCGGATTGGTGGGCTGGCAGTCGCGAAAAAGAATTGAAGGGTTCCGATGACTCTCATGGACATGGCTGGGCATTCAGACGGGCGGCTAATCTGCTACGAGAGAGTCTTGAGCTTAGTGTGGATGGCGGTGTCATTTTCGTCGAGGCGAACAATAGTCCGATGGCTGACGTCGACACAGGAAGCGATTGCTCGATCGAAGGCAATAATCCGGCTCCTGTGCTGGCTATCTCAACCAATGAAGAGCCATTTGCTCCCGGCCCGGGTTCGAAGGTCCTCTACCCAGCAGCCTCCCTTGACACTGCATTTCTTCAGCAACTACTGCGGCGATACAGTAAAGGCAAGCTTTGGTCCTTCCACCGCGACGGTATGATATCGAGTTCCGACGATGAATCGCCGCGCAGAAGTCGCTCGCGCACCACCAAGTCGTCCGAGACGGGCAAGCCAGGATCCAAGCGATGGAGAGCCACGGAGAACTCTATGCTGAATCAGTACTTCCCGAACGCCACTCAAGTTCTTTTTGTGCCACTCTGGAATTCTGCAAATTCGCAATGGTTTGCCGGCTGTTTCTGCTGGAATACTTTGGAGACGCAAGTTTTCAGCTCGTCGGTGGAATTGAGTTCCATCCTCGGGTTCGGATCTTCCATCATGGCAGAGTGCAATCGGGTCGAATCACTCATTTCAGATCGGCAAAAGGGGGACTTTATAGGCAGTATATCGTAAGTACCTCGAACATACATCCCTTACGCAGTTTGCTGACTATTTGTCAGTCACGAGCTTCGGAGTCCACTCCACGGTATCCTGGCGGCCGCGGAGTTTCTCAACGGCACGCAGCTTGACGAGTTTCAGACCTCTCTCTTGGAGACTATCAACGCATGCGGGCGTACTCTGCTGGACACGATGAACCAAGTTCTGGATTTCAGCAAAATTGTTTCTCTGGAACGCACCTATCGAAATATGAAACGAGGCCGTACATCACCCACCGAGTTGAAAGGACCAAATCGGTTCTCCACGCATCTGGACACCTATGTGGCGACAGATCTGGCTTTATTGGCTGAAGAAGTTGTGGAAGGGGTATGTCTGGGTCATGCATATGGTCAGAAGTCCTCTGCCCCTTTTGATCAGCCCATGGTTCTGCCGCTTGGACAGTTGAGAAAGCCCGCGTCTGAGCTTGAGGCAGAGACTGCATGTCGTTCAGATGTGGAGGTCATAGTCGATATTGCGCATAATGATTGGACATATCTCACGCAACCGGGAGCCCTGAGACGTATTATCATGAACGTTTTTGGAAACGCGATGAAGTACACTCACAGTGGTCGTGTGTCTTTGCATCTGGAGGTCACAGAAGCTTCAGAGGGCCGCTCGCGCCGTCATGGAGTCGAAGAACTGGTTACCTTGACTGTTTCTGACACGGGTAAAGGAATCTCTGAGGAGTTTCTGCGCGGTCGTCTGTACACACCGTTCGCTCAAGAAGACACTCTCGCAGTTGGGACCGGCCTCGGTCTCTCTATTGTACGGAGTCTTGTCAAAGCTCTTAAGGGTAGTATCAACATTCATAGTCGTCCTGGCGAAGGTACCATTGTTAAAGTGTCTCTTCCACTGATCCGACCTGGTCCTGAGGTGGATCTAGAGGAGTCAGTGGGCCCCCGGTCGCCGTCGGCCAAGGAAAAAAACGCATTGACAGAAAGTCGTATGCTGCGCGAAGCTCATGCTGGTCGTCGCGTTGCAATTTTGGGGGTAGAACCCGCGGAAGCAGCGACACATGCATTCTGGTCCGTCTATATACGTTATCTGACCGACTGGTACGGCCTTGAGATAGTGTCGTCCCAGGATAGAACACCCGCGGATATTACTCTAGCTGAGGAACAGGACCTGGCTTCGGGAACGCAACCCGATACCGACACGACGCTTCCATGTCTCCTCGTCTTCTGTAGTAAATCTGTTGATTATACGACAAGTCGGTCGCGGTGGTTGTCTCTGGCCAATATCGTTAATATTATTCGACGACCATGTGGTCCACACAAACTCGCACGCAGCATTCGTAAGTGCTTGGAGATTCAAAATGGGACTTTATCAGCGAGGACAATTGAGTTACCTGAACGGCCCCGGCCCGCTGTCTTGACATCAGAGGATACATCCCTGGGAGAAAGGATGTTTGAGATTCCCACTGATACTCCGGAGCTCACGCCAGAAGCGACCGCCGGCTCGGACTCATCGTCTTCTTACGACTACATGCGTTCACAGTCTTCTGATGCCTTTGACCCTTTGTGTCCTACTGAATCACCGGCATCATCCGTGCAACCCCAATCGCCCAGGCAACAACCAGTTTTCTTTCCGTTCAATCGCCGCGCACGCATCTTGGTTGTGGACGACAATTCGATCAATCTCAAGCTAATGCTCACCTTCATGAAAAAGCGGGAACTTGAAACGCTGGACTCAGCTGAGAACGGCAAGTTGGCCGTCGATGCCGTTGAGCGGTTGCCTGAAGGATATGATATTATTTTCATGGGTAAGTCGCTCTTTTCGTCACTATGATTTAGCCTTTTTCTAACCCCACCACCATAGATATGTCTATGCCAGTAATGAATGGCTTTGAGGCAACACGCGCCATCAGAGCCATTGAGAAAGAGCGTGGTGAGGGCTGCGCCCCCGCCGTGATCATCGCCCTGACGGGCCTCAGTAGCTCGCGCGATGAATCCGAGGCACTTACGTCGGGTGTCAATTTGTTCCTCACGAAGCCGGTTTCCTTCAAAGAGGTTTCGAAGCTGTTGTCGGAATGGGAGGATAGAGAAACGGCGGAACGGCGTTTGTCGGGATCTGGGTCTGCATCTGATTGAAACGAAATTCACATCTCACAACGGCACGCGTGCATTTGATCAATTTTGGTGGTCTATGGGGATTTCCTTGATTTTATTTCCAATTATTTTGTGTTGGGATCACTCCGTACACGGATATGAGGCATGAGTGATACCCTTCTCAGGAACTTGGAGTTTTTTTTTGGTTGGTGTTTATCTTGGGTCGCATGATTGCGAGTCTACGGGTTGGATCGGTCTCTTATTGAAATGGGGTTCGGAAAAAAGGGTCTGTTTGGATTTCAGGGCAGGTCTTTATATAAAATATGTATCGACTTACTGCTACATGGATATCATATACCGATAGACGAGGAAGGTGGATATTGGAATGTATGTACTGTACTCATATTACAACCACAACGGCTTGACCTGGGCTTTGTCCCTAGTACAACGATCTTGCAGGAGTCGGCAGTTGCTAAAAATATTTGTTCACGCTGTCGAATCCCTTTGTTGTATCCCCTGAATGATGGGGAGTGGATATACTCCGTACCGAATCCAGCCTTGCATAGATGTCTATGTATGGTATTGTTGTACTTTGCTCCTTTGCTATCCTCCTATCATGGCTGGGCGATTGTCAGACGCGACCGTCCTGAGGCAGGAAATCTGGCAAGGTCCGCCCGCAAGCGGCCAGCCACCACGTGATGTGGAGGCGGCGTTGCCCCTTTGCGGCCGGTGTGGAAACACTGCAGCCAGCCCAGGCTCCATCGGGTCTTTCGCTCTCGCTCCTCTCTTTTGATTCTCCTGCATCCCACCCCCTCGGTCTCTTCCTTCTTCCTTCTTCCTTCTTTTTTTATTTCTTGGTCTCTTTGCTATCAATTTCCTGTCGTTCAGTTGACGCCGTCTACCGGAATCGCCGTTCGATTCCAGCATAACCGGCCGCCTCATTCGCGTTCCCTCTCATTCCCGCGTCAGAGTTGCTCTCGTGGCTTGAGTAACAAGCCGTTGTCTCTAGATTTGATTCTTCTTTTACGGCCGGATCACTTAATGCGTGCTCAATTCTAGCCGCAGTCATTGTATCACTAATTTTTTCGATCGACATCTCTTTCGCGACCGAAGCTTTGCATCATGAAGGTCCACCATCTGTCTTCGCTTCTTCTTCTTCTCCCCGCACTCTCAGTCGCCGTCGCCGATTCAACATCAGCCAGTGGGAGTCTGCAGGATGCATCCACCGCCAACGCTATTGACATAGATGCACTTGCCGCCCCCAAGGTTGCCTCTAAAGGGACGCTGGACGCCCCCATCGACGGCAAGGATGGCCGGCCTCACGCCGGTCCATGGGTGGAAACAAGCGCCGAGCGGGATCGCAAAAAGTCAGGCTCGAGCGTGTCAATGGACGACGTGACCGTGGCCGATTATAAAGCGACGGAACAACTTGGGCATGACGGCAAGCCGATCCCGTATTCAAATGACGGCGTGATGGACGACCCTCATCGGACGGGTCCGAAAGAAGGAACTCGAGGAACAGAGGGCGGCGTCACGGAGAAGATGAGGGAGAATCCGTTTCCCGGCGAGAAGACGCCGGATAGTCCCAAGGAAGCTCCGCCGTTGCCGCACAGCGAGCAGCAGAAGCTGCCCGCGCAAAATGAGGCCACTGAGGCGAAGGACCCCAAGAGCTTTACTGCAGATTCGAGCCTGGGCCGACTCGAGGTAAGCTGCGACGCTGATATGATCCTCAATTGAAAAGGGGCAAATGCGCTAACGCTGATTCAAAGAAACCCGCCGACTTGCCTGAGAAGCCCCATGATATTCCACCTCCCAAGTCGCCCGCGACGGTGAAAGAGAGCCCGCTCGGTCTGGACAAGGATGGTCACCTTCAACCGCAATCCGGCGATATTCAGGAGGAAACCGCGTTCCATTCGCTACTGTTCTCGTTTACCATGATCGTGGTTTCGGAGATCGGCGATAAAACATTCTTGGTGGCCGCCCTCATGGCGATGCGTCACCCGCGCCTGCTCGTTTTCTCCGCGGCATTTGGCGCGCTGATGATCATGACGGTCCTTTCGGCTGTCCTGGGTCACGCCGTGCCCTCGTTGATTCCCAAGTCTCTCACCAAGCTTCTGGCAGCGGTCCTCTTCTTCGTGTTCGGACTCAAGATGCTGAAGGAGGGTCGTGAGATGTCCCCCGATGAGGGTGTTGGCGAGGAAATGAAGGAGGTTGAGATGGAACTGGAAGAGAAGGAGCAGCAACAGATGCGCATGAACCGCCGTCGCTCTTCCGTGACTCCTCACGCCTTGGAGGCCGGCCGCGTGGGCCGGCGCAAGTCCCGTTCATCTGGCAACCGCCTCCCTTCGCCCCCGGAGAGTGTCTCATCTTCTTCTTCGCGTGGATCGTCACCTTCCCCCAACCGCTGGGGCGATGTTCTCACTGGCATGAACAACCTCTTCTCGCTTCTTCTTAGCCCCGCCTGGGTGCAAACTTTTGTGATGACCTTTTTGGGTGAATGGGGCGACCGTAGCCAGATCGCCACCATCGCCATGGCTGCGGGCCAGGACTACTGGTGGGTCACCGTCGGCGCTATCACTGGCCATGGCCTCTGCACTGCTGCGGCAGTGATCGGAGGAAGTGCCATTGCTGGCAAGGTCAGCATGCGTGTTGGTAAGTTCTTCTGTCTTTTTGGTTTTGTCGGATTGAACGGATTGCTAACATGTCAACAGTCACCCTGGGAGGTGCTACTGCGTTCTTGGTTTTTGGCGTCATCTACCTTATCGAAGCGCTTTACTAAGACTTTTCTCTTCCTTTCTTCCCTTTGAGCCTTGCTGCTTTGTGGCATGCTGGGCCCCTTGATACGCATATACTTGATAATGCATGCATGTATTCTCTTAGCCTGTTTGGCATGTTCTAATAAAAGATGATGTCTGGTAAAATCCATCTTAAGGTGGATGGCATCTACGGCGTTGATTTATGAGAGCTGGTACCGGCTGCAATTTACCCTACCTTGATTTAGAATGAGTTGCATTTCAATCTCATCTTGCTCTACCAGCAATTGCCTCCTTGTCTGTTGGCCGGCCACAACTTGGTTCCTCATCTGAGGCCAGTGGCTGACGATTTGATGTCTCTCATTTATTCGTTTGTGGTATGGCTTGTATTGAATTCTGCCGCAGTTCCTCCTCTGCTTCACCCCCAGCTGAGTGATTCTGCCTCGAGTACGCCGTAGTCCGATCCAGACCAGTTCACTCATAACCTCACACCCAGTGTCATTCATTAGTCCCTCTACTTCATTATAAATTTAGCCTTCGTCAATGATAAAGTTGCATTGCCTCCATCTGAGAATCGTTGGACAATAATGACTGAACACAGTTAGAATGGGGATATCGTGGTGAAGGCGGCGGGAATCAGTAGACTCGATCTATACGGAAACGGAACTACAAGCATTCCAAATAGACGCATTTTCTCGAAAATTGTCAACAGGAATTTTCTGAATCTTGCTATCATGATGCCGTAGGCTCTAATATTTGCTTCAGCGACGTTTGCTTCTCCAGGAAAACTCCGAGAGCGAAGTTATTCGAGACTGAGGCGTCTATAATGTTGGTTGTTGGACGCGGCGGAGACTTTGGAACGAAAAAATCCACAGGCATTCGAAAGGACGCAGTTTCTCAAAAGCTGTAAACAAGAATCTCCTGATTCTTGGTAGGGTAGTACTGTGAGCTCCCAGATATACCACAGGACCCTCTGTACCTTCAGGATAACTCGTGGGATGAGATTATTTGAGGCTGAGTCTCCTAGGATGCTGGTTGTTGCACGGTTGGGCGCGGGCGAGACAAAACCTATAATCTTAACAGCGACGCAAGTTCTCAGAAACTAAAAACAGGATTATTTTGATTCTTGGGAGAATGGCGCTGGAGACATCACTCTATACCCCAATCTTCTCTGTAAGTCTGGGAAAACGCATAGGGTAAAGTTATGGTAGGCTGAGTCTCCTATAAAGCTGGCTGTCGCATGGATGAACACGCCCGCGACTCCTGCTGTTGCTGTGGTATGTCTTCTGTCGGGCAAGATCCATACACAGGAACTCTCTCAAGATCTAAACAGTAGCATAAAAGAGGCTGAGCTATGCTATGGGACTCTCTGCAGCTTCAGAAAATCCCGGGGGTCGAGTAAACACAACAGGAAGCGTGCTTTGTTTCATTGGCCCTGATTCAGATTATCAGAGTTGCCAACGCTGCTTTGTCTCAGCAGTGGGGCTTCCCTTCCGTAGCAAGCTGAATCTTCGGATAATCATACTCTGTATACAGACCAGCACCTCACTTCAAGTGGTAGTTTTCCATTACCTCGAGGCAACTCTGTCTTCCCAAAGAGGAATAAATGTCCAACGGTCGTAGAAACCCGAAATTAGGGTTGAAATGAGGGTTTACATTAGGGTTTCCCAGTCTGGCTTACCGCCTTGATTCTGCCGCTGATATAAGTCACTTACATAAGCACATACCCTACTTAGTGCAACCGCTTACCCCAAGTCTGTCCTATGGGCGTTTGGCACAATCCAAGTTCTTTCCATTTCTCCGCTCCGGTCCCGCCCCTCCGTCCTCTCCCAGCCATCGACCACCTCTCTTTATCACAACAACCATCGGTGGTGGGGTGAACCACTCTTGTTGCATCTCAGTTTTCTACTTCCTTTTGCTGCAAGGGGGATTTAGTAGGAAACTACACTTGCATCTTCCCGTTCCCGCCTGACCGCCTTCCTGTTGAACACAGGGTTGTCTCTCTCGTTATTTGCGTTGTGTTGTGGCCATTGTTTTGGGTTCGATTTCTATGGCGCGGTCGCGGTCGCGCCAGGTGGAAGCACCACCTTCCACCCCTTCGTACTCTTCATCCCTGCCGCTGATGAAGGAAGGGCTAAATGGACCTGGCTCGAGTTCCGGTGCTTTTGGTCAAGTTCTCAGGAAAACAACAAGTCCCGTGACTCGGCGAGTGACCAGGAGTCAGAGTCGGGAGCATCGTCGACCGCTGATTGATGATGAGGACGACGCTGATCATCATCTGGTTAATGATGCGGTTGCCTCAGGCAAGCAGGGGCTTGCGACCGGTGAGTGAATGGCTTTTTATTCGCTTCTCTTCATCTTTCTCTGTATATCAAAGTAGAGGGTGTGTGGTTGTTGCTGTTGTTGCATACGGTCGGTTGTCTTTGTCGTATTCATGCTGGCTCTCCTTTGTTCTGCCTTGAGTCTGTCCCGAACCTCTTGCTTGATCTTCGAGCTCACTTTCTTTTCGCTTTGTCAGCCCTTGATGTTGTCGTCGAGGAATCCCCTCAAAAGTCGTCGCCCCTGAAGCCGATGGCTACGCGGCCTGGGAAGGAGAATCAGGCTATCCCTGAGACACCGGAAGATGAGATCAATATTTCCGGAACCACTATCTTACCCTCGGAGCCGGACTTGGACCTTGATCTGGGAAAGATGATTGAAGTGTTCCCCAAGTTGTGGGATGCGGCCGAGGACATGCTGGAATTCTCGGTGCCCAGCCCTTTCGAATTGCTCGAGTTTACCAAGTTGCTTCAGAAGCTGAATGATTCCCAAAGTTTGGAGAGCTGGCGGCTGGCTCGACAAACCTCCAACCTCCGACAGGAAGCTAAGTACTTCGGAAGTCAGCCGTACATTGACGTCGAGCTGGTTGATGACATTTTCAAATCATCGGCAATAGTGGCTGAGAAGCTACATGAGATTGAGGGCCAGTGGGATCCGGCGCCAGCCTTGCAAAAAGCTAATTGTGCGCGGTTTGTCCTCGATATTCTCGTGTGCAAACCCGAATCAACTTCATCTCTGAAGCAGGCGATCCGGATCCTTGACAGCATTTTTCCTTTGCCTTTCACAACCAGGCTCGTACCAGCGGGCCAGAAAAGATCTGCGGGTGATAGTTCGTTGGAAAAGGAGACCTTTGATCTCGCTCTAGAACTGCGTACCCAGTACACGATCATGCAGCTGGAGGAGAAGTCTCAGCACGATCCGGATTTTGAACCTTCCAGAGTGCTGGAAGAGTGCTTCTGCATTGAGTTGGCGACTGAAGAGGGATTAGTTCTCCGAGGCTTCGAAACTGAGGCGCTGAGAGGTCCTAACGGAGAAATCCCACCAGAGCTTGCAGCTGAGGTGGCGTATCGCTACCAGGAAATGGTGGCTCTTTGCCTGGTGGAAGACACCATCGACATTGAGGGGCTCAAAAAAAACTACGGATGGCGGAAGTTTGTCCTACGCGCTGCCCAATGGGTCTGTAAACGGACCGACGAGATCAATGCCGATATGCGACGACCGTTACAAACTTATAAGGATGTCAAAAAGGTGTTCTTTGCCAGACCTAAGACGCGCTATAGTCTGGGCAGCACGTTTTCTTCGACCCCTAGGACGCGAAACTCAGTAACGCCGTCAACTGCCCGGCATCCGACGCAGTCTATTCCAGGAACTGCCACGACATCCGGATATGCTGCTGTTACGCCCTCGCTGGCTCGAAACGGCCTGCGAAATATCCCTGGCAGTGTGGTCTCGGCGCGAAGTACTCGGTATAGTGCCACTCCTTCCAGCCTTCGGAATGAGTACCATACCATACCCGAAACTCAACCGGTGGGAAGAAATCCTCATTGGGAGTCTGGGGAGTCTGCGAGTCCCGAGGCCCGCAGATCGATGCACTTAGAATCTCCTGTTAGACCGTCTGCAAGATCCCTGCAGAGGACTACTAGATCTCCTGCCGAGCACGATCTAAGTCGGACCCTCGTAAGCCCAGAGGTTCAAAGACAAATGCAGCCGGAGTCACCTACACCACTATCTGGAAGTATGCAGCAGGCTGAAGAAGTGAATGGCTCTGATACGCCGCGCATCGAACAGCAAGCCGGAAGGTCGGAAAGAGCTACCTCAAAATCTGCCGAGCCTGCTAGGTCTCCAGCACGCGCAGAGCCCGTGCCTGCCGTTAGTAGACCGGTAAAAAGTGCCAGTAGTACTATCGAAACAACCCGGGCTACCAACAACATTCCGCCAAACACTTTCAAGAAGCCTCCTTCTGTAGGCGGAGAACGGAGGAAACCCCTCAAAGCCAAGCCGTGAGCCTTCCTCCTGCTGTATGTGTTGTCCTCATTCTAACGTCCAGAAGAATGTTCCTAAATCCAACCGCCATGGATCGATTGCAGCAACGACAACAGCAGCTCAGCGCTGGCACCGAAAATCGCGGAGTCTCCCGACAGACGGAGCCTCTTCCCTCAACAAACCGTTCCGGGAGGCAGCAGTCCACCTCAGAAAAAAGTCTCGAAAATCGCCAGGTAGAGCGCCCGAGGGCAAACACACGGGAACCGGCCCCCGAGGAACCGTCCGAAATCCCAGCATCGCCTGATATGACGTCGACATTTATTCAAGATGAGGTCGAAATCGAGGTGACTAATGGCCAACTAGACATTGGAGATCCTGGGGAGTCTCAGTTGGAGAGATCCCATAGTCCTTCGTTTGTTCGCAATTCCCGCCCATCGTCCCTTCGAGAGGAGGCGTTGCAGCAATCCAGGCCCGGTCAAGCAGATGACACGAACGACGATGTCAGCCAGGTATCAAACGTGTCTCACGAAACACCCCCACGGTCTACGGCTGCGCCTCGAGATTCACGTGCTCTGTTCATTGACCGACAGGCTAATGCCGCACGCGTGTCCCCCATCAGTCAGGGACTGGATCCACGAAGCGTCGAGCGTCGGCGCAACCAGACATCCCGCAAACGTGGGCGTGAAGCCGATGAGGTTCCTGAAAGCGATGCTGAGTTCGAGCACGACGACCGCGAGGTATCAGTAGAGCGTCAACGGGCCAGAAAGCCGATCCAGCCACGCAGCAAGCGCGCTCGACTGGAAATCCAAGAGGAAAATGCGACGGAGAGCTCGGGCAATCACGCTCAAGATAGGCACGCTACTCCACTTAGAAGGTCGACTCGACCCGCTCAATCGGTCTCGCCAAATTCACCATCCGCCTCGGTCCCTTCCACTCAAAAAAGCAAACCAGACAGGCGGCCTACAATACGCTGGGAGCTTGGGCAATCAAAGCGACTAGCTAGGCTTATTGGGCAGCATGGACACATTTGTCTAAGGGGCACCATGTTCAACTGGGAAAAAATCAGAGAACTTGACAGGATCGAGCCTCTGCAGCCAGGTGAAAAAAGGTTCACTAACAAAACTACGGTGCAGATCAAAGACAGAGCACGGAATATGAAAATATCAGCAATAAAGTACGCGAAGCCACTCAGTCGCCTGTTAATGTTCATGGGCTAATAGCGCACAGAAATGGCAAAGAACTCTCCCCTGGCTGGGACGGCGTCACCGTCAGTGCATCAGTTTATGATCAAATAAAGCAGCGGTAGGACTTGGCTTAAATCACATTACGCCGTTGAGATGCCGTGGCCTTTGGTCTGGCTTGGGCAGTCGTCTGGTAGTGTGGATTATGGTTTATGATGAATTTCTTATACCGTTTCGGTGTCTCTATTCTTTTCGGGTCTGATTACTGTGGTGAGCGAATCAGCAGGGTTCGTCAAGGTTGGAATACGACTAGCCTTTTGGGGTTTGGCGACTTCGTCTTTCTAATCTTCTACTGGCCTTGTATGGTAGCGCGCATACCAATCTGTTTTCTGATCTTTGACTAGTAGTTTTCACACATCGGATAGCATATTTTGAGGACAATACAAATGGACAAACGTACGACGTCAAATGCAGTCAGAAACCAAAGCTGCGGCGTGGTCACTCTCGTGGCTCTGCCTATAGACGACGACTGGTTTCCTTCTGCCCCCGATCCAAAGGCCTCTCCCTGTATGAGTAGATCACATCCCGTGCTGTAGGCTCGACAGTATTCCGTGAGTGTACGGGTAGTCTGCAGGGGGTGTTCCGATTGTGATTCTTGGTGTGGGATGGAGAATCGAGGGGTAGTGGTTGGGGTGTTGGGATTAGGATTGAATAGGACTTGCTCGAGAGGGAGATTAGGGTTGTTGTGATATAACAAGTATCTCTGGGGTTTGTATTGTGTTGTTTGGCTGGAGGCATGGAAGTTGCATCTGCATACATAGAGCGTACGTATACAGGGATTTACAGTATAGTGCCTCTGTATGCTCACTACCATGCACGCATCCATCTCCCATGCTCTTTCCCAGTCGGAACGGCCTAGTATACCGGAAAGAACGATAAAAAAAAATCAAAAATCAAGCACACCCTCCCACAGCCTCGAAAACCACCTCATCCACCAACACATCCCAAACATACGAACTGCCCGGCGACGTACACGACCCCGTCAGCGTCAACACGTCCTCCACCCGCCGGCCCGTCCGCTTATACGACCCGCGCACCGTCGTCCACTCGCCCGTCGGCTCCAGCAGCTGCGAGACGATCGCCCCCGTCGTCGCGTTCGCCCCGACGTACGCGTCCACAAAGCAGTATTCCACCCCCGAGGGCCCCGGGATCTTGATCTGCGCCGAGAAGTCGTACACCGTGCCGCGCTGCAGGCCGGTTAGGGTCTGCGCGATCGAGTGGCCCCGGTTGCCGTAGTCGGTTTTGAGGTCGCTTTCTTTGCATCAGTATGGCATGTAAAGATTGGGGATAGGGGGACGGGGGTGGGGGGATGAGATGCTCAAGGGTTAGGGAAGGGGCGTACAGGTAGTACTCGCCATCGTAGGCGGCGGTCGCGTTCGTGACGGTGGCGATGTTCACGTTGGGGACGGTGGTGAACCACGGCGATAGGGTGCCGGTTTCAAAGGAGGGGTTGGTGAGGAGGTTACATGACATCTTGTTCTGTGATGTTGTGGGGTTGAGTCTGGAGATGTTTTTTTTTTTTTTTTTTTGGAGGACTGTAGTGGTGGTGGTGGTGGTGGTGGTGGTTGTTGCTGTCTCGAGCAGAGGGCGCTTCTTATACTCCCGTCGACATCATAAGTTACTCCATACACTACAAGTTAACTCCCCCGGAGTCCTTCAGCCTCCACCACACAAGACCCTGATTGATTCCCACCGGATCGAGCGGGAACCCGGCAGTCCGGGACGCCTGAAATGTTCTATATTCGGGGAGCACTGCAGTCTACATACACCCTACAGCGCACTAGAGTCACGGGTACTGTACTGTACCTCGAGATCGGGCTACTCCACCGTGGCCTCGTATCGTGGCTCCCTTCATTGGTCATGTTTAAGGGGCCGAGGGGGCGCTTCGTCGCGGCGGTTTACTGCAAACTGCTACCGTTCCATGGCGAAGCTTGGGTTTTCCCATCCGATGAGGAAGGGTCCCGGGGGCTTGCCGGTGCTTGATTAGTAGGTTGCATTGGCATTGGCATCAGGGTATAACCTATAATTACTAGGTCCTATGAATAGATGGTGTGGTCTGAGCACTCCCTTTCATGACTGCATGGTTGCTCCATCTGCTCTATCCATGCGTTGACGATCGTCTTTCCATTGTTACACCCGCTATACTTCAGGCTGAATGCACCATTACACCCTCGTGGCAAATCTACCGACTTAGCCACCAGATTTGTCATGCGTGGCTTTCCTCGGGGTTCGACATGCCAGATGATGCGTAATCTCAAAGTACTGGCTTCTCTCTTGTTGGTTCGGAAATAGAAAAACGAAACGGAACTTACATTCAGATTAGTGATGCTAGCATTGGACGGTCGCTCACTTTGACCGAGCAAGCATATGATCATGGAAGGGTCACTTCCCCTCCCTGCTTCTATTTTTGTGTTTTCCTATTTTTATATATTTTCTTCTAATTACAAGGAAGACTGCAGTGCGCACTGCCAATGACTCCGTGGTAGCGATAGTAGGTACATGCGAACCGACCCGCGGTTCTTCTCGAATGTCAATCAAGGGTATTGTAAAAGCTTTACACTGAAGTGAGTATTCGCTACCATCCGTGCCGGCCATTGCCATCGCCCGTCACCATGCGAAATGTCGTTAATAAAGCAAGGTGGCAAGGATCGAGACTAGCAAGCCACCGACCAGCGACCCGTGGCCCGCACCCGCGTCCAAGGCAGCCGCAGCGCCTGCGCTGGCCGAGGGGCTTGCAGATGCACTTGACGAGGCGACAGCGGCCGAAGAAGATGGAGAATTCGACGCGACAATCGCGATCGACGCGGCAGTGGCGGTCGCCGAGCCCACCTGCTGCTGTTGCTGCGCAGCAGTCATGGTTGGCGCAGTCAAGATGACGCTGGGGATAGATGTCTTGGCGCTGCCTTCCGCGTCACTGCCGACACTACTGGCAAGCGCAATGCCAGTCTCGACCAAGGTTGGGTTGACTTGGATGTTCGCCGCAGAGTCCGGCGTGTCCGGTGCGGTTACGATGACAGAGCCGGCATCATCGCGTTTGACGTTCATGGAGTCTGAACTGACACTCCAGGTGTCAGAGCCGCCGCCTTTGGGGACATAGTTAGCTGCTGTACATGTTGTGGACAAGGTAAAGACCTACAAGTATCAGAGGGAAACCCAGCACAGGGCGTATTGCATCGCGCAGCTGGCACCTCAAACTCCGAAGAGGGTAGTTCGTCGCCGCAGTAGCATTGATTCCCGTCGTGCACAGCGTATACGGTCTGATTACGCTTGTCGCAGGTCTGTTGGCAGTATCCGAGGGACTGGAATTGATAGGATCCCGCGAGAACTAGCTCGCCGGGTTCACTATAGCAGCCGACAAAAGAAGAGGCAGACGAGAGGGCGGCGAGCGACACAAACGCGAGATTCCGGATGCTCGTCCGAATCATCTTGTCGGTTGATGGTGTAGAAGCAGAACAAAGGCTGGGTAAAGAACGTGTATGAGATTTGGGCAGAAAACTCTGAATCAAAGAGTGGATGTGCGCTTGACAGGAGGGAGAAAGAAGAAACAGATGGCAAAAGAATGATATGGATGACAGGCAAGGTTCCAATTTTCATGGGCGGAGTCAACCTAAATATGATCCATCTTTAATATGCCAACGGATGGAGACGAACCAACCGAGATGCACCTTCTCAAATGGCGAACCAACCCCTTGGGGCAGCATGCAAAAATCGGCGGTTGAAACCCAGCAGAAATGCCGATCTGATGATCGCGCGTACGAACGCCTCTCTTCTGTCCGGATTCCATAATGGTTCGTTAAGCGATCGTCGGCTCCGCGCCGGCAGCGTTTCGGACGATCCCTTGCTGTGTTGAGCCAACTAAGGCTGGTGTTTCATCATTTGTCCTCTGACTCCTCCCAGAAAGGGTCGAATGAGTGATGTAGGGATCAACGCGCTATTGGTTTCTGAGACCACCACGCGATGACTAGCGATTGTCAGTTGGTGGGATTTGTGGGGAGGCGAACCCATGATGGATCCTGAAGTGGATTCCTATTAGCTGACCAGAATGGCACAAAATGGGGATGTTCCTGAGTCCCGTTTCATCGCTCAATGATCAACGCGACAGAATGTCGGTTCCATGGAAGCTTAAACGGAAGCATGCCAGATGAGTCGTTGGGCAGGGAAACGTTCAAGAAATCAAAGGATAGATAAAGAAGTAGGTACAGTACGAGGGTGGGAAGGACGAAAAGAAAAAGGGAGGACAGCCAAGTCACGGGACCACCATCATCATTTCTCCAACTTCATTATGAGTACCAAACCTTCCTTCATCAATCCGCATGTCCTTCATCATTCATCATTCACAACACACCTACGCAATGCGATCAACCCTTTTTTCTCCGTCAGCGCTGGCTGTTGCTCTTGCAGATTCTCCTGTTGTGCTACTCCTGTCGATCCTCACAAGCTTGACAGCGCCACAATGATGCACTGACATTTTAGTCTCGGCTTCCATCGTCATCATCAAAGGTTAAAAAGAGCCTTCGCTACTGCCCTCCATGCTTCCAGTAGATGGCTTTGGCCGGTTTTGCAGACCAACAAAATCCCACTGCAACTTCTGCTTCACTAAACTCGGAGTTGACTGAAACAGCAGCCGATCCCCCTATCCACTCAACCTGCAGCAAAACTTCATCAGAGCTAACTTGAAAGTTTTTGGTTTGGCGAATCAACAAGAACAATAACTAGCAGCCTGCTTCCCATGATACGTGAGACTGCTAGTCCTTCTTATCACCGATTTCGAGATTCAACCCCGCAGGAACAGTGGCTCTAAAGTACCTCACCGCCACTCATAATACGCCATCGAATGCCACCAAACCTTCGGTTGTTATCGCTTTGCATGAAATGCGTCCTAGTTTCTGGAAAGACTTGCCCTCTCAGGAAATCCTGGCGCGGCCAAATCCGCCTTAGCCGATAGCCGACTTATCGCGCCGGCAGATACAATGAGGGGGCTGCCTTCGACACCTTGATTGCGCAACCCGGCGATAAGATAACTCAATCCATTGCGTTGTGGCTTAAGCTACTTCCCCTCATTTATAATGGATCCAACCCCCTTGCCAATGCGATTGTTCTTCTTCCCTGCGAGTGCTGCTCTGCTGTATCTGAACCATTGCTCATGTATCAGCTACTACCGGTCATTGTAGGGCTGCTAGCCCCGTCCGTTGCGTCTCTCAGCGTTCCGTCGGCGCAGCAGCTCCTCAACTCCTGGTCCTCTGGAGAAAGTAGCAATCTTTGCCCATTGGCGACTAAAGTCGAAGCCCCGGATGACGGCTTCTTTTCCTCGGTCAAGTTTGTTACCGACGATGCAGTGAAGTCGCGACAGGTCGACCGTCTGTCGCGAGCAGTTCAAGTCCCAACCGCGATTGATGATTACATGAAAGACCCCTACGATGAGAAATTTGCTCCATTCCTTGAATTCCACGAACTCTTGCAAACGCTGTTTCCTCTCCTGTAAGTTGGGAGATCCTCTCCGGCCATGAGCATGAGTGTCTCCTAACAATCGCTTGCCGCAGCCACTCCCACGCCCGTGTAGATCACGTCAACCGCCTAGGGCTAGTCTACACACTCAATGGCACCGACGACAGCCTTAAGCCGATTCTGTTCCTGGCTCACCAGGATGTCGTACCAATCAACGACCCCGCCGACTGGACCTACCCTCCATTTGCCGGCCACTTTGACGGCGAATGGCTCTGGGGCCGTGGTGCCAGCGACTGCAAGAACGTCCTGATCGGTCTCCTGTCGGCCGTGGAGGACCTGCTAGCTCAAGACTGGCAGCCCACGCGCAGCGTTCTCTTCGCCTTCGGTTTCGACGAAGAGTCCCACGGCTTCCTCGGCGCCGGGAATATCTCGGAATTCCTGCAGAAGAAGTACGGCCCAGACAGCTTCGAATTCATCCTCGACGAAGGCGGCATGGGCCTGGAAACCTTCAGCGACAACAACGACCCCAACAAGCTAGCCAGCGCCACCGATGATGACGATGACGGAGTTATCTACGCGCTCCCCGGCGTCGGCGAGAAGGGCAGCATCGACATCGTGCTCTCCCTCGCCGTGCCCGGCGGCCACAGCTCCGTGCCCCCGCCGCACACGGGCATCGGCATCATCTCCGAGATCATCTACTCGCTCGAGCGACAGGACCTCTTCATCCCCGTGCTGGACGAGCGGCACCCGTCCCGGCAGAAACTCGAGTGCCAGGTGCGCCACTCGCCGGCGCAGGTCGAGCCGTGGCTGGCCGCGGCCCTCCGCTCCGCGGACCACGTCTCCCTGGCCGAGAGGCTGGCGGAGTCCCGCGGCGACAAGTTCCGCTTCATCCTGCAGACCTCGCAAGCGGCCGACCTCGTCGCGGGCGGCGTCAAGTCCAACGCCCTGCCTGAGAAGATCTCCGCGCTGGTCAACTACCGCGTGGCGCTGCACCAGACCCCGCAGGAGATCCAGCGCCGCGCCGTCGACCTCATCGGCCCCATCGCCCGCAAGTACAACCTGAGCGTGACCGCGTTCCCCGCCAACAACGAGGTTGACACCTCCCTCAACAACCACCTGACCCTCACCACCCTCAGCGGCGCCCTCGACCCGGCCCCCGTCAGCCCGACCGACCTCCGCACCGACCCCGTCTGGGCCCGCTTCTCCGGCATCACCCGCGCCGTCTTCGAGTCCGTCCCCGCCCTCCATGGCAAGACCGTCGTCGTCAGCGGCGACATCATGACCGGCAACACCGACACCCGCTTCTACTGGCCCCTCACCCGCAACATATACCGCTGGAGCCCCTCCCGCGCCGGCCGGGCGGTGAATATTCACACCGTCGACGAGCGCGTGGGGATCGACGCCCATTTGGAGGCCATCATGTTGTACTATGGTATGTCTGTCCTTGGACGTTGTGGTTTCTTTCCCTCGATGTGGACCTTTGGACCTGTCGGTGTCTATTTCGCATGTATGAAATGATAAGCTAACTCTTTGATTCCCATTATACAGATCTCATTCGCTCTTTTGATGCTTGGGAAGGTAGTCCGGATGAGGTCTCGCTTGAATTGTGATGGTGAGGCGAGAGACAGGCACCCCATGCAAGCGCGAGAAAAACAGTATATATACTAGACCCTGGTTTTGACTACGGACACCGGCTCAAAACCAGTTCGGTAAGATTATGTCAGTATCACAGGGAAGAAAACTTAAGTGATATAGGCAGCAGTGTGACTTTAGCCGCGGTCATTGACAACTTTAAGTTCGTCCAACGCTTGCAATGCATCATGATAAAGATCAGTTGACGCGGACAGCCTCCCTACAATTAATCCAACTACTTGCCGTATCAGGCAACATCCAACTAGAATCCAAGTACCTGCGGTTACCAAGTAATATTTGCAGTCCTGCAACAGCTCAGGCAAGGGAACGTATATACTCTGCGCGCCATAGCCTTCAATTGCGCCACCGGGCTGACAACTGAAAGCATAGACTTGGCCTAAAGATACACACAACGGTCGGGTAACAATGTAACAATTCCAAAAATAAATGCATAGCGAGTGACCGGCACATCTGAACGAATGGACAAAACAGGTTGGTCCGCTCCAGGGAACCAAAGAAGGCTTCGAACAGAACAGGTCAGTCGTACAGACCAAGAATAGATGGGTGTATATATAACGGTGAGTAATTCAATTGCCCTGATTGAGGAGCAAGAGGGCGAAGGCGCCGCCCACAACGGGTCGGGCGATGAAGGTGATCGATGGATAGCTACAAATGTTAGCCGGAATGGTTCTCAAGGGACAGAGAGTGGTCTATACTTACTCCCCTGTAGTGGTATCATAAAGATCCGTAAGCGCTCGATTGGTGGGAGTAACATTGATCCAGTTGGCAAGGAGCTGGATGAACATGTCTCTCGTGCTGGTGGACGCGACGGCGGCAGCGAACAGCTCCCAGTCTCCTGTATGATGCTTTAGAATGATATCAACATATAATCTTCGAGTTTCCTCACCCTTGGTATATGTGTGTCGCGTATCCAGTGGTACTCCGTACGTATTTTGTACCGTCGGATAGAATGCGCTCTGCATTTCGTATACTGACTTGGGCACCAAGTCCAGTCCCAACTCGCGGTCGGCGTAAAGGTTGTACAAGAGACCTATGAATTCTAGTTGTTAGTGACTTCATTATAGGATTATAAAAATCCGACCTCACGCACCATGAGAATTGTTTGCGCCATATGACAACGTTGTATGGGCAGGGTTGGCATTATGCGCAATGCCAATCTTCTCCCACTGCCGGATATATCGGTGAGAGATTGTTGTATAGTTCGAAGCATCAGAAGAGTGAGCTGTTTGCTTGCTGATGGTGGCCATTGCCTCAATGCCAATGATTCCTTTCAAAGCCAAATTCGTCTGGTTGCTATAGACTGAGTCAGCATTTGCTTGCAAACGAGTCGCGGGAAACGCACGCTAGACTTCCAGCAAAGTCGTCAGTGGAAATCTGATTTGACGGGTACAGGGCATCTTCGATCAGATAGCTTGTCCATACATTCAGCATATCGTAATGTGCTTCAAGGTAGGACGTATTGCCGGCTCTCTGAGCGTATGCCAAAGACATGATAACCATGTTTCCGCACTCTTCTAGGGGCATCGCCTCATCCTTGCCATCTGCATGACCAGTAGCATTGGGATAATTGCTGCCGATATCATGCATTGCATAAGAGTTGGGATACTTCCCAGATTCCTGGAACTCGTAAAGGGGCTTCAGCAGGAGGTCAAGAAGCTCTGGGTTGGTGTATAGGAATATCGGATGGGCTGGGAATATGACATCAACAGTGTTAATGTTCCCGTCGGAAGAGATCTCCTTCATGAAGAGATAAGGATCTGCGATTGTTCCACACAGTTGTGTTGCACCAAATGCTTGCCGAACCGTGAGCGAAGTGATTGTCAAATAGTCCTGGCCAGCTGCTGCTAAAGAGTCGGCGGCAATCTTGTCATCTAGCTCGGTGGAAAGAGAAGAAGACGTTCCGTAATCATTGTGGAAAAAGTCCAGCTTTGATCGTGGATTGTTAGTTATAGGAGCACCCGTGAAGTTTCAGCCAGGACTTACAGCTTCAGGACCATCGCTGAAATAGCTTGTCCATAGCGATGGCAGAGGTGCGTAACCCTTATCAGTCCCATTATACTGCATTGCATCGGTTTGAGCCAGCCCGATGGAGAACAATACTCCAACGGAAGAGTCAACTGACCCCAGATCGTGAGCAAACGCGAACACCGGCCAATTAGTCGATATTGCGCGGTAGTTGGCATCCTGAGAGTTCCCTAACGTCCCGTTTGCCGAGAAAGCCCCTCTGACGTCGACATCTATACCAGATTGATAGGTCATGCTTTCGTTCTCGTCGGTCGCCCAATACCACTCTCCCCAATCCGCCTGGTCGCTCGTCTCCGAGAAGGCAAGCTGGGTTTGACGGCTGACCTTGTGGTACGCGACATTGTTGCTGGTGGTTCCGTAGTCCCATGTTGCAGTTGCGGTGCGGTCTCCCGAGGTCCATTCTACTGCATGTCAGTTATCCGGAACCAAATGTACCAGATCTAGTCTACTTTGTCCTTGCAAGTGTTACTTACCCGCCGAGATATCTGCATAGACTTGCACGTCATGAGACGCGCCGTCAAGCGATTCAATTTCCACATCGACGTACGAGAAAATGAGCGATTGTCTTCTCAAATCATTTGGTGTAATGGGCGATAAGAAAGTGATGTTCATCTGCACTTTGTCGGCCACATTCATGGTAAAGATGCTTCTCGTAGACGTGTAAACATAGGAAGTCTGGTTGACTGTGGTAGTTCCTGGCAACCCCATCCAAGTGTAGGTGGTGCCATCGACACGAACCATACCAGCCCAACCGTTGATTTGTCCACTGTTTTAGATTGACTCTCAGTCAATCACACGTATTGATGGTAGAAAATCGCATAATGGTGCAGGGTAAAGAAGTACTCACGCCCAAAATGTTGGCCATTCCCCGGCCAGGTACCCTCCATTACCTCCGTCACTCCCCGCAGCAAGCCAAGTGCTCAGATACGGTGACTTGACTGCCAAAGGTAAAGCTGGGGGTCGAGCAGGAGAGAATACGGATGTAGCCCCTGCAAAGGAGACCAACACCGTCACCAGTAACCCTAATATGAACCGCGTCATTGTGATTTAGCCACCAGGTACTCAGACTAGGAGCATAGCCCTCCTTATAAAAAAAATCGCCTCTTTCCTCGCGCAGCAAAAAGGGAATGACAAAACAAATTAAATTTTGCAGCGATGATGGCGAATGTGGAGTCCGGAATGCTGCACTGGAATGTCAAGGACGTTTGAGCACAGGATCGAGCCAGCATACCAGCGGAAAAGGAGGGGCTATTTGAAGGACGATGCGATTCAAGGTAGACACGTCCTGAAGATTGCGTCAATCTCAATTAATCTAGCATGTTTCAGCGAAAGACCAAGAGATGCGTGATGCAATGCCTTCAGCCGTCGTCTGACCTCACAGTCCCCCAAGAGAAGTGCTCCCTCCCCCCCACCCCATGCACATCCAAATCTCCGACCAGTTTTCTTCGCCGTGTCAAATATGGAGAAGCTCGCTGGCATGAAAGCCATGGCTGAATGTGACCAGAACTTACCATGCAAGCTTTAATTAAGGCATCTGGTCTCGGCCGCTCTCTTTCATGCGGAACTGGGGCTGCAGAACCCCCTTAGGCCAGAAGCTAATCGGCAATCCCGGCATAAAGTGATCAAGCTGTATGGAGGAATGCTTAAAATCTGGTCCAGGTGAGTCTTGGACTGAGGCTCGAACGAATGTAGACGTGCTGAGTGATAGTCAGACTGAAGCCCAATTCTTAGCATTTCGGGGGCAGGTGACTGACTACCTCTTGCAGCAGGAAACTTGAACGAGTGACGATATCATAAGTTCGAACAAACAATAAACGATAGATTAAAGTGGTGACACATGATGCCAGTAAGTTTGATGAAGAGGGGGCAAGAACTGGAGCGAAATGGATAAGGTGCCTTTCGGTGGAGTAGAAAGGAGAATCCCCGAGGAATAATTGGAGATGGACGCGGAGAGAAGGAATCCCCGTCTTCAGCGAACGGAGACGACAGTTTGAAAACGGCAGGAAGTGACATGGTTCATACATGACTAGCATTCAATAGTTTAGTAAATCTGAAGGGGCCGGTTCTCTGCAGGTAAGATTACCTCCGAAGAAAGTGCGATGCCCGTGATCTTGCTCTTTGGCTGGCATATCGAATATAGACTGGATACTCGTTCGTCCGTCCGTCTGCTAATCGATAATGCAGCATGCGCCAAAGTTCGCTCTCTAGTAGTTGAAAGTCTAATAGCTCAGTGGGTATTGTGACCGAAGGTGGTGATGCCATCATGTGAAGGAGAAGAGAAGCAGAGTAGTTCGGGGAAATTTCCCCTCATCCAACTTTTTTAGTGGATCCCCCCTGCGTTCAGGAACCGGGGAAGAGCTGCACTAAGTGGAACAGGGAGATGAGATTCCAGGGGATGATGCAGTGTGATCCTGTCAAACACCAGGATGGCTGCATGGTCGGAGATAGGCGGAAGACGAGGATGGAAGGATGGATGGCTTGATTCGACTTGACTCGGATAGCGACAGAGTTGGGTTGAACTCAAGACTCTTTCTTTCATCCTTCCTCAACTTTGAGCACTTGGGGCAAAATAGACTCTTTCCTCGCCCCAGATTCTTCCGCCATTTCTCCACCTTTCAATCTCCTCTTCGGAGAAATTCCGTTCAGCCTAATATTGCGGCAACTTCACTCCCTCCCTCCAACAATACGTCGTGTGATATATTTGATGCATGACCGGTGACTACCTCCTCCAACCCCAGAGGCACTTGAGAGTCCAACTCGGTCCTATTTACCCTGGAAAATCACGGGATTGGAGCATTGTGATCTTATTGACATCTGCGATAGTTCCCAAAAGTATGTGTTACTTGAGTTCTGTATCAGGGTAGAAATTGTTTGCGATCAAACAGAGAAGGTCGTGATTTTATCATGATAAGTCATTGCTACCACCCCTTTCTCTTATGCATCCACGAGAGAGAAAAAAACACATTCCCTCCTCATGTTGGGATAGGTCGTCTCTTCCATGAGGATACTTTCCTTACAAAAAACATATCGATATATCCGTGTCTGCCGTCGCACCCATAGCTGTCACTTAGTCCACGTATCCATGCGCAACGAAACATCATCTCAACATCTGTCTTGAAGACATTGCCAATGAGCACAGGGTCTCCATTATTAGATGCCTGAGTGAGGATACACCAGCTAGAGTATCATCATCATCATCATCATCATCATCATATAATCATCATTCATCACACGTCAAAAGTAAGGGAACTAGTATCTACTGTCCCTTCCGGGAAGAAACAAGAACAATCCAACGAGCAACCTTCCCCAAGCCACCCAAAATTTCAACCGCGGCCAACAAGAGTCTTGGAGCTGCGAGCTAGCTCGATACAAAATTCGCCCCATTCGCTACCTCCACTACTTGCCAATACTTCTTCCGCAATGGCGTCTTCCAGCCGCTCGCGGTACCGCTGCCGGAACTCGTTCTTGACCTTTTCCAAGTGCCGTGGCTCCCAGTGAAGCCGGACCAGTCGTGAGATGAGGAGCTCGGACCGCTCCTTACCTGTACGTGACTCGCGTAGTGCTTGGTGTAGAAGTAGAGCATCACGCATGGGCCGATTGATTGCCCCGTTCAGTATATGTGCAAGTGTCTCACCCTGTAAGATGGATTAGCGAAGTGGAACTTGAACGGCGGTATGGTGAACTTACGACGAGATTTTGCGACTTTTCCATCATGGCTCGAGCGAAATTGCGCTGGTAAACCTTCTCGTAAGCGCGTAGCACTTCTCGAAGATGAGGATCGCTTCGCCGGACGATGATATAGATCATCGCCGTCTCACCCCCATGGCGCGAAACCAAAGCGCGATGTAACTCGTGCACATCTCGCTCAACAAGTTCTGGATCAAGTGGATCTCGATCGCTCTGTCGAGTCTCTTCGAGAGCAAGCAGGACTGCCAACCGGAACTTATCTGCCTTGAGTTCGGCTTTCATACACTTTTCCAGGCTATCCGAGTACCGTGAATCCCGAAAGCATTCTTTGATCTCACTGATTTCGCCATTTGTCCGACCGAAGAGAGACTCAATCAAGAGTTCACGCCGAGATGTACTTGACTGGTAGTAGCAATTTGCCCAATAGGCCTCGGACTCCCAACGCCCCAAAGCAGTAGCATAGCATACTTTACCAAAAGTGCTGTTGCCCAGAGTCAGTCTGACGTGTTTCGCCAGGTTCACTCCCTTTCCGTGGACTTTGACGTGCTTCTTGTACTCCTTGCGCAGATCCAGAATTTCATCGCTTGTCAAGTGTGGCAGCACTTTGATCAATGTCTTATTGTCGACATGTCGCGTGTGTGATAGAGCCTGTTGCAAGGCTAGGGCATCGGGCCCCGCATCGTAGAAGGTAACACGTTTTCGACCGCTACTAGGGGCTATCACGACGAGAGCGTCAGGTCCGGTGGACCCATGTCGCTCGTGCCGTACTCGGCTACTCTCCCGTTTCACACGATCGAGTTTCAACTCCTTCTCGTCCTTACTCTTCTTGCGTCTGTGTTCTCTCTTTCCCTCATCTGAACTAGTGCCCACTAGCTCTAGGTCTGAGACGCCATCATCGTACCGTGACGAAATGACGATAGGTGATGGCATCGGCGATATACTTTGGTAAGTCCCTTTGTACGGCTCCTGGAGCGGGCTGGCCGGTCGTTGGGTTGGATCAGGGCCAGCAACTGTGAGATTATGGGCCGATGATACGGAGTGGCTATGAGGTCGGCCAGCACTTCGGTTCCCAGGCGCAATCTCCACGTACTGCGGACCGCTTTCCTGACGACTGGTTGGAGTTTTAGGAGGTTGAGGAGCAGCCGTATATTTGACCCCACTATAGGGCGGATCATTCGCCTGTGTACCGCCGCTCTTCGAGTATTGAGGCGCCGCGGAATACGTGACCGGCTTAGTAGCATTTTGCGCGGCACTTTTGGATGAGTATTTCACGTTGGGATCAACTTGTGCATATTGAAACGGGGTTGGAGCAGCATATGAAGGCTTAACTGCCGCATCACTTGATGCGGAGCGTTGATGGGCTGAAGAGCCCACTCCAGCTGCGTATGTATTGGCAGCAGACACCGACAGCGGACGACCATTCTGCGGTGCATAAGGGTTCTGTGTCGAGCCTGGATCGACATATCTGTACGTGGGCATTGGGGCTGCAGCGGTTGTGGCAGGCATCTCAGGCTGAGTAGACCCGGCTGGGAATGCACCAGGCATTGCTTGATTGGGCCTCTGAGGTAATGGAGGTACAAACCCCGGGCGCTCACACTCAGGTATCGGTGCCCATGTAGATGGTACAGTAGATGAAGCAAGAGGAGGATCACTGTAATGTGAAGGTTGAGCGTGAGGATGCTGAGATTGCGCAGCATATTTGAAAGGGTCGGGTCTGGCATAGCTAGGGTGACTACTAGGAACCTGCTCTTCGATGCCATCCCCAGAGCGTGATGACGCACCACCTGGGGGTACACCCGGATTGAGTGCACCGGACATCATAGCACCACCATGGCGCGGTGACGCAGTGCGACTTGTGCCTTTGTAGCCGTAATAACTTCGCTCCAGGTCATCATCAGGAAGGTCACCGTAAGCAAGCGCATCATCCTCCGAGTCCGAGTACGAGTTTTCCGAGTAACTCTCGTAGCGCGCATCGCGGCGATGGGCGGAAGAGGAATATCTACTGTCGCGCTTTGCACCTTTGCTTTCGCCCGAGTCAGATTGGTAGTAGTAGTCTCGACCGTGCTCGATGCCTAAGTAAGGATCCCGGCTATCAGAGCGGCCATAACGAGAATTGAACCGGTAGGAGTCACCTGGCGCAGCACCTCTGCTCCTGGATCTGGCCCTTAACTTCCCATCCGCCGGAGCGGAAGACAAATAATTGCGGTCAAGGGTCGGAGGCCGTCGACTGTCGCGAGATTTGGAACGATCGCGGATACGGCCGCCTGGAGACTTGGAACGGCCTCGCGACCGTGGGTCGCCCACCTGCAGTGACATGGATGAGGAAGCTAGGAACCGGTGGCGACGGTGATTAGAGATCAGTGCTTGCGAAGAAGAGTCCCTCCAGGCTTGAGAGTAAAGGGTAGAAGGTCAAAATAGCAGACCAAAGTGCGAACAAGTGAAGTACCAGTCGATAGGCGGAGTCTCAAAAGTGCGATCGTCTAGTGTGGAGCACCGAGGAATTAACGACTGGGAAGGGCAGATATGATGACAGGAACGGGGGACCAGATCGAAGAGGCAAAAGGGCAGTAGACTCAGAAGAGAGATTAGGTAAATGTAGGTAAGACTAGGTGACAGTGTTTGACTCTAGTAATGTAAATGGAGGGCAAGGCTGCGTAAATTGCAGCGAGTGATCATCAAGGGTTTCGGTAGTTCAGCTGAGCAACAGCAGCTGAAGTCAATCGCGTCCGCATGAGTAGCGAGTTAGTATTCGCCCGCGGGGCTGCGCGCACCGCCTTGTCTGCCTTTTCTGCACGCACACACAAAAGTGCAACCAGGGCAAGAGACTACCACCAGCAGGGCTGATGCGCTTGTCCATATTTGTTGCTGGCTTTTCGCGCCGTCAACGTTAACGACCATGCGACACGGCGACAGCAGGACCTACTCGGTACGGAGTACTAGACTATCTAAAGACTGAGAAGTGTTGCCCTCCAATCGAGTGGCCTGCGACCCGTTGGAGCCGCACACCGTCTTCTGCAGCCTTGAAACCCATTCACGCTGATTGCTGGTCCACCCTGGGCGGCGGCAGTCTAATCATCATCTCATGTTCGTAAGAGAGCTTGGGGTCCGGAATCCACCCGCCTGGGCCCTCTTCCCCTCTCCCCCTTCAAGCGTCTGCCGGGACTAGCGCTTCGTATCATTGATTCGTTAGAGTCTTTGGAGGGTCTCATGCCCACAATTGGTCCTTTGCTCCTCGTCTAGTCAACTGGGCTGGGCTGATCCACTTCTAGTCGGGTGGTCATCTTCGAAAAGAAAAAAAAGAGGGATGTTCTTGATGACGGTAATAAGTACTCCCTACATGCATTCATATCCAAATTCATATTCATGTAGTTAGTGATATCTCCGCCCGAACAGAGATGACATCAACACTAAGCTAGCAAACTATACCTGGACACCGAAATATCTACACACAGCCTTATTACCGAAATGAGTAACCAAGTTCACGGAGTTTGGCGTGCATTACCCGCTATAACAGCGCCGAGCCATCATAGTACAGTAATAGGCATGATACAAACGTGCTAGAGCCTTGGCAAGCATCACAGGTTATGGAAGTAGCTTGACAAGACAGATTAACATAAAGGGACCAGAAGATCATCAGAAGTACAAAGAAGGAATGGAATTGGGTATGACTTGTGGACAACATGGGTAACAGATTCAGGATGAATGACCAAGCAGTCGGGTACTTGGTCGAAAGTGCCGCAGTAGCGCCGGTACGTGAAAATATGGGTTGATATTGCATCAAAGAGTAGAGGGGTTTAAAGAGAGTATGGAACGTGAGATAGTGTACGCGAGAGACCTTGGCCCAGCATTTCTCATCGGCAGTTTCGGCTGAATCGAGAGACCGGCGGTTTCTCTTCGCATCATGAACAGGGAAAAACAGTTCACAAGATCGGGTTGTTAATAACCAATGCTGTGGCTGCAACAAGCAAATATGAGAAGATGGTGGTAGATAAATCTCAGACAATTTAGCAGAATGCAAGCCATATTTAACGGCTGTCGAGAGTGCAGTGGTTCACTCAAACCGACGGAGATCGGGCCCAGTCTTCCCGCCGTATACCTTATTCTGCGCAAGGTCTTTGGAAGGAGCAGGAGACGTGGCGACATGACGGTTGAGCCGGCTGGTTCTCCATCTTTCATACCAAACCACACGACTCGCATCCCGAAGCTCGACCCGCCAGTCATTGAAGACAGCCTCCTTCAATTTGAGGAAATCGCAGTGCTCTGGATTGTATGGGTCGGCAAATCCCCACGGAAACTTGCGGCCAATGGGCTCATCTGCAGACTTCAGCGAGTATGGATCGGGAGACAAAGTGGTAAAGGGAAGCAGCTGAGGAACGGCTTGGGACTCGGGAGCGTTCTGGTTGGGTTCGGATGGGGCGGAAGACCTAGAGATTCCCTCATCATCGCCAGGCTCTTCCTCGTCGCCGCTTTCTGAAGAAGTATATTCTTCCTGATCTTCCAGAGTCAAGATTTCCAAGGGGTCTATGTTGACCTTTTTGAGACTTTCCCAGACTGCCTTCCTCAAAAATGCCATGTGCGCTGCAGTAATTGTGTCGGCTTTGCTGATGACTGGGACGACAGTGGTCTTTCCCACCATGGTTCGTAGGACTTGCACATCCAATCTTTCATCTAGGATGCCGATTATGGTTGAGTCGGTTGATCTTGGAGTCCCTTGCGCTGCTCTTTCGGCGGCCGCGATGTTCTGACCCAAGCGTACGGGATCGAGAATCAAGAAAGTGCAGTGTATGTGCGTGTCTCGGGCGTTGGGCGAGCGAATGACCTTCGTTTCCTCCCTCAGGGTTTCCTCGAATTTGCTCTCCAAGAAGCCTGTTACACCACGTAGTTGGATATCAACAACATTCTTCTCCAAGCCCGGCGAGTCCCAGAAAGTAAGGCCTACGCGCTCACCGTCGATTTCAGTCTCAAGATAGGAGGACGTATAGCCTTCACCTGTTGTAGACAGACTCTCTTGATCTTCCAGGTCACTCGGCTGACGATTTAAATGCTTGCTAGGAGGCAGCTCCAGGGACTTTCTGAGAAATTTGAGGAACGACGTCTTGCCCGAATTACTTGCGCCCACAACAAGAACACTGACACAGGTCAGTAAAAAGTCTCGATAGACATCCGCGAATTGGTGACAGCTTACTTGTACGGAGTAGGGTCTTTGCGACGACGTAGACGACGCGGGTTGTTGACAGAACTTGCAGCGCTGCTTACATAGCTATAACGTCCACGGTTTGCCATGCTTTCGGCGCGCGCGTATGGATCGCTGCTCTCTGGCTTCACTGGCGTACTCATCGTACTGCGGGACACACTTTGCGGACGGGCCACAGGAGACTGGGTGGGAGGCGCTGCAGTGGTGTCTCGTGGTGACTCGCCGCCAAAAGTGTCCAGGATTGGAGCCGGAGACAAGCTTGGAAGACGGGGAGGTTGGTGGTATAGCATTGATGCGCGCTGAGGTTGAGAATCCGCTTCCGTCGGTATATTCTTGCCACCTTTGCTTGCAGACGGTCTCCTCTCACCCAAGAGTTCAATTGATTTGGAGCGACGAAGGAAGCTTAAAGATGACGCTCTGCGTTGATCCTTTGTCTCTGCGGCGACAGCGGAAGGGTCAGTCCGAACCGGAGTCCGGGGTGTTGTTGATGTGCTTGCCATTGGGTTTTATTCTGGGTCACCTCTGCGTTCTCTTATCACTTGACTGGCTGTAACACGAATGGGGGGGCAAATGGCCAAACAGAAGTGGGGTCACTGGGAATGATGCGTGTCTCAGATATAGTCAGTAATCATTCATTCACTTTAACAATCCCGAATTTGCTCTCGGCTCAATCTAGACTAGAGCCACAAAGGATCCAAAGGGTAAATTCAGCTAGAGGGGTGGTGAATTGCAGTCAGTTCTTGAATTCTTAAAGCGGTGTTATCGCACGGTATAATATGCGCTGCACCCCCTGACCGGAAGACTCATTGTTTTCAACGGATCTCCTGTCCACGGGTTGCGAGATGATGAACGTACCTGATTTGCTCCAGTGGCTTCGCTTTTCTTCTAATCTCGCTTGCACTAACTCCTCTTCACCAAACGATGGACAACGGACTAGAAGAAGAGAGCAGAGAGAACCGACACAATTATCAGATGTCTGCGCAAACGCTTGACCCGAAATGAGACGAAAAGTCGAGCGACCAAATGTTTATTCCAATCGACTTACACAAGCCCAGCAGGTGGATCGTCGAATTGGAAGACTTCGCTACCGCGAGTGTATTGTACAGCAAGCAATATGAAAACGAAGGCCAGCAAGCAATATGTCAGCACTGCGGTTCGATCCGACCAGGGAATCTTTGAAAGTGATGCTTGCTCAGCAGCGTCTGACTAAAGCGGCGCATACAACTGAAACGGGAACAAAATGAGAAGAAGGGAAAGGGGACACAAAAGGATATGAAGGATTGGGCCCGAGACCGAGAAGAGCGGCGCAAAGGATGATGGAGCTGAGGATAGATGATGATCGGCCAGTGAAATTGGACAAAGGCGATGCTGTCTTTATCCGGACTGGGCTGATGTCGTCGGACTGAACCTTCTGCTTCGCAGAACAGAAGCTCGACTGACAGATACACTGCAGTGCAGACTTGCAGCACGTTTGCCTTTCTCCGGGACAACTGGACTTTTGGACCTGCCTGAAGTCTGTCTGGTTTGTGAGAATCGGAACCAATTATTTTGTGTCGGTTTGCTTCCCACGTTATTTCTTTTTTTTTTCTCTCTCTTTATTCCAAATCTGTTTTCGTCTTTTCTCTAGGTATTTTTGCACGTCTACAAAGGCGGAGAGAAGCTTGAGAAGCTTTTGAGCCGGAGGAAATTCAGGGGCAAAGCGGTAGCGAAGCTCGGTCTCTTCCAGACTCTCTGCCTCTCAGCAGTGCAAGTTGGTCTAGTGCAATTTGGGGTTAGTGAGCACTGGGTTGCTTTGCTAGGGCAGATTGTTTAGCCTCTAAACTGTTGGGGTTTTAGCTTTGAATTGAATGGATGCTGGAGGGGCGAGCCGTTGGATTGATTACAGCTAACTAAATTAGTACCTGTCTCTTCTCTCCTACCTAAGACTCTGATGTTGTACGACCACAAGTTTCCGTACGTGTGCAGTGGTAAGCTTCTATTACCTGGAAATGAGTGTACAGTCTCCGTAACTGAAGAAAAGCTCCAGGCTCATACGGAATGAAGCTCTGCTAATGACTGTGATTCCTTCGCAATTGGAATGCTGAGAGAACAGCATACGTCGCGCTAAGATGGCTGGTTTATCTCGCAAAGAGGGATCGAAGCATATTCAAGTAGATTAATTCTCAACGTTCATGCTGCGAGCACCGATCGAATCGCGAGTTGGAGCAGATATGGTTGCCGTTCAATACGTCTCCGATACCCCTCGTATTGGCCATCCTGCACGTTCGACTGACGATCAGGCGGTGGTCCTAACTCCCCAAGTACAGTACACGTGGGTACTGTCCTGTCATTCCTCGTTAGGTTGTTTATCTCCTGCATCTGGACGACATTCCTCTTATCGTGACTTTTCCCTTTCCCCTTTCCCCTTTCCCCGGATTTTCTGAGCATTTCCCTCAGCACCTCTGACTTGCAATCCCTAGTAGTCAGATTCTCCAAAGTCGTGGGAGAAGGTCAAAATTTTGAAGACTGAACCAGCCTCGCCATTCTTGGGGGGCTTATCTGTTCAGCCAGCACCTGCCTCACACAGTGAGTGGCCCCCTTTCTCTTAGTGCGGGGTGGGGGTCACTTTCCGTTCCGAGTTGCCCGTGTCTTACGTGGGCAGAGACCGCGAATGCTGTTTTGATGCCTGGTCCGGACTAATGAGAGCAGTTGATTCACTTCCTGGCCTGCTCTTGCTTTAATTGGTACTAGAGGGCATATCGCACTCGAGAAGCAGACGGTTCCAACAGTCTTTGCATTGACCATGCTAAGCAGAACTCACGCAATCCTCACCAAGCCCCTGAGTCATGTACATGGAGCACAGAGATACTAAATGCGACCGGAGGGAGCGCAGCATTGGGAAGCGGACCGGCTGCATCCCGTACCTCAATCCAACTTCTTGGAATTTTAGGTTTTTCATTATTGAAAGCTAACATTTATGATCCCTGGGCCTTTTAGCCAGCATATTTTTCGAATAAATCCTCTTATTGTTAGCCCCATACCGATCACCAGAATTCCCCTCCCTCGGCATCCAGAGCAAGACACACCCCAGGCCCCACACGTTCTCTTCCCTAATATCGGATTGTTATCACTTAGGAATTGCATGATGCCTTGCTGAAAAAGGAGGTTCTCTGATATATTGAGAGATTCGCTACTCGCTCGTGGTCTCGCCGTCACTCCAGATTCGAAACGGGAGAACTATGCATGGGCTTTTCGGACACACTTCGGATCGGACGATGTGTTTGAATTTGGGACCGTTCGGGCCCCCGGTGTATTTGGCCTGCCCAAAAAGCTCTGGTCCACCCGGCAATGCATCGTCCCCCCATTGACCATTGTATTCAAGCCAGTCGACCGGGTACTTGGTGTCATAGGGCTGGAACTTCTTGCTTGTTGCATCGTAACTATATGCATATGCATTGAGGGTCGGATCCCACAGAACCCCGCGATCGGTGTAATCGACTATCAATCCCGTGGGAAGATTGAAGTTGGGGATGGTATGATCATGAGACCTGTCGGAGAATACGATAAGCTTCTGACTCAAATAAAAACATCGAGAAATCAGACCCGGCAACTGCATATACAGCATGGGTACCATTTGCGGAATATGCGATGGGCCGCTGTCCCTTCTTCTCTGTGGCGTCATAGGTGAAGGCCTGTCCACGTGCGTGCTGGCTATACCAGAGCGATCTGGGAACTCCCTTCTCGAATCGAATCATGTTGTGCTCCCTATTGCATTGTGAGTCTCGCAGCCATCAGCTACGGGGGGGGTGTCTTTACCAGTCACCGACATGGTTCCCGAATTGCATACCCAAGACCGTGTTGCCCTGGTTATACCTACAAGACTCGTTAGCCATGAATCCTGACCCCCTCCATCCGCTTGATTTGCTCACTCACGCAAAGAAGTAAAAGTAGAAGGCATCCAAGGTTCCACCACCATGATCGCGAACAACGATGGTAGATGATACAGCACCTTCGGTCACGCCGTGGATATCGGGATCTACCCCAAAGAACCACGATGGCTGAGGATCCGCATCGACTCCCTCTTTGGACGTGAGATACACGCTCGTATTCCCCACGTTGTTGAGGTATGCGAGGTTATCTAGAGTTGGGGGCGACGGTGACTCTGGAATAGATAACCAATTCACCATGGGAATGGTGTGTATGAGCTGTTGACCGATGTCCGAAGGCCTGTATACATCTTGGCTGTGTAGCCATACAAGCGGTGCTGTGGGAGCCAATCAGATCACATGCACTCGCTTCATGTTGTTCACTCACCGTATTCTATCACATATGCGGGGATCGTAGTTGCTGTGAGGGGAGCAGTCGAGGCGACAGACAGGACACTCTCCGTGGCTAGTAGAGATAGCTGGTAGAGGGCTTTCAACATGTTGACGTACTTGAAGAAACAAAGTCTTCCTATGGTTGCGAAAAGCTGCTGCTGCTGCTTCGATGCAGTATTCGAACTCGAGGATTAAGAGGCCTTCCAATTCTAATACAAGGTTCCTTTCTCAGCCCTCCGCAACCTTAGCAAGACAATGTGATCTTCAAGTCACTTAATGTTGAGTACGCTTTGAAACAACAGAAGCATACCACGCCGTGTCATCTGGGGTTGCATATTTCAAAGCCTTACTTAACCTCCTGATACACTACAGTGTGCGAATTCAAGTCTTGCATCCTTTCTTTCAGCCTCACATGCGACAAGACGATGGTTTCGGTGTCCGAATTGTTGCTTTTGTCTTCAGCTCCAAGGTCAAGCGCTCACAGTCAGGGTTCTGTCAGGCTTGCTTCATCCTCAGAGTCCCAATTCATCAAGCTACTGGGCCAGGCTCCCTGGTTGCAGAGAGACCAGGGCCTGGCATACCATGCAGAGTCAATAGCATCTGAGCTGTGCTATTGACCAGTGAGCTCGATCTAGGGCACATCTGGTCGTCCAAATTAGAATTTGCACGATGACTAGGTGGTCGTCAAGGTCACACCCTGCAGCTTGTGAGGAGGTTGGGACCCCGTGAACCTCATAATTGCCAGTAGCAAGGCCCCTTACCCTGGCATGCCCAGCTTCGATGTTCAGGGAAACGACACCATCTTCAATCACTGGAGCCCTCCCTACGCTCACAAACGCAAGCTGAGCCCATGCAGATGACCAATAGTCTTGGCACCGACCACCCCCCATCAAGTGATTTGATGCGGGTGAACAATCAACCAACCCAATCCAATCTATGCGGCACTGAGAATGTCAAACATTTGGATTTATGAACAGTCACAAAACAAATCATCCAGGCTATGCTATGCTATGCACACAAAGTCGAGTCACGGTCGAGAGAATGATCGTGATCTTCAGAGTCGCGACCCTCACCACCACCATCACCCCTTCCTCAGTTCCCCAATTCCTCCTTCTTCGCCTGCTCCGTGATCAACTTGAGAGTCCGCAGATCCAACGGAATCCTCTCGCCTAACCACGTAGCACGCTGTGTGTGATTGCGCAGTTCCTCCGTCTTCACCGTATTAGGGTGGATCAGAGCGCTCAACGGCCCTCGATTGATGACCAGCCATGGCACGAATGCGCCAAACTGCGCCGGGGTGAATAGATTGACCTCGAACATGGCCACGGGGTGCGGTCCTATGGGACGATCGAAGAACGTGTAGATTCGGAGTTCGGGGACTGTATATGGGTCAATATCAAGTTTCAAGGACCCCCATGATCCCCCTAAGGTATGCGACCCAAGACGTAGCGTGACCATTTGGGAGCCACGTGCGGAGGTATCCAGAAAGCTGGACTGGACTAGGGAAAACAAGCTTACATTCACGTCGGATCCTTTCCCAGAGTGCCTTGGCGAAAGTGACTTGATCGGGGTCATTCTAGAACAGGACGCCCTGAATTAGATCTGGAGGGTATATGATGGGGTGTATTGTACCCGGCTCATCATGGGAGCTCACTTGAAAGTGGTAGATATGTATGTCAAAGCCTCCGCGTCGGCCTTTCGTGAGGGGAGCCGGGAATTCCTCGTATGCTTTGCTCAGGACGCCATGCTGGGGGTTCTTGAGGGACTTGCCGTCCTCGTTTCGCTCACTAGGCCGCAACCTCAGTACTTTTGTCGTGCATGAAAGGTTCCTCGGGTATTATTTCGTGGATATGCGATGGCTAGGAAGACGTACTCCGAGAGCGGCTCCAGGTTCTCGTATCCCTCGAGCGGGGAGGGGTATGAAAAGGCAAACTGATCCGTCATCTCTCGTGTGATATTCAACAGTACTGTAGCTTAATATTGTTGAGAGTCTCGCTTAACTGTTCTTCAGTATCAGTTCAACCTGTTCATCAATGCTTTGAACCAGACTTCACGCACCTAGTTTAAGCAGATGATAATCTGACGAACAGGTGGACGGGCATGTACTTCCGACGAGCGACGACCGTAAGGTTACAGAAGAGTTATCAGATGGTGCGAAAGTCTACTCTTTAAGGACTTTTACAAAGTCTCCCGTAAGGGCTACTATCTACATTACCAATCATAATCCCAATTAGCAAGATTTTGAGCCCATTGTCCGACCACTGAATAATCGTTGCGATGAGGCGATTAGTGACCGATTTTGCAAAGCCATGCCGCCAATTCCGCACTCATGACCAACGCGCGGAACTGGTCGGGTTTGGGTCTTGGCATATCAACCCCAGCTGGAAGGCGTTCATGACAGCCTGGAGCCTGGAGCCCTGAAGCCAATTCTGCTGGCTACTTATAGCTGATACTATTGGGACTGTGTTTGTAGGATTTCTGCTTCTTATGGTCAAAATTGAGAGCCAAGTTGAATCTCTCCTTGTCGTTAAAAGTGTACGTCTGCTGCTAATGCGGGGTGAATAGTAGCGGGCGCCGCTTGATTTATATTTCCGTCGTCACGTACCTCCAGGCTACTAGTCCGAGTGTAAACTGACCATTATGCCTCGAATGATTTTGTGATTGACAGCGAAGAATTCTCACACAAGACCGCATGCGCGCATAGCGGTGCGAAATTCATTGCATGGTAGTGTAATGGTCTTTATGATATAGCTTATCCACAAAAATGCTACGGCCCCTGCTGATTCCAAGACGAATCTCTATTAGCCCCACAAGCTACCAGGAGGCCTTTACATCAATATGTCCATCTTCATCCACGTATTTACCGCGGTCCCATTCCCGACCCTCACCTTTCTTGGTCCATTTCACACTTTCCAGTCTACCATCGGTGTCGTCCTCAGGTTTGGAGGTAGTGTTGCTTTTCCAACGCTCCACAAAATCCGTGCTGAACCCAGCTTCACGGAGCCGCTCTTCGCCTTTCTGCTTCCAACGAGCACGATCACGAAGAGCTTCCAAAGCATAATCCCAATCATCAGCGCCGGTCATGAGGCCGGCAACGTGTCTGCGAGGGTTCTTGTTACCGGACTGTAGATCGTCCTCTTCGAGCTGCACGTCTGTGGCCGGGTCATAATCGGGTGCGAAATGGGCGTCGATGTTACTCATATTGGGTTTGTAGGCACCTCGACCGCGCGAAAGAATCGGCGCCGGCTCCTTTGAGCCATCCTTTTTCGGTGGTAGGGGTCCAACGAGATCCTCTAGTGGATCCGATTCGCTATCCGATGGCTGGCCTTCAGTTGTTGATGGGCGACGACGTGGTGGGTCCTCGCGCGACGCTTGATGGCCTCTGGAGCTATGACGATCATAGATCTTAGGGTGAATCCTTCTCTCGCTATCTGTATTTGTGCGCTTGTCAGACCTTTCGTGGGACCGAGAACGGGAACGGCGCGGCGATTCACCACGCGTCCGGTAGCTTTTGCGACCACTTCTGGAGCTTGAGTTTCGGTCGATCCGTGGGGATTGACTTCTGGACCGCGAAGATGAGCGATGCCGACGACTTCTTCTGGAATGGTCATGCCGGCTGACTTTAGTGTCATCATCCTTGTACCTCCTCCGGTCGCTGCGCGTGTGATCACGCTCCGTGGACCTCGAACGACTCCCGTGTTTCCTCCGATGAGAGTTGTATCTGTCCTCGCAATCTTCCCTGCTTTTCGTCCGCGAGCCTCGGTGACCTGAAGGATAATCGTGCCGCCGCCGATGCCCCCGGCTTGACTCATGGGTGGAAGTGGACGCTGGATTTCTCAACTGCCGCATCCGCTCCCGCGCCTCTCGCTCCTCCTTCCGTTTCAAAGCCGCATTATGACTGTCCGTCTCCTTGATGATATGCCGGAGGAACCTAGTATTGGGTTTTGGGGCAGCGCCTGTAGGTCTATCGGACTCGTATGTCAGCTCTTGCTCTCCTGAACCCCAGAGAACGGTATGCGCGCGACCATCGGTACTCACCTTCTGGGCATATATGCTTCCAAGCCTTGTGCCGAGTACTTGAGGGAGCTATCGCGCGCCTCGCGTGCAAGGACTTGCGCAACATAGTCATCGTCGTCGAGCGCGGTGAGTGATTTCGCTGGAGTGGAAGACATGGTATCAGACGGTGCTATTGGTGGGGAATGCAGGAGATTTGATGAGTGGGGGAAATTGCATTATCCTCGGGAGCGGGGCAGATGAAGGGGAGATTAAATAGACATAGATAAAACTTCGGAGTCGCATTCACCAATAGCGTATTAGGCTTAAATTAGGAGCAACCTGAATTATTTTGGAACCTGCAGATGTGAATCCAAAAGCAAGATACGATTGCAGGAGGAAGCCACGAGCGGCGACACTGGCCATTGCGGCGGCGGAGACCGGACTTCACCGCCCAGCCCCGATAAGGCATTGTGGGTCGACAAAAGGGCACCATGAATGGAAACCCACTGTTTACCTCCGCATGTTCTGCCGACGCGCAGTAACAGAAAACCGCCGTTAGATCGTCGAATCCTCTTCGGTCGGCTACACACTTTCACCAATCTATAACCACTCGGCCCAGAAAACGTCCTGTCACTTACCTCCTACCTGCTTTAGATCTCCACGAAGACGATCACGATAAGACATGTCCGACCCATACCCCGCCGAAGTGCGAAAACAACTCCAGCAACTGGAACAAGAAAATGGCGACTTGAAGACGCAACTGAATATCATACGGATAAGCGAACCGATCTTCTCTCCGACATCAGAGAACCAGGCCACTACCCCTTCGAAGCGCAACTCCGATGTCTCTTCCCTCGATAGCCCAACGCCTGCTTCGTTGGAGGCGGACCTCAGCCACTACAAAGTGCGAACCCTTCATATCTTTCATAGGCAAAGTCTGGAAATTAGCGCTGGAGAGTGGTACACTGATCAGTCGTTTTGAAGGAGTTATTTTCGAAACTACGATTCTCTTATGTGGAGCAAGTGACAAAGGAGAAATTCCTGCGCGCGATCGTCGGTGATCCTCCGTTGGTCGTTGGGCACAATGAAAACGTCGAGCTCGAGACGCAACTGGCCGAGGTGAAGGCAGAACTGCGTGCAAGGAAAGAAGAGGTCCGGACGATGACTGAAGAGATGGAGAAGATGAGTAGGGATTTGGCAAACCGTGAGTGCTCATAAAAGGCCTAACGAAGTACTGTGCAAGCTTGCCTGCCTGGGAATGTGAAAACGTCTAACCACCATCCTTCCGGGACGCGCAGGATACAAAAACGTGCAATTACAGTTGACTAAGCTTTCAACGTTGCCGGAATCGATCGAAAATCTCGAATCAACCATCGAAGAGTTGCGTGCTAAACAAGTCACTAACGCAGATGCGTCTTCATCTCAGAAATTACCTCTACCAGCTACACAGAGCCTTCTATTTGAGCGGGAGGCCGAACTGGCGGCGCTTGATCGACAACTTGCCGCGGTGCAAAACGCCTTGCCCCGCAAGACTAGAGAGGCCGAGGCGGTGGAGCGCGAATTAGGTGTTCTAGAACGGCGGAAGACAGAAGCCATAGCGCAGGCGCAGGAAATCCAAAGAAAGAAGGAAGAGGGAGAGAGCGATGGACTCGAAGAAATGGGAAGATGGTATAGAAGCGCAGAAGAGATGCTCAAGAGGCTGACGGGCGTGCAAGGATAACGAATATTGGTTTTGAGATGAGTGATGATTACGGAATTTTATGGATGTCAACGGCGTCTTGTGCTGAGTCCGATCTACAGATTGAGAATGCATGAAATTGGCAGCACACGCGCAACTACACAGAGAAGAGAGTAGGGTATCGAAAGTGAGCCGAAGGCTATTTGTTCATTCATGGTATTGCAAGACCGTACAACGTGATACGCGATACTGCAGCCATAAAGGAACCCCGCAGTTATAATTTCGCTAACGAAACCCGTCCGTACTCCAGTTTTAAATCGTTTACTCCTCCTCTTCCTCCTCCTCACCGGCACCGCCGGAAGCAGCAGCGGCCTTCTTGCGCTGGACACGGCCAGGGCGGCCACCACCGTAGGGGGAGGTGAGAGCGAAGTCGATGTGCTTCTGGGAGTCGAGGCGGACCATGAAAGAGGGAACGTTGACGATCTGCTTGCCGACACTGTTGACGGAAGTTAGCGCGCAAGTCCAAGGAGGGGATCAAGTAATGATCGCATACCGGATGTGGCGCTGCTTGATCAGGACACGAGCGTGGTGGATGGACTTGGCAAGGCCAAGCTTGTAGACGCAGGTCTGAAGACGACGCTCCAAGAAGTCCTCAACACGGAGGGCCAGGACGTAATCGAGCTTCATGCGGGACTCATCGAGGACACCGATGCGGACCAGACGGCGAATCAAAGCATTACCTTCGAAAAGACGCTTGGGGTCCTTCTCGTCGAGGGTGAGGAGCTCACTAAATGATAGTTAGCGCTTGGTTCGGTTTTGATTCGCGTGGTCGCATTCGAAGATTATGATGGGGTGGTGTATCGCATACCGAGCAGCACGACGGATCTTGGACAGGGTGAGCTGGACACGCCAAACCTCACGCTTGTTGCGCAGGCCGTACTCGCCGACAATCTTCAGTTCCGAGTCACTATAGCATAATTAGACACAGGAACACACGACATAAACAGAAGCACGCTTCTGATCAGTGGCCGGAGAGTACTAACAGACGGGCCGACTCGAAAGCTATATCGACATTAGCACATGACCAGCTTCCATATATATCGAGATTTTTTTTTTAATCCCAAACTGATAAGGCAACTTACGACGACGAGGGACCTTGTAGGTCTTGGAGTAAACGCGGCTACATCGCAGCAATTCGAGTTAGAAAAATGCGACATCTCGAGATCTCATCGTAGACTGTATACTCACGGGACGGGGGCCATGACTGCTGATTGCGCGTTGTCGCGATGTTTGTCGTGCTACCGAACTTCACAAGAATCGTAGACGTTCAGGATGATGAAGAAGCGTTTTGGAGATGGAGACTAAGCGAGCGAAGGTGGACCCGCATCCGGATTAGTGCGAGGGCTAGCCCTCGGCGGCGGAGAACGGTCACACTAACTACCCGAAGAAGTCTACACCATCGCGACGGGCGGCAGAGTGAGGCACTTTTTCGACGTCGACAAGTTCTCAACACCAGCACCACCAACACCGCCGAAATGGGTCACTCGCACGGTTTGAGAGCCGGTACTCGGGTATGTCGCTATATGGAGGATTTTTGCATCGCCAATTTTCGCTGGTCGGGACGCACGCGCTGACCAAATTATCGTTCAGTATGCCTTCAGCCGCAACTTCAAGGAGAAGGGTCAGATCGCCCTGTCGACCTACCTGAAGACCTACCGGTACGACCGATTTTTTCCCTCCGCCGAAAACACCGGTATATACGTGATTTGCAGGATCTGATAGTTTTGATATAGGGTTGGCGACATCGTCGATGTCAAGGTTAACGGTGCCGTTCAGAAGGGGTCAGTACAATTCCGCCCGATACAACCGTGACGAGTCCGAACAGAACGACTTGGCTTGGTTGCCTCCGCCAACATGATCGAAATGGTTTTTGCTGAGATATGGAATAGTATGCCCTACAAGGTCTACAACGGAAAGACCGGTGTTGTCTACAACGTCACCAAGTCCTCCGTCGGTGTCCTCCTCTACAAGGTCGTCGGCAACCGCTACATGGAGAAGCGCATCAACGTCCGCATCGAGCACGTCAAGCACTCCCGCTCCCGTGAGGACTTCATCAAGCGCGTCAAGCAGAACGCCGAGAAGAAGCGCCAGGCCAAGGAGCAGGGTGTCCACCTCCACCTTAAGCGCCAGCCCGTCGGCCCCCGCGAGGCTCACACCGTTGAGGGCTCCGCCCCCGAGACCATCACCCCTATCCCCTACGACACCCACATTTAAACGAATGATATCGGGTCGTTTGCGGTTGTTTGGTGTTTCTGGGTTTTACATCTGGGGGTAACCTTCGCATTAAGATGAGATGAAGCAGGGTTCCCGGGTGTACTAGCACACCTTGATCTTGTGCATAGATTCCCCTGAATGAAAGAAAAACAAAATTTTCATTTCCTTGTTCAAAAGCATTCCAACACAATCTTCGCCCATCACCGAGCTGCCATGGGTTTATTCCGCACGTCTTCATGAGGACCGCCGGCGGTCGCCCCGCCATCTTACAAGACGAGATCCCACGACTTCCACACCCCCGCACTTATTTCCGACGTTCTGCTCTCTTGGAGATCAATATCGTCTTGGTCAAGTCGTCAGATTGCCGACGTCCGATCTTGTGCTGGGATACCCGAACCGCTGCATGTTCAGTCATTGTACCGATACGCCCTGTAAGGCCAGCGCCTCATGCAAAGCTTTTCCAATCGTCTGCGCTCTCCATATTCTTGTAGTTCTAGAATCTGGCAATCTCGGTCCATGTAGTTACATTATAGCCCTGTCGCACCCACCGTTCATAGGGCAATGACCCTCGCACCAGTGATGTCACCCCGGGTCTCTTATCGGCGCCGCATCTCGCCGCACCATCGCCCTTATGTAGGCTAGATTAGTGGAGCTCTAATCATCCCAAACCCTAACGCTGTTAACCTCTAGTATGTTATATGCCATGGCTACATCATGAGGTGTGACTCTTGGGATCGCCGATCGAATCGGATTTGATCCGACGACGAATTTGACATCCCACTTTTGCAAAGCATTCTATGGGCACCTCATTGTCCCTCGTATGCCTTGTACTGAGTACTGTCCATCCTGATATGATTCGAAGCCATATGAATACTGCGGTGAATGCAATTTTTGAACATCTTCTCAAATGGGCTTGGTTCGCATGCATTGGACGAAAGACTCCATTATATTTCCCAGGTGGACGAACTCCTTGTGGATGAACTTCTTGTGATCGCAGGTCGACTCTTTGGTTTCTACTTTCAAGAGTAGCAAAGCGCTGGTGATCTGCGGTGATTATACAGATTTGATGTTTTGATAGCGTACGATGCCAATGAGTTATGAGGGGCCACCATTCGATCTGCTGTCGACCCGCTAAACATATTCGACGCAATGAGACCCGCGGCCGATTGGGATTGAGCATTTCGATGGTCTGAAAGGAGAAGGAGAATTAGTAGACTCAGACTGTGGAGTTCAACCAAGCCTTCATTGAGGCCTCGAGTTTCAGTCAATGCTCAGTAACACCGGCAGCAAGACGGCTGTTGTTGCAAAAACATCTTCCGACCGTAATGAGGCCTTATATTGCAGCTGGATCTGACCGCTTGAGTAGAAGTTCTGTCTGGTTCCAAGTGCGAAATATTGTCAAGATTATGAGGTTTAGGTTGCCCAAATGAGTCAACGGTGGTTGGTAGGTGTCACGATGGTAAAGCAACTACTTGAAATCGACGTCGGCCAGTGCATCTCTGTATACTGTGCGATGCAATCTTCTCGAGGGGGTGCTGTCAGTGAGCATCAATGTGACTGGTAAAGCGCGATCAACACAAACAGTGTGAGATGTAAGTTGCTGGCACTGGGGGCTGAAAGTCGTGTTGTAGCACAGAGTGAGTGAATCGATCCGATGCGGGCGGCAACAAAGGCTCCAACGCGGCTCCAGCCACAGGGTTTGCGGGAGGTGGCCGCGCTAACCGAAAACAGCCACCCTAGTGCCTCAACCTGAACCGTCCCGTCAAGTCACCGTCAATGACTGCAGCCATCACCCGATCATTCACAAGCATCACCATCTCCTCTATCGCAACCTCCCCTCCCTTAACGGGTCTGCCTGGGCAGCGGCTTTCACTTCTCACTCTACAAGCTCTCAAACGCCTGCCCTTCCTCCGCCTTCCTATCTTTCCCTGGCTTTCCAGCCATTCCTCTGATCTTGGTCCCCTCTCCGCCGTCCACCTGGTCGTTCGGAGCTTTTACGGCTCAAACAGTTGAGCTAGCAAGTCCAACCGTGGCGATCTCTGATACCTGACAATAGGTATATCTTCAGACCATCCCTCTGCATGCATCCATGACTTTCTGATCTCAGCCGCCTCTTATTTCCATATTTACCTGTTCAGAACGCTTGTCTAACAGATGTCGCAACCTGTTGGCCTCACAGACTCGAGAATTGTTATGGCAGAGCAGAGTAACCACGATGTGGTAAACCAAACCCTGTCGGGCGGCGATCCTTCGCCTTCCGACGTTCCTGCGAGCACCGCCGACAAGACACCTGTTGGAGGGGACGCGGGGGAGACGAAAGATACCGCTACAACGATACGAGCCGAGACGGGGACGCACGCTCCACAGGGTGAATACCAGACGGGTGCAGCAGCAGAACCATCAGGTCAGCACGGGAAAGGAGAGGGCTCTGAACAAATGCCGAGTGTGAGTGGCCAACTTGAGGCGTGTGTCGCGACCTACAGTATACTGAATGAGACCCAGGACACTTTGAAGTACGCTCCTGTGCCGGTCGCAGCACGAGCGCTAGAAATGAATGGTGTAACATCTGGGTCGGATATTGGGGAGGACACAGCTTCGCAAGGAGGTTCTGAGTCCGACGCAAGTCGTGCTGAGAGCAAACTCCATGCGCGTGCCGGTTCAAAGAAGCCGACGTCATTTAAGCCTGTCACTTTTGCCAAATTTTCGGTTCCCAAGGCGCCTGGCACTCCTCCCATCAGCAAACCCTCCGAGAAAGGTAACTCGAATAAGCTTGTTTGTCGAATCTATGTTCTAACGGCCCACAGCCCCCTCCTCGACTCTGACAACTCCCCTGGGTACGCCGCAACAGACATCACGACCCCGATTGGTCGTAAAGTCCACTAGCAGCCTACGGGACTCGTTATCAAAATCAGGCATGAGCGCATCCAAAGCGGGTGGCAGCGGACCGGATCCAAATCAGGTTTGGAATAAGAATCGACGTAAGGCTTAAAGTACATGCTGTTATTAATCCTTTGCTAACATTGTTTTGCATCCAGCGGTTCAACAGACCCCTCCTAAACACCTGACTGATGAGGAACTGAAGCAACAATATGGCATCCACATGACTTCTAGAATCCAAGAAGACGGCGCGGGCACGGAATCGAAATGGGCAGATATCGACGACGACGAAGACGACTGGGCCCCTGAGACAATTGAATGGACTGACGGGACGAAAACGAACCTTACTCACCCGGAGCCTCCCACAACAGCGCCGATACCGAGTCAAGAAAAGGCAGTCGCAGACTTCCAAAAGGATTTCCCTCTGGTCGAGCAAGCTGCGCCTCCAAAAGAACCCCCGAAGCCTGTTCCAAATATTCCCAAAACCATAACGTCAGTTGGTCCAAACCCGACTGTCTTACGACTTGGAGCGAACGCCGAAAGACAAGCTAAGAGCGCTGGTATAATCGCGAAGGGACCAAACGACAAATCTCCCCTGCTATCGACTAGTCCGGCGCCACCTCCGGCCAAGTCACCCTGGGCTCCCCTTCCCCCGGTCGAGAAAGTGTCACCCGTGATGCCCCCAATGCAGGTTCAACCACCTATGCGCGTCCCCGTCAGGGAACCCCATGTTGCCGACGGTCTCAGCGGGGCATTGCCTCCCAAGGAGATTGCAGCCGATGATTTTAACCGATCTTGGAGAGAAATGCAGTCTGGAACACGCGAGCTTTACAACTCTAGATCGGGTCGTTACGAGCCTGTTCCTGACACCAGGAAAGGGCCATGGCGTGCTGAGCAAACCTTCCGCACACCATCTGTGCTTCAGAGACCAGCACAAGGCGATCAGGCTGGCCCGGCAGAGCCTTCCGCGGCATTCCAGACGCATCGTTCGAGTGGTCAAGATAGTGTGCACTGGACGCGCCGCCGAACATCTTCCAATGTCAGTGGTGGAAGCGGCAGTTTTGGACGTCGGATGTCGATAGGTCGACCTGACGTGGTTCACAAAGCATTCGAGTCTAGAAGGGGCTCTCAAGTCAATGGGATGCCTGATCCATCCGTCTTCGTTAGAGAGGCACCCAAAGACATTCTTCATCGTGAGATCTCTCCTGATCGACGTGGCTCAGGTCCTTACTCTGCGCGGGGTCCTACGCATGTTCAAGATAAAACTATCACTGCATCTACCGAAGTGAGTCAGGCAGCCGATGAGCAGACGACAGTGCCGCAGGCGCCTCAGGAAGACCCTGTAGCAATGCAAGAACGTATCATGAAGGAGAAAAGGATGGAAGCTCGCCAGCGGAGGCTTGATCAGGAGAAGGAAGAAGAAGCTGCAAAGCGTGAAAGAATCCGGCAGAAGCTCGAGGCGCTCGGTCCTCCACCAGAGAAATCAAAGTCTCTACGCAGAGAATCAGTCGACACTGGAAAGAATGAAGCTAATGCTCAACAAGCTACCGCACATGTGCTACATTCCCCTCCAAAACCTCCTGTTCCCGAGCCAAGTGGGGAACCCAAGCAGTATGGAATGATGAAAGTGCACCATCCCGACACCGTGAAGAAGCTCGTCGAGAGGGAAAGAGCTACAGAGAAAACTGTTGCCACAGCTGGTGTGCGACGCACATCTTCCCCAGCTCGTGAGCCAAAGCAAGAGGCGCCTTTGCCCAACGGGATGCAGCATAGCAACGATGCCCCGGCCCCGTCGTCTGATCAACTCCCAGATGCCAAGATTGACGAGCAGAACCCGCAGTGGAGGGGCAACATCAACCCTCCTAGCTCATATCTGCCGTGGTCACCGAATCCAAAATTCGTGAACACTGCCCCTCCAATTGCAAACCCCTGGAAGCCTCTGAGCAGTGATAAGACTTTAGGGAACGGAATCTTTGAACAGGGCCTTGGGGGTTTCCCAGCACGAGACATCTCACTCCGCAGTCACCTAGGTTTGGATCAACCACCCATTGCACCAGCACAAACTTTCTCCGCACCCGCGCGGTCTCCGCAAGAAACTACGTCGATATCACCTCTACCATCGCCCGAGGTTCGCCATGTTCCTTACGAGGTTATCAACCCTATTGGGCGGCCCGGCCCCATTGGTCCTCCCAGTTCGCAGCATACTCAACATCGTCAGCATGAGAACCGTGGTACTGGTACTGCAGCCTGGAACAATTTCCATGCGGTTGCTTCCAAGCGTGAGGCAGAAGAGAACGATAAGATTCGCCACGAAATGAGTGCAATCCCACAAGGGCCTTCGTCGCTTCAGGTTACATTCAATGAGACCTGGCGTCAAGTCCGCACCGGGGACCAGGCTGGACAGAGACAGGTGGTTGGAATTTCGAGATCGAACGAGAATAACGCGCCACTTGCAAACCCTCTTCCGGGGCTCGATCACCCCGTTGGCAATCTTCCTTTTGCGGATACGCACGCACGCCCACTTGGTAGTGTTCCAGTGCGTAGTTCACGCTTCTTCCCACAGGCCACGGAGACTCCTCGGAAGCCAATGCCTGATGAAGCTGAGTATTATCGAAGCCCTTCCCCACCTCCGCCTGAAGAAATGTCCAGCCATCCGGTGTACACAGGCGATTGCAACAGACCACTGGTCCATCTCCCAGCACCGAAGCCTATAGTCAAGCTCCCCCCGAAGATCGTCGCGCCTCCGCCACCGCCACCAACTTTCGCTTCAATGGTTGCTGCACCCCCTCGCACCGGCCCGCAACATGGTACGACAGCGACTTCCTGGCAGGAAAAGATCAATACATTGTTTGGCAAGAAGACTGTACCGGAGAGGAAGAATGCTCTGGCGGTCACATCAGCGACGAAGGAGCCTCTCGATGTTCAACTTCATATTGCTGCTGTCTCGGTTTCTCTGCCCTTCAACGTTGAGCTCACAGTCGGGGACGGCGAGATAACCGCAAAGCAGGTAGAGGAAGTTGAGGAGATGTTCGAAGATCGCGAAGCGGGGTCTCTGCCAGTTGTTCGAGTGCCAACCCACGCTCCTCCGGCAGCATGGCAAGCTGCTTTACCTCCCACGCAGTCGAAGCTACGAGCCAAGAACTTGAAGTCGATGCAAATTCATAGCATTGAGCCGTTTTCGGTTGGTTTCCCTGACAGAGACCCCTCCGGATATATTCGCGCTACGATTCGACTTCCAGGCGCTATTGTTGCGAAGACTGTCTCCCTTCCAAAGAAAATGGGAGCGCCCAACTCCCGGTCGCGCAATTCCACGACCTACAAACCTCGTAAGAACATGAAGCCACGTGAGACCTCCGGAGGATCGGTCTCGAAAAAGCCCACCTCAGCTCAGCAGACGAATGGCGACAGCTCTCCACGACGTCAATCTCGAAATGCGTCCTGGGGCCCTCGCACATTCAGTGGGTCCCAGTAAACTGGTTCTTTTGGAAAAAAAAATTTCGCTGGCTTTTGCTGGTTGCCAGATGTTCATTGAGCGTTCATTTCGGTATTGATGAGCTACGCCTGCGGGGGATTTGTTGATCGGTCTGGGTTCGGTCTGAATTCTTAGTACTCCTTTAATCTTCCTTTTCTTTTGCCCGTACAATATTCCCTGGCGCCATACCTTGTTAGTACCTATTTCAGAGTAAAATACTGATCTTCGAGCGCGGGATGGGATGTCGGCTTCTTCTCAATTGCTACCACTCACTCCCTTGCCATTATTCCATTTGGCATGAATCATGGATGTCCATTTCTTCATTCCTCTCTCTCTCTCTCTTCCTCCCTCTTTAATTTTCAACTTTCTCCGCATCTCTTTGTCCTGTATCATCTCCCAACCCTCCTCGACCTCATTCATGGTTTTCTGGGTCGAGTCCGCAAACACTCACCCATTATCTATCTCCCTCACCATCCATATGTTAACATTCAACCCACATTCTGCATCCACTCATCTCTCCCGCTCTTATACTCTTTCTCTCCAGCCTGAAACTCGTTTGCAACGACTTGGTTGCATGGAAAAAAGTCCTTTATCTAGGTTTTCCCACTCAGGCATGTTATTCTTCCATGACATGGTCTTTCCCAAGCTCGTTGAAGTGCAATGGCGAAATTGGGTTGCATATTGCTCTGTGCACACAAAGGAGAAAAGGGGGATAAAAAGGAGAAAATCGAGAGAGAGAGAGAGAGGAAGAGCGCACCTGCGGGTCCCTTGTTTGTTCTTTTGTAACCCCGTTCCTGAAAGCGTGTAATTAGCTTTTGTGTGTGTGTGCGCGCACGCTCCGAACGTGTGCCCCCATTCTCAATACCTAACAGAATGTTCTACTTGTGGTTCCTGGGACGTAGAGGATTGATGATATGGAATTTAGAGGGTTTAGATATTTGAAGAGAGGTTTGGGGGGTATCTTTAGTACTACAAACAGTTTACGGTGGTGAGTCTGAAGGGACTGTATATCTATTTAAAATTGAAGGGTGGGACCGAGCTTTCTGAACCGCAGATGCTTCGTAGAAGAGATACACCGGTTATTACTTGCGTTATTATTTTGGTTATCACCAGATGCTCTACGTATATTTGATTATTAATATCTAGGCAGTGTGGATGAGCCACTGCTACTTCCTAACTGATTGAACGTTTTAGAGCATTCAGCGAAACATCCTCTGTTTCCTTGCTCCAGAGAATATAAAAATTGTAATTTACACCGTCCAAGAAAAGAAAAGGCTGAACAAAAGAGAAAAAAAAACAAAAAAAGACCTCAGTTTCCTCCTCAACACCATGAGATCACCAAACAACCCGGAAAGAAACAAAGGCCAGATATCTTTGAAGGCAGCACCGAACTCCTGGGGAATAAATTCGGAATTGAAGGAGGGAGGGAGGAAGAGTAGGGGGAAGGGGGTATCAATCCTCGCTTAACTTGCAAGCTAGGAGGTCCTGTGTAGATGATTGACGCAGACAACCTTATGGCAAGGCCAGAGCACCACGCCCACCTTACCAGTTCCACGTGCGCGATGATGCAGTGAAGACCGGCGGCTTCCATTGCAGGCGGGCGGGGTCGATCTTACGAGCCCCCTTAAGCTTCTCCTTTTCAAGACGCTTCTTGTGCTCTTCGACGACTTGGTCGGTGAGGACTATGACCCAGTTGCTTTTCTGTAAGGCAGATGATCGTGTTAGTGGGTATGTTGTTGGTTTCGGACGGTGGGCCGGTTGGCTTGCTGATATAGGAGCGAGAGGGGGAGAAGGGGGAAGGGAACAGAAAACGTACATGATATCTAAGCATGTTGAACACGACCAGCGTTTCATGGACATCTTTCTCAGTCATGGAGGTCTGCAAGGAAAGGTCATGTTCGCTGATGTTCTCCCGTCCAGACTCCATGAGGATCTCCACGAGCGTCTCTCGCCAGTATTGTCGGTAGCCCAGCAGGCCCAGATCACTGAGGGGTTTCTCGGGCGAGCCCAGCTTGCCCTCTCGCTTGCTCAGCTCGTAGCTGAAGGAGATCAAGAGACGACCGTAGCCGCGACGCTGGTACTGGGGTAGAGTGAGGATACAGGCCAGGTTGTAGCCCTCGGCGGAATCCTTCTCCTTCGAGAAGTAGCCGACCAAATGGCAGCCGGTCTCGTCGCGGCTGCACATGCAGTAGAACAGAAAGGGGTCGACGTCGTAGTAAAGCGTCTTGTGGTCCAGGAACAGCTTGCTGAGCAGACAGAGGTTCCGGCACCAGGTGCGCTGACGGCGGCCGTCGACCTCGAAGAAGGAGATGTAGTCGTCCCGGTAGATCTCGTTGCCGGGCGGGTGCACCAGCGTGCACTTGGAGCGGTGGCGCTCGAACGACCTCTTGTTGTCGAAGTACCCCAGGCAGAACTCGTCGATGTACACAATGTCCGCGTCCGAGAACGAGGCCGGGTAGGGCGAGAAATACCACGGCTCCACGTCGTACTTGCCCATCTGCAACCGCGTCAAGTTCCGCACGCGGTGGATCTCCGTGGGGTTCTGCGTCATACTGCCGCTGGTCCGCAGCCGTTCGATCTCCTCTTCGCGGGACATGAGGCCCAGGGCTTTCTCCTCTTCCTTGACATCCTTGGAGAAACTAACATCGACCATGTCCACGTCGTCGGATTCCGGCTTGGGCGTCCCGTCCGCGGAGACGGCCTCGGAGCCGCCGCCGATGGAGAGGTTGGCCGGCGTCTCATCGCCGCGGTTCTCTTTCCCGCCCGCCTTCGAGGGACGCTGGGCTTTGCCGACGTTGGCGTTCTTCCCCGTGAGGAGATCCGGGGTCGCTGATACGTCGCGGCTCTCAGCTCGGGCGCGTTTCTGCGTGTTCTTGCTGGGAGCTTTGTTGCCGGGGCCGGCTTTCTTCTTCTCCGGTTTCTCTGGCTGGGGCCATTCAACTTCATGCGACAGATCGATGCGCGACGAGGCAATCCACTCTGTTGTCATGTCAGGACTTAGGAGCGGGCCCACTCTAGGTTCTCAGAACACTCACCATCCAGACGCTTGTTGAAATCAACATAATGGACACTGCGCAGCTGCTATCAGCACGGGGATCAAGATGCAACCAAGTGCAGCGGAGGGATAGAGTGAGCATACTAAAAGGAAGGACCATCTTTTCGCTGCTTTATAGACAAGATTTCCGCTTTTCGTAACTCTCCATCCTAGAAGGGGAAGCAAGTCAGCTTTACGTTGCCGGTCGAGGCTTGTAGTATACAGCCAATCACCATATCACGTGATGATGGGCCGCTTGCGAAAAGTGAAGCGCAGGGAAATTGCGACAACTGACTTTCTGTACCATAGCTTTTACACCGATCCTAGCACTCTGATCAGTATTTCCGACCGAGGAAGTCAAGGTTGAAAACCTTGAAACAAGCATGCAAATAATTATTTGATCGCTTACCGGATGGTATTGAGGGTGGCGAACCCTTTCTCAACGGGGTCCGGTGTGCCGGTTTCGTCCCTGCCGCCCATGGTGCTCGAGGGACGAATACTCTTTCGATACAAGACAAGTTCTTAGATGATAGGACTCAAGGGCACGAGTTTCGTGATGAAAACGCGAAGGGGTTTGATAGGAGGTGATGGGAGGAATCTCCGTTGCGAATGCGCCGGAAGAGACCGCCTTTGAACTTTTGCCATCCGCTTTTGGTTCATCCCCAGCTTGCCTGCTTCGGTACGTTGCTTCGGTTCGCCTCCAAGCTATGGGATGCTACGTTTCTTACATGTGTGAATACACAATGCATCTAGAGCAATATGAACATTTACTGCACATCAGCCATATTAGTTATGCATACTGTGCTGCAAACCAACTTCTGTAACCGATTCCATGGTGTGCGCAGTTGAAATCGCTCCGCGCATTCCGGGGGAGAGCGAGGAAATACTATACAAATCGTACATGTAGGGCATGATTAAATTTCGAATAACCAAGTCAAACGTCAATCTAGGTATTCTTGTTGGGGCCTCAATGCCAGCCGTTCACCATACCCCCGGTGCCTGTCACCAGCTCATCCAGCTCGTCCTGCCTGCTCTTGTAGAGGTCCTGCGCTTCGCGCTCCCTCCTCATGACGAAAGCAACATCATCTCGAAGCTTCTCCAGCCTTCGCGAGATCGCCGATTCTTCTGAAATCTGGAGAGTTCGGAAAGCATCTAGTTCATCTTTCGATCTTTGAAGTGCATCGCTGGCTTCGACGATCTTCGTGCGAAGCGTTTTCGCCCGGTTCTGATAGCCACCATAGTGTAATGCAAGCTTCTTCTCCAGCTTGTTGCCTTGCTCAGCTGTGGCCAGCAATGAGGCTTGTTCGTTATCGAAAGCGCTGATCATGCGCTGCTCTTGTTGGAAGACGTCTTCCTCCTCGTCGGTATAATTGGCAAGGCCAGGGAGAACATCTGAATGCTTGTTTGACCACTGCTCATCAAAGTTCTCTTGCCACTCCTCGAGTTTTCCGGATGCCGAGGCTTCCGCCGCGACAGCTGCACGGGCCTGCTCAATCGAACTGTCGTCAAGTCGCTCCAGTTTCCGTGCCTTGCCCTCCACTTTAGCGCCGGGAACAGGGAATTTGCGGGCATCGTGGGCGATCAAGAGAGCGGCTTCCTTCGCAATCAATCCAGAGATGGGATCCGTGATATGTGATACTCGATCCAGCATCGCATCGATATCGAGAACGCTTGGTCGGGGTAGGGCGCGCTGATATACCTGTGTCTGACGTTTGAGTTCGGCCTGGGCGGCACGTTCTTTCCCCTCCCTTTCTCTCCTGTCACGTTCAGCCGCATCTTCTTCGGTATACTCAGCGGCTACCGAGGGTTCATTGGACTCTGTGGGGAGTTCTTCAAGCTCCCACTCCGTCTCTTTGGGTTTGGGAAGAGCAGCGAGCTTGCCGCGAATGGTCTGACGCGCATTCTTCTCGTACATCTTGATATCACGGGGGGTGCTGCCGATAAGCTGCCCGGCCTCCGCCTGATTGAGCGCAAAATGATCTCGAGGTGTCCGTAGCGGAGTAGCGCCGGGGCCGATACCACCGCGCATAGGTGTAGCACCGACGCCGTTGGCTTGTCGGAATGGGGTGGCCATAGGGTTGGGAGTAACGATTTCCTGGCGGCGAGGGGCAATCCCATCGAACCCAGTAGTGGCCCCGCCCTCATGAAGCGGGGTATTCTCACCACCTAACAGAGACGACTGAGTCTCGGTGAGAGCCTTGATATTTCGGATTTCGTTTGCGATGTGGTCCTCCTGCGGGGGTGCTCTGGGTGTCCTGATAGGTGTCCCACCAACAATCGCATTGTAGTTACCGAGTAGGCCTCGAGCTCCCTCCTCATCGCCTGCCATCTTACTAGCCCTATCACCCGCCATGCCCATCTTGATAATGTCTTCCATCTCACCCTCGCTGACCTGGGGGCTCGGAAGCACGAGCGCCCTCCGCTTGCTGCTCTGCTCAGCCTCCCTGATCTTCTGCATCTGACCAGCACGAGCGGCAGCTGCGAATGCGGCGGAGTTGCTATTCTTGTCGTTCTTCCGTTTCTTCCGTTCCGCGTCTTCGTCCTGATCACCCTTCCGTTTGTTCGCTAGCTGTTGTTTGCGAGGATCGAACATCTCCCGTTGCCTCTCGTTTCGACCTTGTTCATCTGTGGTATCGTAGAAGCCAGGTGCCGCAGGCTTCTCAAAGGGAATGTCGGCGTTGTAGTCCATTTCGCCCTTCTTGCGAGTAACGACCTTGATATTAATGCCAGCATTTTTGAGCTCACGTCGTTTCTGAAGGACCGCCAATCGTCGCGACTCTTCCAGTTGTCGTTCTCTGGCCTTCCGCTTGGCCTTCTTTCCCTGTGTGTTTGCTAGACGAGCACGCGCTTCACTCAGCATCTCCTTCTCATCTTCATCAAGGTCGATCGTATCGGGCCGAGCGGGTTTCGACTCCGGGTCGGGGTCCAGTTCACCGGGCCTAGGCAGAAGTCAGCAATTTGCACTGCAGGATCGTTATTTTAGGAGATGGTCACAGAATCATACCGTAGTCGGCGGACGTCATCCGCACTGGGGGCAGCCGCCTCTGCACCGGAAGGACCTCCCAGGCCCAGCTCATCGTTCTCTCGAGCTTCAGCCTCATCCAGCAGCTTCTGATAGCGCTCCAAGCATTGTGTTGCCGTTCGCCCTACAATGGGCGCAATTGTACGCCATTGTGTGGGCATCAACTTGGCCAGATGCAACAGCTTCTCATCCTCCTCCCGAGACCATTCGACCTTGCGAATCCCAGGATCCAGCCATTCCACCCACCGCGCCTTGCATTGCTTGGGTGTCTTCCGTGCTAAGAGAGAGGATACGCGAGCCCACTGGTTCATACCATACTTGGACACCTAGGAAAGTGGTACATTAGCATTGCTTAGAGCTCTACAGCACCACGTCTATCGATCGGAAACGGGAAAACTTACCGCCGCACGAAGCACCTCATCCTCAATGTTGGTCCTAGGTAGTACGTTAGCTGGGGGTTCGGCGACAAGAAGAAATGTAGCAATGGCTCTCACCAGACACCTCCTTTGACGACGGGCATGGCTGTTCAGAGTCCGGCGGCTCACAGGAGCGAGCCAAGGGAGATACAATAGCAAAAGAATCTGGAAATGGTCTCAAAGTAATGCGCAGGGTGAAAGGCAAGTGGAACACTGATGTCCACGCTGGGTCTGCCGACGGGGAATCAACGCGGTGCAGAGCGAGAGATCAAGTCCTGAGGCGGGCGTTCGTCACTTTGCCCGCGATAGCCGCGCAGAGCCTTAGCGCGCGACAACTGGACTAGCGTTTCCTCCTCCCCGCGCGACCTTATGTAAGCGGGTCCAGATTTTTGGTCGGAAAATCAAAATTTAGGATGCCGCAAAAAAGATAAGATTTCACAAAGTCATATCTCCGTAGCAGAATTCACACACGATGTCTGCTTCTACTGAGGCCCCCAGGCAATTCAGCCAGCCATCCCGCAAGGGCAAGAAGGCCTGGCGCAAAAATGTTGACATCACGGAGGTTCAAGAAGGCCTGCGCCTCTTGAAAGATGAAGAGATCAAAGGGTACGGGAATCTTATCAGGTTTTCTTTTTGGTCTTATTTGGAGCCTCGCTAACGTGCCGTTTACATCTAGAGGTGTTATTGCGGAGAAGCCCTCGGAGGAGCTGTTCGTAATTGATACTACTGGTTCAGCGGAGGTCCGCAAGGCAATTCAGAAAAAGCGCAAACTTCTGAGGTCGGAGGAGATTATCGCACAGCGCTCTGCGATTCCTGCTGTGGACACACGCACACGGACGAATTCGAAGGTCACTGATGGGGTTCTCGAGCCGAAGAACAAGAGACAGAAGGCCGATTGGGTTACCCGGAAGGATTGGCTGCGCTTGAAGCAGGTGGCCAAGGAAGGCAAACCCGCCAACAAGACCGAAACCGAGTTATACGACCCCTGGGCTGATGCGGAGGACACCACTCGCTATGAAGACCCCAAATTCGATTTCCTGGAAAAGCCCAAGCAGAAAGTCGAGCCCGTTACCTTGAAGCACGCTCCTATCTCCCTCGCTGCGAACGGCAAGCCGATCCCCGCCGTTCGCGCCCCGACTGCCGGCACGAGTTACAACCCCACATTCGAAGACTGGGACAAGCTTCTACAAGAGCACGGTCAGAAGGCAGTCGAGGATGAGAAGAAGCGCCTGGAGGAAGAGCGCAAGGAAGAAGAAAGACAACGGATGATCGCAGAGGCTAAAGACGACGACGGTGCGGTAAGGTCGGATGACGAGAGTGCTTGGGAGGGCTTTGAGAGCGAATACGAGAAGCCTGAATGGCTGAACAAGAAGCGTCCGCAACGGAAGACCAAGACTGAGAGGAACAGGATCAAGAGACGCAAAGAGGCCGAGCGGCAAGCGAAGTGGGAGGCTCAGATGAAGAAGAGACAAGAGCAATACGCGCGTGCCAATCTCACTCCCGAAGAAATCGAAGCAAAGGAGCTTGAGCTTGCCGAGCAGTCGGAAGACAGCTCTTCTTCGGACGAGGAAGGTGATGATACTGTTCTGCGCCGCAGACCTCTCGGAAAGCTACGGTATATCGCACATCTCCCCTTTTCCGTTACCTTTCTGCTTACTGACCTGATAACAGTGCTCCCGAGAAGCGTTTGGAGGTCGTGCTACCAGATGAGCTTCAAGACTCGTTGCGTTTGCTCAAACCCGAGGGCAACTTGCTCGATGACCGATTCCGGACCTTGGTTGTTCAGGGCAAGCTGGAGGCTCGCAAACCAGTGACACAGGTCAAGAAGCCCAAGAGGGAGATTACGGTGAAATGGTCCCACAAGGACTTCCAGGTTCCAGGCTTGTAAATAGATTCCCTTTTTTGGCGTTTTCATGCGGTGGATTTTAAAAGCAATTTCACATAATATGGGTCAAGCTACAACGAGAAATCTGTATATGCCATTATCATACTTGATCATAGAGACTTTATAAGCAATTGAGTAGGTACGTACCGTACTTTTGGAATCCTGGTGGGCTGGCTGATATGGGCGGGCAATATCGATAAGCCCCTGCCTGCAACAGCGATCGAGAACTGACATGTGGATCCTGTTCCAAAAATTTAGTGCGGGAGGCAAGGCCGGTTCAGGAAAGTTGCCGGGCCAGCCTAGTCTGCCTCCGCAGCAACTGAATCTTTTTTTTCGTTTCCGGATCCCCTCTCTCCCTGCCATCCTGACCAGACCACAATGCAATAGCGACTTGGTCTGATTTTGGAATGGACTTGAAAAACCTCTCCAGTAATTGGAAGAAACTCCAGGGGACGTTAAAGCAAAGCAACGCCTCCTCCTCCGCCACCAAGCGCAAGATCTCGGACCGCGAGACGCAAAATGCTACAGTGAAAAAACGCCGAACCGACGCAGCCGACGGGAAACCGAAGATCGAACGGAAAAAGGCCCTCATCAAGAAGAAAAGCATGTCGCAAAGCACCCAAGATGGAGGTCAAGAGGCCACCGTATCAGACAGCTCAAAGCCAACGTCGCGGAGGAATTCCGCCGCCGCATCGGTCGTGGAATCGAAAACTTCCAAGGTCAATGAAGGCCGTTCACCAACGTCAGTACCGTTTTGTTGATTCTTCTTTGCCGTATTTGCTCGCCTTGGACATAATTGCTGACTGTAGACTAGTGCTGAGCTAGGAAAATACGTTGCGATGGATTGCGAAATGGTGGGCGTCGGCCCCAATCCGGATAACGACTCGGCCCTTGCGCGTGTCAGTATTGTCAACTTCAACGGCGAGCAGATTTACGACTCATATGTCCGACCCAAGGAGATGGTCACGGACTGGCGGACGCATGTTAGCGGTATACTGCCGAAGCACATGGTCAATGCGCGGTCACTCGAGCAGGTCCAAAAAGAGGTTTCGGAAATTCTCAGTGGGCGCATACTCGTGGGACACGCGGTGAGCAACGACTTGGATGCTCTGCTGCTGAGCCACTCCAAGCGCGATATCAGAGACACCAGCAAACACCAGCCCTACCGAAAGATAGCTGGCGGAGGCTCCCCTCGTCTGAAGATGCTGGCTTCCGAGTTCTTGGGCTTGAATATCCAAGATGGTGCCCACTCTAGTGTTGAGGATGCGAAGGCGACAATGCTCCTTTACCGACGGGACAAGGACACATTCGAACGAGAACATTTGAAGAAGTGGCCAGTGCGCGTGGTAGTCGAGAAGGAACCGGGTGACGATCAGAAGAAGAAGAAAAAGAAGAAGAAGAAGACCCGTAAGAGGTGATTTCAACAATGTCTTGATGAGTCGGCAAGATCTATCTGTCTTAAATATACCCCAGCTTGATTAAGTTACAAAGCTACTCAACATCTGAGGCTTTTCTGAGTATATAGAATATGAACAAACTATACCTACTACACGTTACTTTCTCCTGTACTATGCGATACGGCATGGGGGTGCAAGATCTACTATGGTAGTCTAAACAAATGAACTCGGGTGGACAACGGAAAGACACTCCGCTCCCGCTCCGTTCGCCCACTTTACGCGGGCAACGCGTCGCGTTTTCTGGGTCGAGCATACAACCATCATCGAAGAAGATAATAGGGACAATCAGACATTGCTATCTAAAAACAAATCTCCACCATTGTCGAAGTTGGTATTGAAACTTTTCTATACCTTGTCAAGCACCAGTCACTGCAAATCACATTAGCACCTGGCAGTCCTTTTTCACAAAGCAAGCATGTTCGCCATCCAGACAGCGCCAAAGTCCTCTGCGACTGAAACCCAAACGTCAACGGACCAGTTCACTCCAAACATCCTCCCCTGCAAAATCCACTACGACGGGCCCGTGAAGACATTGAATCGGTATTGGGAACCCCAAGCCGACGAGAAAGGTAAAAGTCGCAAGCCAGCTCCTCATACTCGCAAATTCACTCGCTCATTGATGAAATACACAACAGAGAAAGACGTCCAGATCGCTTATTTCCGCGGTCGTAGGCTCAAGGGTCGACGGGTTGCTATTCCAGAAGGCTACAAAGGTGTGGAAAACCAAAAGATCCTGCGGAAATGGTTTCTTTCCCTGACTTGCCGGCTCATAAATTCTTTAGGCGTTATCGCAACAAGCACAGACCGTGTATTGCCCCTTTCTCGCAATGAAAACGAAGCCGATGTCGAGGAAGTCCAGCCGGAGGAGCCGGTCAAGATTCTCGAGAAGCAGGGAACTTTCAACGAGTATATGGTCTGGGGGCATGAGTTGGTACCCGCGGCGGACGATGCCTTCGTGAAGGGGGTGGAGGAGTGGATCAAATTGGCTGAAGCGGTATGTGTGGATGCAGTTTCTGGCCCATTTTCTGCACATACTAAAGATCTTGTTGTAGATGCACGGTCAGCCCAGCAGTGAACCGAAGCCGTCTTCTTGAGCGACGCCTCGAATATCAGCTTGGAAAGGATTTTCGCCTACCAACATGAGGCAAACGAAATCAGCTCTCATCGCAGCGGCGCCAGCTTGTCCCACGCCCGGATCCTTCACCCTGCGCTCGGGGTGAACCCGGCCATGTTCGTGAAGTGGTTCAATCACTATTCCGCGGGCGCGCCAACGGAAAGCATGACGGGTATAATGGCGTAGAAGACGGCGGGCATCAGTGTAGACGATATAGTCCGTGACATACGGCCGAGACACGAATGAGGGCAGCCTAGGATTATGTCTAACATATAGATCTTGTTTTCGGGGGAAGGGAACGCACACACCTACGAGCATCACGGGTGGGGAATATATATACTTAGGTTGCATGGGCCTTTTCCGCTTAGACTCATTCTATATCCATGAGTATATTCGCATTTTTTATAGACAACTCTAAATGCCACAATGAGAAATCTATACGACTAGACATTCATACATAAAGTAGAGGCTGAGTTCACTGTAATAGTAGTCAATGGATCTTCGCACACGATCCCTGAGCAATTGACAAGGTTCACCGCCAACACAATTCTGCCCAACGAAGAATATCTGGGGTAGACTCATCAACAATGACCTCCCTAACAACCACACCCCAATACTGACATTCCTGCAAGCCATTTCCCACAATGGCCAGTACTACGGACCGTCCTGCCCCGGAGGCTCTGATCTCCAAGTTCGAGGTCGACAGGTTGCTCAAGCAAGGTACTGTACTCCCCAAACCCCTCACCTGCGGAGCTCGCCCCTCTCTCTCAAAACGCACCATCAGATTACCTGAATGTATCGTGATCCCATACTGTTGACTGACCCACCTCCAACCGAACTACAGACCAAAGCGGCCGCCGCATCGCCATCCTCGGCGCCATCGACGGCCAACAGGGCATTCTGACCGCCGAACGCGCCGCCTTCGCAACCGAGACGCCCGCCGTCCTCCGAGCCTTCCACGCCGCGATCACGCACGTCACCAACCTCGGCGACAACGACATCTACCGGTGGTATCTGGCGTCGTCCGGCCCGGACGCGGGCGGACAGCAGCCTCCGGACCTCAAGCTGAACCTCATCTGGCCGTGCACGGAATCCCACATCAAGAAGTACTCGGAGCAGGTGGTTCGCATGGTCACGGAGACGCCGGCGATCTACCGCGACCACGTCCGCCCGTACATGCGCGCCAAGCGCGAGGAAGGGCGGCTGAACTGGGTGTTCAACATCCTCGAGGGCCGGACGGAGCAGGAGGATGTGATCCTGCGTGATGAGGGGGGGCACCACGATGGGGCGGCCGACGACGATGCCAACGATGATGGGTTTCTGATGCTGCCGGACTTGAATTGGGACCGCAAGACGATGGGATCGTTGCACTTGCTGGCTTTAGTGCAGCGGAGGGACATCTGGAGCTTGCGCGATCTCAAAAAGAGACACATCCCGTGGTTGAGGTATCTGCGGCAGCGGCTGCTCGAAGGCACGGTGAAGATGTATCCGGAGCTGGAGCAGGATCAGTTGAAGCTTTATGTGCACTGTGAGAATAGACTCTCTCGCTGTTTTCTATGTTCTTTTCGGTTGGACGATGTTTTGCTAACACCAGTCACTTGACCTGCAGACCAGCCGACATACTACCATTTCCATGTCCACGTCGTCAACGTCATGCTGGAAGCGGGCGCGACACAGGCCACCGGGAAGGCTTTTGGATTGGAGAATCTCATCTCTCAGCTGGAAACTCTCTCCGGTGACGAGGATGCAGGCCTGGCGGATGTGAGTCTGACTTACTTCCTGGGAGAAGCCAGCGAGCTGTGGACGAACATCTACGGACCGTTGAAGAGAGGGGAAAAGCCGCTGGTCGCATGAGATGAGGATCGCATAGGTCGACACTAGATATTTTATGAGCTAGAAATGACATGATGACAGTTTCTTTTCCTTGAATGTGCTCGATGCCAATAGGTTTAGTACTGTACTACGTATTTTTCAATTATTTATTTGTATTTGCACGATGACGTTTTGCCCGCCTTTCTCCCCCGAGACTTTTCCCAACCCCGCAACACCGAAAGTCAACCCCTCACCAACCAAACAAGCCATCTTCACTTACTCTTCTTCATAACGCTCTCCCACCCACACAACTTTCTACGCCCACGTCCAAACCAAGACTTGCAAGTGCGATAGATCTGGAACAAACCAACGAGATCGACTAATCACCATAACTCTCAAAATGGCCGACGACAACCCGGACGTGGAATCCACCAACAAGGCCTTCGTGCCCCTCGGTACGTTTACACACCCTCTCTTTCCACACAACACCAGCCAACCCAATCCCCCAAAATCCCCTATCTGCCAAGATACTGACCACAAAACCATCTTCCCCCCCCCCTAGAAAACAACCCCGAAGTAATGTCGCACCTAATCCACCAACTGGGCCTGCCCACGACCTTAGCCTTCACAGATGTCTACTCGATCGACGAACCGGACCTGCTCGCCTTCGTGCCGCGGCCCTCGCACGCCCTCCTCCTCGTGTTCCCGGTCTCCACGACCTACGAAACGGCCCGCCTCACCGAAGACCGCGGCCTGCCCGCCTACACCGGCGCGGGGCCCACGGAGCCCGTGATGTGGTTCAAGCAGACCATCCGCAACGCGTGCGGGCTGATCGGCCTGCTGCACGCCGTCGCCAACGGCGAGCCACGGCGGCAGGTCATCCGGGGCTCGGATCTGGATGCTCTCCTACAAGAAGCGGAGGGGTTGGATCCGGTGCGCCGGGCGGATCTGCTGTACGAGAGCAAGGCGCTGGAGAGCGCGCACGCGGACGCCGCTAAGCTGGGCGACACGCAGGCCCCGCAGGCGGAGGACAATGTCGATCTGCACTTTGTGGCGTTCGTGAAGGGCGCGGACGGGCGGTTGTGGGAGCTGGATGGGCGGCGGAAGGGGCCCCTGGACCGCGGGGTGCTAGGCCCCGGGGAGGATGCGTTGAGTGAGAAGGCGTTGGAGTTGGGGGTCCGGCGGTTCTTGAGGGTCGAGGCTCAGGGCGGGAATCCGGATTTGAGGTTTAGTTTGGTGAGTTTGGGGCCGAGTTTTGATTGATCCATTGTGAGGAAGGATTTGAAGGGAGGTAAGAGAGGGCTGGTTGGTCTGTTGGTTTCTTGCTTTCTTTTTGTTTTAAATGGTAACGCACATAGGTGGGCAAATGGGGAAGTAGCCTGTTGCCGTCAAGGGTTCAGGGACGTAAGGTGGTGGTGGTCCTGATACCTCGTTCACATATACACAGGGTCTTAGGTCATTGGCAATGGCTACTGGGAGAATGAGCCGTAGATAGATATCCAAACCCTCGATTATAAATACACAGACTGAGCTATTATCTGGAAGATCAAAGTCATGCCATGCCATGCCATGCTGTATTGTTCGGTCAACGCTCGACCCACCATTGCTCCGCATTGAACTTCAGAGCTTCATCCCCAACCGCCCACCATCCCGCCGTGAGATTGCGAGCAAATACCTCCAAAGCCGTATATCGCATTTCGGCATTGTCTCGAGGACTTTCGTCATAGAAGAACACTTGCTCAAAGACCTCGCGCAAATTCGGCTTTCGCGAATGAACATCCGGCACCGCCGCAATAACTCTTCGCGTGATGCCATCCTCGCCGGCTTTTGCTGCGGGATGGCCGTCGTCGTCCCGAGAGGCAGAAGCAGGAGGTCCTATTTCTGCCCTCTTCCTTCCGATCACCAGGATCTCATAAGGCTTCCGCCAGAGCGCACCCACCGGCGTGATGGGCTCGCCCTCCGTCGTCGTCTTCACCCACACCCACTCTTCGCAGACCGTCAGCCCGGCCCCCTGTATCGCGTCGTAGGCCGTCTTGCGGGCTTTCCCTGAGTTCGTGATCCAGATGGCTGCGAGGGCGCTCCCACGCCTGCCGGCCTGGGCCAGTTCAGCGGCCTCTTCTTCTTCTTCTTCTTCTTCTTCTTCTTCTTCTTCTTTCTCCTTGTTGGATGAGAAAGACTCCTGGACCAGATGGACGGACAGGACATTGCGAATGCGCTGGGTGAGCAGTTCCCAGTCAAGGTAGGTCTGAGTGTGGTAATGACCGCTGCGACGGACCGAGCGGTTGGCCCAGGGTGGGTCAAGCAGGATGAGGTTGAATTTCCGGTGGTGAGGGAGACCTGGGATGGGGGTCTCTGCGTGCGTGACGGGGGCTGTTGAGATCGGGATTCTGCATTGAAGGAAGCTTGAGAGCGGCGGAATGTAGAAAGAGTGAGGAACAAGGCATGATGATAGGTGATGAGGTGCACTGTGACAGCATCGCGTATCGTCCGCTGTCTTCCCCACATCTACCGTACAGGTCGCGTGCACCGAGGCTGATCCCAGCGACGTATTCCGGACCACGATGCTGGACAGTTCGGACATGCAGCTGAAGCGGTTCACGCCGGGAGACAAGATCAACGGGGGGTCGAGGGAAGCGCATGGTGCAGTGGAGGCAGCAGAAGCAGAGGTGATCGGCTCCATCGCAGCACCCTCATTCCCGGGGCGATTGCTGCGTGTTCGCCCGGTAGTGCCCTTCCTCTTCTTCGTGAGGGGAGCCTCGTCACCAAGGTCCCTATTGCGAGGTAAGTCCTGAGCGCTGGGATCTATCTCAACCCGCGGAAGACACCATGGAAATCCCGAGTCGAGCGCACGGCGTATCTGGGATAACCCCTCCGTTACCAGGGGTTCAAGGATTTCTGAATGCAGAAGTCTCTCTGCAAGAGGGATTCTTTCAAGAACTCTTGCCCGGGCCGCATCAGTTTTCGGCTCCGTACGAGTCGGATAGGGCACGCTCAGTGGCGGCGTTGAGAGAAGTCTTCGATCTTTGTCATTTTCAGGAGTAGAAGGCGACCTTGCGGAGGGCAAGAGCGCTGATGATTGAAATGGGGAGAGTGACTGCGCGCGAGCGATTGATGCAGGAATATCAATCAAGAAGGTGGTGGCCTGAGGGTCTTGATAGAGTATAGCTGATGGTGACGGTGCTATCATACTCGTACAGTACGTCAGCCAGAATAATCAAGTATAGTATGGAGTCGAGCAGTTGGTTGGCTGGATCACGCTGCAGTAATTTGTAATTTTCGCTTCCCCGACAAGAACCAACTACTAGGTTAGTTACACGATTATTACCCGCGCGGCGGCCCAGCCAAAAATAGCTTGCCGTTGACATGTGGTTTGGAGTTCATCTTCATTGTAGCTCAATTCGGCCCCTTCAACCACGCATGTACAAAATACAACATGTGAACACAAGACGCATTGAGGAAAGATTGAAAGATCGCAAGACGCTCTCTGCTTTGATACCCAATGTAGACTATAGTGAACAGATAGAGCCAACCTCCCCAAGGCGGTTGGGAAATCACTTAGATGCTTATGGACATAGGCGACACCACGATGCTTTCGATAAACAATAAACAATAACACTTTTTTCTCATATCAGTCCTTCCTCCATTTCCAAGACGATCCAGCGTCGGTCTAGGTGTGACAAAGGTCATTTCATGCATATAGCCATACTACTCTGTATCCCGGAAACCGCAAACGAAAGATCATGCAAAAAATAAAAAGAGAAACTTTATACATAAGGTTGAAGTTAATGGCGGATTAAAGCATCTTAGGGAATCCTCAATGCTGGAGGCAACCCCACATCAGCTTCATTCGCACAGGCGAGTCCCGGGCTTTCACATGTGCTGGGGATGGCTTGGGCGTCCACGCCGCCCCCCGGCAGACTGCGCCTGAGCTGGCTGTGCTTGGGCATAGAACTGTGAAGGGTACTGATACATTTGAGCAGTGCTCATGACGGGGCTGAATTGCTGAGGAGCGAAAGCCGCCTGATTCAACATCGAGCCTGGGTTTATTTGCTGGGTGGGAGGCCCGGTCAGGGAAGCAGCCTGAGTCTGCAAGGATCGGAGGTTGTCTGCTGAAGGAGCCCCACCCGCAAACCCAAAGTTGGAGTTTCCGAGACTTGGATACAGCCCGGACGGCGAAAGGCCACGGCTTTGCGCCGCCAGATAGGCCTGATACTGTAGCTGTTGCTGAGCCAAAGGCATCATGGGGTCTTGGCCAAATCCAGGTGCGTTTACCCCTCCGATCCCGCTAAGAGGGTTGATACCACCGGCAGAACCAAGGTTGTTCATTCCATTCATGCTGTAAAGGTCGTAAGCTCCGACACTGGGTTGCTGTTCCGAAGGCATAGGCCTGGTAACGTCCATGCTCTGGTTAAGCATAGTAGGGAAGGGCGCGCTGTATTGCCTCTCCAAAGGCGGCTGCGGAGCGTAGTTCGAGGTTGCCTGGCGAGAGGTTGGACGGTGTTGTTGCTTGTCCGCATTAGATCCGTGATCACGTCCGTGGTGATTGTCCCGAGCATTTCCACGCGATGATAGACCAACTTCATCCATCAGGCGTTTATATCCTTGACTGGGGGTTGCCTTCAGTTTGATAAGAACCTTGGAAACATTCTTGACAACCTCGGCGCGCATTGACTCGTCAAAGAAAGGTGTAGTAAGAACCTTGAAAATCAGAGTCGCTCCCGAAGTTTGGTCACTCAAAATTCTTTCCAACACCTCGTCACCCGGGCTAAAGAACAAGGCCTTCAGCACAATCTCACGGGCCTCGGGTTCATTTCGCTGATTGATAACCTTCAAGACGGTAAGATAAGCGACCTTATGGGTGCAGAGATGGACGAGATGAGGAACCAGCCTCGGTGCAAGCACAGTACGGCGGTGAGGGAACGTGCAAGTATCGAGGAACCAAGTGAGCAAAAGGGCACCGTTGGCATTCGTTGCAAGTTGCACACTGTGAAGGGCGATGGCCGCGGCAAGCATACGCTGCTGGTCCTTTGTGGCATGATGACTCTCAAGACAAGCCCGCATAGCCCGAGCACCGAATCGCCCCTGGGCAATCTCCCACATCCGACTTAGCATAGCCTCGAAAATGAAGTCGTTGAACGGGGCACCGAAGCGTAGACAGCACTGCAGTACGTAGTTTCCATACTGATCAAGGAACAGAGGTACGGTGTATGGCCGGAGAGCATCAACGATCAAGCCCATCTGAATTGGAGTCTTAGCGACATCAATGATCTTCTGGGCGGCCCAAGTTCCGTTCTTATGGATACCAATTTCGGCGAGGTGGGGGGCGATCGGCGCCAGCATCTGTTCCTTGGTTGATTCGGAACAGAACTCGAAAAGCTTTTGGACCACGGTATTGCCCAGATAGTCCGACGCCAATTCGGCAATCTCTGGAAGCATCGCAACTGCGGTCTCTTCGATTTCCTGCACTGAACAAGCACCATTGTCGATCCTCTTGCGGATATCGCGGAGGCGAGGGGCATCAAACATCCTTGTCTGGCTGGGTTCGGAAACCGAAGGGATCTCGTCCTCAAACGCATCAAACGAAATGGCACGTTGAACACTAGCAGAGATGTTCAGAGTATCATCTTCAGCAGCACCAAACTCTTGAACGATCTGAGCCATCTCTGGTTGGAGCTCCGAAAGAGCTGGGATTTGAGGGACAATGAGCCCGCCCTCGGATCTGGCCAGACCATCGGGCCCATTCATGCCTGCATTCGGATCCGGGGTGGGCGAGGACTGAGATCCATTGACCCCTGGAGTGCCACTTGCAGAGCTCCCAGGAACCTTAGCATATCCGATACGAACTGGGCCAGCACCAGGGAAGATCTCCTTGCCGTTAAGCAACGACTTGGCCTGGATAGCGCTTTCAATGCGCTCGAAGTTGACGAAACCGCAATTCTTGTGGGTCAGCACACGAGTGGACTCAATTTTGCCGTAAATGCTGAAGATCGCTTCAAGAGACGTGACCGTGGTTGAAACAGGGATGCTTCCAATCCAGAGTGCGCGAGTCGGCCCATCCTGATTGGTCTCATCAGCCATTTCCGCTGCAGGCCGAATGCCGAGATTGGAAGCATTATTGCCACCTAAATGCATCAGCTGTACAGCTTCGGACAGTTCATCGTATTCTCCGCTTTCCGCAATGTTGAGATCAGCCGCACTGAAGCTGTTTTCCAGACGCGATGGTGTAGCCAGGTAGTTGCGAATAGACGAACGCTGAGGCGGCGCTTCCAGAATTCCAGCTGTCCGTGCCCGAGGGCGGCTGGCAGATGCGTGATTGGCAAAGGCCTGCACAGCCAGGTTATGTTGATGTATCTGAGCCTGGGTTGCAGCTAGCTGAGCAGCTGTCGCGGCGGCTGAAGGCGTGACGGTCCCTGACGGGATTTGTGCATATCGGCTCTCATATTCCAGGTCTTCGTCATCCGCATACTTTTCCTTAGCATTCACGGAGTAGGAACGAATCCTGCTGTTGTTCTTCATCATCGCCAGTTCCGCAAGCAGCGGAGGAAGCGAAGACTGCTGCTGCTGTTGCTGCTGCTGTTGGAGAAGCATGTCAACCGAGGGCCGCACAAGTGTTGCTCGCGGCTGTTGCGGGGTTTCGGCAAGGCCCAAATAGTCCAGGGTTTTGACATCAGTATCGGCGAGACCGTCTCGAGAGAAGGAGGAATGACTTGGGGAAGCCGGGCCCTCAGAGGATCGGATGCTTGTAAGTGTCGTAGCCCGGTCACGGCCTGTTGCCCAGCTAGTCGAAAACAGAGACGGGCCGAATGGACCGGAAGTTCCGAGGTAATTTGCTCGCTGGGGCATAGAGCCAGCTCGGAGACGCGAGAGGGAGCCTGCGCTATTGCCGCCTGCGGTAGTTGCAGCCTTTGCGCCTGTATCAATGCCAGTAACCCCGGTCGGACGGAAAGGGCTGGTCGAAGGTGTAGGCCTTGAGGTCTGGGGAATGTATGGTTGTTGAAGATTCGCTTCATTCAGCGCACCGACGGGAGAGAATCTCGACGGAACGGTCCCAGCTCTGGCTCTTCGGGCAGTGCTATTGATCGAGCCGCCTGAGGTGGGCACCAAGTCGGGAAATCCTTCTTGGCTTGGGGACTCGGGGATATTCTCGCGCAGGGGGGTCGAATGGCCACTGGTTGGAGGACCCCAGATACTGGGAGAAACACCTTCCTCTGCTTGAATTTCACGTGCGCTAGAATGAAAAGCGGCTAATGTCAGTCATCGGACATTCGAATACAACGCTACTTCATCGCGGACGTAGGGACTGCCTACCGTTTCGAGTATAAACGTGCACCGAGTTCATGGGATGGGGATCCAGCCCCTAGCCTCGCACTTCCAATGGAGCCTGCAGCGCCATTCAGGCCGGTTGATGATCCGAACGGTGGCTTCATACCAGCAGACCCCGATAGATCGCTAGGAGAGCTGCGTCCCGTGCTGGTTCCCGACATCGGTTGGGTAGTTGGAATATAATTGAGGTTCATGTGGCCCTCGGGTCGTGAAACGGGTAACATTATGTATTATATCCCTCCACCTCAACAAAGGCGGACACCTAAAACTTAGCGCACTTGAAGATGATAATGAAGGATGGTGGTATTCGTCGGGATGGCCAAACTGCTGTTCAGTCAAAGAGCCAATTTGCGCGAATCATATGCCAGTCCGATTATTAGGGTGACGGAGAGAAGTGAAGCGATAAACCGCCGGAGTCCTGGGTAAGAAGGCGGTAAACAATCCTGCGTATAGGTCTGAGAATACTCGAATCCGCGATGGGTCGCTGCGCGGTGTGGATGTGCTCGTGGCGGGGTTCGGCGAGGACTGGTTCTGGAAGAATACGTATGCTCTAACAATCACAAAAGGCCAAGAGCAGGGCAAAAGAGGTGCAAAATCGTGAGAAGCTGTGCGTAATCCGTTATGAGGGGCCCAGTCGACGGGTATGACACTCGCGTAGAAATTGTCTTAGACCAGTGTCCAGATTCGATGGCCACGATCTACCGCCGTGATCTGATCTCAATGATTGATTTTCCACCAAAACACTCGGCTCCGCTCAGAATGACCGTAAAAACACGCGGTGTTGTCTGGACAAGCAAATCGAGCGATAGGGAGAGGTGTTGGTAGAAATCAGGAGACGAGAGGAACGGGAGATCCAAAAGGTCGGTCGACTAGAGGTGGCTGGAAATAAACTGCGCGCGTTCGGGCAGAAGCCTAAAAAGATACAAGAATGGAAAAGACCGGAGATTGAGTAACGATAAAGATGAATACGATGGCGGAAAGATTAAGAGTGGAGGCAAAGAAAAGGAACAATGGAGATAGAAAAGTGAAGAAGGGGATGGGGTGGGGAGGAGGGTTGGTTGATGTTGAAGGGAGAGGGGGAGGGGGTAAAGTAAAGAGAAGGAAGAAGAGAGAGAGAAGCTGTGGGTTATGGAGGAGGAGAGGAGTTGCTTGTTAGGTTAGGCGGAGAGAGCGGGAGAGACACAGCGCAGAAGAGGAAAGGATGGAAAAGGACGGGAGTTCACAGCGAGGAACGAAGAAAAGGAAAAGAAAGGGAATTGGAAGCTCTCGACTTTGCCGGATCCCCGGAAGAGGGCATGTCATATATTCGGCTTCGTGGTTGGCCGGCTCAACCGGTCTTGGAATTTATTGTTATTTGGTTATTGGGACGGAGTTATGATTCTTACTTCTGTCACTGCGGAATTCTCAAGGTGCCATCAAAGCTCATTGGGCCATGCTATCATCCAACGCAGTAAGTTGATCGACTTCAATTCATTGTTTTATTGGGATTGTTGGGTTTGTGGTGTTTGTGGCGAATCCCATACTTGGCAGGGCAGAGACCACCGGCTGTTTTGTACAGTAGATGGCAGTGTGTTTCACCTGATTTTCCTCCTGATTCCCGATTCCTGATTCTTCAAAGACATATATGAGCACACTTAATTCCCAGTAAGAGACGTTATTACCATGGCTGAATATATGATTAGCAGCAGGTAGTCTGGGGACAACACTACGGTACCCTCCACCTCCAGGATCGCCGTCTAATGACAATGAAGTTTGGCCTACAGCCCCTATAACTATGAAACATAGCACCAAGAGTGGTTCATCATGGCACCTAACAAGTACACAATATGATAGGCTGTTAAATCTGCGCCAGAAACCTAGCAGGGAGTACCAATGGCGTACTGGACATCTTGAAACCGAGGATGTTGATTGACCCCGACCGGGTGATGCTCGCCCTGAAACATGCTAAAACCCCGCATTCCAAGGTCCGTCTTCATGCGCAGTATGTTCCAATCAAGCTCGATACTACCTAGGATGGTATTATATAAAAGAAAATATTACCGAGTGCTTTGGCACCGCAGAACATGTAAAGGGTTCGACCAACAGATCCCTTTTCTCTGATGGCTTTATCCTAGCAGTGTGGTGGTTCCGCCATGCCGGGAGACCACGGATATAATTCTCGTGCGCCCGCAGACTGCGACTTATCCTTCTACTCAGTCGAGTATGATGAACAAATTATACTCAGATCTGCAACAGAAATACGCGGGGCATTGAATTCGGCTTCCCGCCTGAGACCTCCATATGCCACGCTTTCTGTAATGCATTAACCTGTACAGCATACCTATGATTGGTCTCGTGCTAGATTCGAGAAAGAACTTCATCATTCCAGACACTGCGGTTCCTGATAGTGACCAAACCATGCTAGGCACGACTGAAGGTCACGTTGAGGAGCTTTAGTCACCAATGAAGCCGATCCTTACGCTCAGCCACCGGCCCTGTCATTAGAAAGACAATCCGTGGGCACTATGATCAGTCAAGTTATCTCGGTACTCAAGACACTAAATTACCACTGGAGAGCTTAACCGTTTTAGTCCTTCTTGATGCTATTCGTAATGTGCTAATATGTATGTCAAAGACATCAATCCAGGAGAGGGAACGGCCAGTGGGACAGAGATACCACCGCCTCCCATATGCGGACGCCAACCTGCCCGCTTCCCTCTGTTGATCCTTGGGTGGGGAGGTGATCATCACCACAACTAACCAAAGGTATAGACTAACTACAGGTTAGTCAAAAAGTCGTCAGAGCACATCCATCTACAAGAGATTAACTCGGGATGAGCCTCCCTCTGGTAAGTGAGCTGTCCCTCTAACACTGATGCACAAGCGACAGAGGCGGAGATACAACATGGTGCACGGATACCCAGCATTGACCAGCTTCAAATATGGGTCGCTTCTGGGTGCATTGACTACCGACCCAGCGAGCTGGTGGACGCCTTTGTGGGACCTGTGGTGAGTATGATCGTGGATTTGATCATAGCTAGGCCTATGGTTATCAAGACTTTAGTATAAGATTCTCCATCCTTGATATTTACGGCCTCGCTAGTCACCAATTACAGCCACAGTACTGGCATCTTGAAATGCAGTAATCTGAGCATCGATGGATAATATATGTAGCTTGACAGACGTTCAATGTTGAGGTGCTCCCTGACCAGTCCTTCGTAGTCTTTGGGTTCTTTCATAAATAACGAGGTCGGCGGCAGTGCAATTATGATATTAGACCTATATTATATAGGATCTTCCCATCGCAGTTGCTGTAATCAAAGCAACCCAGCGCTACTTCAATCTATCCTCGATAACCTCAGGAGGCTCAGTGAGTGCAGCCCCGTGACGGCTACTGGGAATGAATACACACTGGTTCCATCTGCCTGGCCGCTTCAGCTGGACAGTCTGCCCTCTGGACCATTCCAGACTACGAAACGCATAGTGATTGTCGTGAATTAGCTGTCGAAAAAAAATACAAAGTTAATGAAGAAGATCAAGATACTCAAGTATCTAGTAGGAGCGGAGGCATGACTGATCGGTACCACCGATTAGCTAAAGCGAAGTTATACCAGCGCATACACTACGTTGGAGGATGAACCAGGCTACATGTAAGGACGAGCGAATGGTCCCCAATAATTGCAATATGCCAAGTAGAAGTCGCGTCACATGTATATTAAAATGGCTCCCTGGATTGCACTGTCCGATAGAGAGAGAGAGAGAGAGAGGGAACCTAGAAACCTGCATGTTCTTTTCCCCCTGACCATGGCCGGACGGATGCACGGCATCGCTCTTGTCACAAGAACGAGGAATCGTTTCGGACTGGCAAATTGCAGACACTGCCATAGAGTCGGCCAGTAATACACATCCCTAGCCACTCGCAGGATTCGGAAATCAGGTCAGAACGTTAATCTCGAGCTCCAGATAGCAGTGTAGCTAGTTACCTTCTCGGGAATATATGTTGATTAAGATGCAAGGGCTTGATGCCCTGAACCAATAGTGATCACTCCTTTCTGTCCGACTTCGTCATATTTTGGTAGGGAATCAAGAGCAATAGGCCCCAAATGACTTCACCTTTTTTCAGTATCATGAATTACTGGTAGTACTGTCAGAAGAGCAGAATATAAATCGAAGCAGCTCAAAATCTCAGGCTTGATATCAGTAGTTCGAAGCTAGCCTACAGCCAATAGGCTTTTACCTACAGGCAGTAAGTGTGGCACCTTTTTGATGCAGTGACCGCGGATGGTAAGCAGCGCAGCATACATAGTATCTGTACCTGACCCAAGAACCACCACTTCTACCGAAATTGACTGTTGTAAAAGCTCATTTCAGGTGTAGTACCAGGTAGACACGTGAGCTCCATTGAACTGTTAAGTTAACTCTGCCCAGGAGTCAGAGTCAAACCCAATTCAATTGTATTGAAACAAATACCCGTTGAGAGCCTATTGAATGTTCACTGAATCTGATCTAACCTCATGTCACGTGAGGCTATCGATGCTTGGGGCAACAAGGTTAGTGAGGGTGAATTTCCGCACCGCCTGCCTGCCTTGCCGCAGCGCAGCTGTCGGCACCACCAGTCGCATGATCTAGTCAAAATTTCTTTCTGCCATCACTTTTCTGCTACATATACTACCCAACCCACACCAGTGTCTCAGGAGAAGTGGAGACGCATGGCAGAAGTGGTGAAGCTGCTGTAAATTGACGCGCCTTAGCCGACTCGCGTCTTATCGTGGCTTGACGGTCGGCTTCTACTGGACGGACTCGCTTTACCTGCTCCGAGGGACACCTTTTCGATACACGAGTCTACGAACAATGGCCGACGAACATGAAACCCCATCCTCCGCGGAGGAGGAAACCCAGGTCGAGTCGCTTATCCAGGGACGCGCCAAAAGAAGCACCGCAGGGCTTCACATGTCGGCTCTTCTGGATGCTGCCGCAGACGACGACCTTGCACTTCTGTTTGAAGAAGTCGAAGACGACAATGAGTTCGCCGTGGATGCAGAGGAAATGGGCGGAGAGGAGGATGATATGCGCTTTGATACTTCGTCGGAGGATGAAGACGACCAAGGACCCAGCGCCAAGGACGACGACTTTGAAGGTGAACAGCAGCTACAGAAGGAAGAGCGGGCAGATAAGAAGAAGAAGAGAGCGAAGGACGATCTACGATATAAGATAGCCGCCAAGAGAGTCAAGATCGATCCCACCGCCGTGTCCGCAGTGCCTGCCCCCCGACCGAAAAAGAAGTCCGAACGCGTTTCGTGGATTCCGACCCCCGAAGAAGGGCCAACGAGGTCGTCGTCTCGTCGACAAACCATGCAGAACAAGGAACTCACGCATGCACGACTCAAAGATAGCGAGGAGAAGCGCATCCGTCTCATAGCGACCATGGAGGAGGCAGCGAAGCGGAAAGCTCAATTTAAGCCGAAGGAGATGACGCAGGCCGAACGTCTTGCCGAAGCTGAGAGGGTAGAACGGCACAATAGCAAGAGTCTCAACAGATGGGAGGAAATGGAGAAGAGAAAGGCCGAGGAAAGAAAAGCGAAGATCGAGGCGCTGCAGAACCGTCGTCTCGAAGGTCCGGTCATGTCATACTGGAGCGGTATAGCCACTTGGGCTGACGGTCGCTTAACGCGCGTCGGCAAAGTCGATATCACCCCCAAGCCAGAAAAGGAGGACACTACACGCAAGAAAAGCAAGAAGTCGGACAAAGAAGGGAAGAATGTGACGGAGCAAAAGCCGACCGAGGATGGTGCTACTGTTGAGCCTGCCACGCCGCAAGCAGCCCCTCCCGCTACCAACGAGGCCGAAAAACCCAAGGATTCAGTTGAAATTGCTGGAGGGGAACCTGTGAAGGGAAATCCCGAGCCCTCAGAAGTCCCACCAACTGATACCCGCCCCGTTCAAGAGGGCGATGCACCATCAGAAAGCAAAACTACCATTGCCGATAGTGAAGCCTCTCCATGTGCTCCCGAAGCTGCATCTGCATCTGCAACTGCACCTGCACCTGCAGAGGCTTCAGCCGCTGCCCCGGAGCAACCGTCCACTTCCGCGCCCGTAGAGGCGTCGGGTACCGAGAAGTCGTCAGAATTGCCTCCCGTTGATGTTGAGCTTAAAGATACAGAGATGAAAGATGCAGAACCACAAAATCCCGTTCAGGATACAGCTTCACCTGGTGGGGAAGCAGAAACCGACAAAGCAGAGAGTAAAGTCGAGAAACCTGACGCAGAGAAACCAGAAAAGGCTACAGAAGCCGCAGCTCAAGCTCCGCAGTCCTCGGCGCAACCCTCTGGCGACGAGACTTCTGCAGCCGAACCCGCAAAACAACCTGAGGTAGAAGTACCAGCTACACAGCCAAAACCCAGCGAAGCCGAACAACCTACAGAGGAAAATCTCAGCGATGGAAAGAAGGAACCTATTTCTGAGCCTCTTGCAACTACCGGCCAAGGGATAGAGGCAGTCGCAGCTTCGGAGGAGCTCTCGCCTACTGCAGTGCCGGCCGCTGCTGATGCACCTTCCCAAGCCGACTCACTTAAAGATGCCTTGGTCCCAACACAGTCTGAGAAGGATACTCCCGAGTTGCATGCTAATCAGCCAAATGTCGTCACTGAAGACGCACCACAAGTAGTGGTCCCTCAACCTCCTTCAATCATTGAACAAACGGGACGCAACCTGACGATCTTGGAAAACTTTGATGATAAGACGGCTCAAAGTCGCGAGTTCAGCATTTATTTCAATGCGAAAAAGCCTCCGAGGCTGACCAGTATGTCTACCTTCCCCTTGACCCACATGATGCATGCATTCTCCAGAAAGAAAACAAACACTAACAAGCATGATAGAGATCTCCTCATCCCTTTGTGTGATCACATCACTGCCCTCCCGCTATCGAGATCCTGACACGTCTCTTCCATTCGCAAACGCCTATGCGTATCACGAAATCCGAAACGCCGTGTCGCAAAAGTTTAGTTGGAGCCCAATGCTTGGGTGCTATGTCGGCCCAGCTGGAGTAGCTGCACGTGGAGTGCCGGCCAGATTTTTGGGCGGACCTGAAGCAAAGGAGGAAACCAAGGAGCTTGCACCATCGACCGTGGACGATAAGGCTCCCAACGATTCTCCTGCGACCAAAGCGAATGGGGAACCAAAGGCTCCAGCTGCAGCTGAGGCCTCGAAGACCGCTACTCCTGACCCTGGTTCGGCTGCTGCATCTACTCCCACCCCGGCGGCCACGGGAGATCCAATGGAGGTTGATTGATGATTGGATGGCAGCCCGAGCTGCCTCCAACTTCCGCCTTTCTACCTCAATCTGTATAACACTATGATTCATTCAATGATACCCATGTCAATTATTACAATATGCCTAGAGCAATTGCACCTGGCTGCTATAGCCTCATACACCAATGCTCACTTTACCACACGACAGTATGCTAGGGAAACAGATCACAGTCGAGGCGTGCTAGCATCCAGCTGGTCTACTGAAAATGTGCAGTACGTTAACTTATGCATACCATAGTTGCTGCCGCATCGAAAGGCAGCATTAAGGTGCCTCATGCATTGTGGATAGGTAGAGACCTGCCAACCAACCATCGGGTCACCATCAGTAATTTAGTGTAGTATTGCTGCCTCTGCTTTTCAGCTCGCAAGCAACTCGCCAGGAGCCAGCGTCGTAGAAGGATAAAAGTTAGTATCATTAAAAGCGCAGCGGTCCACATGCGACGTTCATAACGAATTTACCTCGTGTCCACACATCAACGACTCGAGGTATATACCAGACACAGCAAACCAACTGAAATCCATTGTATTCACCTTCACTCCACAACCATTGTAAACCTAGAAGCATTCAGCATGCTCGACTTAAGTACTCATCATCACCCCACAAGTCGTTTAGTGGTTCCACTGGTGGCATGGGCAAGGAACCGAGCCAGCCGTCCCCACAAAGAACCTACCTTATCTGTTGGTTGCCCTATACATACTGTAACTGTGTAGTCTAGTTGAGTAGTATCCTCGGCCCTCCTGCCCAACGTAGATTCTGCAGTGCAGTGCAGGGCAGACGCGCAGACACGCCGATTTGGGAGAGAAAACCACTGCAGGATCCTGTTCCGTACCAGTCGGTACACGCGGAAGGGTCAGTGATGTTGCATTGGTGCGGAACCCTCCCCCCTCTCCCCCTCTCCCCTCTTCCCTCCCCCCCGCGTCTGGGGTTGATTTGAATGCGGTCGAGGGGCAGCCAGAGAAAAGGGGTTCCTTGGTTATTCAATAAGATGGAAAGTGTTTGGAGTGCGAGATTTTCTTTTTCACCTTCTAAATGGATTCTAGCGGTTTAGAGTTTGTTCTCGCCCAACGGAAGGGTGGGAAAGGAATGTCCTGTGTGATTGTGTTGGTTGTCTGTGTGTATGTGTGTGTGTGTGTGTGTGTGTGTGTGTGTGTGTGTGTGTGTGTGTAGATTGGTGAGGTGCGGTAGGGAGGGTTGGGTTAGTTGAGCTGGAATGAAGATGTACTGTAGTTACCGTCTACTGTAGGTTGCTTATCTTGTGCCCTAATGAGGTAATTTGGCGTGTGATAGTATTGAAATGATGGGAGAGGGGGACGCGGGAGAGCCGACAAAAAAACGAATTCCAGAGAGCGAGAGTGGTGGATGAGCGATCTTCATGCGGCCCAGTGGAAATGTGAGTATTGTCTTCGATGTCGGATGTGACGGTGCTTGCTGAGGTTGGGGGCTTTTAGAAAGATAGCAACTAATCTATCTGAAGAAAAAGGGCCAAGGGATTGGAGGGGTAGGTTACTGGATAGTACTGCATATAGTACTAGCCATGTGGCTGCATCGCGTCGGCATTCCCGCTGAATGCAGTAATTTAGGTCGAAGATACAATAAATGCATTCATTAATAAAGAGACGGGAAGGGGAAGGGGAAAATAGCCGTTTACGCCCTAAGTTGATACTGTAACTACTCATATGATGAACTTCGGACTTGCAGCATGGAAGGAGCCGTTGTAGCAGTCACCAGGACTCGGAATTGCGGTTTTGCTTTTTGTTTGTCGAAACTGAAAATCTATACATCATTAGGTAATGCAGGCGGAGGTTTGCAGTGAAGTGAGGCTGTCGTCAATGAATTTCCCAAAGTCAAAAAACTATTCAACCCCCCCGGGGTCAAACGTAAGCGACTTACTCATACCTACTCAGACTGGAGAAAGTGGCTTCGCTTTGTCAGAAGTCCAGAACAGATCCTGACACGGTCGAGATCGGTGGACCTCGGAGTTTGAAAGTGCAATGAGTCGATACTTAGTCCGGAGTTCTTCGTCAGACAAGAGAAAAGGGAAGTTGATTCCTGGAATGACCGGGTGGGAATGTCCATCCGCTGTGAGTCAATTATTATTTCATATCAGCATCGTAGGGGGAAGGCCGGCAAGAGTTCTTGTTCGATAGAGAAACAATACTCATAAATGAGGGAGGCGACACAGTTTGGACAGGCTCTGGTCGAGATAGGGTCTTGTAGTTTATCATGCCATGAATTGTGGTTGCAGTTAACATAGAATTGCATGGTGCGCTTGATGAGCGTGAAATGGCTCTTTTTCCCTTTCCTTTCTTAACCCCACTATCATTAACTTTTCGTTATCGTCTCAATGGCATCATAGACCACATATCCTCCAGTTCGGCGGCCGGGCAATTATTGCCTCTCCGACTTTGTCTACTCCGTTGATCGCAGTGGACCTTGTAGGCGCAAGCCGTCGCGCTTCCTTTCCGTCCTCAGCCTGTCTCAGCTATTTTCGTCACCCTTGTTTATGAAGATTTGTCCCCTTTCATCAGAGCAGCATTGGAATCATGGAAGCGTTCCTGTTGTGGCTGATCCCGCCGAACTCTCTTTGCTTCTGTTCCCCTTCTCCCGATAACCAACAGATACCGTTCCAGACATTTGTATTGATGGCGTCACACCCCCAAGGTGGATGAACCGGTGGAAGGATAAAGCATGTACTCCATAATGAGGTGCAGTCTCGAACCTTCCTTGTTTGCCTACCACTACCACCACCACCAAGGTCAACAGGTAGGGCGTGTACGTGTTGTACTACCGGTATGCACTGCATTCGAAGCCATATGGCGCGATCATTGGATCTAAACGGCGGCTGATCTTACCGCACAGATCCTACTAAGGGTCGTCGCAATTTCAGATACGCATACTGCAGGAGACGACCCAACGACGGAGTTCCGCGCTGGAGACGCACTAGTTACCATGTGTAAGCTTGTACGTAAAGCATTGGTCTATCCCTCCCCTGTACTCCGAGTCTTAGACACTACCCTGGAGACTCTAGACCAAGAGCGGTGGAGTAAGAGGAATTGATTGACAGCTGACGCCCCTCGGTCGATGATGGGTGCCCGAATCAAAGAAGGATGCCAATCTAGGCTGAGGGGGAGGTTGATGGTGGGTGTTGACGATCAGACCTAGAAGCCCCGCGTAGACCATATCGTCCGGAAAGCCAAGACGACATGTCATCCGCATACGACAGCATGATTGGGAGGGGTTGAGCTCTTTTCCTCTCGACCCGATAAGCGTGGTTCGGTCGGTTATGGAAAAATCCAGAGAGATCGGAGAATACAGGGTGTAATAAAGGTTGGTGGGAGGGTGATGTGATGTGATGGGCTAGGAACCAACCCGACAAATGGCTCTGCTAAAACCAAGAAGCGTCATCACACTCTGTAGAGTAGTTGCCTAGGATTGTGGAGGAAATCAAGGCTCGGTGGAAGTGACTCCGTAGGTTTAGTTAGGTTATCTCCAAGGGCAGGATAGTAGTAGTACCCCGCTCCGGCAACGCTGGAGTGCCGATTGTAGGTATGCCGATTAGAATTCCAATATAAGAATGCGGGAAGGCGAACAACGGATCCGGAGAGGGCTGGAATCTAATTCTTTCTTCTCCTTCAGTCTGACCTCAATTCTCTCCACCGGATCCAGAGCAGTCACAGCGTCCAGGTACTAAATTTAGAGACCATCCAGCGAAAATTCTGATTCAACCAGCGGAGATCGATCGAGTGCAACGGTCCCCAGTGCGTCAGTTCAGTACAGTAACTGCGGAGTATCCGTTACGAGTTACGAGTAACTCGACGTGTATTGGACGATTAGGTTATCCAGGTTCCAGCTGGTGGTGAGGTAAGCAGGTGTTATTTTTGTTATGTTGCTCAATGGAGAAGACCATTGAAGACACGATTGCGCGTCGAGTGTGGTGCCTGAGGCAACCAGGGGGGGGGGGGGGGGGCCAATCCCTCCGTTCTAGACCGCAATGGCGTGACTCCCAAGGTGGACTTGACGTGCTCGGCGGTTGTCACCTCGCCCTGGGGAAATAATGCGCAATCGTTTGGGGAATAATTATTGGGAAGAAAAGCTGACCTTCTCATCTAGGTGGTATTGCTCTCTCTCTACCCAAGTATATGGATAGAGTTCAGTTCTAAAATCCCCCGCTGTTCAGTTATATTTACCATATCTTCCCCTTCTTCCTCCCTCGCCCTCTCTCTGCCTTTTCTCGTCATACTTCCATCGGTTCATCGGCTGTCGGACATCCATCCATCGATCGACTTCCAAGAAGGGACCTGAATCGACCACTGTTCTTATACATCGTCGATTCTTGTGTCTTGTGTACCTTGTTTCGGTATCCCTTGGTCACGCAATAATCTCCGAGCGAATTTTTGGTTTTACTTTTCAGCCAGCTGCACGATAACCCATCACCGCCACTTAATAATCCCGCAACGGGATCACAACAACACCCTTCTTTGGCATCAGCCGTTGCACGTGCGGTGCGGTGTACCCTGAGAACGACATCGTCATCGTCCTTCCTCATCCCCAACAATTACAAGAATAAAAAAAAGGGGCCGGAAATTCTGTTTTCCATGCAAGCCAGACCAAAAAAAACAGTTTCTTGGTATGTATGCCTCCTCGTATCAGGCTAAAATCTATTATGCCTTGTTGGACAAGTGCCTTATCTCTCCCCACTCAGAGGCCTTTGATAACCGTCCACCAAGTCGGCCACTTCCCGTTTTAGTGGAACTGCGCCTTTATTTTTTGTGACCGATCTGACCATTGCCGTGCCACTGCAGATACACAGATACACACTCTGAAAAGCTTATCGGCATCATTATCATCATAAAGAATTTGCAATCCGGCTGCTACATATTTGCCTCATTGCTGGGGTTCCCTTCCAAAAAAGAAACACCAAAAAGGGCGCTCAGATCTGTATTCTTAGGTCATTCCGTCGGATTGATCCAGCACATGCTTTCAATCATTGCCTCCTTTCTGAACAAGTGCGAGGCATTATTACCATCACGGGAGCTGCAAGCACCTCTCAGTACCACTATCCGAGACAGGCTGGCCCAGCTGGTTGGTCCAGCTGTGCACTTGACCCTCCCCCCCTGCTAGTCGCAAATCCCTCATACTCTGACCCCATCAGGGGAAGCTCTCGTGCTCCACAACTGGACGCGGCCTCCATCGGCGCAAGGTACCACCCGCCGAACTATCTCAGATAGGGCCACTTCGGTGCCTCTGGACGAGTCGACTTTTTTTATCTTTATTTTTTTGATTGCTTTATACATATACCCCTTCACCGCCATCCATGACTCAAGGCGCTTCCCATCACCGCCGCACACCCTCGGGTTCGAATGCCACTAAAGTGAGGACCTCCCGGCCGGCACTACATCGGAGAGGCACTTCCTGGGTGAATCATTCCATCTCAAAGCTAGGCTCTGGACAGCCCAACAAGCATTTGCAGGTGGAAGACGACCGGCAACCCGAGATGGCGGCCAGCTTCCTTAACTTCTGGTATGTACCTGGATTGCTTCTTCTTCTTGGCTTGCATTTTGTCTATTCTCTTATCTAGAGTTCACTCAAAGCTAATTGACCAACAGCGCCATGTGCGAGAGACAGATAACAGTGCCAGACAACACTCTTCTTTACTGCAGTGAAAGGTATGAGAAGCTCCTTATCGTGCACAATACTTGCCAGCCACTGAGCACAGCTCCGTTGTTTAAATCTCACCTCATCCTCCTATCCGGCCTAAACATCCTGATACTCATGCTTACATTCGTCTTATCTATAGCTGCCGTCGCAAGGACTCCCACAAACCACTCTCAGCATCCTTCTCATCTGCTCCCTCCATGTCTTCCTCTTCGACTCCTCCGAGCTCTCCTCTGATGTCTCCGAGGATGATCGTCGCACCCTTGACCCCGACAAGAAGCTCCACCAGATTGTCCAGCTCTGCCCGGATACCCGGCGAGTGGCTTGATATCAAGACGGATCAGGATCCCAGCGAATGGAAGCCTGTAATACCGATGGGCAATGGTGCTCATTCTGTGGCAACCTCGGATGCCTGGAAGTATCTGTCCCAGTTCCACAACGATGATCGTGGTGTGCCGCTGCGCCGCCCTGGGCTCGGTCATCGCAGCGCCGCCAGCCTGACTACTCTCCTGAGTAGCACGGGACCCGTTCCTTCGCTGACCCATACGCCGTCTACGGTCGCGTCGTCGTTCAGCAGCAACGCGTCGGACTATATGGGTCAGATGCACGATCCGGCATACCGTCCGTTGCCGCCGCGCCACAACCCGCACTTCTGCAGTTCGAGTGCGGCCAAAGGGGTTGAGCTGGTAGTTCCTCACGTGCATGTGCAGGCTGAGGACGTCTCCCCCGTTGACATGTCCAATGATGGGTCCATCTTTCCTGCCAGCAGTGCACTGTGGAATGAGAAGCCTCTCAGCAAGACATCTACGTTGACTACAACCTTGGGTGCAGTCAGCTCCGATGTGCCTATGCGTTCTGTCTGAGCACTAGGTCGCTGTTTCGCGTACTTGGCATAGTTGAGTGTTTTGAGTATGCTCAATTCTTCAACTATACAACCTGGGTCGTGGGCCAACTGCAGCAGTGGTTTCATTATTCTATTTTTCTCTTCTTCTTATTTCTCATCAATTGCGATTATTGGACAGAAATCATGATAGAAAGCATGCGAGAAACGATGTCATGGGCGATAGGCGTGGAAATAACTCTTTTTTTTTTTTTCTTTTCTTGAACATGGAAAACAGCAGCATCTTATGGGATAGACTCTTTAATAAGCAGACAGGTGTTGGGCTTGTAAAAAGGCGGAAAGCGACGAGCATTTTAGCTAGACCTCACGAAGGGATTCTTTTTCAACCACAACTTTTACTGTGCATGTGAACCAGTGAGAGCCTGCGAGTCAGGTAGAAAGTGGAAACGTTTACATTAGTTAGACTGTACGGAGCTTGCTGTCGATCGATGTGCAGCCGACTTACCCCAGATTTGCATGACTTGACCCACCATTCTTCATCAGCCTTGTAAGCGCGTTGGACTGGTGGCACCAGCCAAGACAGGACCATACTTACTCTACGTTGCTATGTAAGAAGATAGCCGATTTTGAGTATAGTATGTGTTCGGTGCCACGGCCAGATGTCAAGCATCCAAAGGCACAAGCTTTCAAAACAACCACCTGAATGATTTGAAGCCCTCACCCACCCTTAACCCGGCAGCCAGAACTTTCGACACCCGACACCTTATCTCTTAAGTATTACGGAGTACACTACAACCTAAGTACTGTCCCGCGAGCAAATCACCAGACTACCCCATGCCGGAGAAGCACACGAGAATATCAGCCAGGGGAAACATAATCGGAACCACCGACCCCAAATCCATTACACCAATCTACTGCAGCATCTGAACATTCTTGAGGATATCACGAACCTCGTAGTATAAACCTCTGACTCGCGAGTACCAGGTTAGTTGGTACAGTACCGCTCATCATACAAATCGCACCTCACCCTCACCCTCACCCTCGCCCTCGCTTCGTCACCGTATACCCAGGAAAGCAAAAGTCCCCACCCCAGCCCTAGTGGCTCACATCACATCACATCCAAACCACCCCAGTTCATCCCCTTCAAGACATAGGACAAGCAACCCCCAACCCCCTTGGGTCTCATTCAGAAATCCCCAAAGTCATCGTGAATGTGATCCGCCCACGCATCGGCGTCATCGTCCCCCCAGCAGCAGACGTAGCATCCTTGGTCGGGTTGGTACTATTCATTGTCGTGTTAGCCGGTGCAAGACCACCCGGGGCGCTGAAAACCAAGGCGAGGTGAGGCAACGCAAGGAAAGTGGGTTGGGGTATGGCACGCGTTGCAGCATCATGCAGCATGATCTCGTGGTACGGGGTATGCGGCAAGGGTTTGCTGCGGGGGCCGGGGGATTTACCTTGGTCTTGGGACAAGTCAACAACTTAGGGTCGCGGACACAGGAGCCGACGCAGGCCTCGTTGCCGATGTCGATGCCGTGGGGTTTGCTCTGGGCGGAGACGGTGGAGGCGAGGAGGGTGGCGGTTGCGAGGAGGAACGTCGTGAGTTGCATTTTGACTGCGGTTTTGTCTTGTCTTTTCTTTTTTTTGTTCCGGATGGGGGTTTGATTTGGTTGGGTTTGTTGGTTGTGTGTGTGTGCGCGTGTGCAAATGAGTGACGAATTGTTATTAGAAGGAGTGGACCGTCTGAGGCTGTCAGACTGTGGGCGGGCTGGGCGGCACGGGTCTTTGTTGGATGTATCTACAAGATAGTACGGTCCCTCGTGGCTGGGAGGGAGGAGGGTGCTTTAAAAGCGAATCGTCCCCTGCGCGCCATACATACTTACATGCCGACGTGATGCGTGGAGATCGGGAAGTAAGGGGCTCGTGGTGGTAAAGCTAGCTGGGTTTGTTTGGATTTCGGACGGCGGTTTGGGCGTCACCCTCTGGGTCGTCGTGTGTTGATATGTCGCGAGAATGGATTCTTGGCTCAGCTCATCCTTGAGCTCGGTCAGGTCGCTCTGGGTTGTGCGGTCGAGAGGGAGCAGGTGAGGAGGTTGAAGAATGTGGGCTCGAGGGGCGCGATGGGCGGTCGGTTGGTTGGTATTCGATGGGGTTGGCTGTGGTATGTGGGTTTCAGTTGGAAGTAAACAAGGTTGCGAGATGGGGGTTTTTTTTGGGACGGGAGGCAGATTGGATGCATTTCTAAGCTATGTAGCAAGCTGATATTGTTCTCTTTTCATGTCCATCAAAGGAGGTCTAAGCAGTGGACTCGTTAGAAGTCACAGACAAAGGAAGAACTCCAGTCTAGAACGGATTCCGTCCGTCCTATCGCATCTTCGTAGTGAAAAAACAACACTGTATACGTGTGCCAAATTCTCGAGGTAGATGTTGTTGTTGACTGTCTGATCAACCCTTTCCCGCACAGTGAGGATATCAAAGATATTGGGGTGTCATTGCCGAGAGACCCGTGTGGGTCTTATATCTGAGCGGCCTGGCGAAGGGATTGACCTTGAGTAGCGGCAGTAACCTGTGATGAAGTAAGATGGAAAAGAACGCCATCAATTGCCAAAGCCTCCTGTAGTACGCGCCTGTCAAATCTGCCACCTGGACATCAAGGCCGGCATAAACATTTCTGATTGAGAACGAGAATACAAGAAGATTTTATAGTCTTCTTCTTGCAAGTTTAATCAGTCGAAGCGATATGAGCAATGCGCTCTCCTATGCACTGTACGGCAGCAGGGAATGTATGAAAATACATGGTTAGGGTATGTTTAACCGAGTTTTGAAACAAACGCATCCTTATAGGTTCGCCTGATAGCGGCCGTTCGACGAGATGAAGCCGCGTCAGGAACGCAGATGCAAACCACACAGACTTACTTCTAGCAGAAGATGATGGATTGGTGAAAATGAGCGGAAGTGACATGCAGTTGGAATCGTCCAGCGCATGATATCCACTATACTAGCTTTACACAGTCCAGGGATCTTGGCCACGGACGGACAAGCATCCTGTGCTCCTAGCGACCGGATCATTGTTTTGCGGATAATGATTCCGAAGGAAAAACGAAGAACGTGCCATTTGTAGTATATTTCAGGGCAGCATTGACCATGCTTCATAGGCGTGACCTGGCCAGATCGCAAGGCCTTCAAGGAATGAACGGTCTGACCATGACAGGGGCACGAGGACGAGGGAGTTATTCCATAACAGCAGCTCAGTAAGGCAATCGGACGAGAAGGAACTAATGGGGAAAATAATCAAGAGGCCTAGGTGGAAGAGAAGGTGGTTAAAATTTTGATTTTTGATGCGTCTCGATCGCTGACAGCGTCGGGTTAATTCGCAATACCAATGGAAGGTAATACTCACCTTGACAAAAGAGGTTGTCTAAAGAGATTTGCCGTGTGTTGAATCCCCCTGAGCTCGACTTGACTCCATACAAGCAATGCAGTCACGTATCTCACCGCAAAAGCGAGAGTGCAAGCCTATGGCCCTGGCGTATATCGAAAGTAACATAACCTCCCCGAATAGATGACAGGTAAGGACTGCCCCTGAGTGGACGTCATAAATCCAGAAGTCAACCACAAAGACTGGTACGCGAAAAGACCTAGTCGAAAGTGCCGTGCATGCGAACAGCGGAGTCCAATAAGCGGCTCAGGAATCATTATCCAGCACAAAAACAGGAGCGGCTCTCCGCGCAGACTCTGCTTCTCGTTCTCACATTCTCAACCTGGTCTTCCTCGAAAGGCCGTCTGTCGAACGTTCGTTGTGTTCCCACCCCCAAAGCCGGCTCCTTACGACTGTATGGGAGCCGAGAAAGAGATCTCATACCTCGGAAATATCTTCCATACCCGCTTTCGGGCTGTACTTGCCGATTTCACGAGGTTTACTCCCCCTCAGTGCTACCTCCAACAAAGGGGGTCTTTTAAGCAATGGGGACTTGCTCTGGCCGTTGTTTGAGTCTCACTTTGAGACCTCCTCGAGGAGGATCCATAGACCTACGCACGGAAGAATTCGGGAAATGACTTACAAGTGTCCATTAAGGCGTCCCAAGGCGTACCATCACTTTGAGCTCATCGGGGTGTTTCAGGTCCTAGCTGTTGTTTGGCTGGATTGCTAGCCATCAAGGCTAGAATGAGTGCTGAAATAGCCGATATTTCGCGAACCTCATAAGCCAATCGAAGAAGGATTGACTAAAATCCGATCGAGCCAATGGGTCCACCGACGCTTGTCAGTGCGGCTTAGAGGCCAAGTGCATGTGCCTTGTCGCGCGAGGCAGTGGGAACGTATCCCTTGGCCTTTTGAGCGATTCACCGGAAATGCTCTTTCTTACACGGTCGACAAATTCGCCACCTGTGAAATCATAGGATCGAACGTGGCCGAGATAGGACAGTCCAGATGTTGACAGCTGCTAAACCCCGCCGATCCGAATCCCTGTGACCGCAAAGCGATACCCACGAGAAAATTTGACAATTCCACAAGCGCATGCGCCTCTCTTTCGTTCCGACCACTTCAACAAGCATGATAGAATCGCCCTTATGCTCGGGATGGCAACCGTGTCGGGTCAGCCACCTCGCAGCTTCGAACCGAGATCCGCGCTAAGGCAGACTAAGACGTGCATCGATTGCTGCTGCAACCCCCGTTGAACAAAACCAAGTGCAATATGAACGAGATAAAACCAACAACAAGGACATCTCGGGACACATGAGATGCGGACCTCTCATAGGTCGTGTCCTCCGATTCGAATTGTGTGCGATGTGTATACCAATGCCGGCCCGTGTTGGTGCCTAGAAATTCGCTGGCTTGTGCCTGTTCCTATGCTTTCAGAGAGCTGCGGGCGTCTGATATTCGTGCCATTCAGTTCTGCAACCCGACCCTGCGCTCTCACAGATTTGAACAGCAAATCGAAAGGATTTTGGCCTGTCCATCCCCCAAGGTCGTTCCATATGTGGGCAAATCCATGGTCATTCAGATCCAAGTGAGGGCATCAATGTCCACAAGCCGTCCAGCTCGTACCAAGCTGATGGTCCTGTCTCATGGTTATAGTTCTGTTCCTTGCCACTGCAACACACATCCCTCTCTACCCTATCTTGTCCCCAAATCTCGGGGATCTCTGCTTTGACCTTGTATGTGCCGAGTCGGACCGTGTGTAATCTTGCGCCTTGTTGAACCAGCTCTTGAGGTGTTAGTGCATCATTAGAAGAGAGCGCAAGAGGATGCTCTGATTTGGGAAGTGCATCACACAGACAGGTGCCTGTAGCCCATTTCGGACCTAACTCTTTGTGGGAAAAGAGGTTCGAACGTGGACAGCACAGACTACCCCATGTGAACTCAGACTTTCACTGCGACCATGAAATTCGAAAAGCGGTGGGACGAAAAGTTTTTGGATTCGATTGTTGACACGCGTTGACCAAAGTGAACATGTCCTGAGCTCATAAGACCTATCTCGCACGCAAAGCTTCCTCAGTAGCTGCACAAAGACTGGGCGAATAAAAGACACGATGGTGGGACTATACCTCTGCAATCGCCTTGCAACTGAATTGCCCGCCCTTCGTCGTGTTCTGACCGGAGCACGGGCGCCTTTCGAAATATGTCCACAATCGATCTATGTCTCTGAAATAGTCGCAAGACTGAAAAAGGCACAGATTCGATAGAAACAGGGATGAGATAATATGGCTTCATACGGAGAACAAAAGCCATAAGAACGTCCGTCCCAGATGATTGAGGGCGAGTCACAACCATCTGGGATTTTTGCTTGAGGGCGACAGAAGCCAACGTACTGCTTTCGACAAGGAGTTGGACCGACAGAGTGAAGAGCTGAAGGCCGAGTGACGCGTATTGTTTGTTGCGAAATGAGGTCGAATGAACGTGGCAGATGGAGCACGTTAACTGCCAATGGGTAGTGGGACAGGTACCGAACTGTCGATCGAGCCCCTGGCTGAGCTACATGATTAGCCACAAAGACGATTTCATCTCCTGTATTCACAACGTATGGAGGTCTGCAGTTTTGGCAGCAACATGAGCTTCTGATGAGGGCATCCGCGGCAGTGGCCAAGCTAAGGGAGACAATCTGCAGCAGACGGCCGGTGGAGAGAAAACTAGTGGGCAGCTACCGCGGCAGCTACAGAAGCATCGAATTGTGATACAGAAGAATAAACCAACTCTGAGCAGCGGGGAATCAATTGAGCCTATCTCAGAGAACGGATGATATTTCCTGAGCCTAGAGGATTGCAGGTTCGTCCGTGTTCTGTTGGTCGTGATGGGCGGCGGAGACCGCCACGGGCACAGAGATTGGTTGGGGACTTTTCCCGGGGTTCTGGTCAAGACGAGCAGAGCAGTCTTTTTCCGGCGATACAAACATTCTACGACCCCCAAACCCATCCCAATTTACACCTCCGTCCATTCGATGGCTCCTTCAATTGGTACTCAATGACCCTGACTAATCCCGATGCCGGTGTTGATGTGATGCTATGAAAACCCATCGGGGGTGTTTTAGCATGCCGGAACCTGCCATTACAGAGCATCCGCAGCGTCCGTGACCTGATGGTTGAGTGGCCCCTGAATCCGATGGTATTGTATACTGGGTGGAGTACTAGCGATACCCAGATACCCAGTGGCCCTTGCCACTGATGGTTTCGGTGTGATTTAGGGTGGATTGTGGCACTCGTTCACTACCTCCAGGCTGCAGCTCAGGCTCGCTTTTGTGACGGTGCACGTCTTCTGTAGGCGCCAGTGAGCCTATCAGTCCACCCTGTCACTCAGTCACCCAGTTTGTTTGGCCTGAGAGGCATGGATATCTTTTCCTCCCCCAGCTCGCTCTCTGTCTGGCTCCAACCTGGAAGATGAAGGCTCTCTCCCACCATGCAAATGGCTGATGCACGGAAGTATCGGTTGAGTGTGTGACTCTTCGGACACCGCATTGACTGCCCAGGGGGTCAGCCTCAGCCGACTGCCAGTCTGCCAGCCTGCCTCGGTCTAGGAGGGATTAGACACTGCTAACTACACTCTTACTTCCCATCAATGCAACTTCCCCCCCCCTCTGGCCGTCCAGATATCAGCCTGTGCGTAGTGGTCTGTCTGAGTGGGAATCACTCATTCTTGACTACTATTTCAGTTTACGCCCAACCTCATTACTATCCATACCTTTCCATTGCAAAAACCCCTGGCGTACTCGGTCAGATCGTCACCAGAACCCCGTGTCGCTCCCGTCTTGTGCAGCCCTCAACCACTACCCCGCGGGACCTCGAGGCAGCCAAGACCAGCAGTCTTTTGCCTTGTGACGATTTAACAAGATGACTGCGGAAGAGAGCAGCTCTGCCCTAAATGGAGATGAAAGGTAGACCTTTCAGCCCTGGAATTTACTGCGCTGGCCCCTCATTCGTTCCTGTCTAACCGTCTGTGATGTTCTATAGCCTCCACAACGACCACCCGGACGACACTAGCGAGACCTCAGCTCTTGAATCAAGCGCCTCACAGGCTCCTGACGAACTCGCAGCCGAGCTCGACTATTTTCGAGGTCTTCTTGAACGGATTATGAGGATTGTCCGCAGTGGAGATCCGGCGCGTGTTGCTCACTTGATCTCCATGATTCGTTCCAACCCCTCTAATACCGACATCTACGCTCTGCTGAACAATGATCCTGCCACCAATGATATCCCCGACGATGAACATGACGAAGGCCCCATAGAAGAGAGCAATTAGAGTGACAGCCGAGTCATGCCTCCCATGAAGTCAAAGTTGTGTTCGCAGAGTCGTGATTAACTTTATGAGTCATGAGACACTTTCTCTTCGGCGACCCCTGGTTGACTGTAGGATGCACGCATGGGAAGGAGAATGGTTGGGTGAAATACTCTGTCACTTAGAAGTTGGTTTAGTCGACCACTAAGAAGAGAGGATCACCCGTCCTGTTCCTTGGAAATTATTCCAGATGAAGTTGCGGCTTACAGTACAAGCGCACTATTTCATTCCCCGAGGATGTGGCCTAGGCGATACCCATGAGGACGTTGTGGCTTGACTTTATTCTGCAGATCAGCTTGGTCGCTCTTGATATAGCCCGTTTAGATGCACATTAACCACTGCCAGCTAGCCCATGTCAGACGGCCAGGTTCACACCTCGACTCGACAACAGACAGAGTATGATTGTCATATTGCGACATCTCCTTATGCCACACACGAGGTCGACATGATCAGCCTAACGCTCAGTTTGACATGCATCAGAACATAGCAGAACACCGTCTTTCCAACCACATTGGCCCGTAAGCGCCAGCTCCATGATCCATTTTCGACCATTTCCCCATGCCAAAGCGTAGCGGTAGAACATGGAATGTCACCTCCTACACAGCAGGTAGACTCGAGCAAGTCGAAGACAATCCATCTCTGCCTCCCAGGATACTCGTCGTTGCCAACAGAGCTTCCCAGGCATTGCGCGCCCACCCGTACTGATCAATCCCTCCCTTCCCCACCATCCGCCCAGTTGAATATGAACCCCGAAGCCGTTCCCGCTTACAATCCCTCGTATCTCCAGGCTAGAAACCTCTCTCGTATCACATGCCAACCTTCCGCGCGGATGTTGCAAGCCGCTCGTATAGGTACACACCCAGAACCCATGGCTCGGGACACTGTGGGTTATTGATCGATTGGACCCTTGATGCAAACCCATGGGTTGTCTGCGGCCTTTGCCACTGCACCGGTACTGCAACAACAGCAGCTTGCAGCAGCTGTCTCTGTTTTTTGGATGTTCTTCTCGAGTGCTGGCCTTGTCGTGGGGGTTTTCGTCGGCTTCGTGCTTCTTACCCTTCTCATTCATGCTGGGATCATTGCGGTGAACCCTTCTCTCCCTGGTTATTACCGCCAGTTGGTGAGATAGTTCATAACCGCACGTATACTTGAGAATGAGCTAAAGTTACCCTGATGAGATGAAGTCGAAAGGGCTGGAATAAGAACGCGGCGACTAGAAAACGGGGACCCGTCGGCTAGCCCGCCTCTTCCCAGAAGACTCTTGCACGCACAACCTGCAGCATCTAACAACGAACGATCTGTCCTGGGAGAAGAGGATGGCCTTCAGACACTACATCTTTGAATCGCAACGTCGGATGATGGGATTCTACCAGGAAATCTACGTTCAGCTGCTCCCAGCTGGATTCGAACAAGCAGTTTTACCGATTTTTTTGTGGGGTCACAGACAATTCCACATTAACGCGTGATATTCTATGGAGGCTTTCTACTGTAGCACATCACACAACATCTCAAGGCGTGCAGCGGCCGGTGAAGCGGGGATACAAGGAGCAGTCTCTGACGGTGTAGCGGGCACACAACCAAGCCAAGAAACGCTCGAGACCGAAACCGTAGCCACCGTGGGGGGAGGTTCCGTACCTAGAAAGAGTTAGTCCAAAGTGGTGAGAGGGGGGTGGGGTGGAAAGGCGTTGACATACTTGCGCTGGTCGGTGTACCAGTAGTAGGGAGAGGGGTCCATGCCCTCGTGCGCGTAGGCGGCCATCAGCTCATCATAGTCGTCCATTCTCATACTGCCACCAACGATCTCACCGACACCGGGCATCAGGACATCGACACTCTCGGTGACTCGGCGGTCCTGCTCGTCCTTCTTCATGTAGAAGGCCTTGATCTCGGCGGGGAAGTGGGTCAGGAAGATGGGCTGGTTGATGATGTCGGTCATCTTGCGCTCGGCGGCCTCGGCGATATCATCGCCGAACTCGTGGGGCTTGCCCTCCTCGTTGGGGATGTCGTGCTCGCGGAGCCACTCAATTGCATCGGAGTAGCGCATGCGCTTGAAGGGACGGCTGGGGGGCTTGAAGTCGGGGTTGAGCTTCTCGATGAGTGCCTTGGTGGCAGGATCGGCCAGCAAGATCTCGATGACACGGCAGATCATGTGCTCCAGATGGTCCAGGAGATCGGTGAAGGTGATGAAGTCCAGCTCCGCCTCAATGTGGGTGTACTCGGACAAGTGACGACGAGTGAGGGATTTCTCGGCGCGGAAAGAGGGGCAGACACAGAAGACATCGCCGAGGGAGGGGAGACAGGTCTCCAGGTAGAGTTGAGACGATTGGGTCAGGTAGGCGTCCTCCCCGTAGTAGTCGAACTTGAACAGAGTGCTTCCACCCTCCACCTGGGTCTGCACCATGGCGGGAGGAGTGACCTCCAGCATGCGCTTCTCTTCGTAGGTCTGGCGGAAGGCCCGCAGGGTGGCGGCGCGCACCTTCATCACCGAGGAGATGGTCTCACCGCGGAGGACCAGATGACGGTTGTCGTAGAGAGTCTGGGGATCGGCGTCAGGGGCGACACGGTTGGAGATGGCGTCCTTGTCACCAGCAGCACGGCCGATAATGGTGAAGAAGTCCGCGTGGAGCTCGCGGTTGTCGGGGGCGTGTTGCTTCGGGGGCACAGCACGCATCTCACCGTGGATGGCGATGGAGGTTTCGAGAGTGAGAGTCATGGCGTCGTATGTCTTGACGAGCTGACCGGTCAGAACGCACTGAAGGTAGCCGGAACCATCGGTGAGGGTAAGGAAGATAACGTCCTTCTGAGGGCGCAAGCGGTGGACACGTCCAACAACGCGCACACGAGTACCAGGGGCCTCGGACTCGGGAGATCCCAGCTTGACGACGGCGGGGTCGGTTTCATCGAGGCGAATCTTGACGGGCTTGGGAAGGGAGGTATCTTCCTTGATGACGACCTTCTTGGCTTCCTCCAGAATGACCTGGCGCTTCTCCGCCTCTTGCTTCTCGCGGATTGCCAGCTCTTGTTCCTTGGCGGCCTTTCTCTTGCGCTGCTCGTAGAGGTTGGTGGCCTTCTTGACGGCCGACTTGGTGGCGGGCTTCCACTCGAGCTTGTCGGCACCCTCCTCGGTGGGCTCGGTCTGGGACTTGCGGGTCAGGTATTGGTTGCCTTCGGAGGGAGGGTGCTGCGTGAAAGCGTGGACAAGAGTCTTGTAGGGAGCGGATTCGGTGCCGGTCGCGGTCGACTCATCCCGGCCGACATCCTCGTCGATATAGATGGTAGCCATTGTGTTGGTCCTCTTTGCGAAGGAGGTGATTTGGGGGTATTGAGTCTATGTTCTAGCCAGGGAGCAGTGTGATCAGTGGATATCCATTTGGAGACGTGCATGTGAGTCACACACACCCTCTGCCTTATCAGGGGCGACTGGAGTGAAGGACAGGGGTCTGATAAGAGTACAGAACTTACATCTTAACCAATCGGTCAGACAAGGAAATGCTACCACAGCAAGTCCCGTGTGGAGGTGAGGTGAGGTTGTCCGAATCGCACAGTGCGGAAGGGCTGTTCTCTCTTGCGGAGGGGTAAATTTCTGGATTCCGCCCAATCTCCCCGCGTATGCCTCAGGCAGAGAAGGCTTCAAGGCCACCGGGCATCACTGACGGAACACGCATCCGGGCATCCCATCAGTCGGTGCGTCATGCCTGAACCCTTCGTAGTTTAAAAAGCAGAGCGTCCTTCAATTAGTTACACCTTATAGGACAGCACAAGACACAATTGGCATTCTCTTGATCAAGAGCCTGGGTTTGCAGAATGTCATTCCCTGCGGGGACATATGAGCATAAGGCACTCATACTAGACCGCCTCAATCGCCTCACCCTGCACTTCTGGTCGCTTGCCATGGGAATTCACAGAGACTTATCTGAAGCAGTGCTAATCTTCCCATCCACCGAGACAACAGAGACCACATACCCCAGTCTGCCGTCTTTATGCCTCTCCCCCAGATACCACAAATGTGACTTGTCTGACTGCCTTAGTGCCTAAGGCACTAACTAAGTAGTGGATGCTTCTGCAGCCGGACCGGATCAAGATGAGTTCCGTGCAATATCCCGAGAATCCTCTCTCCGGTCCAGGAACACCCCACCGTCAGACGGTCTGTGGCTGGTTGACACGCCCCCCATTGCCCAATGTGGATAGTGACTACCGATTCCACGGTAACCGATCAGGAGTCTGAATGACTGATCGCGCGCAAGCAGAAGAAAAATAACGTCTGTGAAGGAGATGCATCTTATCCGGATGGAAGACAAAAGAACGCGTCGCGGAAGGAGAATCGGATCTCTCTGTTAGGGGCTATCTATGCGCTCTCTTCACATCAAGGAAGATCAACAAAAATAAACATCATTCCAGCACATCCTGGACGCGCGAGGCTAGTTGTCAACGTCCGCCTGAGACTTGACTGTCCGACACGAAGACGCGGTTGAGACTTGAATCAAACTACTCGATATACCTCTCGAGAAAGAAATAATATCATGGCTGTGGATACGATACCAGTATCACGAAGTATTGATCCTAGGCGCTGGTGCCAGAGCTTGCCGGCCAAGCAGAAAAGCCTGTTTCAGACAATCTGGTTGACAGATAGATGGTTGGATCATTCATTCGATGGGGGTCCTTTTCCCCATCTTTGCTTCAAAACTCCGGATCTACTAATCAACTTTCACTCCACAAGGGAAAAGAAGATTATCTGCCACTTCTAAAATTATCGACACCTTCAAAACTTACTCAGTATTATGATGGCTCAATTGGCCTTGGCTTTGCCTGAGGAATTTTCCTCGCCCCCTTTTGCTTTGGTCCCGTTCGACACAGACTGCCTAGTTCAATTTCCCCAAATCGTCGGTCACATACCTGTCCCTTCTCATTCCTTGCTTACATGATCCCCTCCCGTGTGGTTACGGTTGCTTCTTTCTTGCCTTTCCCATGCTTCGTGTTTATTCCGGAAATTGTCAGCGTTGTTTTAATTTCACTTTGTTTTAACCCAGTTGTTCATTCGGTTTTTAAAGTCTTCACTTTTTAAGTATTATTTTCTATTATCTTTCCCAGACATCCTTTATTGAGCCGGTGTGGGAGAGCAGCAGCCTTGAGAAAGTCCCGGCAAATCGCTCGATAATATCAGGTGTATTATCTTTCTTGACGGACAGGACAGTCTATCGCTCTATCTCTCACACGCCCCCCTTTTCCCCCTTCCTACCAGAAGTCCCCTTTTGCGTACCTTATTTTATTTTATTTT